ATAATTGAAGTCCTATAAGAATTTTATTATTTATAAAAATAATTGAATCCCTGCAGAAATGTTATTATTTATGAAAAAAATAATTGAATTATTGCGAAGAAATTTATAAGAAAAAAATTGTAAATAATTGAATTCATGTAAAATTTTTTATTATTTATGAAAATAATTGAATGTTTGCGTAGAATATTATTCAAATTTTTTTTTTTTAAAAATGGAATTCTATTGGAAAACTTTATAGAAATAGTAAATATTGAAAAGCATTGAATTTTAAAATTTTTTTGAAAATAATTGAAATTTTGACAAGAATTTGATTATTTGAATTCATTCTGGTGTTATTTTAACACCTCACGTTTTACTGTGATTGCTATTGTGTATAAAGAAAGGGTTTCATTGTCACCTATTAGTTTGTATACAGTGTCGACTTTTCCCACTAGTGGTAAAAGTATCCTATTTTCCCCTAGTGGGAAAAGTGTCATCTATTTTCTATATAGTAGAAAATAAAGCATCGTCATTGTCTACTAGTGGGAAAAATTTCTTATTTTTCAACTTGAATAGAAAAAAAAAGTAATCTTTGCCAACTGAAAAAAAAATTTTCATTTCCCGCTAAAATACTTTTATTGTCATCAGGGCAAAAAGTGTCTTATTTTCAACTAAAAATGAAGAGTAATCCTATACAGTATAACATTATAGGTAATTTTTCTGAATATAAAAATAACTTTAATTCAATTCTTTTGAAATTGAATCCATCAAAGTTTAAATACGTCACGACATCAGAGGTGATTTGCGCGCAAAAATAAATGAGACATAATTATATTGAAACATAATATTGTTAATTTTCTGAAAGGAGATTGAGAGGGGGGGGGGTGGGAGGTAACATTAAAAAATTACAATGTTCTAAGTATATACGCAGTTAGTCCAAGTGATGCTGCGGGATAATTAATAAGTAATCTAATTTCTCCGAGACTCTATAATCATTCGCAATTAAGGAAGCAATATGCCATCAGAAGCAAAAGGGGGATTCAAGAGAGAGAGAGAGAGAGAGAGAGAGAGAGTGAAGCTTTGACGTGGCAACGCAGAAGGATCAAGTTTAAATCGAATTCCCATTTTCACACTAGAACAAATTACTCTTTCGCTAAAAGCTTTGGCATGCTGAGATTCCCACTAATTTAATTACTTATTTTCATGAGACTTTACGATGGTTGGTGGTAGGTGTGTGAAAAAAATAATTTATTCAACTTTTATTCGACAATATTTATCTATCATTCATTTATAATATACGTTCTTTAAATACATGCGTTCTCCTTGTCATTTTCTGCGTCAATTTTTTTTTTTGTGCATAACAAAAATTTTCAGAGAAAATATTTTATTTACAAATAATTATTTTTTGTCCGATCAACTAGAAATAGGATTTTATTTTTTTTTACTAGGTGTCAGTTCACTGCATTTAATTTATTGAAATTGTTTATTTAAAATAATTGATTTCTTTCGAATAATTTTATTAAAATATAGGTATTTGAAAATAATTGAATTCCTTTGAAAAATTCTAATATTTTTGTAAATAATTAAATTATTCTAAAGAATTTTAAAAAATCTTTTTTTTCAATAATTGACTTTTTCGCCGAGGAATTGAAATTAAAACTCGGTATAATTAAATTTTAGCAGCATTTCCAGTAAAATTGTATTAAAAATAATTGAAATCCTGCGATGAATTTTAATATTTATGAAAATAATTGAATATAGTTGCAAAGGATTTTATAAAAATTTTCAAAAATAATTGAATTCCTGAGAAGAATTTATTTTATTATTTATGCGAAAATAATTGAATTTTTCGAAAAGTAATTAATTAAAATTTTTTTCTAATAAAGAATTTTATTGAAATTTTTGGAAAATAAAATTTTTGCAAAGAATTTTATTAAAATTTCGTTAAAAATGAATTAAATTCTAGCGAAGAATTTTGAATATCAAGAAAATTTTATTAAAATTGTATATTGAAAATAATGGAATTTTTTGGAAGTATTTTATAACTGATAAAATTATAATTATAATTATAAAATTCTTTCAACGAATTAAATTATTTATGAAAATAATTGAACTTTTGTCAAGAATTTTATTAAAATTTTTTGATAATAATTGAATTTGGAAGAAGTATAATTTATTATTTATAAAGATAATTGAATTCATCGTAAGAAATTTTATAAACATTGTTATAAATAATAAATATTTTCGAAATATAATAAATATTATGAAAGTTTAATTTTAAATAATTGAATTTTTCGATTAATTAATTGAAATTTTAAATATCCTTTTAGAATCCTTTCCTTTTAGAATTTCATCAAATTTTTTTTAAATTGAATTTCCATGAGAAATGTTATTATTAGTGAAAGTAATTGAATTATTGTGAAGAATTGTATAAAAATTTTATTAAATAATTGATTTTTCGACATTTCAATTTTATTATTTATTAAAATAATTTAATTTTGGATGATTTTTATCAATTTTTTTGCAAAATTTTATGAAAATATTTTATGTTGAAAATAATTGAATATCGAAAAGAATTTTAATAAAATTTAAAATACCTCAAAATAATTGAATTTTTGGGGAGTAATTTTCTTATTTATCGATATAATTGAATTCTTTCTAAAAATTATTTGTGTAAATAATTGAATTCTTAGAAAAAATTTTATTAAAATTTTAAAAAATAATTTAATTATTTCAAAAAATATTTAATTAAAATCGTATTTAAAACAATTAGTTTCTTTCGAATAATTTTATTAAATTTTTCAAAAATAATTATTCAATCCTTCCAAAAAATATTTAAAAAACATTTTTTTAAATAATTGATTTTTTCGAGGAATTGAAATTCAGTTTTTAAGAATAATTACATTTTTCGAGCAATTCCTGTAAAATTGTATTAAAAATAATTGAAATCCTGCTATGAATTTTATTATTTATGAAAATAATTGAATAGTTGCTAGGAATTTTATTATAAATTCTCAAAAAATAATTGAATTACAGAGAAGAATTTTATTATTTTTGAAAATAATTGAATTATTGCGGAAAAGTTTATTAAAATGTTTAAAAAGAATTGAATTTCTGTGAAAAATTTTATTATTTTTGAAAATAATTGAATTCTTTATAAGAATTTTATAAACATTATTTTAAATAATTAATTTTTTCGAAAATAAATATTATAAAAATTTTATTATTCTAAATAATTGAATTCTTGTGGAAAACTTTATTTGTGAAAATAACTGAATTTTTCGATTATTAATTTAAAATAGTAATGAAAATAATTGAAATTCTTCGATGAATTTTATTTTATTTATGAAAATAATTTAATTTATGCTTTAGAATTTAATTAAAAAAATTTCTTTTTTAAATTGAATTTTCATGAAAAATTTTATTATTATAAGTAATTAAATTATTGTGTGAAAAATAAATTGCATAAAATTTTTTTAAATAGATTTTTTTTTTTTTTTTTTTTTTTTTTTAAAATTAGCGAATTACATAAAAGTAGTGGAAATTCTCTTAAAAAAAATATTATTTATATTCTTATTGTTCAGAAAGTTGAATATATATAATAATTCTTTTACCTTCTCTATTCTTCAGAATAATTAAAATTTTCGTAATGAAGATTATTTTTAATTTTAGTTATAAAATAACAATTTTTGTGAAATTCAATTTTCCTCGTTACAAGAAAGTTTATAATTATTTTCAATTTTGAAAATCTGTTGTCAAATTTGAAATTATAGTATAAAAATTTGTTAAAGTTTCTTTTTATGTACTTTAAAGTTTAAAAATATAATATAATTTGAAAATTTAATTCTAATTAGTTTTTTTAGTTACGTGTCATAATAAAAATTTTTAAAAAATTTTAAAATTTTAAAAATTACTTAAATGAAAATGACTTGAAATTGTTTAGAATAAATAGTGCAATGCAACATTCCCGCACTGATAATTTGGCTAGTACAATTTAATAAAAGAAAAAAAAAAAAAAAATATTGAAAATAAAAAAATTAAAACAAAAAAATTCGTTTGAAAATTGTTTAAAAATATATCTTTTTTTTCAAAAAGGGAAATAAAATTGGAATTTTATTTTATTTTCCACAATTTTTCTCAATAAATTGCAAAATGGTGGTGAAATAGTGTAAAAGAAAGACAATAATTTACAAAGTGACAAGAAATTGTCAGGTCTTGTTTTCACACTTGAGTGAAAAGTATTTGTGCTTTCGTATATATATAGAGCTGGGGGTCAAACGAAAACTAGATATACAACAAGAATGTAGTGTATAGTGGAGTTTACGAAAAAGAGATTCCTATACGTCCTTCGGCACTAAAGCGGAACGCAATAACACCTTTCCTGTTGGCTCGCATCAAATTGCCAAAGTTCAAAGGAAATAAAAGAGAACGTACTTCCTCTTATATGTGTCAACAGGTGTTTCCTTTAGAAACTCTGATAATAGAGTCTTATATTCTTTCAAAGTGTCTCTAAACTTTTTTCAATTGTCAAACAGAATGCAAGACACACACTTTATGTAGAAGCGAATAAATCGGACAATTTTTTTTTTAAATAATATATTTTATTTATCATTGTCGATTATTTATTTTTAATTTTCAATTATAGTCAGTTATTTCTAATTGCTATTTACATTTTATTTGACTATTTAATAATAATTATAATTATAATTACTCATCATTATTTCATTATTTAATAATAATTATAATTATAATTATTATTATAATTATAATTATAATTATTATTATTATTTTTATTATAATTATAATTATTAATTAAAAAATTAAAAGTAATTGAAAAATAATTTACATTTTTTGTACCTATTTGAATATATATTAATAAAGATTATCAAAAAAAAAAAATAAAAAAAAACTGAGGATATTTTTTTGCATCAATAATTTTAATTAGAGCACCTTATTGAAAATAAAGAAATAATTATGGGTATATAGACATTATAAAATATGAAATGAACGATTTATTTCAGACGAGCATCACGAGACACCAAAGGCACTTCCTTTTGGAAATGCAACTCCACCTTCATCGAAGAGTTTAGATGATGATATTATCAAAAACGACGATAGCAAAAATGACATCAAAGAAAATGTAGTCGAGACCGATAGGTACGATTCAGAAGACTGTTCTGCACAGGAATATGAAATTATGAAGGTAACGTTGCGTTTCAATACTTTACAAATAAAACTCCTTTTTATTCCTTTTTCTTCCCCTTCAATAGTCTAACTTTATATTCGAGCGACAATTATTTTTCTTTTACCAAGAACCAATAATTACGTTATTACAATTTTTTTTTATTTTTTTTATTATTGTTTTTATTATTTATTTATTTATTTATTTATTTATTTATTTATTTATTTATTTATTTATTTATTTATTTATTTATTTATTTATTTATTTATTTATTTATTTATCTATTTATTTATTTATTTATTTATTTATTTATTTATTTATTTATTTATTTATTTATTTATTTATTTATTTATTTACTTAAACGGACTTGCAAAAAATTAAATTTTTTATTGTCTATTAAGGGTATTTGAACAATAATTTAATCAATTGAACAAATTAATTGTGAGTAAATAAATAAATTCCAATTTTTTTTTTATTTACTTATTTAAATTATTAATTAATTGAATACTAGCAACAATTCGCGCGCTTTGCTAACTTCTAACTGCCTTTTTTAAATAAAATTAGCAATTTTAAAAATAATAGAATTTTAAAACTTTCTAATTCAAATTTTTGTTGAAAACACTAAAAAAAAATCAATTTTGGAGAAATTACAAATAATTGCAGAAATTCAACTATTTAAAAAAAATAAATAAAATTCAACTATGTACAAAATTTGAAAAAAAATTTTGTAAAAATCCCAATTATCTTTATAAGTAACAAAATTCTTCTCCAAAGTTTAATTATTTTTCTAAATGTCAAAAAATTCTTGTCCTAATATCAATTATTTTCATAAATAATAAAAATTTCACAGGAATTCAATTATTATTTTTATAAATAATAATTTTTATAAATAATAAATTTGTTTTAAGGAATTCAATTATTTTCATAAAAAATAATTTAAAATTCTAGAAAATAATAATTGAATTAGATGAAAATAATTTTGATGAAGTTACAGTAACAATATTCTTATAATAATAAATAATATAAAATAATGATTTTATTACTTGATCATCTTTAATTATTATAAAAAATGAAGAAATCAATCAACCCGAGTCTTCGACTCGAAGCAATCGATATCTTCATATTTTATAACAAATACTTTTATAAGTTGTTTAATTTAAAAAAGGTTATTGAATTTGAAATTTTTGAATTAAGATTCCTGTGGAAAATCATGTTCCAAAAATAAGATATAAAAAAAAATAGGAATTTTGCAAATATTTTTCTTCTTTTTCTACAACAAAATAATAATTTTGTTAAAAAAATTGTGATTCATAAACAAAAATAATGCAAAATAAATTGCATTATTATTAACTTTTTATAATTTTTTTTTTCAAATATTTTTAATTTTAAAATTAATATATTTGAAAATCATCGAATTTTTGCAAAGAATTTTTGTCAAAAAATTTGATGATAATAGAATTCCTTCAAAGAATTTTATTATTTAGAAAAATAACTGAATTCTCACAAAGAATTTTATTAAAATTTTTAAAAATCCTAATTAAATTCTTTTGAAGAATTTCTTTGAATTTTTTTTTTTTTTATTAAACTAATGGAGTTTCTTTAATAATTTGAATTGAAAATTTTGAATAAAGCATTTGAATTTTATTAAGAAGAATTTTATTAAAAGTGAATTGAAAATAATTGAATTCTTGCGGAGAATTTTACTAATATTTTTAAAAATTGTTTCGAAGAATTTATTACAATTTTTGGACATAATTGAAATTTATGGAAATATTTAGAATAATATTTGAATTCATCCGAGGAATTCAATATTAAAATTGTTTTAAAAATCATTGGATTTTTGTAAAGATTTTACTATTGAAAAAAATAGTTAAATATTGTTTAGAAAGATTTTACTATTTTTTATAAAAAAATAATTAAAATGTTTCGAGAGAATTTTTAAAAATTTTAAGAAATAATTAAATTTTTGTGATGAATTTCATAGAAATATTTTAAAATAATGGAATTTTTTCGAGAAATTCAATTAAAGTTGTTTCGATAATAATGGAATTTCTTTAAAGAATTTTATTAAAATTATGTAATATTCAAAATCATTGAATTCATTATAAGAATTTTATTACTTTTTTGAAAATAATTGAATTCTTTCAATTTTTTTTGACGAATATAATTATTTAAAAATTGCATTGAAAGTAATTTAATTTTTATATAGAATTTTTTAAAAATATTTTGAGAATAATTGAATTATTTTTAGAGAATTTTAAATTCTTGTTGAAATTGCATTTTATGGAAATTTTTGAAAATAATTAAATTCTTTCATGTAATTTTATTTTTTAATTAATTGAATAAAAAATTTTCTTTTTAAAATTAGAAAATAATTTTTGTTTCTAGATTCTTAATTATTTTTCGAATTTAAGTTTTCCTTTTTTCTATAATATTTAGATGAGGAAATAAAAAGAATTTGAAAATATTATTAGAGAGAAATGTTGTAGTGAAAATATTTTTTGTAATAAGTTTTATATTTTATAATGAATGGAGAGAAAAATAAAAACTCTTTTATCATCTTTATTAGGACAATTTGCTGTTGTATAATCACGCGAGGCTCATGGCACAGGATAATCATAGCAAAGAGTATCTGGTGAGCATCATGTTCTCCCACTACGATCAAAATAACAATGGCAATTTGGAACGGGAAGAACTGGAGCAGGTAAATTATATTTCGATTTACTCAAGAGAATTTAATTCCCAGCTTTTTGTTATTAAATTATTTACATATTATTTATGAATTTCCTGTTATTCATTATTTTTATTTATTTTTTTTAATTTTCTATACCTTAGGTCTGCCTCTTGGTTGTTCACTTCATTATACAGAGATTTTCAATTATTTTATATAATTTAATAATTATTATATTTTTAGTTATTTTATTTTTTTTTTATTTCGAATTTTTTATTAATTATTTATTATTCAGAATATTTTATTTATTTTTATTAGGTTCTTTAAGTTATGATTTTTTGTTAATTTTTTACTATTTGTTTACTATTTATGTATTATTTTTCAACATATTTTACTAATTATTTACATTTTTTACTATTTATTTACCCTTTTTTTACTATTCAATTACTAAATTATTTTCTATTTTTGTCGTATTTATTTACCATTTTTTACCTTTTTTTACCATTTTTTACTATTTATTTACTATTTAATTACCATTTTTTTACTATTCACTTACTTTTTATTTACTATTTATTTAGGGGAACATAGTCTAGGTCGGCCACCTTTTTGACTTTTGTTTATAACTTTTTTTTAAAAATGAATTTGGACAATTGAAGTATATGGTTGGAAAGTCCTGTTTAATAGGAACATTTTTTCTGTACAAAGTAAATTGACAGGTTTAAAAATGAAAAAGTTATAAAGATTTAAAAAAAAAAAAATTTGTAGTCCAGGTTGGCCATTACAGTCAAGGTCGGCCATTTTTAAAATTCAAAGGGCATTAAACGTTAAAAAATAAAATAACATGTTTGGAGTTACGGAAAATTGATTCTTTATTGTTTACAGTTTGTAACTTAATGAAATAACAAAATAATAACAATAAACAATATAAAAAAATAAATATAAATAAAAAAAAGTTTTGCACTAAAATATTTATAAAATTAAATAAAAATATTAATAAGATGATCAATTATATTATGAGTTATACAGAATTGCAGTTTTTGCAAATGAAGTAGCTCGTCCTCAACTTTGCGCATTTTAAACACATAGTGGCCGACCTTGACAGTAAGTAACATTACCGAATTGTTGTAACCATAAAGAAATACGTTTCGGGATTCGATTTTTTACTTTGTTTTCCTTTCAACCATGAGTCCCACAAATTTTCTGCATACTTGCCTTGACGATTCAATTTGTTTTTTATCTTTTATTAATGGTTTTTCACATTATGCACAAAACTTTTTTTGAGCTTTTTTTGTACCGACGTCACAGAAAACACAATTTTCGATTTTCCGAAAATGTAATTGAACAAAAAGTTAGGTTTCACTAAGACAAGCTTCGACAAAAATGCGCGTAGGTGGCGCTAGTGAACTTGACAAAAAAACGCGAGTGGCCTACCTAGACAGTAGGCCAACCTTGACTACATTCCCCTACTATTTAATTTTTACAATAATTTATTTTTTATAATTTAACACTTATTAATATTAAATTTAGTTTTACGAAATCTATAAAATAAAAATAAAATAAATTATTAATTAATAAATAGAAATAAATATTATTTAGAATTTTTTATTTAGAATAATTCTTATTTAATTGAAGCCATATTTTCATGATGAATTTTTTATTTATTATTTATTGATTCAAATTATTTATTTTTTTGTTAACTATTTTTTTACCATTTTTTTTATCTATTAGGTAATTTATGATTTTTGCTTACATTCGTTTATTGTTTTTTTCATTTTATTTTTTATTCATCTGTTAGGTAATTTTATTTTATTTTGTTCCAAAAAGCAAGAAATTTTGATAATTATTTTTTTACCTTTGAATTCTAAACGCTAAAGTTTTTCTCACCAAGCCAATTTTTTTTGCGAGTATTTATTTTCTTGGGTAAAACATTTTTGGTGCGGTTTTCCTTGTTTTTTTTTGGGGGGATTTTTTTTTCTTTTTTTTTGAAATCCGATCAAAGTAAACCAAAAGAATACAAAAGTTTTACTTTTCGAGAGCTAAAAGACTTTTTTCATTAAGAGAGATAAATTAAATGGACTTTTTTAATTTTCTAGATTGCAGAACGAGAAGATCTAGAGCAACTGAGTAAAGGATGCTCTCTTGGTCACATGATCAGCTACGACGACGCTGATAAAGATGGACGATTAAATATTAATGAATTCTACATGGCTTTTAGCAAACTTTACAGTAAGTCTTTGATAAAAAAAAAAAAATAAAAAGAAGAAGAAGAAGGAAAAACGAAAAAGGTTTTCCTCTTTTTTGAACCATTTTATTTTTTTCTTTTATTTCTTAATTCCACAGCATGATATAGTTTTAATTTTTGATTTACTCACATCGTGAATTTTCTATATTTATTTATGTTTCTAAACTTTCGAACGTTCAATTTACTTTTTTATGTTTATTATTTTTAATTTTGTATTTTTTTGGAAAAGAAATTATTTTTTTTTTTAAATAATGTTAGAGAAATTATTTAATTTTAAATATATTTTTCATTTTTGTGTAGTAATTTAAAAAAATTTTTAGACAAAATAATTTTATTCATTTGAACGTTGAAAATTTTTGAAAAATTATTCATTTCTATTTTTGATATTTTTTCATTTTTTTACTTACCTAAATATTTCTTGTTTATTTTTATGTTTCTATTTTTCTACATTTTTCAGATTTTTTATTTTTAAATTTTACTTAATTGTATTTTTTATTTTTATTTATAGGTATTAATTTCTATTAATTTATATTTTTTGATGTAATTTTTGTAGAAATTAAATTTTAGAAAAAATTTTAAAATTTTCAAATAAATTAAAATAAATTTTAGAAAAATTGTAGCAAACACATTGCTAATAAATTAAAATAAAATTTTTTACATTTATTTATATTTATTTAAATATTTATAGAAGTAAATTTTAGAAAATTTTTAGCAAAAATTAATTCTAAAGGAATAAAAATAAAAAATGGTTTTTCCTTATATTTATTGACACATTTTTTAAAACATTTTTCATTTTTATTTATATTTCAAAGTGAATGGGTATTAGAAAAAAATTCCAAATGGATTTTCCCGATGTGTAAAAAGTTATATGTATTTCACTTTTTTCACCTCTTGACATTTTGCCCGAAATTCTTTTTCACCTAGCTCCAATAAAATACTCCTTGATCTTTTTCTTTTCGCTTCGACATCTGGAAATTCAAAAAGTACGCATTTAAAATTCCTTTTTATCGTCTTGAAGAAAAATCTTCTTTTAGCACATTCACTGATGCCGAAAACAAGTGTCAAGTAAAATTCTAAAGGAGAATCTTTAAATTCGGTCACTGACTCTCTAAAAAAAAAAAGAAAAACGAATTTATTAAGTTTTGATATTGATGAAATTATTCCTTTAAGTAAAATTATTATTTTTTGATCAGAGAAAAGAGGGAAATAAGTGAAATAAAAATACTAGGATTGAAATAGTTTTTCTAACAAAACGTAATTTATTTTTTATTATCTGTAAGCTTTACTTATCTAGAAATCAATTTTAATTTCTATAGAAAATTTCTATTTTCTAATTTTTAATCCAAATTTTTTTCCAATAAAATTCAATTAAACATTTTAATTAAAAACTGTTTTCAATCAAAATTCAATTTTTGAAAATATTTTTAAATAAAACCAAAATAGAAAAAAAGTAAAATAAAATAGAAAATTTTTTTCCAATAGAATTCAATTTATTGTTCTCTGATAAAATTTAATTTCTGAAGATTTTTTTCTAATAGAGTTCAAATTCTAAAAATATTTCTCTAATAAAGTTCAATTTCTGCAAATATATTTCCAACAAAAATCATTTTTTAAAAATTTTTTTCAAATAAAATTCAATTTCTAAAAATTGTTTTCTAATAAAATTCAGTTTCTGTCAATTATTTCAAATAATTTCTAAACTTTTTCCAAAAAATTCTAATAAATAAATAAAATAGAAAATTTTTTTTTCAATATAGTAATTCAATTTGTAATTGAATTTCTTATTTTGTGATAAAATTTAATTTCTGAAGATTTCTTTCTAATAAAGTTCAATTTCTGAAAATGTTTTCCTGATAAAATTCAATTTCTGAAAATATTTTTCAAATAAAATTCAATTTCTAAAAATTGTTTTCTAAATAAAATTTAATGTCTGAAAATATTTTTCTAATTTCAATTTCTAAAAATTTTTTTCTAATAAAATTCAGTTTTTGGCAATTTTTTTCTATAAAATTTAATTTTTAAATTTTTTCCAAATAATTCTTCTTTTTTTTAGATTTTAATCCAAATTATTTACCAGCAAAATACAATTTCTAAAAATGGTTTTCTAATAAACAAATAAATAAATTTGCAAATCTTTTTTCTAATAAAATAAAGTTTTTAAAATTAATTTTTAAACAATTAGATCTTGTAAATAGATAAATTATTTAAAGATTCTAATAAAGTAGCTTTCTAATTTATTTATTTAATTTCTAAATTCAAAGTTTGAAAAATTTAAACAATTTTTAATTTGTTTTTTTTAATTTCTTTTGAAAAAAATTAAATTTCTAAGAATAATTTTTTGCTGAATTAATTTGAATTTTACTTTAAATCAATAATTTTCACTTTTAAACGAATAATTTTTTAGTAATTTAAAAAAAAAATTTTTAGTAATTTTATTAAATGCTGTAAAAGTTTTTCTCTCTCATTTTTTTTTTTTTACTTTTTCTTTATTTGTTTTTTAATCTCAATGTAAAAATGTGAAAATGGAGTAAATGATCTGAAATGAATTAATTTCTTTTCTCTTCAAGGTGTCTCGGTGGTTTCATTAGACAAATCTTTGGAAGTGAATCATATATCGGCGAGAGTTGGCGATAACGTGGAGATAAAATGCGACGTCACTGGAACTCCACCGCCTCCCTTAGTTTGGAGACGCAATGAAGCGGACCTGGAAGCCCTTTCAGTTCAAGAGGTAAAACGAAAAGGAAGAGAGAAAGAAAAAAAAAAGAAAAATAAAACTTTCTTGTTAGTTTTAGAATTAAAAGATTCTTTCTGTATAAACTATATAATTAAAAATTTCCTCTCTCAGAAACTACTGTATAATTCTCGAACTTTTAATCCTCTGGAGGAACACTTGAATTGAATTATTAATTTGTATTCATTTTTTCTAAATTCACTCGACAATTTAATCAAAAATATTTTTTCTCTATTTATTTGCTCCGAATCGAAAAATTGTATATATTTTTTTGTAAAAGAATAATTTTTTTTAATATGTAAGAAAAAATAATATAAATTAAAATTTTTCTTATTTTGTTTACAGGTTCGAGTTTTCAACGATGGGAGTTTGTACCTAACAAGAGTGCAATTAATCGATGCCGGAAATTACACCTGTCACGCACTGAGAAATAAAGACGTTGTCCAAACTCATGTTCTCACCGTTCACAGTGAGTGGATATTTGTCCTCAAAATTATTTTTTGTATCAAAAGAAAATTTTTAATATTTTTTCCAATTTGTTTATTTTCTCTCCTAAAAAATGGTAATTTTTGTTCACATTTATTTTTCCAACGCACAAAAAAAAGATAATTTTTTTTAAAAATTATTTATTGAATGAATAAAATCAAATCAAATCAATAGAATCAAAATTACAATTTTTTCCTACAATAAATAGTTTTGAATAAAAATTCCAATTTTTTTGCAGAAAAATTTTTTTTGTACTTTTGGAGTAGAAATATTTTTTTTAATTGTACTTATAAAAAAAAGAAAAATGACTATTGAAGTAAAATGTAAATAAATAAATTCTTCTGAATAGCCATTCCAGAGGTGCGAGTTACGCCAAGACTTCAGTCAAAGAGACCGGGCGAGGAGGCGACAATGAGGTGTCACGTGGTTGGAGAACCACTTCCTCGAGTCGAGTGGCTGAAGAACGACGAGCCACTTCACGATGAACCAGATAAGTTCGAGGTAATTGGAAATGGGACGAAATTGCTCATCAAGAATATTGGCTATGCCGACACTGGCGCCTATATGTGCCAGGCGACGAGTATCGGCGGCCTCACCAGGGACATTAGCAGTCTCGTCGTTCAGGAACAACCGACACCCTGTAAGTTGAACAAAACAATGACGGAAAATTTCACCCCAAGAAAAATGCAAAAATAAATTCATCAAAAATTACAATATACATTTTTTTCCACTCGAAAGAATGACACAAAAAATTACATTTATTTTTTTTTGGATTTGATGAAAAAGACATTTTTTTCTACTCGAAAAAGAAAAAACATTTTTTTCTATTCGCAAAAAAATTAAATTACTACAAAGAAAAATTCAATTTTTAAAAGTAGAAGATTTATTTTCTCGCAAGTAAAATTCAATTTTCAATAAAAACTTTCTTTCACAAAAAAATTGGTAATTTTTATTCCAAATTAATTACTTTATCAAAAAAATATGGTAATTGCAATTTTTACTTTAATTTAATTTTTATATTACATAAATTATTTATTTACTAGCAAATGTTAAGCGCCGAATGTGATATTAAATTTATATTATTATTATGCAAATTACAAAAATTTTTTATTTTCAAATATGAATTTTTGAATAATATCAGATTCAAACTTTAAAAAAATTCAATTATTAACTAATTTACTAATTATTAATTAATAATTCTTGTTTATTAATTTCAAAAATTTTAATAAAATTCTTCACGAGAATTCAATTATTTTCATAAATAATAACATTCTTCGTAGGAATTCAATTATTTTTATAAATAGTAAAATTCTTTGCAAAAATTCAATTCTTTTTATACAAAATTTTAATATAACATTTCACTAACGAATACAATTATTTTCTAACATTTCAATAAATCCTTCGAAACAATTCAATTATATTTATAAATAGTAAAATTCAATTATTTTTAAAAAAATTTCACGAAAGAATTCAATTTTTTTTTAAAATTGTAATAAAATTCAATAATTCAATGTTTAATTTTAATTATTAACAATAAAATTATTTTAAAAACTTGAAAGAAATTGTTCATAAAATTCAATTATTTTAAAAAATTTTTAATTAAAATTATTAAAGAAACTCCATTATCTTAAAATAAATTCAAAGAAATTCTTCAAAAAGAATTTAGTTAGAATTTTCAGAAATTTTAACAAAATTCTTCGAAGGAATTCTATTATTATCAAATTTTTCGATGAAATTCTTTACAATTGGATGATTTTCAATACATTAAATTTAAAATTAAAAATATTCAAAAAGAAGAATTATTAAAAAAGTTTTTGGTAGAATAAATAATTTGGAATAAAAATTACTTACAATTTTTTTGCAGTAAATAATTTTTAATAAAATTAAAAATTTTTTTTTTGCAGTAAATAGTTTTGAATAAAAATTACTATTTTCTTGTGTAACAAACAATTTACAATCAAAATTACTTTTTTTTGTTACAATTGTTTTTAGAGTAAAAATTATATTCAGTAAAAAATTCAAGAAATTGCAAAAATAAATTCGTTAAATATTTCAATACATTTGTTGCTACTCAAAAAAAAATTTCATTAATTTTTTTCAATTTGATAAAAAAAGACATTTTTTTCTACTCAAAAAATAAGAAACATATTTTTCTATTCGCAAAACAAATTAAATTACTCCAAAGACAAAATTCTATTTTTAAAAGTAGAAAATTTATTTTCTCAAAGACAATTCAATTTTCTTGAATAAAATTTTATTCCCCCCAAAAAATGCTAATTTTTCTTCCAAATTATTTACTTTATCAAAAAAAAAAATAGTAATTTCAATTTTTACTCTAATTTATTGTTATACTTAAGAAATTATTTATTTATTTTATTTACTTAGGAATTAAAATTAAAATTACCATATTTTTTGGTACAATAAATAATTTGGAATAAAAATTACAATTTTATTTGCAATAAATAGTTTTTAATGAAAATTACTATTTCCTTGTGTAACAAACAATTTTGAATTAAAATTCCTTCTTTTTGTTATAATTATTTTCAAGTAAGAACAATTATTTTTAATTTTTCCTCAGTAAAAAATCCAAGAAATTGGAAAAATAACTTTGTCAAACATTTCGATACATTTGTTTCTACTCGAAAAAAATTTCATTTATTTTTTTCGACCTGAAGAAAAAACCTTTTCTTTATATTCGAAAAAAAGAAAAATTTTTTTCTAAATTCTAAAAAAGACAATTTTTTTATTCGAAAAAAATACATTCAATACATTTTGTTTTCTAGGAAAAGAGAGGAAAAAAAGAATTGTGTAAATTTTTGTCTCATTGAATCGCGGGGAAAAAAGGTGGAAAAAAAAGAAGCTGAATTCTTTCTTTTTATTGATATTATAGAAATATGATTAAAAGTCAATTTTTTCAAGCCGTGTGAGGGAGGCTTTCTGATATAGTTTGGAGAGTAAAACGGCTTGCTGAAAGAGAAACGTGCAGTGAATATTAATGCTTCGTAATGGAAAACGAGCTGGATTTGGTTCCGTAGGCCCTTGAGCCATGTAATCGCGGATATTTGCATTCGAGATTCGAGTTCCTACCCATCGCCTGACATTATTCGAATTTCTATTGGACGTCGTACGTTTCCTGCACTTTGAGCTTCAAGCCAGAGGATGACAGCTTGTGGCCACTCGCTTGTGCACTGAGCTTATACATTCCTCTAATGGAACTTTCCTTCATTTAGAACTGAAATCGTTCGACAACAAAACTATTTCAAAGCGTTGAGAATTTCACTGGATATTACAATATCAAATTTACATTTTCCTTTTGAATATCTCTTACTCCCTCCCCTCCAAGCTGTAAATTCTGGCGATGTAATTTCACAATTCAGGTGGGGAAGAAAAATTAAATTTTTTTAAAAGAAATATTTCATTTCTTGAAGGAAATATTCAATTTCTTGTAAAAAAAAATATTCAATTTCTCGAAAGAAAAATTCCATTTCTTGAAGAAAAAAAATTCAATTCCTCGAAAGAAAATTTCAATTTCTTGAAAGAAATATTCAATTTCATGAAAAAAAATCAATTTCTCTAAAGAATATATTTTTCAAATAATATTTCATTCCTCAAGAAGGAGGAATTTATTTTCTCAAAATAAAAAATTGTTTCCAAAAAGAAAAATCAATTTTGAAAGAAGACTTATTTTTCTCTAAATAAATATTCAATTTTTGAAAGGAAAAATTTAATTTCTGAAACAAAAATAAAGTAATTTATCAAATAATATTTAATTTCTCGAAAAAAAAAATTATTTCCTAAAATATAATCAATTTTTGAGTAAATATTATATTTCTCAAAAGAAAAATTCAATTTTTTAAAGGAATAATTCAATTTCTCTAAAAAAAATACTCAATTCCTAAAAATAAAATTATTTAAAAAAAAAATTCAATTTTTAAGAAAGAATTATTTTTCTCGAAAGAAAAATTCAATTTCTTCAAAAAAATATTCAATTTCTTGAAAGAAATATCCAATTCCTTGAAAGAAAAATTCAATTTCCTTCAAGAAATATTCCATTCCTTTTAAGAAATATTCAATTCCTTCTGAGAAATACACAGTTTTTAAAAAAGAATATATTCTTCAAATAATATTTCATTTTTCAAGAAAGAGGAATTTAATTTCTCAAAACAAAAATTTTTTCCTAAAAAAACCAATTTTTAAAAAAGATTTATTTTTTTCTATAAATGAATATTCCATTTTTCAAAGGAAAAATTCAATTTCTTTGACAAAAAAAATGTAATTTATCAAATAATATTTAATTTTTCCAAAAAAAAAATTATTTTCTTAAAAAAAATTAATTTTTGAGTAAAAATTATATTTTTCAAAAGAAAAATCTCATTTTTTCAAAACAATGTATTATTGAGATATTTTATTTCTGAAAAGAATGGAAAATTTTATTCAAAAAAAAAAAAATTGTTTACCAAAAAAAATTTTATCTATAAAGAAGATTTACTTTTTTCTAAATAAATATTTAATTTTTCAAAGGAAAAATTCAATTTCTGTAAAAGAAGGAAATGTAATTTATCAAATAATATTTAATTTCTCAAAAAAAAAAATTATTTCCTCAAAAAAGAATTCAATTTTTAAGTAAGAATTATTTTTCTCAAAAGAAAAATTCAATTTCTCAAAGGAAAATTCCAGTTTCTCTAAAGAAAAATTCAATTTATTTAAAAAAATACTCAATTCCTCAAAAAAAAAAATTATTTTCTTTAAAAAAATTCAATTTTTAAGAAAGAATTATTTTTTTCTAAATAAAAATTCAATTTCTCTAAGGAAAATTTCGATTTTTTTTAAAAAAATACGGAATTTCTCAAAAGAATGTATTCTTAAAATAATATTTTATTTTTCAAAAGAAAAGGGAAACTTTACTTCTCAAAATAAAAAAGTTTTTCTCAAAAAAAAATTCAATTTTTACAAAAGATTTATTATTCTCAAAAAAAAAATATTCAATTTCCAAAAGAAAGCCTAATTTCTCAAAAGAAATTTAATGCCTAAAACATTTATTATTAAAAAAAAAATTCTCTTTTTCAATAAAAAAAGTTCAAAAAACAAAAGTTTCAAAAAATGTTTATACAAAAGAAATTCCATTTTTCAGTAAAATTGCTATTTTCAATAAATTTAATAAAAAAAATGTATTCCTAAAAAGAAATACAATTTCGCATAAAGAAGAGAATAAAATTTCTACAAATTTAATTTTTTCTTTCAATTCAAAAATTGAATTTTTCTGAAAAATATTTTTTTTTATCTAACGAAAGAGGAAAATAGAATCTTTTGTGATGAATTTTTTTGTCAAATAAACAACAAAGCTCGTGAATGAATCAAAGTTCAAAGGGGACGAAAAAAAAATAGAAAGGAAAGGAAGAGTGAAGGAAAAATGGAAAAATTATTTTTACGTGAATAAAAATGAGAAAAATTCAAGTTTTGTACGGTAGTCAATAAATGTTTGTCATATATATGAAGCGCGTTTGTATATATATCGGAAACAAAGCTAGATATCGTGTGTTACTCGTCATCGTGTTGCTAACACCATAGTTTTCACTCGTTTTTGCCTCTTTCTAATTTTCTCGCATGCCTGTATTATTATTTCTCCTCGTCGTTGTCACGAGATGCGTTTTTCTAACGATCTTCCAAACATTATGAATTTTATTCGAGCGTGTATTAATTTTTTGATCTTTTAATTATCGAAAAAAAGAAATTCTTTTTTTCCTCTTATTTAAATATCCAAAACAATTCAAATATTCAATTATTTTTCAAAATTTCAAATAAAATTCTTTTTTAAATCAATTTTTATTCAACGATTTAATTGAATTATTTTCAAATATCTACAAAAATTTATATGTAAAATTTAATTATTTTCTATAAACTTTCAATTTTTTTAAATTCTTGAAATATTTTCTAAAATTTGAACTGAAATTCTGTTTCAAAAAAAATTTTTACCAAAAAGTTGTACAAAAATTTTATTGTGAAAGAAAATTCTTAAATTTTGAATAATTTGATTTTTTTTTAAATATAAAAGTTTCTTTCTTTATTTATTTTTCAGTCGTGTAAAAATTCTCTTATTGACAAAATTTTAGGGAAAATAATTTTACTAGTTATTTAATTATAGAAAGAGGAAATTCTTTTTTTCACTTATCTGATTATATCGAAAAAAAATAAAATTCTTTTTTCATCTACTTATTTAATTATCGAGAAAAGGAATTATTTTTTTCACTTATTATTTAATTATCGAATAAAATGACATTTTTTGTCATTTATTTATTTAATAATTGTCGAGAAGAGAATTTTTTTCACTTGTTTTATTTAATTATCGAAAAAATAAAATAGAAAATAAAGAAAGAAATAATTTTTTTTCTTTTTTCTTCTTCTCTTTCTTTATTTATTTTTCTATTTAATTTTCCCTTTGTTTATTTATTTTTCTATTTTATTTTCCTTTTATTTATTTATCTATATAATAATTATTTGATTCAATTTATTCTATTTACGTGAATTTGGAAAATAACTAAAAACCGACAGAATTATTTTATTTCCCCATTAAATGATGAATAATCGGTGGAAAATTTGACTTTTAGATTGTCTCTTGAGAAGATAAGATTTTCTCTACGTGGAAGGAGGGCAAAAAAAAAATTATGCATCAACCTTAAAAGAAAAGAATCTTCTTTTGTAAGGAAATGAAAGACTTGAATGATTGAGAGGGAAAGAAAAATTATTTTTGACAAAATCCCCTGTTTTTTTTTCTCTTGATCTGTTGAGATGGAGAAAAATTTATTTAAAAATTCTTTAATTTCGAAATTTAATAAAGTTTTAAGGATATGTAATTTTTTTTCTGTTGCAGCTGCGACGAACGAGGAGAGAAGATTTTTCTCGTTTCACGAACAAGGAATTTCCATCTACGAACCTTCAGCCTGTCGACTATATCATCAAATTCGATCGACTGATATTATACCAGGAACTCAGGTATAGCTTTTTAAAAAAGAAGAAAAAAAAATTTTTTTCTTAAATAATAAAATTCTCTTTTTGAAAAATAAATATTTTTTTGAAAGCAATTTTTAAATATTGAGAAGAGAATTTTTTTTATTCATATCAAAAATTTTCCAATCGAGGAGGGAAATTGTTTTATTCTTTAGAGAAATTTTTAAATTTAGGAGAATTTTTTTTTGTCTTTGGAAAATTTATAAATTAAGGAGCAACATTTTTTTATTGAATTTAATTTTCAAACTCTCGAAGAGAAAATTTTTTTATTTATATAGAAAATTGAAAAATGAAACAAAGAAATCTATATTTTTATTTTATAAAAATTTGGTAAAATTGAAGAAAATTTGTTTTATTTAAAAACTTTTAAATTGTGAATTCTTTCTAATTATCAAACTTTTAGAGAGAATTTTTTTTTATTTATAAAAATTTCCAAACTTGAAGAGAAGTTATTTTATTTATAAAAATTTTCTAAATTGAATTTGTCTCTCACTAGTTTTTTAATTAAAGTTAACTTTTAATTTATAATAAAAATTAATAAAAAAATTATTTTATAAAAAATTTTAAAAATTGCTTCCTAAAAAAGACAAGTGAGGAAAAAATTCATTTTTTACCATTGAAAAAATTAAAAATTTTCCAATTTGTTTAAGGAATATTTATGCGGAGGAAAGGATGTTCCTTGCACCTGGGGACGAGCCATTAATGTTGCAAATCGTTACGTTTACGTTTCTCAACCGGACAAGGATCGTATTCTGGTTATTAGCAAAATTCAAATGGTCGTTGTTGACGTAAGAGCTATTCAACAGTTTTTTAATTAATTTTTTAACTACTTTATCTCGTATTTTTTTAACGAAAGAATAAAAAATTCAAAATCAATTTTGAACACAATATCAATATCAACACAAAAAATAACCTTTTACTAAAAACGAATATTTTCTAATATTTTTTGTTTAAATAATTGATATTTTTTATTGGGAATTATTTTTTCCTTTTTCATAGAAAAAAAAATTTTTTTTGCCGTTTTGTTTGGAAAGATTTTAATAATTATTTTTATTTCGAAATAGTAATTAAAAAATCTGCACGTTTGGCGATTGAAAAAATTGAAAATACAATCCTTCCTCTCAGTGAGGAAGCAAAAATGGAAAATGATAAAAAATGGAAATAGTAATAAATAAAAATAGTAAATAGTTTAAAAAAAATAAAATAGTATAATAAAAAAACGTAATAAATAAATAGATAACAATAAATGAATCAAAAATAATAAAAAATAGAAAATATTGTATTTTCACATATTAGTTTCAATTTTAGAATAATTTGAGATTCAAAATTAAAAAAATTTAATTATTAACTAATATATTAATTAATAATTTTAATTAATTATTGTTTTCAAATACTTTAAAAAAATTCTTCGCAGGAATTCAATTATTTTCAATACAATTTCTCAAAAAAATTCAATTATTTTGAAAATTTAAAATTTTTTTGAAATACTTTATGAAAATTGAAATATTTTCAATACAATTTTAATTAAATTCTTCGATAATATTCCATTGTTTTCAATGATTTCAATAAAATTCATACCAAGATTTCAATTATTTTCATAATTTATAAAATTCTTCGCAAGAATTCAAATATTTTAATGAATTTTAATAAAATTCTTCGCAGAAATTCAATTACTTTTAAACAATTTTGATAAAATTATTTATGAAAATTGAATTTTTTCATAAAAGAAAAAATTTTTTCCCAGAAATTCAATTATTTTTAATACAATTTCAATAAAATTTCTCAAAAAATTCAATTATTTTGAAAATTTTTGATTAAATACTTTATGAAAATTGAAACGTTTTCAATAAATTTTTAATTAAATTATTTTCGAAAAATTGTAATAAAATTCTCAGCAGGATTTCAATTATTTTCATATTTTATAAAATTTTTTGGATGAATTTAATTATTTTCATGAATTTTAATAAAATAAAATTAATTCTTTGCTGAAATTCAATTAGTTGGAAAAATTTTGATAAAATTATTTATGAAAATTGAATTTTTTCATAAAAAAAATTCTTTGTAGGAATTTAATTATTTTCAATACAATTTCAATAAACTCAAAAAAAAAAATTCAATTATTTTGAAAATTTTTGATTAAATACTTGTGAGAATTGAAATATTTTCAATACAATTTTAATTAAATTTTTCGAAAGAATTCAACTATTTTCAATTATTTCAATAAAATTCATAGCAATTTTTCAATTATTTTCATAATTCATAAAATTTTTCACAGGAATTTAAATAATTTTATGAATTTTAATAAAACTCTTCGCAGAAATTCAATTATTTTGAAAATTTTTGATGAAATTATTTATAAAAATTGAATTTTTGTCATAAAATAAAAATTCTTCAAAGAAATTCAATTATTATATTTGTTATTTTTATTAATTGTTAATGAAAAAATATAAGTAAAAACTCTAATATAGAAAATCTAATTAATTTTTTTTTTCTTAATTTCAAAAATAAAATAAAATTTCGCAATAAATTGAAACTCATGTTTATTACTGCTCGTGATTTTTATAACTTTGATTGTAGGAAGAACTTTTTCAATACAGATTTATAAAGTCGGGTTTCACTAGACAACGATTTTCTACATCATTTACTACAACCAACTCACAATATATTATATATAAAGAAAAGAAAAATCAAGTTCAACGATACATTTAAAAACGAACAAGAGAATAAAGTATATTAAAAAAAAAGAAAAGAAATCCAGAGCAGACAGAAAGAAGAAAAAAAAAAATTCCCCCGCAGAAAAATATCTATACAGTTGAGAAAAAAGATAAAGATTCATAACGAATCTTTTCCTCGTTTTTCTCTTCATGAAATAATAGGTATTCAAATTTCCTGAATTTAAAATTCATTTCCATTTTGAATCTTTTTATTAATGTAATTTCAGATTTTTTTTTTCTTTTTTTTTAAAGTTACTTTCTTCTTTTTAGTCTTCTTTTCATTTCTAATTTTTCATATCACGTTAATTGGATTTTTCAATTACATAAAGAACATTTTGTGCGCGATTCTTTTTGAGAATAAAAAGGAAAAAAAAATTGTTATTAAAATATATAATTGTCGCTTGTGGAAGATAATTATATGGAAGGAGAGAGAGAGAATGAAATTTTCATTTGAATCTCTTTTTAAAATTGACTTAACGACAGTTGTCTGATTAAAGCTTTAGATATTCTACTTGTGAAAATGGCAACGGCTTAAAGTAAATTTTATACACTTTTTAATCACGTCATTCAATTCTCATTGTTATTTTATTCTTTTATTTTAATTTTATGTGTACAAAAAAGTAATCATCTACATTTATTTTGATAAATTAATTTAATTTTCGATTTGATTAAAAAAAAGTTTACAATTGTCGTTATTTAAATATAAATAACAATTAAAATATTAAATAAAAAAAGGAAGTTTGCAATTTTTAGAAAATCAATTATTTATTTTTGTATTTAAATAATTCAATTCTCGTGCAACTTTTTTATTTAAGAATTGATTTGGAAAAGAATTTCAGTTCATGTTTTAGAAAATATTTCAAGAATTCATTAAAGAATTTCTAATAAGAAAATTGTTAAAAAAATTTTTTTTCGAAAATAATTGAATATTCCCGAAAATAATTTAAAATATTGAAACAATTCAAAATTTTTGTCAAATTTCACTGATAGAAATTTTATATTTCAAAAGATTTAATTTTATTACTTTTAAAAATTGTTTTCAAATATAATCGTATTTTTGAAGAATTTTATTTCGAGTAAAATAGAAAAAAATATAAATTTTTCAAAAAATAATATATTTCCATTAAATTGCAAAAAGAATGTTCAAATTAATTATTTAACTAATATTTTAGTAGTAATTCTAATATGTAAATAGTAATTGCAAATTAATAGCCGAATGGTAATTATTATCGCGTCAATTTAATCGAATTTAGTCTTCAGTGAAATGAGGAAAACAATTTTTTTTTCTTTTTCAAGAAAAATATTTATTTTTGAAAGAAATTACTTTTTTTTTTTTGAATTATAATTAACAGGTGGTTGTGACGGACAAATTCCCAGTTGAATTACAATACGTGCAGTCATTGGATCAAGTTTGGGTGCTGAATTGGCGTAGCGAGAGGGACATTGGAATAAAAACGGTTCAAGTAATCAGAGATGCAGCTCAGAAAAGGAAACACCATACGGTGCATCCAGAACCCATTGATGGTCAATTTGATCTCGTCCGGGGTCTTTATATCCCTGAACGTCAGGTTTGTAACTTTCCATCTATATATAGAGTATATAATCTCATTCGAGAAACTTTCATAAAAATTGAACTTTTCCAACTTTTTCTCTCATATATACAATAAAAATGTCTTTATTTCTCCGAAATGAAATTTTCTCCATATTTTTTTTTTGCTTTTTTGCTTTTCTCTCAGAACATGAATTTCTCGAAGAGAACAAAATTTTTATTTTTTGTTGAAATTGTTTAAATAATATTTACTTGAGTAATTTTGTTCATTTAAGGAAAATTTTATTATTCTCATAAATAATAAAATTCTTTAAAGTAATTCAATTATTTTCAATACAATTTTAATAAAATTTCTCAAAAGAATACAATTCCTTTTAGAAATATTAAATAAATTCGATTATTTTCAAGAATTATTAATATGAATTCAATTATTTTCGATAATTTTGATAAAATTTTTTTTAAAAAATCATTATTTTCATAATTTTTAATAAAATTCCTTCAAAAAATTTAATTATTTTCTAAAATTTTAATAAATCCTCCAAAACAATTCAATTATTTTTATGAATTCTTTGCAAGAATTAAAATATTTTCATAAATAATGAAATTCTTCAAATGATATCAATTATTTTCATAAATAGTAAAATTCTTCGGAGGAATTCAATTATTTTTAATAAAATTTCTCGAAAGAATACAATTATTTTTAAAAATATTAATTAAATTCGATTATTTTCAAGAATTTTAATATAAATTCAATTGATGAAATATTTTTTAAAAAATAATTATTTTCATAATTTTTAATAAAATTCCTTCAAAAAATGCAATTACTTTCAAAAATTCAGATACAATTCTTCGAAACAATTCAATTATTTTTATAAATCGTAAAATTCTTGGCAAAATTCAATTATTTTTGTAAATATTAAAATTCTTCTGAAAAATTAAATTATTTTTCAATACAATTTTAATAAAATTTCTAGGAAAAAATTCAATTATAAAATCAAGAAAATTTTAATAAAATTTCTCTAACAGGTTCAATTATTTTTAAAAATTCTAATACAATTTTTCTAAACAATTCAATTGTTCTAAAAAATTTTTAATAAAATTCTTTGTAAATTTCAATTATTTTCAAAATTTTCAATTAAAATTACTTAAAAAAAGAATTACATTATTTTTACGAAATTTAATGAAATTCTTAAAAAAAATGTAATTATTTATAAAAACTCTAATAAAACTGTTTGAAAGAATTTAAGTTTCTATGAATAATTTTAATATAATTTAATAGGAAAATTATTAATTACAATTAATAATAAACAAGATTATTTTAAAAACTTAAAAGAAATTCTTATTAAAATTCAATTATATTTTCAAAATTTTCATAGTAAAAATTATTTTTCAAAAATTCCATTATTTTCAAGAAAATTGAAATAAATTCTTCAAAGCAATTCAATTATTTGAAAGAATTTTAATAAAAATCTTGCCAACAATTAAATTATATTCAATACAATTTTAATTACTTGTTCTCAAAAGAATCCAATTATTGAAAAAAATATTGATAAAATTCTTGAAATGAATTCAATTATTTTCAATATTTTTTATAAATACTTTATAAGAATTCAATATCATTTTCAGTACATGGACAATTTAATTATTTCTGAAAATAATTGAATTCTTAAATAGAATTTTATTAAAGCTTTTTTTAAATAATTGAATTCTAGCGAAAATTTGATTATTTATGAAAATAATTGAATTCTTGAATTTAATTTTATTAAAAGTTTTTTAAATAATTGAATCCCTGTGAAAAAGTTTAATATTTATGCAAATAATTGAAATTTTGCAAAATTTAAAAAAAAGAAGTCAATTTTTGAGAAGAAAATAATTTAATTCTCCCTAGAATTCAATTAAAATTGTATTTAAAATAATTTAATTCCAGCGAAAATTTGATTATTGATGAAAATAATTGAATTCTTGAATTGAGTAATTGAATCACTGCGAAAAAAAATTTAATATCTACAAATCTACAAATAATTGAAATTTTGCAAAATTTAAAAAAATAAGTGAATTTTTAAGAAAAAAATTTTTTAATTTTCCCTAGAATTCAATTAAATTGTATTTAAAATAATTGAATTCCAGCGAAAATTTTATTATTTATGAAAATAATTGAATTCTTTAATTGAATTTTATTAAAAGTTTTTTAAATAATTGAATCCCTGTGAAAAAATGTAATATTTCTACAAATAATTGAAATTTTGCAAAATTTTAAAAAATAAATTAATTTTTTGGAAGAAAATAATTTAATTTTCCCTAGAATTCAATTAAAATTGTATTTAAAATAATTGAATTCCAGCGAAAATATTATTATTATTTATAAAAATAATTGAACGCTTGAACGCTTTTTTTTAAATAATTCAATTTTCTCGGAGAATTTTTATAAGATTTTTAAAAATAATTGAAAGTTTCGAAGAAATCAATTAAAATTGTATTGAAAATAAGTGATATCCTGAAAGAATTTTATTATTTATTTTTTTATACTTTTCTACTTAATTATTATTTAGTTTAATTTTTATTTATATTTAAATTTATAATTAAATTTAATTATTTAATTTTTTTGTTTATTAAAGTCTTTTATTTTTTACAAGTAATTCGCTTAATTGTTTATTTATTTATATGTTTTTCCCGCTTTTTAAATTATTTAATTATATTTATTATTTACGTAAAAAAAGATTTTTTCCAAAACGATTTATTTTTCTTTGAAAAAATGATTATTTGCTTATAATTTAACGTTATATCTAAATTATGAAAATGATTTTTAGGACATTGGCTACATGTGCAAATATGGATACGTGACACATACAAATCAACGTGGAATGTACAAATTGGATTTAGCGAACATGAGATATACACGAAGTGCAGATCTTGCTCCTTATAATTGCGTTCCGGCACATATCCAATTTTCAGCTCTCTGTAAGCGTAAATTATTAATTTATTATTATTATAATTATTATCATTACGATTATTTTTATTTTTAATAATGAAAATTTGAGTAAAAGAGAAAATAAAAGTAGAAAATTATTAATTTATTATTATTACAATTATGTTTATTTTCTACAATGAAAATTTGAGTAAAAGAGAAAATAAAAGTAGAAAATTATTAATTTATTATTATTACTATTATTTTTATTTTTTTTAATGAAAATTTGAGTAAAAGAAAAAATAAGAATAGAAAATTATTACAATTATTGTTTTTTATTTTCAATAATAAAATTTTTTAGTAAATTAAGTAAAAAATAAGAGTAGAAAATTGATAATAAAAAATAATAAATATAATAAAAAATATAGAATTCTGTTGGAAAAAAAGAGAATTGTTAAAATATAATAAATTAACGTATCAAAATTCGAAATAGAGAGAAAGAGTAAATAAAAAAGAAATTTGTCCTATTTTGTTGAACATGAATATTCGGAAAATTTGGCCAATCAATTTGTTATATATTCTCGATTCTCTATTGCAGATGGTTTCGTGATATTGCAATGCGAGGAGCCAGTTACTGGCAGACCAACCGGTCAATTACTTCTCGACTATCTCACCGATACTGTTCTCGCTCACAAACCCGATTTAATCGGAAAACCAATGGTTTCGCCTGATTCGCGACATCTCGTCACATTGGATCGTCAAGAAAGTGGCGTTGTCCTCGTCGTTCAGGAAATTCAAAGTAATTATCCAATTTTAAGTGCTCGCCTTCTGTTTGTAAATTAAATTCAAAACTTAATTCTATTTCCAAACGGAAAAAAATTTTCTATTCAAAATTTTTATCAATTTTTGTTGAAGAAAAGGATTTTTTCAACAAATTTCCTACTCGAGGGTTAAATTTTTATATTTATAAGAATTAAATATTTAAAATTCAATATCTATGCAAAATTTTTATCAATTTTTGTCGAAAAAAGGATTTTTCAACAAATTTCCTACTCTAGGGTTAAATTTTTATATTTATAATAAGAATTAAATATTTGAAATTGAATATTATTATTTTATATTAGCGTAATATTTATTAATTTATCGTTTAATTATTATTATTATGCAAATTAAAAAAATGTTGCATTTTCAAAAATTAATTTCAGTTTTGTAATATTTTCAGATTCAAAATTTAAAAAAATGTAATTATTAACTAATTTACTAATTAATTATAATTATTTATTTTTTTTCAAAAACTTTAATAACATACTTCGCAGGAATTCAATTATTTGCAATAGAATTTCAATAAAATTTCTGAAAATAATTCAATTATTTTGGAAAATTTTAATTAAATTCATTATGAGAATTGAATATTTTCAATACAATTTTCATTAAATTTTTTGGAAAAATTTCACTTATTTTCGATAATTTTAATAAAGTTTATAACAAGTTTTCAATTTATTTTCATAATTTATACAATTTTTCGCAGGAATTTAATTATTTTGAAAAAATTTAATTCTTTTCCTAATATAATAAAATTTTTTGATTGAATTGTTTATACGAATTGAAATATTTTTCATCCAACTTTAAAAATTCCTTAAAAAAAATTCAATTAATCTCGAAAATTTGAATTTAATTCTTGACAAGATTTCATTTTTTAAATTTATCAAATTCTTCTCAAAAATTCAATTACATTGAAATATTTTCAATTTAATTTTAATTAAATTCCTCGAAAAAATTGAATTATTTTCGAAAATTTTAATAAAATGCTTAGCAAATTTTCGATTATTTTCAAAATTAATTAAATCTTTTGCAGAAATTTAATTATTTTAATGAATTTAAATAAAATTCCTTTCAGAAATTCAATTACTTTAAACAATTTTGATAAAATTATTTATGAAAATTGAGTTTGTTTCATAAAAAAAAATTATTTGCAGAAATTCAATTATTTTCAATAAAATTTCTCAGAAAAATTTAATTATTTTGAAAAATCTTTGTAAAATTCTTTATTTCACTTATTTTTAATACAATTTTATTAAAATTCTTACCAAGATTTCAATTATTTTCATAATTATAAATAACATTTCTCCAAAGATATTCTTTATATTATAAGAATTTAAATATTTTTTAATATTATTTTAATTAAATTTTTCGTTAGAATTAACTTTTTTTTAATGATTTTAATTAGATTTTTCGCAAGAATGTTATTAAGGTATTTTAAAAAATTTGAATAAATTTCTTTATATGAATTCAATTATTTTAGATTAAAAATTATATAAAAGAAATAACATAAATGAAATATTTTTAATTTGAAAACAATTTGGTTTAATTAATTTTCGTTATTTATTAATCTTCAAAGCATTAAATTAGAATTTCATTGATTTTAAAATTCAGAGTATAATAAAATGTTATCAAAAAAAAGAGGAAACAAAAAAGCAAATTTAATTGAATTCAATTGAATTCTATTTATTTTGTAGAGAATTTTATTTTTATCCAAAAATCATTTTGCTGAAAATTCTCTCAAGAAAATAAATTTTAAGAGAAAAAATTGTGAAATAAAATTATATGGGAAGAGAAATTCAGAGAAAAATTATGGAAATAATGGAAAAATAAATAATGAAAAAAATCCGAGAGAGAAAAGTAGTAATTGAAATTAATAAAAGACTGAGGAAGTAAAAATTAGAATTAGGAAAATATAGAGCAAAAATTATTGAAATGAGAAGAAAATTAAATAATTACTGAAAAAAAATTGGAGAGAAAAAAATAGAAAATGCAATAAATTCGAAATAATAGGAAAATAAAAGAAAAGATGAAAAATAAACTTTTTTTCCCTTTTCCACACAATTTTGTTTTTACTTTTTAACGACAATTTAATCGTAGAATGTTTATTAAAAGTCCTTGTGAAATATTTCATCAATCCAAAATTGACTCTTTTTTTTTCTTTTAAAAGAGAAAAAAAATTGAGCTTTCACATTTTATAAAATATTTCTTTGACTTTATATAAAAAAAAATTCGTTTTCCACGTTTTTTTCCTCTCTCTTTTTTTTATTTTATCAAAGTCAAATGGAAATCCTCACATTCTAATTCAATCAAATAAAAATCAATCAGCTTTTGTAAAAGCTAAAAGGAATTTTTCAATTAATTTCTATTTTTATCCGTGAATTATATATAAGAATGTGAATGATGCTGTGGAAGAGAAAAAAAAATGTGCGGAATGCTTTTTTGATTTATTTTAATTCCATTTCGACGTTTTTTTTCTTTTAATTGACACACACGTTTGTATGTGAGTGAGTGTGGCTCTACATATTTGGTGTTGATGAAATTTTCTCTTTTCTTAATTAATTGGAAAATAAATTGAAGATACGTTACAATTTCAATTTCAGTGACTGGTTTGAAGTTTGCCTTTGATGTGAAAACAACCCTCAACATCAGTGATATCACATTTTACCCATCGCAAACAACGCACGGCTATGATCTCTATGCTTCATCCGCTGATAAAGAGGATATTCTATTTCTCAATTTGGTTACAGGTAAAGAAACCGAGAAATTTTACACTCCAATATATTATTTTTTCATTTTTCAAAATAAACGAGCATTTATTTTTCCTCCATCAGTGATATATAGGAGAAAAAGAAGAGAATTTTTTTTTAACTCTTTTCCTTTTTATTCGATATCACTGGAATTATTTTGTTTTAATCAAATTTTAATGTTCTCAAAATATTTTGTTTTAAATTGAAAAATTTAATGAAGATTAGAAAAATATTTTTTTTATCGTTTGAATTGAATTTACAGTTTCCATTCAGTTTGAACAAAGTTTTTCATTTCATTTTTTTTACTAGTAAATTTTTTTTTCGAAATCAGTTAAAAAATTTTTTTTACAAATTTAGTTCTGTTGATAAATTTTTTTACAAGCTTCAGATATTATGACTTTTTCGACTTTTTGCGACTATTTTCAAAAAATTCGCCTTTTTCCTACTTATTTTAAAAAATTGTGATTTTTTCGACTTTTCTTCCAAATATTGCAACAAAATAGCAAATTTTTAGTGTAAAATGTAAATTATTTCGATTTTTATATAGTGTGAAAAATAAATATAGACAAATCTTTAAAAACTTATTTTTTCAATAATATTTCTATTTAAATTTTCGAAATACACAATTAAAAAAATGTTTAATAATTGATATTTTATAAAATTTAATTTAAAATAATTGACTTTCTAAATTATTTCATTAAAATGTTTGCGGAATTTAAATGTTGAAGAATTTTAATTGCAAATTTTGAAAATAATTGAATTCTTAAAAAAAATTTAATGAAAAATCTTCAAGTGTAAATTTAAAAATGATAATAATTAATTAAAATTAGCTTCTAAAAATTATATTCCAATATTTTTGAAAAAAAGTAATTCTTAGAATTTTTACATTCTAATTCTTTAAAATTCAATTATTTTCAATATTTTCAATTACAAATTTCTGAAAATTCAATTTCATAACAAAAATAATAACATTAACATTTTTTAGAATTATTTTTACCATTTTCAAGAAAACTATCACATTCAAAATTTTCAATTAAAATTATTCGAAAAATTAATTCTTTTTTTTAAATTATACAAAAATTCTTTTATGAAATTCAATTATTTTCGAAAAATTACATTACAATATTTATTTAACAAAATTATTCAATTTTTGAAATTAGAAATCAGTGAATGGGAAAAAATCAGGAAAATACAAAAATATAATTTTTGTGACAACACTGAACGAAATAAATGACTTTTTCGACTTTTTTTCTATTTCAAATCGACAAAAGCGACTTTTTTTTGCGCCTGAAAGTCGATCCGAGGCCTATTTTTAATTAATTGATCATTTTCTCTCTAAAAGCGGAAATATCTCTATAATTAGAAAATTATGATTACGATTCTAATTTGTGTGCTTCGGCAATTATTTTAGTTTGCATTTTCGTGCGAAATTCATAAATTCTATGATTAATGTGGAAAATTTATAATTACAGGCAAAGTCGAAATGATCACGGGCGTTGGAAAAGCGATGTCACCGAGTCTCGCCAAATGGGGAAATCCAAACAGACCGATCGTTCAAAGCGGAATTTTCGGTCGATATATGGTCAGTCCATCAAATGAAGCTCTCTTTGTTCTTAATGGAGAAACTCGAACAGTAAATTGTGAGATTGGAGGATTGACACGTCCCGGAATGGTTGTGTGGTTTACCGTCTCACTTCATTAAAAAAAAAAACAAACAAAAAAAAACAAAAAAATTCAAGAACTGTGAAAAAAAATCATCGCAAGTACCAAAAATTTGTTAACGAATTTTTTTTTCTCTTCAAACACAAAAAATTCGAATTGTGAATTTTTTTTTCAATTCTAAATCCTATTTTTATTATTTATTTTATTTATTTATTTAATTATTTAATCATTTTTTTATTTACTTATTTGTTTATTAATTTATTATTAATTTATCTTTTATTACTCATTTTTGGAATTCACGTTCCAATTATTTTTTTAATCCTGAATTTTTTATACACTTTATATATTACAGAAAATCTTTTGATTTTCTTTTTCTGTAAATTATATTTTTTTCTTTTCTGTAAATTGTAAATGTAAAAGTTCCGATAAAACTGACTGGCATTGACTTTCGAGGGAAATTTGAAACTTTAAAGGAAACTCGCAATTTTCTCTGAAGATATTTGACTTCTTGTTCTTTTAAAGCCGGCGAGAAGAAAATCCATCTTTATAAGAAATTCAGACAGAAGCTTCTTTAGGGAAATAAATTGCCGAAGAAACTTGAAGTATTTTCCCTCGGAGGATTTTCAAATATGAATTTTTTTCCCCACACACAATTCGAGTTTTGCGGGATTTTAAATCGAGGTTTCTGGGAAAAATTCTTCTCGATCGAAAAAAAAGAAAGAAAATTTTCTATTCAAAAAAAAAAGTCTAATTCGAAATAGAAAAAAATTAAAAAAGCAATAAAATATTAAAATAGGTTCAATTAATGAAATTAAAATTAAAATTGAAATTAAATTTAAAATATAATTGAGATCTACGATAAAAGAAACCAAACGTCAGTGAATTAATATTTATTTTTTAAGTCAACTATAGAATGACTATATGCGTCAATAAAAAAAAAGAAAGTAAAAATAAAGTGAAACAATTTTGCGTTTCGAAAAACTTGTCGATGAATCGAGTTCATACTTTTCGTCGCGGAGAAAAGAAAATAAAGAGAAAATAAGAAACACGCAGATTGAAAGAAAATTCAATACAAAACTATTTTCAATGCAAAATAAAGAACGCAATGTCGTACCCTTTGTGGACTTGTGGCGTTTGCTATGGGAATTTTTGAGAGTCGAGGTCAAGTTAAAATTTGCAAGTTCGATATTTCGTATTCTTTGCGATCGAATTTATTTTTGTCAAAAAGTCAACCAATTTTCAATTTTTCTTTAACAATTTTCAAAAATTACGATTATTGAATAGAAATTCAATATAAAAAAATAAAAATATTTATTTCATTTTATATATTTAATTATTTAATTAATTGTTCAATATATTCAATTATTTATTTACAATATTTCCGAAAAATATTTCCAATTAGAATTTTATTCTAAACTTTAATCGAACTATTTAATTGGAATTCAAATTTTTAATTTTCTTCTTATTTTATTGAAATGAAAAATATACTTGTAATCACTAATTAACAAATAAACAAAAATAACTGTATCTTAATTCAAAATTTCAATAAGTTAAATTAATTATAAAATTTTCCACTTGAATTAAAACATTTTTTAAATTAATATTAAAACCTTTCAAAAATGTTTCGACGATTTTTCAATTTGTAAATTAAAAATTCAAACTATTAAAAAATTTTTAAATTGAAAAATTGGCCTAAATGAAAAATTTTTTAATGTTCAATAATGAAAAAAATGTAAATGAAAGTAAATAAAATAGAAAATTACAAAGAAAAAAATGAGAAAAGGGAAAAAAATAATTTACTTCAAAAATTATTTATCTGAAATTTAAGTAGTTGAAAAAAAATTGACAGAAAGGGAAAAAATAATTTATTGAAAAAATTATTTTATCTAAAATTTAAATAGTTGAAAAAAAACATTGACAGAAAGGGGAAGAAAATAATTTTCACCTAATCTCGACTCTTAATTGTGAATTCACTTCTAAAACCCACACTCGCACTCATCCTTGAAATATCATTTTTCGTACTTACTCTTAAGACACCGTACACAATAACTAGTAATAAATATGACATTATTATGATATATTTATAAATTATATAAGTCTATGAAAATGTTAAGTATAGCATTTTTATAAAAAAAAAAAATAGCCTGTTTGAACTGTATATGTAATTTTATTATCACCGGACGTAGTATCATTATCATCGCTCGGAGGAAAAAAAAGAGGCATATTTTATAATCTAATGAAAATTTAACAATGGCCAAAGAGAGCATTTAGTTGAGGCCTTTTTCGAAAGTCTTATTTAGTCAGAAACTAAAAACCACTGCCTTAATGAAAACAATTATTATTATTATTATTAATAATATTATTATTAAAATTATTATTAATATTATTACTAAAATTAAACTAATAATTAATAAAAATATTATATTTACAAAATAATTATTAATATTATTATTGTTATAATTAATTATTGTAATTTTTTAATAATTGAATTCATTTATTATTATACTTTATAATTATAATTAATATTCATCTCTTCGCAATAAATGTTTTCCACTTTATATTTTTATATTTCTAAATTCAAATTCAAACTAAAAATGTTTGTCAGTGATAAAGATTGTTATCGTCAAAAAAAAAAAATTTCGTATAAAATACAAAAATTTTTATCATACCGAATTTTGAAAGGAAATAGCAAACAGTTTCTAGTTTCTGACAAAGTGCGCAATTAATTTTAAAGAATAAAAAAAATTTCTTTGTCGCACTTACAAAAAAAAACAAATATATATATAAATATGTTAAGTAGACAAAAAGAATGCAATATAGAATAATTTCAAATTTTTCAAAAAATCGCAAATCGAAATATTTTTTTAAAGAAACGGAACTTTAAATACATTTCGCACTTGATCCATTTTCTTAGGAAGAAGAAATAAAAAGAACATATTTTTTTTGTTTACAATTAAAAAAGAATCGTAGATTTTTCGAATTTTTTCCTGTTTTTAGGATTTTTTCCCCAAAAAATAGTATTTAGGAATAAAAAATTATTTAAATTTTCATACGTACGAATTTACGAAATAATTAAAATCTACCAAAAATTAATTTCTAGTCATTTTTTCTTTGTATTTTTAATATTTAAAGCTTTTTTTGTCTTTCTCGTCTTTATAATATCGCTTTTAAAAAAAAATGGACAAAATGTAAATAAATAAAAGTGTAATTCATACGAAAGAGAGAAAGAGAGAGAGAAAGATTGATACTCGTATGAATAAAAAAAAAATGAAAAATCTGACTCAAAATTTAAATGGGGTTGTTAAATATTTATTATTATAACATTTATAATATTTATAATATTTAAAATATTTATAAAATTTATAATATTTAATAAAAATTGGAAATGTTTTTAAATTATTGAAGACTATTATAAAATTATAAATTAGCGTGTTGAGAGGAAAAGGAAAAAAAAATTGTAAATTGGAAAGAAAATGGAATATTTCCTTTCTTTGGGTTGTCTTTTTCATGTTCTATATACGAAATCCAATTTAATATTTTGACATACATGTTATTTGTTTAAAAGAAGAAGAAGAAGAAGAAGAAGATTTTTTTTGTATTTTCCGCATATCGTCCTTTTTGAATGTAAACAATCCCATGGAAAATTATTTTCAGTCAGAAAAACAAAACCCGCTATTATACATATTTCCGGCATGATTAAATGTATAACGACACAACAATAATTATGTATATTAATGTGTATTTGTTAAGACGCATTCCTTGTAATAAAAGTATGTCACAAATAATGAGTAACAATTAATAAGAATCAATAGAAAATCATTTTCTTTTAAATTAAAATTTCCGATTTTCTTTTCTTTCGAAAATTCATTTTTAATTTCTCAAAAGGAAAATTTTTTTCCTTATCAAATATCTATTTTTATTTTTTTGCATAAAATCAGAATTAAAATTTTTTTTAATTCACTTTTTAAATAATAAACTATTTAATTGTTGTTATTTCTCTTTTTCAGCAATTTTAATAAAAAAATTCATCGAAACAATTCAATTATTTGGAAAAAGTTTAATAAAATTCTTGGCAAATATTCAATTTTTCACATAAATAAAATTCTCTGCAGGAATTTAATTAGTTTAAAAATTCTTTATAAGATTTCAATTACTTTTTATACAATTTTAATTACCAACATTACTCGAAGGAATTAAAATATTTTTAAAAATTCTAATCAAAAATATTTATTTAGATTGTCGAAAATTTTTCGATTAAATAAATATTTTAATATATTATTTCTTTCAATAACTACCTAAATAATTAAAATAATATATTTATTTGAAAAATTGAAAATATTTTACTAAACATTAAATTTAAATAAAGAGTAATAACAAAGTTTTTAAAAAAATATGATTATAGGTATTTAAATTAAAATCAATAAAAAAAAGGTGCTAATTAAAAAATCTAATTGTTTTAATTGAAATATTTATTGATAAATAATATTTAAATTGAAACTAATTAAATATTCATTTAAATTTTGACAGTAAAAAAAATTTTGTTAAAGCTTTTGTTTACATATTTATTTATTGATTTATTTAATAATAATAATAATAATAATAATAATAATAATAATAATAATAATAATAATAATAATAATAATAATAATAATAATAATAATAATAATAATTTTAATAATAATAATCGTAAACAATAATAATCATATAATAATACTAATAATCAGAATGATAATAAAAAATCACGAATGATTCTGTGATATCACATCTTATTTTCTTCGTTTCAATTACAGCACAACCTACATACTCCATATCATTATTTTAATATTTTTTTTTACAAGATATGCTCGATGTACAATTATATCCATATTTATATATTTATATATTATGCTAATTAATATTGTACAATATTTTATTTTTCTTAAATACTCAGATATAAGAAAAAATTCCTACAAACTTCTCTCAACAAAATAAGAAATGCCATTTCTTTCTAAATCGATAATAATTTTATAAAAGAAAAATAGAAAATAACTAAAAATCAAAAAATATTTTTAGTCACATTTTAAATACATCGAGTGTGATAAATACAATTCAAATAATAATAAATTTAATAAAGTAAGCATTATTTGTACTAAATTAACAATTTGACTTTTTTTTCAATTTTAATCACTAATTTTTAATTAAAAAAAAAAAAAGACTCACAATCAAAAGAGTTTTTTTGTACTAAAAAATACATTGCTGTTGGTTTAGGACATTTAACAGAAAAAGCAAATTTTATTTCTCTTCTCTGTTTTATTATTAATTTACTTCTAGGAAGAATTTCTTTTAGGAAGTTTTTTCTTTAAATCTTTTTAGGACGTTTTTTATTTTGCACATAATTTGCGAAAAATTAGAATTATTGTACTGAAAAATCGTTAGATATAATTTAATTATTGCATTATTTAAATTAGATATTAATTTGCAATATTTAAAAGTATTTCTTTTTTTTGAAATATTTAAAGTTTTAAATACTTTCTCTTGGGAGGAATATATTTTTTTTTTTGAAAGTCAACGCTTAGAGTTTTGTTTTCCGACTTGATTGACTAATTTATATTAATTAACGATTGCAATAATAAGAAGAATAATAAATTGGTCTTTAAAAGGTTGTCATTGGTCTCTGATCACTGAACAGTATTTTGTACTTATTTATTAAAAGCTGTTAGTATTTTATTTATTTCTGGCAGGATTTATGGCTGTTAATAGGAAAATTTATTTCTCTCAATTACAAACAAAAAATGCAATGAAAAAGCTTTGAATTTTTTTTTGTTTTTTGTAATTTAATAATACTAGTTAGAGATTAGTTTAGAGAAAGGTGGATTATTTCGGTTGAGACCCTTTAAAAGTGGAAAATATAAATTAATACAAATTGAAAAATTATAGACAAAATAATCAACCTTTCCCTAGTTGGATTATTATTGATGAAAATAAAGTAAAAGAAAAATTCGAAAATGCAAATTATATACAAATAGAAAATATTTCAAAAAATAAATTTCTTAACTTATATTTGAAACTTAAGTTAATGGGCCCTTTTTTGTAATATATATTAGTTTTCTATTTTTTTTGATTTAAGTAAAAAATTCGATCCTAAGGAAAAAGCATTGGTAAAATGGTAACAAGATTATTTATACTAAAAGAGTCGACTTTCAATCTTTTCTGTTTTTTTTTTTTGTCCCCTTCAGTCAAACTTACCGAATTATTTATCACTTTCCTCATTTGCAGCCTTCAATTGTCGTAGAATCTGTTGGGAAATGAGTTTTGTCGCTTCGCTTGCATTCGGAATGAGAAACCTGTCCATGTCCGAAATGAGGAGAGTGTCATTGTATTGTGTGGTTCCATATTTAAATGTGATAAGATCTGGATGACGTTTGCGTGACGTTATTTTCACAATACTCGAAAGTGGCCGTTTCACTTTAACGTGAGCTGCTCCTTTTCTGCCTGGGATTTCCCTCAAGACTATCAGGTGACTCTCTGTCACCAAAAGTTGACTGAAAAATTCACAAGACAAAAGTTATTATTTTTTTTACTGAAATTTTATTAGGTATTCATTTATTTATTTATTCAATAGGAAAATTAAATTCAGAAGATGCAAAAAAAAATTTAGTTTACAAACACTTTTTTTAAGATCCATACAAAAACTAAAGAATTTTACTTTTAAGATTAAAATATTTCAGATAAAAACTTAAAATTCGAATTTAAGAATTAAAAATACAAAAATGTTGTTAAACAATAAAAAACTAAGTTCAAAAGAAAAAAAATTAAAAAGCAGGCTTCGCACTCAATAATTTGTTTTAAAAAAGTTTATTCTGTATTTCTCTGACATTTTCCTGATTTCCATCAAAAATAGTTTTTTTTCTGGTAATAACTTCAATTCTAAATTCTTCTAAACTTCAATTATTTCCCAAACTTTTAGTTAGAAATAGAACTTTTAGAATTCTTCAAAAATTCGAATATATTTCAAAATAATTTTTAAAAGTATGAAAATTAATTTTTTTAAAACAAAATTTATTTCAAGATTGATTTTGACAAAATTTTCCATTAATTGGAAATTTAAATAAATATTTTTAATTTTTTTAATTAATATTTATAATATTCAATTATTATTATCTAAAATTCTAACTGTAATTTATTTTTAAATCAATTCTTATTTAAAAATTCTACAAGAATTCAATTATTTAAATACAAAAATAAATAATTGATAGAATAACTGATTGTTTTTTAAAATTGAATACTAAAAAAGAATTTTATCAACATTTTTGAAAATAATTCATTTTATTCAAAGAATATTAATAAAACTTTAGAAAATAATTACATTTTTCGAAGAATTCATTTCAAACTGTATTCAAAATAATTGAATTCTAGCAACGAATTTTATTATTTATAAAAATAATTAAATTCTAGCAGCGAGTTTTATTATTTATAAAAATAATTGAATTCCTGCAACGAATTTTATTATTTATGAAAATAATTGAATTCTTGTATCGAATTTTATTAAATTTTTTAAATAATTGAATTTCTGAGAAATTTTTTATAATTTGTAAAAATAATTAAATTCTTTTTTTCATTTTATAAAAATTTTAAAGAATAATTCAAATATTTCGGAAAACTATTAAAATTGGATTAAAGATAATGAAATTTTTACGATGAATTTTATTATTTATGAAAATAATAATTTAACTATTATAAACAAATTTTTTCAAAATTTTAGAATAATAATGAATTTTTTACAAAGAATTTTATTAAAATATTTAAATTGACTTCTTTCGAAAAAATTTCTTGAAAATTATATTTCACACAATTGAATTACTTTGGAAATTTTATTACATTCATGATACTATTTGAATTTTCGCTTTAAATTTGAATTAATTTTTGAAAATATGTAAAGAAGTTTAAAAAATTTTGTGGAAATTTTCGAATATAATTAAAAGATTTCAAAGAACCGAATTAAAATTGTATTGAAAATAATTGAATTCCTCTGAAGAATTTTATTATTTATGATAATAATTGAATTCTTTCGAAGAATTTTATGAAAATTATAATTAAAATAATGGAAATCATCTAAAGAACGTCACTAACCTATCATAAACGAATCCGTTCACTTTCACTTCTTGGCACTTAAAGGAATGTAACAAATTCGGATCCTTCAACCACTGTTGAATGGAAACAACTTCAACTGGCATTTCGCTCTCAGGAAACGAAACCATATCTACAAAGAAGAAATAAAAAACAAAAAATAATTAATATATTTCTTTAAAATTAATTAAATTATTAAAACAATTAATTGTTTTAAATTCTGTTTATTTCCTGACCTAAATCGTGATCATCGTCAATACTGAAGACAGGTCCAGCATTCGGAATACGTTTAACAAGATCGCCATCCTTTCCATTTTTCTTATCGGAATTACTATTTGTACTCGCCGATGGATTGACAATATAGTCGAAAATTTTTCCCTTCACCTCCTGACTTTTCAATCTCATTGCAAGACCAATTTTACCAAATAAATCCGAATTATTATTTTTCACTTTCGCCGGACTCGGTTCATTTGAATTTGAATCCGACATATTCACATTGCAAACGAGACAATGTTGGGAATTATGATCGATAAGATTCGAAACAACTTCGTCGCCAAAGTACTCGTGAATTGCTAAAAAAAAAAGAAAATTTATGACAAATTAAAATATTAATCATATTAAAAATAAAAATCATATTACATATATAATAAATAAAAAGAAAATTTAGTTTTAATTATTAGAAATTAGAAAAATATGTGAAAAATTAAAAAATAAATTTAGTTTAGATTAGGACTAAATTAAAATTTTCGGAAAATAAAAATAAATTTTCAGTTAAAAGGTAATTAAAAAGTAATAACCTGCCAATTAGAGTAATTGCTTTCTGATAAGGAAGTTTTCCATTTTAATTTAAATAAAAACGTATGAAAAAAGAAGTGGGAAAAAAATTTAAATAGTGAATTTACCTTGATAACCATTGGCGACCATGCTGACGTATTGTGTGTGTTTCTGGAGAAAAGATGCGACCACCATGTGAGTGTATCGATCCTCTTCTTGTCGCCCACTTCCGAGAAAACAAAGATGCTCTCCCCCGGCTTGCGAACCAACAGCTAATGCTTGACGTTGTGCTTGCAATAATCCTTGGACTGCCGTTGCAAAAGCTGCAGGTTCTTGTAGCATCTTGAAAAAAAAAATATTTTTATTACAAATCAAGAAAAGTGTATTAGAGAAAAAGAAAAATTACAAATAAATAATTTATTGATTAATTCAATATTTTTTAAAATCTCATTTTCAGAAAAAATTTTATCAACATATTTTTAAATACTTGAATTCTTTCAAAAAATTTTAATTAAAAATTTTCAAGAATAATTGCATTATTTGACAAATCTATTTAAAATAATTAAAATCTTGACAATAATTTAATTTAAATTTTCGAAAATAATTAAATTTTTCGAGAGATTTAATTAAAATTGTCTTGAAATTATTTCAATTCTCATAAAGAATTTAATCAAAATTTTTTTAAATAATTAAATTTTTGCGATGAATTTTATTAAATTTTTAAAAATAATGAAATTTTATTCAAATTGTATTGAAAATAATTGGATTTTTTGGAAGAATTTTATAACTTATAAAATAAATTGAATTCTTGCAAAGAATTTTATTAAAATTTATGAAAATAATTGTATTTCGGAGAAGAATTTTATTATTTATAAAGATAATTGAAATTTTGATGAGAATTTAAAAAATTTTTTGAATTTCTGTGAAGAAATTTATTACTTTTGAAAATAATTGAATTTCTGCAATTATTTGTAACTTCTCTAAAATTCAATTCTTTTACGGTTTTTATCTAAAATTCATTTTTAAATCAATTTTTATTAGAAATTCGAGAATTCAATTATTTAAATAAAAAAGCAAATAAAAAAATTAAATTATTAAATATTTCTTAAAAATGAATTCTCATAAAGAATTTTATCAACAGATTTTTAAATAATTGAATCTTTTGACGAATTTTAATAAAATTTTTAAAAATAATTACATTTTTGAGGAATTCGATTAAAATTGTATTAAAAAGAATTGAAATTCTACAATAAGTTTTATTATTTATGAAAATAATTGAATTTTTTGGAGGAATTTAATTAAAATTGTGTTGAAAATATTTCAATTCTCATATAAATAATTTAATCAAATTTTTTTCAAATAATTGAATTCTTTCGAAGAATTATCTTTAAGAATAATTACATTTTTCGAGGAATTCGATTAAAATTGTATTAATAATAATTGAAAAGTGAAATTCTGCCGTGAATTTTATTGTTTATGAAAATAATTTAATTATTGCAAAGAAATTTTTTAAAAATTCGAAAATAATTGAATTTCTATGTAAATTTTATTATTTATGAAAATAATTAAATGTTTGCGTAGAATGTTAATTTTTTTTAATAATTGAATTCTTTTGGAAAATTAGGTATATTAAAATTTTCGAAAGTAATTGAATTTTGGAGAAGAATTTTATTATTTATAAAGATAATTGAAATTTTGAAGAGAATTTTTAAATAATTTTTAAACACAATTGAATTTTTGCGAAGAATTTTATTAGTTTTGAAAATAATTGAATTTCTGCAATAATTTGTAACTTCTCAAAAATTTCTAATTAAATTAATTAAAAATTGAAATTTTTTAAAATTAAAAAATAAAACCTTTTAAAATGTATCTATTTATGAAAATTGTAAACTTTTAAAATTTTGTTAATTTTGAAATATTTAAGTAAAATTATTCGTTAAATAATTTCTGATTAATAATTTTAAGATAAATCTTCAAGAGTTATGAGGCAACCAAAAAGACACAAAATTTCAGAATTTTCTGGTAAATACTAAAAATTAAATTTTTAAATTAAATTAATTTAAATTAATGTAAAAATTACCTTAAAAATTAAATTAAGTTAAAATAATGTAGAAATTTACATAGAAATGAAATTAATATTAAATTAATTTAGAAAATAAATTAACTTAGGAATTGAATTAATTGAAATTAATTGAAAATAATGTAGAAATTGACTTAGAAATTAAATTAATTTAGAAGAGAATTGCTTTAGATATTAATTAAGAAAAAATTTGCTCTAAAAATTCGATTGACTTAGAAATTGATTCAGAATTTAAATTAATTGACAGCAGAAAAAGTGTGAAAAAATTTCGTTTCTTTTTCTTTTTTAACGAAGAAAAATGTAGATTACTTACTAGATTACAGTCTAAATGAAAAGCAGTGGGTAAATGTCCGGCGTTATATTGTTCAGCGGGCCTGCAATCGACCAGGAAAAATCTCACAGAATCTACAGTACCATTTGATATTGAAGTCTCAAATGTATTTTCAACTAATTCCTGTGCCGAAACAGGTAAGCAGAGAGCGTGAGAAATAAATTTCTCATCACCACCCTCGCCAAACATTATGCTGTACAAATCCTGTTTAAATGATGACGGTGTTTTCATTGCATAATATTGTGCCAAAGAGCAAAAATCTGTCACATCCTCAGCTTCCAATGCACAAGGCATTGCCGACAATGCATTCACTATACTCTCCTTATCATCGTCCTTCATATTTAAAATCTGATCTCTAGAATAAAATACATTCAAACTATTAGTTTCCAAACTTATATTTTTTTTAAATGTATTTTTTGAAACAAAAATTTGACAAAGTGTATTGTTTTTAATTTCTTCTCTGTATAAAAAAATAAAACAAAAATCAATCCCTTATGCGAGAAACAATTTTTTGCAATCTTTCAATTTATATTGAAAGGATTGCAAAAAATAGAAATTAGAATTTTCATTTGAAATTAAAAGAAGAGAAAAATTAGTTTCATAACGAAAATAATAATTTTTTGTAAAGAAAAAATATTACCTAGCGTTTATCACCATGATAAGAGATAGAAACATCATGAAAAATGGATCGGCTTGCATAAAATAAAGATCCCACATTGTTGACACCGCAGGTAAGGAACAAACGCCAGCGAATAAAGTGTTGATCCAACTTTTTGAATATTGATCCGGTGAAACTCTTTTTGTATCCAGAAATGAACACAATTCGGGTTCATGGTACAAAAGTAACAGTCTTAATACAGAGCTATGTGTATCGCCTCTGGAAAATTCAAAATTTGTTTCAGAAAATTATAATCACTTCTCTATTACTACCTTTTCGATATTATAATTATTCTTTAATTCGATTACAAAATATAATGGAAATTATTTTTATATTACTATTTTTTTCATCAATTTCTTTTTAAATTATTCTTTTGTTACTAATTTCAGGCCTTGGATCAACTTTAAGAAGCAAAAAAGAAGTCGCTTTAGTCGATTAAAAGTAGAAAAAATGTCATAATATCCGAGGCCTGTAATTTTAAACAACTTCTTTCAAAATTATTCTCTTATTTCTACTTTTTAATCAATAGATTTTTCTAAAACTATTTTTAATCAATTAATTTTTCAGGTTTGCGACAGAAATTTAATTTTGATTTTCCCTGATTTTTGAATTTTCTTATTAATTCTAAAAATTTAATTTTTTCCAGTACTTTTAATAAAAATCCCAAACTTTTCCCTGAATTCCCTGACCCGTGACAACTTTGTTTTCACTAATTGGAAACTTTCATTAACTTAATTATCAATATTAGAAAATTAAAAAAGAAAATACAAACCTGGGAATATAAATATCTCTGATAGCCTCAAACAAGTTGTAGGTGGATGACTTGGGAAGTTTCAAGGCAATTAATGGTTCTAATAATTCTAGCCATCCATTGTTCTTCTCGTATTTCTTTTTTCTACTCTTGCAATAAAAGGTCAATATTGACTCAAGATCCGAGACAACGGAAACTTTATCTTCATCGTCGTTTCCAAGTTTAGCTGCAAACAAAAAATAATGTATTAAATTAATATCGATTACCTTTAAAAGAAAACAATATGTGAATTATAAAAGGAAAATAATTATTAGTTTCACTTTTAATTCTGGATTTTGTAAATTTTAATTAAAATAAATTATAATTATAAAAAAATTAAATTAAAAAATTAAATTAAAATTATTAAAAAATTATTAAAATTAAATTAAAATTGTAAAAATAAGTTTTTTTTGTAAATTATACACACCCACAAGTTGTTGGCAATCTTCACGAATAATATTTTGTTCGGGAAGATCGAATACTTCATTAAAATGAATTAATTGATTGCCACGATCTGTGACATCGAGACACGCCTGCCAAACATCTGGCCTTAAATTTGCAGGTACAGGTTGTCCTTTGCAAATTGCATAAATATCCGAAGCAGAAGGTGCTTCTGCATCCAGAAGTGCTGCTTCCAGTTCAAGTACCCTATTTTCAAAAAATTAAGATCATAATTGAATCAAACTAAAAGAAAAATTAAAAAAAATACTAAATATTTCATCTTTTGATCGATTCTCTGCAAAAAGATAGTAAAAATCCAAAAAATGTAACAAAATTTACCAATTTACGAAAAGAAAAAATGAATACGCCCAATTTTTTCCCTATTCAAAATTTCTACAATACACTTAAAAAAACATACGGTACTAAAAAACAAAATAAATTCTAATCATGGATAAACATTCTTACTCATATTTACGAAAATAGAAAGAAAATTGCAATAAAAAATCTGACAGATGATCACGAGATTAATAAACCTAACCTCAAAAATTAATTCTTACTCTCTAAATCAGTAAAAGAAAAGAATTTTTCCACATTAGAAAACTTACCAAGTATTTTCATCATCGTTTAATGACATTTTCGAGAAACTTTTTGTTAATTAAATATCGTCAAAACTTAAAGGGGGGAAAAAAATTCACTAAAACAGCACTGCAGTATTTTTTTAATATTCAAAGTCTTCTTCGTTTCAAACAATATTTTCCAACTTTTAACATCATTTCGTATAGATTAAAACATTATTCACCTCATTTCACCTTTTTCACCGTGTTATCGTTATTTACACAAGTTAAATGATCGTTTAGAACAATTATGAAACACGAAACATGTTGACAGATGACATCCATCTTTATTTTTTTCTGCGGATAACCGGAAGTGCTAATGACGTGGCGCCGACATTTAAATTTTCGAATTTTTTATTTTCTTTCACCAATTTAAAAAAAAAAGTTAAATACAAATTTTTAAACTTATTTCTATAAATTCGAATGAAAATCGACAAATTTTGAAAAGAATAAAAGCTAATAAAAACTGTAATGAAAAACTTTGTTAGAAATTATTAATTATTTAAAAAAAAGTAGAGCGGAAGTGAACAAAGCGCAAGCGCTTTTGAATTGCGCGCGCAGAAACCGGAAGTTAATTGTTTAGTTAATGACGCGTATTCCATTATTGTTATTGAAATTTGCTGTTTTTCATGAAAGAAACTTAACAGTCAGGGGGTATTTTTTGTTTGTTTTTGAAAAAAAACATGTAAGAAGTAATCACAAATTGTTGAAATGGATAATTTACGATGAATCGAAGGGAATTATTTTTAGAATTATAAGTGCAAAAAGAGAGGACAAGTGCAAAATGCCATTTTGAAATCAGCTGTCAAAGTAAGCAGACGATAATCAAAGTTATTATTTATATTTAATTCCAAACATATTGATTATTTTTTTTGAAAAAAGTACATACAAATTATTTACATTTCTTCTGAAAATCAAAATCGTCTTTGTAAAAGGGAATAATTTTCTTTTATTATGTTTTTCTTTTCACTTTTTTAGGTTAATTTTTATATTTTATTCATTTTATTCAAGAATGACAGAGGACTTGATATTATTTCATTATAAACCCTAAATAATTTCTTTTTTAGAACGAAAAAATTAATATTATTAAGTGAAAAATGATCGAAAAAAAGTTTTCTTTACGAAAAAAGAAATAAACGAGTTTAGTGTTTACTTGGATGGATTTAAAGTGTTTACTTTATTAAATTTTTGTTTTGTAGATTTTTGTATTTGTACAATTATATATTATAATTTATAATTATTAGTTATTAATTATTAATAAGAGGATTTCCCATTAATATTCGATAATTTTACTTCATAACCTATAAAATCAAATCGTTTTCGCATTATTTTCAAGATTTTCTATATATTTTTCTATGCATTTCAGTAAAAATAAATTGTTCAAATGAAGAGAAATGGAAATATCACAGGCAGACTTGAGAATTGGCGATAATTCTGTGGATTTTACGAGTGTCTCGATAAAAAAGGAAACAAACGGGGAATTAATTGATAGTTACGATTCAGTGAAAATAGGAAAAATAATAAATAACGAGTGCCAGGAGGAAAGAGTAGTGGCATGTTCGAGAATTTTGCAAAATTTTACAACCACAGATCCAAATCTCAATGCCATACAACACAATCACAATGAATCGTCGACAATAAATAATCTCCTCATAGAGACACTTTACGTTAATTCTCTCGACGAAACAATAATTAACAGTGAAATTACAAAACGAGAATCAACAACAATTTTGGACAATTTGAATATTCAAATAAAAAAAGAGGCTGGAAGTTCTGACGAAACATATTCAACAGAATGGCTCTGTGATGTTAATGACGATCCTGGAATTAAATTGAAAATCACAAAGAGTATAAAACTCGAGAAAATTGATGACTTGGATAATAGTGTCAATTTTCACTCAAGCGAGGTGGGAAAATTTTATATTTTATTTACATCAAAAAATTATTAAATTAGAATAAAAGAATTAAAAAATAAGAAAGGGAAATGAAAAATAACAAATGAAACTTTTAATTAAAAAGTTTTAGAAACAATTTAACAACTTTAATAAAATTCTTTCAAATGATTCAATTATTTTCAAAAATTTTTGAAATTCAATTATATGCAATATCTATTTTTAGGAAGAATTTTAGAAGTGGAAGAAGTTAATTAATTTATTATTTTTTATTTTCTAATTTATATTTAATTGAAGAATTTCCATAAAATTGAATTGTAAACAAATAAATTTGAATATTCTCATCGAACTTTTGGAAAAATTGTTACTTTTTTTAATTTAATTATTCGAGTACGAAGCCTGTAAATAAATAATATTTTTCAGAAAAATAAGTAAAGAAGAAAGTAAAAATGAACAAACGAACTGAATTAAATAATATTTTTCACAGGTAGATGAACAACCAAAGAGAAAAATTCGTCAGAAATCCGTATCGTTGCCAGATTGTCGTGAGAGATTGAGGAAAAAGGCAGAACGTATGCGCGAAAGACGAAAGAAACTCTACGAGACAGAAACAGCGAACGAGAGACTCGAGCGTCTCGCCAAGGAGGCGGCAAAGAGACGCGAAATGAGAATGTATTACGAGACGCCCGATCAAAAGCGAAAACGTCTCGATATTGAGGCGGCGCGTAAACGTGAATACAGAATGTACAATGAAACACCAGACGAGAGAAGAATAAGATTGGATCGCGAGGCCGAGAGACGAAGACTTAAGCGTTTGAGTTTATATGCGAACGAAACGCCAGAGCAGAGGCGCGAGAGATTAAATAAGGAATCGGCGAAGAGACGTGAAGCGAGATTAAATCAGTACGCGAAGGAAAGTGTCGATGAGCGTAAGGAGAGATTAAAACGTGACGCAATTAGAGCCAGGGAAATGAGATTCACAAGATCGGCAATTGAGACGGAGGAGGAGAGACGAGATCGATTGATAAAGGATGCAATGAGAAAACGTGAATTAAGAATTCTTGGACGTGAATCGGAGAGTAATTTCACCGAATTACAGACTATTCGCAGTTTCGACGATTTAAACGATTCAAATCAAATGAAGAATGAATTTGAAACACATTATATGAGCAATTGGATGATGTGGTTTCAAAATACTCTCACACAACAAGTTCAATCGTCCGAGGAAAGTCAGTCCTCCTCCCCATCCAAGTAAATCATTCTTTTCTAAAATCCTCATATTTCTCTAATTCCACCTTTTTTTCCACTCATTAGAAATCACCCCTTAAAATTACATCGAGATTTATAAAGTCTTTTTCCAAAAAATTACGTTCCTAAAGTTCACAACGTTTGTAGAAAAAATAATTTTTCGAAATTATCCCTGATAAATAATCAGGGTTGCCACAGGTCAGAGAAATCAGGGAATTCAGGGAAAAGTCAGGAATTTTTATTAAAAGTAATTTGGAATTACAAATTTTTCGTACTTTTAACTAATAACTAATTTAAAGAAGAATTGTAGTATCAAAATTTTTATAGAGAATAATAATTTTATCACTATGTTATCTTTAATATTTAATTATTATAAAAACTCAGAGTCTTCGACTCGAAGTGATTGACTTCTTTATGTTTTATAATAATTTTCTTATAAGTTATTGAATTTCAACAAAGTTTAAATTTAATATTTTTGAAAATCTTACTTCCCAAGGAAAAATAATAATCAGAATATTCTTCAGGGTCAGGGAAAATGGCAAAATTGTCTCTGAAAATCAGGGAAAAAGAAAATTAAATTTTTGTGGCAAACCCTGATAATTAATTAATTATTGATCAGGAATTTTCAATGATTATTGATAAATTTTTAATTGATCAATAATTTAAAAAAGAAAATTTTAAAACAATTTTCTTTTCTTCGTGATGTTTTTTTCTCCTTTAATCGCTGTGAACTTTATTGACGTAAAAAATTAGCAATTTTTCCAAAAGAAAATTGCATTTATGGAAAATTTTCTTTTCGCAAAGCACAAACTGAATAAATTAATTTAAGCGAATTTCGCAACGATTGAGGGGGGAAAATAATTTTTATTCAAGCAGAAAACAACTGAACGTGAAAATAAAGAAAACTAAACTAAAATAATTAACTAAATTTAATATAATAAAAAAATATAAATATTTAATTCATTTGATGAAAATGAAAAGAAGGAACAAATTTCGACAAAAGTTTCAAATATAGTTATAAAATAAATAAATATTTATTTATGTGAAAAAATTATTATTTCTATTTACAAAATAATAAAACTTCTCGAATAGAATAATTTTTCTCTTCTAAATCGTTGATAAATACGAAATTCAGAAACGTGATAAAGAAAAAGGGGAAAAAAGTCATAAAATTAAATTTATTTATTGCATAAAAAAAAAATTGTTCTATTGTCTAACAAAAACAATTGAAAAAGCAATACCCCTGTGTGAAAAATTCGTAAACTGAATTTTCAACACTTCAAAAAAAATATTTTCCTTTTTATACAAAGTATAAAAATATTTATAATTTATTTATTACATAAATGAAATTTATGTTTACTCCAGAAAATTGTTATTTTTTTATATTTTTGTTATTAACAAACTATAAAAATGGTTGCATTATTGTCAATTAGAAAATATTGATGAACAATTTTAGTGATGAAAAAACTAAGGAAAAATAATAGATACCCAAATATATAGTTTTGTTAATTAGAAATTAGTGTTATTGTAAATTTTTATTTTAATCCAACGAATGAGAAAAATATTTCACTCATAATAATTTTGATGTTTACAAAAGTAATGTAGTTTATTTATAAAAAAATATATATTATAAAGTTAAATTATTTTCATCTAATTCTGTGTAATTCATCGATATGTTCATTTTAAATAAAAATAAAATTTTCAAACACATTTCGTGTTTTTTTATTTATTTTTTATTGTATAATTATTTTCTTTATTTTTGTAAATTGTTTTCGTTTTTGCAAAATAATTTTTAATTTTAAAAATTTTTTTTTAATTTTTGCGAATTATTTTATCAAATTTTTAAAAATAATTGAATTTTTGCGAATTATTTCATCAAATTTTTAAAAATAATTGAAATCTCTTGAGAAATTATAATGAAATTGCATTGAAAATAATTGAATTCATGCTAAGAATTTTATTCCATGTTAAATTTTTTTAAAACAATAAATAATTATAATTAATTAGTAAATTTAAAAATTAACGTATTGAAAATCATCGATTTGTTGCAAAGAATTTTGTCAAAAAATTTAATAATAATAAAATTCCTTCGTAGAATTTTTATTATTTAGGAAAAAAATTGAATTCTCGCGAAAAATTTTGTGAACATTTTTGAAAATTCTAATTAATTTCTTTTTAAAGAATTTCTTTGAATTTTTTTTAAATAATGGAGTTTCTTTAATAATTTTAATTAAAAATTTTGAAAATAATTGAATAATTGAATTTTTACGAAAAATATTATTAAAAATTAAAAAAAAAATAAATTCTTTCACGAAATTTTATTAAAATTTGTATTAAAAATAATTGAATTCTTACAAAGAATGTTACATATTATTTTTCGAAATAATTGAATTCTCATGAAGAATTTTATTAAAATTTTAGAAATTAATAAACAAGAATAATTAATTAGTAAATTAGTTAATAATTGAATTTTTTTAAAGTTTGAATTTGAAATTATTCAAAAATTCATATTTAAAAATAAAAATTTTTTGTAATTTGCCTAATAATAATAAATTGAATAATAAATAAAATTCAAAATAGTTAATTAATTAATAATTATAAATTAAGTTTAAAATTTCGCGGTCCTTTTGAATTTCCCAGCACTCACCACTGAGTGGCGTTACTAATTTCCGTTTCCTGTCAACATTTTTGACATATATTTTTTTTCACCTTCTCTCTCCAAAGTGGTTGTTGTAAGAAATTGTTTTTGTTTCTATATGTAAAGAAATAATTGGAGACTTATATAAATCAACAATTCTTGAAAGTGGAATATTTTTTAAATTAACTAAATAACAATGGGTTCGGATCATACGAGTAGACGATGGAGTCATTTGCAAAAAGTTTTGGAGAGATCTGGACCATTTTGCCGGCCTGACTTTGAACCTTCTTCGGAAACTCTTCCGTTTTTAATGGAAAGTTGTAAAGTATTAGTTGTCGGAGCCGGAGGACTTGGTTGTGAATTATTAAAAAATTTAGCTTTAATGGGCTTCCGACAAATTCATGTCATTGACATGGATACAATTGATCTTTCTAACCTCAACAGGTTGGTATTTTGTTTTCTATATTTCCAATTTTTTTTTTTTTTATAAACAAAATAGAAAAACATACGAAGTTGATATTTTTATCTCAGTAGAAGGAAAAATTGTATTTATTTCCATTAAATTTTTCCCGATAAACGAATTTATAAAACAATTTTACTAACCTCAATATTTTCTTCCAAAAAAAAGAAATTTTCTTTTTGGAAAAATTTTAATCTTTTTGTTTCTCTTTTAATTTTCTAATTTTTTCAGACAATTTCTATTTCGTCACAAGGATCTCGGCTCATCGAAGGCAGAAATTGCGGCACATTTTGTTAACGAACGTGTAAACGGTTGCAATGTTGTTCCTCATTTTTGTAAAATTCAGGACAAGGACGATTCATTTTATCGTCAGTTTCACATTGTTGTTTGCGGTCTAGATTCAATTGTTGCGAGACGATGGATTAATGGAATGCTAATTTCATTGTTGATTTACAATGACGGTGAACTCGATCAAAGTAGCGTTATTCCATTGGTCGACGGTGGTACCGAGGGTTTTAAAGGAAATGCCCGGGTGATATTGCCCGGAATTACCGCCTGCATCGAATGTACTTTAGATCTCTATCCCCCTCAGGTAAAAGTCATTTTTTCATTTCACAAAATTGAAAAAACAATTTCCTTTTTTGAAAATTTGATTTAAAAAAGAAAGAATTTGAATTATTAAAATTTTGCAAAAATCTAAGTTTTTTAAAATTTTTAATCAAATTTATTAAAAATTATTAAAAATTAAATTTTTTTCAGTACTTTTTATAAAAATCCCTGACTTTTTCTTGTTTTCCCTGATCAATTCAACTTTCCCTGACTTCCCTGATCTGTTTAATTTTAATCAAATTATTTGATAAAAAAAATGTGAAACGTTCTTTTTAATTTTAAAGAATAGTAAAATTTTTCTAATAGTGAAAAGAATAAAAAGAAATAAATAAAATTGATTTTGTCTTTTAAAAAAGGTCACTTACCCATTGTGCACAATTGCGAATACTCCACGATTGCCGGAACATTGCATAGAATACGTGAAAGTGGTCTTATGGTCTAAGGAAAATCCCTTCGATTGCGTTATTGACGGCGACGATCCACAGCACGTGAATTGGATTTACGAAAAATCCACCGAGCGAGCCACTCAATTTGGAATTCGAGGATTGACATACAGACTTGTGCAGGGAGTGGTGAAAAATATTATCCCCGCTGTTGCTTCTACAAATGCCTCAATTGCCGCGACTTGCGCCACCGAAGTCTTTAAACTCGCCACTAGCTGCAGTGCCTCCTTAAACAATTACATAGTAAACATTTTTATTATTACTCTATAACTTTTTTCGAAAAAACCCTTTTTTTCTTTCTCTTTTTCAATTTTAAATCAATTTAAAAAAAATATTTCTCTAAAAAATAAACGATAATTATCTAATTAAATATTATACTTACAGGTACTTAACAACATTGACGGAATTTACACCTACACCTACGAAGCGGAGAAAAAGAATGATTGCGTTGCCTGCAGTCAAATACCACGTGAAATTGAGATAAAAACACCAAAGTTAAAATTAAAGGAACTCATTGAAATTCTTTGCGAGAGAATTGATCTTCAAATGAAAAATCCCGGCATAACGGCAATGATTAATGGAAAAAATAAAACCCTCTACATGCAAACTGTCGCAAGTATTGAGGAAAGAACAAGGGAGAATTTAACAAAAACATTAAGTGAATTGGGTTTGAATGAGGGCGATGAAATTTACGTAGCCGATGTCACGACACCAAATACAGTTGTCTTTAAATTAAAATTCTTCACCACCGACGTTGAAATGACCTAACGATTAATAACACTCTCCCTTGTAAAAAAAGAAGAAGAAAACTACCAATTAGACTTTAGGAAAACTGTTAATACGCCTAAGTCAAATTAATTAATATATTAATTAATAAGATTTAGTATTGATTTGAATTAATTTATTATTATTACTAATTTTCTAATTTAAATTAATTTAACTTTTCAGTTTTAATTTTCAAAATTTAATAATTTAAAGGATATTACCTTGAGTCACTTTAATTAAATAAGTTTGTATGAATTTTTTGCCAATTACAGGCTACGCACTAATTTACTAAAACCTACTATTTACTACTATTTTTACGTTATGCTACTATTTGGGTACTTTTTTAGCTTTCAGCCACTAAAAGCTACTATTTCTGTTTTTTTTTTTTTTTTTTTTTGAGAATTTCCACTACGTTAAATTCACTAATACTAGAAATCAAAAAACTATTCTCAAAAATTGTAATCAAATTATTTAAAACGATTCAATTATTTTCAATATCTAATATTTTCATAAACTTTTGCAAAAGAATTCAATTATTTAAAAAAAAATTAATAAAATTCAATTATTTTAATAAATAATAAAATTAAAATGTCGAAAAATCAATTATTTAATAACGTTTTTATACAATTCTTCACAATAATTCAATTACTTTCACTAATAAGGGAGCGTTCACAAATTATGTCACGCTTTTGGGGGTATGGGGGGGTCTCTACTAAACGTGACACAATGTATTTTTCTCATGTGAAATTGCAAAAATTGCGTGACAGGGGGAGGGGGGGGGGGGGGGGGGGTCGAAAATCTCCAAAAATTGCGTGACATCATTTGTGAACGCTCCCTAATAACATTTCTCATGGAAATTCAATTTAAAAAAAAAAAAATTTGATGAAATTCTAAGGAAGAATTTAATTATTTTTAATACTATTTTAAATTAATTAATCGAAAAATCCAATTATTTTCATAAATAACAATATTCATCTCATGAATTCAATTATTTTTAAAAGTAATAAATTTCTTCTTGGAAATTCAATTATTTTAAAAAATTTTAATAAAATCGTTCGCAAGAATCCAATTATTTTCATAAACAATTAAACTCATCGAACAATTTCCATTTTTTTTAATACTATTCTAATCTAATTAATCGAAAAATTCAATTATTTTCACAAATAGAGTATTCCAAAAGAATTCAATTATTTAAAATAAATTCAATTATGTCGATAAACAATAAAATTATTCCCGAAAATTCAATTATTTTGAGATATTTTAATAAAATTTTTATAAAAGTCGTGCGCATGAATTCAATTATTTTCATAAATAATAAAATGCTTTTTAGGAAAAAATTCAATTATTTTCAACAAAATTTAATAAAATACCACACAGACAATCAATTATTGTCAAGAATTTTAATAAGATTCTTTGTAAAATTTAATTATTTAAATAATTTTCTTATTAAAATCTTCGTAATACTTTAATTCTTTTCGCATGAATAATACAAATTTCTCAGGAATTCAATTATTTAATTTAGAATTTGCATAAAATTAGTCGAAGGAAATCAATTGTTTAAAAATGTTTATAAAATTCTTCGCAAGATTTAAATTATTTTAATAAATATTTAAATTCTTTCATGAATAATAAAATTTGTTTGCAGAAATTTAATTGAATGATGTAAATATTTTTGATGAAAATTAGGAAAAAGTCAGGAAAATAAAATATAGAATGGAATTTTTTTAGTTTTGTGAAATGTCTAAAACGAATTTTTTTGTCGTAAAGTTTAATTTTTCGATAGCTACGTTTTTTACTACTTTTTTAGTTTGAAAGCTACTTTTTGAAAATTAATTTTCGAATGCAAAGTCTGCAATTATTATAAAAGCGAACCTTTTTTTCTCAAAAGATGCATTAAGATTTAAAATAGAAAGGAAAATCTGAAAATGAAAAATCCTGGTGAGCTATTGTTCTATATTTCTGTATTTTTTCATCCTCGCTCCAATCAGAGATCATGGACCGTAGCAAACGCATTTGTCGATGAGTGATACATTAATAAAATGCACGTTTTACTGTATATTAATTGATTTAAACGAATTTTTATATAAAATTTTTCTTTTCTTTTTGCTTTCATATTCCTAAGTGTACTGGACAGCGTGTCAAGTGTTACGCAGTAAAACGTCCTTTAAAAATTTTTTTTCAAAAAGGACAAGACAATTTTCAAGTTTACAATTTTTCTCTTCTCGTGTATTTTTGTATGTGACAAATTTTTCTTTAAAAGTCAATTTTCTTGTTACTAATTTTATCATATATATTCGAAAAGTGTAGTATTCTTTTTACACTAAAACAAATAGAAAGAAAAAATATCTCAGATATTTTCAAATATTTTAACTAGAAATTTTCTAGTTTGTAACAATTCTTTTAGTCTCGAGTACTTCTCAAAGTTATCGAGAATTTTCAAAATTATTGCATTGATTCAAATTTGATAATTATTGTCAAAATCGAAGATAATATAATTTCGAATATTATCGAAATAGAATTTACAATATCCGTAAATTTCTTTACATTCTTTTAGCGAATTTTCTTCGCTACTTTTGTATAATAAATCTGTCCAGCAAAAGTATTTCCAATAGGAATTAAAAAAAAAATCTTCACAAAATGAAAATTAAAAGTTAATTATGCCTAGTGAATGTTTAGTAACATTCGATAATTTTTTTTTTTTTTTTTTTTTTGCTTTTTGTTTGACTCAGCTCCATAATTACGAATGGAGGCAAAGATGACTTATTTTCTTTTTTTTTCTTTTTATATTTTTTTTTCGTATATGCAAATGTCTATACCAAAAATTCTTGAAAAATCATTCAACGATTTACCTAAAGAAAGAAAGTAAGTAAGTTGAGCGATTTTTTTCTCCATTTTTTCTCAAATATAGAAAAAGATGAAAAAAATAGCTTTACTTCCGTTTCCTCGAAAAAACCCTTCGAAAATCTATTTATCATGCAAGACGAAATTTATTTTTCAAAAATTGAAAATTTTCGTTTTTCTTTTAAAAAAAAAGAAAGTTTATATTATGCAAATAATAATTTCGCACTAAGAAATGAGAGATTTTCATCGAATCTGAAGAAAGAAAATTTTGAATGATAAGAATTGTAATGAAATAGGTTTCGAAGGGTAAACTTCTAAAGATGAAACGAAAACAATTTTTTTAACTCTTAAAAACGAGTGAATTATCAAGTATTTAACGTACCGAAGCGGAAGGCTGATATTAATAATTATATACCCTTCACAAAAAGCACAAAGTGCAAGAAGGATATGTATTTTTTTAAATTTTAATCATCGATTGTACTTTTCCCGTCAAAATTGATTACGCTTGGCAGTGGAAATTTTTGTTTCATCATTTAAAAAAAAAAGAAATAGAGAGAAAGAGAGAAAGAGAAGGGGGAGAATAATTGGAAAATATTATTCAAGTGTGTAAAAAAAGTGAAAAGGACTTACGTTTTAAGCAAAAAAAAGTGATGCATAGAAAAAACGATTTGATTAAATCGAGTAGAGAGAAAGACTCAATACTTCTGCGAACACAAGTACACACAATACCAGACACAAGTGGTTTTTTTTTCTTTTTTCAATTGCAGAGATGATCGGAATATTCGCAGATTCGACGGAATATAACTTTCTTACAAAAGGGAAGTCACTTTTTTCCTTTTCTTTCTTTTTTTTGTTTCGTTTTTTTGAATCCAAAGTGACTTGCGCTTTTTTTGTGAAGGAGGAGGGACGAAGAAGGTGCGCGAACTTCCGCGAAGGCATCCTGCATCACTCTCTTATTTCTGCATTGCTTTAGCTAATCAAATATTGTGTTAGGCCTTAGCGTCAACTTCCATTGACTCCATTGCATTATTTTCAATCGCAGGAGGATTGATTACAGCTTCCCTGCTCTCTCCCACTGCCTTCTCAGCCTTCTTTTTCTTCTTCTTTGCTGATTTCGGGTTTGCCGATGATTGCAACAACGACTGAAATAAAAAACGAAAATTATTAAAAATTAAAACAAAATTTTTTATTTTTAAAATATTAATTTCAATTTTGGAAAAAATTCAAATTCAAAATAGAAAAAATTCAATTATTAACTAATTTAATTATTTTCAATTGAATTCCAATAAAATTTCTCACAAGAATTCAAGTATTTTGAAAAATATTGATTAAATTCTTTAAGAGAATTGAAATATTTTCAGTGCAATTTTAATTAAATTCCTCGAAAAAATTCAATTATTTTCGAAAATTTTAATTAAATTCTTAGCAAGATCTCAATTATTTTTATAATTTATAAAATTCTTCGCAGGAATTCAATTACTTTGAAAATTTTTGATAAAATTATTTATGAGAATTGAATTATTTTCATAATTTGTAAAATTCTTCTCAAAAATTTATATATTAAAATATTTAATTTAAATACTTTTAGAAAAATTTCAATTATTTACAAACTTTTTATTTGTATATTTCAAAAATTTTTAATTATATTAAAAAAATTATTTCAAACTGTTTTTTGAATGACTTGGCTATAGTTATTTTTCACAGCATAAAAATCAAAATAATTTGCAATTTGTAAAAAAAATTGTATAAATTAAATATTTTAACTATTTAGCAATAAAAGGCCTTTTTACAGAAATCAAATATTAAATATTTTAAATTTATCCAGAATAGTTCTCTATTTAAACAATATGGAAATTTGTGAGATAAAAAAAACTTATTTTCATAAATATTGATATTTCTTTAAAAGCGATTTATCGCAAGTTTGAGTAAAAAAAAAAAGAAATGTACAAAGTTTTTCAACACAAAGGTAAAATGATAAAAATTAAAAAGCGCCTACTCATCTCTCATATCCATACGAGATAAGATAATAACAAACTTTTAAAAAAATGTATCACAAAATATTTTCTCTCGCGCATTCTTTTAGAATGCAAATTTGCCAATCGCAAAAATTAAAGAGAAAAAAAATACCTTTAATTCCGGATCCTCGACAACGCACTCCGACTGATAACAATCGAGATCAATTGGAGATCCAGTAATTTTATGGGGTCCATTCGGCATTAAAAGTACTGTAAATTTAAACTGCGCTGCAAATTCGCTTGGTTTCTCGTACAAAACCTGAAAATTTGATAAAAGAAAAAGAAAATTGTATTAAAAAAGGTATAAAAATTAACAATTAGAAAAAATTGTTGAAAAAAAGAGGGAAGGGAAATTAACCTGGAACGGTTCGATGAGTCTGTGATTGACACACTCGACAACCGCCATTTTTGCCTTCTTCTCGTCCTCGAAAGTGCGAAGATTAAAAGGCATGAGACCATGTTTATGAGTCACTTCGGAGTAAAACATGCGAGACGCTTTCAATTTTAATTGATACGTTTCCTCCGTTTTCTTGTAAATTGTCACACGTGTATCTTGTTCTCGTCCAACGCCGTCGCCTGTACTCACCAAAACGTCCATGGCATATACCTGATAATCAGAGAAATAAATTTTATTCACCGGAAGAAACTATATTGTTCAGAAAAAAAAGAAAATACATTTAAATAAAACTTCGATAAACAAATATTAAAAAACGTTCAAAAAAAATATTTATTTTCTTTATTTTTGTTAGAGACAATCTACAAGAGTCTCTAAGCCCCTTAAACATTGAATAAATAAATAAAATATATTGAGAAATGAAATAATAGAAATTCAAATTCAAAGAAAATAAATTTTAGAAATTAAATTCAGAAATAAAATTAAAAAAAAATTGTAGTTAAGAAATAAAACTTATATTAAGTACTAAAATATTGAATCAAGAAAAATAAAACATCGAAATAAAAATATAAAAACTTAGAAAATACATGAAGAAGAAAAATTACCTCGTGCGTTTCGAGAGTGTATTTTTCGTGTTCCTTCTTTTGCGCGTCATTTGGATTTTGAATAATTGTTTTCTCTCCGTCAATTTTAAATTGCTTCAATTGGTGGCTCAACATTCCTTCAATGGGCTTACATTTGTAAGCCTCGCAAATTTTCTCCACCGTTCCCGTTATCGTGTAAGTCTATTTGAAAAAAAGAAATCGCCATTTTTCATTAATGATGCAGCAAATTAAAAAATTCTCTTTTCCAAGTATATAAATAAATAAGAAAAAAAAAGAAAGAAAAAATGGTAAATTTAAGAAGAAGAAAAATATCATCGATTAAATAGAATTATCACCTCAGTGCCTGGCTTGAGAAGTCTCAATGCAGCTTGAGAGGCATAATGTGCAGCCAAAATGACGTCAGCTTTTCGTCCAGTGACTTTCTTTTCAGCCGATGAACCAATAACGAACGTATGTGCAACTACCGCGATAAAACCATCAATGTGTGCTCCGAGATCACTGTAAAATATTATTACATCTAGAATATTATAATTATATTTATAATAATTTATAAATTATTATTATTACTATTATTATATGATTTTCAGTTTAAAATTATTTCTATTTTGTTTTTTTATATTTTACATTTATCAGGGTTGCCACAAAAAATTAATTTTGTTTTTTCCTGATTTCCAGACAAAATTTTCACTTTTTTCCTGACCCGAAAGAATATTCTGATTCACTCTAAAAATTATTAGATACTCAAAAAAAAATGTTCTATTAAATTTATTTACGAATTTCTTCAATTATTAAATTATTCAAAAACATCAATAACTTCTTTTTTAAATAAATATTTACTTATTATTTTTCCATAGATATCGATCACTTCGAGTCGAAGTGATCGCTATCTTCATGTTTTATAATAATTTAAATTACCATAACATTTTTCAAAAAAAAATTATATTATTTACAAAAATTTGAATAAAATCCTTCGCAAGAATTCAATTATTCTTATAAGTAATACAATTTTTCACATCAATTCAGTTATTTAAAAAAAAAAATGTAATGAAATTCGTTGTAAGAATTCAATTATTATCATAAATAATAAAAGTTCGAAGACTTCAATTATTTTCATAAATAATAAAATTCTTCACAGGATTTCAATTAATTAAAAGAAATTGAATTTGTTTATTTATGAAAATAATTGAAATTTTTCCAAGAATTTTATTAAAATTTTTGAAAATAATTGAATTTTGGAGAAGAATTTTATTATTTATAAAAATAATTGAAATTTTGACGAACATTTTTAAAAAATTTTGAAAATAATTGAATTTTGGAGAAGAATTTTACTATTTATAAAGATAATTGAATTTCTGAAAAGAATTTTATTACTTTTGAAAATAATTGAATTTCTCCAATAATTTGTAACTTCTCCAAAGTACAATTCTTTTACTGTTTTTAACAAAAATTCATTTTTAAATCAATTCTCTTAAATTTGAATTATCATAAAGAATTTTATCAACAAATTTTTAAATAATTGAATCCTTTGACGAATTTTAATAATTTTTTTTTAAACATTTATCGAGGAATTCTATTAAAATTGTATAAAAAATAATTGAAATTCTACAATGAGATTTATTATTTATGGAAATAATTGTATTATTGCGAATGAATTTATAAAAAAAAAACTTGTAACTAGTTCAATTCCTGTGAAATTTTTATTATTTATAAAAATTATTAAATGTTTACGTAGAATTTTATTAAAGTTTCTGAAAATAATTGAATATCGGAATAGAATATTTTACTATTTATAAATATATCATTGAAATTTGACAAGAATTTTATTAAATTTTTGAACATATAATTGAATACCTGAAATAATTTTTAACTTCTCTGAAATTCAATTCTTTTAGTGTTTTTGACAAAAATTCTTTTTTAAATCAATTAAATTTTATTATTATTTAAAAATAATTGAATCTTTGTAAAAAATTTTATTATTTATGAAAATAATGGAATTATGGCTAAAAAATTTATAAAAATTTGTAGATAATTGAATTCTTGTAAAATTTGTATTTCTTATGAAAATAATTGAATCTTTGAAGAAAATTTGTAAATAGTTGAATTCCTGTGAAACTTTTATTATTTATGAAAATAATTGACTTTTGGAGAAGAATTTTATAATTTTTAAAGATAATTGAAATTTTGACGAGAATTTTTTAAAAATTTTAAACATAATTGAATTTCTACAAACATTTGTAACTTCTCTAAAATTCAATTTTTTTAATTGTTTTTAAAAAAAAATTCTTCCATAAATCTATGACCTTTAATCATTAATTAAATATTTATTAAAAAATTAAATAAAACTAATTGTGAATGCTGCAAATTAAATTTTTTCCAGAACTTTAATAAAAATCCCTGACTTTTCCCTGATTTCTATTTTATCTCTTTTTCTGTATTTTATTTTTACTTTTAGTAAAAGAAAAGATCTTTTAGTTAAAAAGGAAGATTTAAGAAAAAGAAGAATTTTAAAGAAGAAGAGATAAATATTGTTGGAAATGAAGAAACTTACACTTTGACCATATCCTCATCTTTGAGAATAAGATCCGGTTCGCTGGCAATTGGAGAAAAGTGGCATATACAGTTATTTACCGATATACACGTTGGAAAAGCAATTCCTTTCTTCAAATCCTTTTCCTTTTTAAATACTTTACTCGTTTCGTCCAAGAGTAATGTGTCGCCATACTCACAAACTTCCCTCACCGAAGCGCCAATCACACATTTTTCCAAAACTTGCTTTAAAACTCCTGGAAAATTAAAAAAAAAACAATATTCATCTCCCTTTGTACTAACAAAGGAATACTACAATCAATTTCATTTGTTTTCTCCCCCTAACATTATTATCCTAATAATCTTTCATCAATCTTTAGAAAACAAAATGCCTTTAACTTAAAATCTCTCCAAAAACAAAAATCTTCCCCAAAAATGAAAGAAATACCTATACAAAAATACAAAAAAGGAAACAAGTACAAAAGAAATTAATAAACAGGAATAAAGAGCATATTTAAAAAAGAAAAAAAAGAAAATTTTTCTCCTCTCTATAAAAAAAAAATTGAAGAGCCATGCAGACTTGGAATGTCCATAAAAATAAGAAGCAAGCCTGCGCAGAAAAAAAAGTATATCTATACCCTCAAGAAGAGGAAAAAAAAACCGGCATAACAAACGACAATAAATTGGAGTAAAAATTCAGATGAAATTTGCAAATTTATAAATTTTTCCAAACAGAAATTGTCTACGAATGAAATGAAAATTATAATGAAAAAAGCACGCCAGCCCACATGGTAGGAGGGCCCGGCATTGGCGGGTATGCAGATCCCATATGGCCACATGGAAAACACAAGGATAATGAAGTGATACGTGATAACATAAGGTTTGTTCTCGATTTTTTCACATTAATAGTAAACAATAAGGCGTTATCTTACGGTTTACAAGTTCGCCGGCCATTTTATACTTGGTAACAACCAAGTCTTCGGCGATGGTCTTCTCATTATCGTCCTTGTCCGCCATTTCTTTTCAGCAACACTTCACTACTACCTCCGTGGTGTAAGTTGGTGTTGAAGACTGTGTACAATGATCACGTGATTCTCTTTTAATTCCCAACAAACTTTGCAGATGGCGCTGTCGCCATTTTTTTTGCGCGCGCAATATTAATTTTACGCGCGGAATTTTATCTCTTCTTTAATTTTGATTAATAAAAACCAATAAAAATACTAATCTAAATAAGTAATTATTTTATAATAAAGAAATTATTTATAAGTAATTATCGTAATTATTTATAAGTATTCAAAAAGAGAAATTTATTCTAAGTAACATAACCTCAAAAGTGTAAGTCAAAAAAAAAATTCCAAAACATTTTTTACATTAATGTTTACATTCCTTCGAGACTTGTGGGTTTGCTTTCTAATTGGGAAACTTGGAGAAGAAGAAAAAAATGAGTAAACAGTTAAAATTTATTCAACAGGAAATAAATAATCTACAAAATATTGTTAGACGGAAAGGCGGGTTCACTGTGTTTTACTAGATTCAGAGGGACTTTTTTCACCGGAAACAGCATCCTTGATGGCAGGAATTTCTAAAATTGAATTTATTCCATTCTTCGTGTGACTAGGTAACTGGGAGAGAAATTTCATGCTGACCATTACGCCCGAATTCCAAGAATTTCTCATCTTGTCAGAAATGTCTGTTGTACTTGGCAAATCCGGAAGCTGGTAGAATAAATACGATCGATATAATATTGTGTAAATATTGAAAATAAAAATAGAAACGATAAATAAATATAAATAGAACAGAAATGTAAATAATAAAACATAAATAGAACAGAAATATAGATAGAACCGAAATATAAATAATAGATCATAAAATACAAATAGAACCGAAACATAAATAATAGAACAAAATACAAATAGAACAGAAATAAATTATAGAACATAAAATGTAAATAAATTAGTAATCTATAAATAATAAACATTCTGAGGTGCAATAACAAAAACTCTTGACTTTATTTTACCTCGCTAATTAAATCCTTTGGCACATTATCTTTCACGAGGGGTGCAACTTTATTGTAAATTTTCCCATAAAGTTTGACACTTTCTTCCTGATTTGACCAAACACCCTCTCGAATTGTAAAATAAAGTAAACCGCCAGCAATTGTCGATTTAACTGCAAATCTGTAAACATAACCTTAATTTCATTTGACGTCTTTGTTTTGTAATGAAACTAAAGAATAATATCCAAACACCAAAGACAAATTTAATCAATTTTCACTTATATTTCCTCTCGTATAGAATTCTACTAACCGTACAACGCCCATTTTTACAATAATTTTTGTAATTTATCACAAAAATTCCGAAATTAAAACCAAAATTGACAAATCGATTAGAGAGAAAAATAATTAAGTTGATCTCTATAGTAACTTCCGGTAAATGTCGCCAACTTTATGTCAAATAAAGGAAGTCACGTGTCTTAAGGTGGGATCATAATATTAGTAGCGAATTGTGAAATTACCTTTAGAAACCGGACAAATTAGAAATATTTAATTATTTATTGAATTTTGACGTATTTTTTTATTACAATTTCGTTTTTTATAAAATAAATAAACGGGCAGTGTAAAAAAAAATATTTTCTTTCAAAATATTTAAATAACATAAATATAATTAAATAATCATGAAGAATTTACCATTTATTTATTTTGTTTCATATATTATGCTTGTAGGTATTTACATTATAACAATTTCTTAATTATTATTATAAAAAGAAATTTATTCAGCCTGAATTTTTTTAAATATAAACAATCACGTGATCTGTCATTTTTAGAGGTTATGTTGTTTACAAAATTACGCATTATCGCATTATTCAATATTTTGCATTATATTAATAAGCTTACTAAATTTCAGAAATAAAGCATAATAATAATTATAAAACAAAGAATAGGATAAAATTTAAAAACTGCAATTGAAAGAAAAATAAATATTATCAATAACAAAAAAATTTGTAATTCGCGCATTTCTGCTTGCACATGTGCAAAAAAGATTGTCTCCCGATTGGTGAATTCAAAAGTCAACAAGTTGTTTTTTAAAAATGGAGGTTAAAGTGACAGTTTGCGCATTTTGAACAATTGTTGTTTTATTATTTATTCAATTTAAGCACCGAACAATTTCACAATTTTGTAGTGTCGAGTGACGGAGTTTTTATAATTTTTCTTGTTTTTAAAATATTGGTGAGTATAAAATTTTCTTTGAGACAAATAATCCTGGAAATAAATCGTGAAATTCTTCTCCAACCTCAAAGTGGAAATTATTTTCTGTTTTTAGTTTATACTTTATTTCATATAGAGAATAGTGTGTGTTTTTAAAGAGAAAAACTTATATAACCAAGAAAAATGGAGAAGCATCAACATATCAGAGCACTTATTAATGCTGTCAATGATTACTCAAAACATCAAAGTGAGGCAACTGCTTCAGCGCTTCAAATGAATCTTGCAGTAAGTTTTTGTGTTTTGCATTTTATTTATAAGGAAAAATAAAAAAAAAATGGAATATAAATATCAAATTTGTAACTAAACAAAAAATAATAATTTACAGATGATAAGTGCGTCAATAGACTTGAGTATATTTGATCCAGGAAGTTGCATAGCTGCCGATTTTTACGTCAGTTTGCATGAATTGATGAATACTTTAGGATCAAAAACAACTTTAATTTGGAGTGCCGTTGATGTTTTGCAAACAGCCTGTCGAAATACAGCCGCTCGACAAGCTCTCACACACACTTATAAATTTGCACCAATTTTGACCAGATTACTCGAGGTATTTTTCTTTCTTTCTATTTTAAAAACAAAATTCTCTCATTTATTTTATTCAGGCTTCGCACTCCTCTACTATTTTGAATTCTTTGACAAATAAATTTCTCAAAAAAATTATTAAAAAGATAAATTATTCAAATCTTCAAATTTTTGTTCACTAAGTAGATAAATACTTATTTATTTAGTTTTTAAGCTTCAAATCTAAATTCTTTTAAACTTCAATTATTTTCCAAACTTTTAGTTAGAAATTTAAAAAAAAAAAAGAATATTTTTTATGGAAATCAGGAAAATGTCAGAGAAATACATAATGAAATTTTTATGAATTTTGTGAATTGTCTAAAATAAGTTTTTTAGTCAACAAATTTAATTTTTCGATAGTAGCTATTTTTTTACTACTTTTCCAGTCTTAATGCTACTTTTTGATACTTTTTTTTAATCTTAAAGCTACTTTTTTTAAAACAAATTATTGAGTACGAAGTCTGATAGTATTTAAATACATTTATTTTCTTCAAGTAAAAATGAAATTTTTTCTTTTTAAGGCCCAGAATTTAACAGCGGAAAAAAGAATAAGAGCATTAAAACTCCTTCAGGAATTAACTTATGGTATAAAGATTTCATGGCAAGAGACTCATTTACCATATTTAATAACAACATTAACACAATGGGTGACACAGTCGACGGAAGAGGAAGTACTCGCCCTTTCGCTTGGTGTTTTAACGAATCTTTGTTATAAAAATTTACCAGCCGTTTACACATTAATGAGAACAATTGATTCAAAAATGTTTGTTCGAATTTTATTAAAACACCAAAGTCTCAATATCAATACACGTGTTCAATGTTGTAAACTATTGATAATTCTCGAGCACATAAATACTGAATTATCAGAGAAATCAATTCTTGATTTTACTCTCACGACTTTTAAAAGTATCATTCAGGCTCTTGAGAAACGTGATGTTTTACTTTTGAGACATATCGTTGACTTCTTTGAAGATGTTCGCCAAAAGAGTGAACATTCCCGTTTAATTTTATTATCATACTCTCAGTAAGGAAAATTTTTTATTTTATTGTATAAAAAAATAATATTTAATTTTTGGATCTTAAATTTTTCCTTATTAATTCAATATGAAAAATTTAATTTCAATATTTATTATTATTATATTAATTCCAGGAGATTTTTTTACAGTTTTTATTTTTTACAGTTATCAAAGGGACGTGGCCGCGATTTTAGCAACTTTAGAAAATGACTGTGATCCAGAATGTGTGGCTTTAATGATGGACTTTCTTCAGTCATTGGTGAAATTGAAAATAACAAATTTAATTTCTTTGTATCCTTCTTGTATAAAATGTGCCACCTCATACGTTCCCATGGAGCAAGTACGTCAATTTTAAATTAATTCCGTTTATTTTTAAAGTATTTACGAACTTTTTGTCTTTTTTTAATTTTTCTGTTAGTTAGAAAAAATCGTTCATTTAATTGTTATTTTAATATTCAATTTAATTTTTTTTCAGGTTTGTTCGAAAGCTCTTTCACTGATAAGAACAATTGTAATTGATTCGCGTCGAACAAAAACAATAACGGATGTTCTATCGGAATTGGATATTTCAATTTTAATGTTGATCGTTAATTCTTATGATGAGGAACAAAGTTTGGAACCAAGTTCCGAGAAAATTGCTCGTCTCAATGAATTAATGCAATTATTGCAAGAAATTGTGAAAATCGATAATTTAAGAGGAAAAGTTTTTCAATCATTCACCGATCAAACAATGAGAAAATTATTAAAAGGTATTCTTAATGACGAGGATCGTGATATGAGCCCAGATTATCCGGATAATATTTCTCCGGTAAGGAATTATGAATTTTCAAATTATTCGTATTTTACGAGACAATTTTCAATTTCATTCATTTTATTCGATTTATTTTTAGTTTACAGTATTTGTTTTTTTTTGTTTTATTTATTTTTCGTCTTTTTTTTAGAATCAGTCGACGACATTTTATGTTCATGCTTTGGCTTTGACTTCCGAAATGGCGCAAACAAATTCCGACTGGTTAACATTATATTCGGAGTTGATGCGAAAAAAACAGATCCACATGACAATGGCAATGGCTTTATTCACCGGTGACGAGGAAGTGAAGCAAAAAGTGCTGCAATTGCCAGCAACTGTATGCTTCCCTCAAGAGTGGTGAGAGTTTTCTTCTAATTCTATTTTTTCCCCAAAAGATTTTAAAATTACAAATTTATATTAATAATCGTTCTTTATTTATATTTATAAAGAAATTTGAAAATAATTGAATTTTATGGAGAATTCAATTATTTTCAATAATTGTAATAAAATTCTTTTTATTACAAAAGTTTTTAAATTAAGTTTTTAAATTAAATTTCAACTTCTTCTTAATTTTTGAATGTTAAAGACCTTTCTCTGTAAATTTAATCAATAAACATCTATTTTTCGAAATAAATTTTTATATCGATTAATTTTTTGTTTTTTGGTAATTTTTTATTACTTGAAATGTGTTTTATTTATTGCAGTCTCACAACAGTAGCTCATTGCATGGGCGAAATAGAATCTTTGGTACTTGTTCGTGGCGAAATGAATAAATCGAGTGAAAATAGAAATAAATATTCTGGACACTATTCAGGAATGGAAATGATGCCATTTATGTCACACGTTCAAGAGGAACGTCTCAATGTTTGCATTGATAAATTAAATAAAGCTCACGTTGAAAATAAAGTGAATGACGTTACAACTTCAGCTGTTATCGAACTCTACGAATACAAGGCATTTTTATTAATAGAATTTAATTTTTTCAAACAAGCAAAATCTGTTTACACAAAATTTAATATTTTTGTATAATTATTTTCATTTGACAGTTGGCGGCAATTCGAAACGCAGAAAGATCAAATCAAGCGAGTTTGGAAGCGGCAAACAATCGTGTCACCAGTCTTCAACATCAATTGGCGCAAGTTATCGCCGAATCGAGAAAATTACACCAATTACTCTTTCGTTCCCAACAATCATTGGAATGTTTACAAAAAGAAAAATCTCTTTTCTCCGCGAAAATAGAGGAAATCGAGAAAGAAAGTAAACGAGCTTATTTCGTTCACAATAAGGTAAAAATCACCCATTTCCTTCTTATATTTACCTTTTTTTTCTTTTTCAAAAACAAAAATCCAAAATATTAAGTATTAATAAAAATGAAAATCGAAAAACAAAAAAATATTACTTCGAAAAATCGTTAAATTTGAATTTTTTTCTTTCTAGGATAGTGAAAGTTTAAAGAAAATTGTTTCCGAAAAATCAGCGCAAATAGCAAAATACGAAACAATCGTAAGAGAACAAAAAGAGGAATTAAATAGTTGTAAAGAAAAAATTGAAGTATTTACGAAAAAAGTGTTAAAACTAGAAATAGATTATGCAACAATGGAGAAAAAATCACAGGAATTAAGTACTAAAAATCATGAAATGTCGAAATTGGTTAATAAAACGCAGGAAGGACTATCGAAAAAGGAACAGGTAAAAATTATCCAAAAACTTCATAATTTTCACATTAAACTTAAATTATTTTCAAAAATTTTAATAAAATTCTTGGCGAAATTTCAAATATTTTAAAAAATTTTCCTCAATTCAATTGAGGGTCTGGATGCTATAATGTGTTACGCGCAATTCACTTAACATGGCGCGTAACACATAAAAGCATCCAGCCCCTCAATTATTTTTAATATTTACTATTTTAATAAAATGTTCCAAAAGAATTCAAATATTTACCAAAAATATTATAAAAATCTATGCAAACATTTAATTATTTTCATAAGTAATACAAATTTTCCAAGAAAACCTCGAAAACTAAACTCCCCATATGCCGAAAACCTCGAAAGTTCAACTCCCCGAATTCTCAAAACCTCGAAAACTCAATTCCTCGAATGCTGAAATCCCCAAATGCGTATAAATAATTATATTTTTTTAGAAATTCAATTATTAAATTAATTTAATTTAATTTCAATTATTTTTAATACAATTTTAAATAAATCCTTCATAAAATACAATTATTTGTGAAAACTGAAAATTTCATTAAAATTCTTCTAAAGAATTCAATTGTTTAAAAATGTTTTCATTAATTTTTAAAAATAATTTAATTTTAAAGAGGTTGCAAATTAAAATCTTGGAGAATCTGATTTTTTCATACTCTTAACTATAACAATTCTGTAGAATTAATGTTTTTGAAAAAGTGTATTTGAATTTTTTTATTAATTGTTTAAAGTTTTTATTTTCAAAAATTATGAAAATTAATTGATTTAAAGTAGAATTTTATTTAAATATTCTAGAAAATTAAAATTTTGTCACTCGGTAAATTTTAATTATTACAAAACATGAATAAATAACTCGGAGTGATCGATTTTTTTCTGTTTTACAATAGTATTCTCAATACTTGTTGAATTTCATATAGTTTCGAATTTGAAACTTTAGAAAATTTTAATTCCTATGGAAAAATAATAATGATTAAATATTTATATTAAATAAAACTATGTATTTATGCTTTTGAATCATTTTAAAACCATAGAAATAGTCAAAATTTTGTCTGGAAATCAGGGAGAAACAAAATTAAATTTTTGTGCCAACCTCGAACACATAATATGAAAAATGTAAAAACTTAAATATTTTTTTATTTTTTTTCACAGATAATAGAGGAGAAAAATGTGGAGATCACCTCGTTACAAGAGGACAAGAACGCATTAAAACAGGAAATGCAACAATTATCAGTACAATGCAATAGATTGCAAGTAATTATTAAAGAAAAAGAAGAGATAATTCAAAAATACAAATCCGAAGTGACAGACTTTAGTCGAATGAGAGACATGATTTTTGAATTGACTGCAAAAAAGAAGGAAGATTTAAATTCCACGTAATATTAATTTTTTACAATATATACTAATTACCGACGAGAAAGAATACTTTTTTAATTTTAAAAACATCAGAAAGAAGTACTTTTTTTAAAAAGATTTATCACAATGAAAGAAAGAAAAAGTAAAGAAAAATATATACAAGAAAATTTTTTTTATTAAAAATTTGTGAAAGAAAAAAAAACATTTTTCATTAAATACTTATATATATATATTCAATAAGAAAAAATGTAGGTAATAAGGATGGAAATAAAATTCTGCTTTTATATAATTTTCGCGAAAGATTTTTTTATTTATTCCTGCATATTTCTCACGAATAATTAAAAATATCAGCGAATACTTACAATTTAATACTGTTTGTGTATCGTTTATATTCAATACTATTTTTTTCTATTATTGTAAAAAATTATCCTGTTTTTTATTTCACAATTTCCCTAAGGGATTTTATAATTTTCCTTTTTTTTCAAACTGCGATTTGAATTTTTTAAAATAATTTTAAAATCTCTTTAATCATTATTTATCCAATTTCCAAATAAAGAAAATAAACTTTAAAATAAAATCTGAATTAAAAAAATAATCTTTAATTTTTGTAAAAAAACTTTTTCAAAAAAATAAAAATTATTGCTAATCTAGCTAGAAATTAATTTTGTAAGTAAAACAATTAATATTGAATAAAATAGAAAATAAAAAAATTATTTTCGAATCTTATGATAATTTGTGCGAAAACAAAATTAAGAAGAACGAAGAATTAGGCTTAAAATTAACATTAAAATACTAGAAATTAACTATAAAATTTTGTCTACATATGGAAAACTTATGTTTCCAACAAGATCGGCTACTCTTTTATCATCATTGCACCTTCACAATATTTTTTGATTATAATATTCTGTTCAAAAAATTTTTATATTATAATTTTTAATATATATTTATATTAATATGTATAATATTATGTAATTATTATAAATTTCTTAGTAATTGTCTTTTGGTACATATAATTGTATAATTATACACTCACTGCAAAATAATTTCGTTTTTACTGTAAAATTCTTTTCATTAAAGTTTTTTATTCAAATTTTTATTTATAAATTCTTCCCTTTAAATTTTTATTTATAATTTTTTCAGTTTGGATTTTTATTTCTTATTTTATTTAAGAAAAATAAAATTTTTAGTTTATGAAAAAGAAATAAAATTTTTAGTTTATAAAAAAGGAATAAAAATAATGCTAAGGAAAAATATCAGCTTATATATAATTATACAATTATTCTCTAGTGATTATTCACTGAATTCATTAATGAGAATACAGTTAGAAAATTACATAATAATTAACAAATAATAAAATACATTTACATATTGTTCTTCGAAAGAATTATTATTTTTCGCAATTAATATTATTCGCAATAGTTCATCATTTTTTTTTAAAGAGAAATAAACATTTACAATAAAATTTAATTAACGTTTAATATCTATCTTTTTTTGGTAACTGCAGTTGAAAAAATGTAAAAATGATGAAATTTTGCAAAATCTAATTACTATTCTTTCGAAGATGAAAAATTATTTCGTTTTTCTTTCTACAATTCCACTTTAATATAATATTTTGCAGGAAACTTTGTACGAACACCTGAGAATTTCACATTATCCTCTAAATATTTTCTATTTCCATTTCTCGTTAGTCTCTTAATTTTTATTTTCCATAACATCGAACACTCAGGCTTTTTTGGATTATTATAATTATTATTAATATTATTAATATTATTATTATTATCGACATTGTAAAGTAAAACGGAAGAAAGCTTCTTGCTTTAGTCAAATACATTTTTCTGATATGAAATTCTAACAATAGACTTTTCTATATAAATGCTTTTTAATAAAACACAAGGCCTCGATGAATATTTTCAAGGTCTTTTTCTCTTTTTCTTTGTTTCTTAAATGTGAATTTTTACAAAAGCAAAAAGTCTTCAAATTACATTAGTCCAGGAAAATTATTTTCTTGTATTTTTTTTTAAATGTTTATATTTTCTTTTTTGAAAAAATTAAAAATTGTCACGAAATTTTTTTTTTTTAAAAGAAAATAATTTTTATTTTAGAGTGTAATGTCGAGAAAAAAATTGTCATGAAAGCTTATTGCAGTGTAAATATTATCTTTTCTTCTATTTCACATTTTAAAGCACCAGATAAATTTTTTGGAAAATCTCTTTTCATAAATAACTGATCACAGATAAGCAATTTTTCAAAACGCATTGCACGTCTTGATTTTTCTAGTTTAAAATATCATAAATTTGGTATTTATGTCATTTGTAAATACTAATTGTGTAAAGTAAGATTGGAATGTCTTAAAAATAAAAATCTCAGTGTCCAAAGATTTTTGTAAATATGTATATAGAGAAATCAATGGTTTTTTGGGGGGGAAATAAAATTTGTTTGTGCTAAATTTTTTTCTTTTTCTTCGAGAGACAGAGAAGAAAAAAGAATTGAAAAAAGAAAAGAAGAAAGAAATAAGTGAAAGTAAAGTCTCAATTGGATTTTTTTTAATTTTGAGAAAGTAAATGTGTTTTTTCGGAAAAATTCAATTGAGACTTTCTTTCATTTCAATTTTGCTAAAAGGTACTGAGAGCTAGACGATCGAGCGGCAAACCATTCTCCACAATGAGTGTTTGTCTACTGGAATTTGGTCATCATCTACGACCTCGGCTCCATGGTTGTTCGCTCGCTGAGGCGAAGAGAAGATAAAAGCAACTCGCTCCCATATTTATTCCGGCTGCCAACCAAAATACCGTGTGCCAACGTGCCAAAGTCTCCTGAATATTACGAAAAATATAGTCAACAATTTTTCAATATTTACAAAATTAAATATATTTACTAAATTAATATCTCTTTCTTTTAATATTTCAGGTTTCGCACTCGATAATTAATTTAAAATAGTTAGCAAAAAGTAGTATAAATTTTTCTAAAACTCAAATATTTTCCAAATTTTTAGTTCAAATTCTTCGAAAATACGATTAAATTTAAAAATAATTTTAAAAAGTAACAAAATAAAATTCATTGAAATATAAATTCTTATAAAGTATTTTGTAAAATTTTTTAAAAATAATTCAATTCTTTCAAAGAATATAGTAACAAAATTTTTAAGAATAATTGAATTTTTTTAGAGAATTCATTTAAAATATTAAAAATTAATTAAATCCTGCAAAAAATTTTATTATTTAAGAAATTAATTGAATTCTTGCAACGAATTTTATTACATTTTTTTTTTAAATAATTGATTTCTTGCAACGAATTTTATTACATTTTTTTTTTAAATAATTGATTTCTTGCAACGAATTTTATTAAATTTTTTTTAAATAGTTGATTTTTGTGAAAAATTTTATTATTTGTGAAAATAATTGAATTTCTTGAAAACAATTTTAATAAATTGTTTTTTCAAGTACTTGAATTCTTTCGAAGAAATTTTTTAAAAATTTTAAGAATAATTGGAATTTTTAAAGAATTTATTAAAAATTGTATTAAAAATTAATTAAATCCTGCAAAGAATTTTATTGTTTTTGAAAATAATTGAATTCTTAAAATGAATTTTATTAAAATTTTTTTAAATAATTAAATCCTTTGGAAAGAATTTTATTATTTAAGAAAATAATTGAATTCTTGCAACGAATTTTATTAAATAATTGATTTCTGTGCAAATTTTATTATTTAAAAAAAATTGAATTTTTGCGAAGAATTTTATTAAACATTTTTTTAATTAATTTAATTATTTGTAAAATTTTATAAAAATTGTAAATATTAAAAGTAATTGAATTTTAGCGAAGAATTTTATTAAATGTTTTTTTAAATAATTGAATTTTTTTGTAAAATTTTTTAAAAATATTAAATATTGAAAATAATTGAATTATTTTGTGAAATTTTATTAAAATATTAGATATTGAAAATATTTGAATTTTAGAAAATAATTCAATGGTTTTAAAGAATTTTAATAACTATTTTTTAAATTGTTTCTAAGAATTTTTCTAAAATGTTTGAGAATAAATTTTTCATTTTAATTATTAGGGAGTTTAAAGTTATGGAAATTGTTAGTTAAATACATATATATGAAAAATTCAGGTTTTCAAAGATTTTAATTTGAAACCATTTCAAAATTCAATTATTTTTAAAAATTCACGCAATAATGCTTTTACTATTCAATTATTACAAAAATAAATAAATTAATAAATAATTAAATGTTTCTTAAAATTGAATTCTCATAAAGAATTTCATCAAAAAATGTTTTAAATAATTGAATTATTTCGTCGAATTTTAATAAAATTTCCAAGAATAATGACATTTTTCGAGAAATTCGATTAAAATTTTATTTAAAATAATTGAAATCCTACGATGAGTTTTATTATTAGTGAAAATATTTCAATTCCATTTTATTATTTATAAAAATAATGGAATAATTGCAAAAAAAATTTTTAAAAAATTGAATTCCTGCAAAATTTTTATTATTTATGAAAATAATTAAATGTTTGAGTAGAATTTTATCAAAATTTTTTTTAAATAATTCAATTCTTTTGGAAAATGTTATTAAAATAGTAAATATTGAAAATAACTGAATTGAGGAAAATTTTTGAAAATAATTGAAATTATACCAAGAATTTTTAAAAAAATTTTTGAAAATAATTGAATTTTGGGAAAGAATTTTGTTATTTCGAAAGATAATTGAAATTTTGAAGTGCTTTTTAAAAAAATTTTTAAACAAATTAATTTAATAAATTGAATTTCTGGGAAGAATTTTTTTACTTTTGAAAATAATTGAATTTATGCAATCATTTGTAACTTTTACAAAATTCAATTTTTTTGGGTCTTTTTAACACTAATTCTTCTATAAATCCATTATTTTGAATAATGAATTAATTATATATTAAAAAATGTAATTAATTTTAGATGAATTTGAATTATTGGAATTTTTTAAAAATCTAAGTAGCAAATCGTAAAAAAAAGTAGTTGATATTTTTTTGAGAAAATTTGATTGATTTAAATTTGATTTTAAATTTAATCAGTTTGGTATTTAGAAAATATAAATTTTCTACTCACATGTCCCTCGACGATTGTTCCGACGATATAAGGCGCCAAGAATCCACAAACATTTGCGGCGGCATTTGTCAGGCCATAAAGTGTTCCAGCGTATTTCGGCGACAGGGCAATGTGATTCATTTGATTTCCAGCGTAAATTGCACCGTAAAGTGAACCCAAACCGGCGAGCATCACCATCACGACAAAACGATCGCAAACTGCCCAAATAACACCAATGAAACTAAGACTCGGACCCAATGATCCAATTGTATTCCACAATTTAAACGAAGTCAATGGACTGATGCTTCGTCGTGCCAATAAAGCATCGGCGAAAGTCGATATCACTAGGCCCACTATCCAAGCCGTTAAATACGGCAATGCTGCAAGCAGCAAATCCCTTTGCATATTCATATGTAAAATTCGATCCATAAATGTTGGCAATTCCGTGAGAAGAATGTAGAAAGCCCACGATTGTCCGCATTGCGTTATCATTATTGCCCACACTGGTAATGACGTGAAAATTTGACCCCAAGGCACTCCATTATCCTCCTGTTTTCAAAATTAACATATTATTATTTATTACAAATGAGAAAAAAAAGAAAATTTATGGAGAAACTAACATCGTCCTTGGGTTCCACACAAGCTTCAATGTAAGCCTTTTCTTTGGGATCAATTCGTGGATGAACGGCCGGCGAGTCATAAATGAAAAACAACCAGAAAACGTACCAAACAATTCCAAGACCACCGAATAAATAGAAAGCTAGTGGCCAACCTCCCCAAAATTCTAAAGAGCAAAGCCATCCACTCAATGGTAACGAAATTATTGTCCCGAAATTGGATCCTAAAAACATATTCATTATTAACATTTTTACAAATATTTATAATTACAATATAATACTAATAACCATTGTATACGTTAAATTCTTTCAAGAAATTTTATTAAAAACTTTTTAAATAATTGAATTCACTCAAGAATCGCATTTCGTGTGCGTAAAATTTTCTGATGATTAAATAAGATTATTAAATTACATATTAATATAATTACAAATATAATTGACACCATAATTAGTATTATTATAAAAATTTCCCACCTGCATAAACAATTGCGGCAAATTTACTCCTTTCTAATGGCGGAACCCAATGAGCCAACATACTGTGCATTGCAGGAAAAGTGACACCCTAAAATTTATTTATACAAAAATTTTCAGAGAATATATATATTAAATATTTAAATATAATAAATTAATAAATTTTACCTCGGTGAAACCTTCTGCAATTCTAACGGCTAAAAATGGATATAATCCCCAATAAGCAGCGAATGGACTAACGACTGTTAATATCGCGGTTAAAAATACTCCCAAACCAAAAACAACTTTTCCACCAATTTTCTCCGCCATTCTTCCACCTGGAACATTTGTCGTCACATATCCAATGAAAAATGCTCCTAAAATTATACCCTGCGTTCTCTCATCCCAAGCAAATTCACCAGGACTCTGAAAATATATTCAAAAAAAAAAATTATTAAATCAAAAAATATATCTAATTACAAGTTAAATGTTTTACTATATCACTATTTGTTTAATTTAGCTTTTATACTATTAATTTAGATTATTTTGATTTAGTTTATTTTCTAATTTATTTTAAATTTCTCTAATTTTTTATTTAGTTAAATTAATTTCTAATTAAATTCTATTGTTAATTTATTTTTTATTTTCTTAAATTTAATAAATTTACTTTACTTAATAAGAAAATTTTAGAAAATTAAAATTTTTATAAAGATAATTGAAATTAAGACGAGAATTTAAAAAAAATTTTGAAAAAAATTGAATTTCTACAATTGTTTGTAATTTCTCCAAAATCAATTTGCTTTTAGTGTTGTTAACTAAAATTCTTCTATATGGGCAATTCCACGTGAGATTTCAGTTGACCTCTTAAAATCGGCCAAAAATATTTTTTTTCTATTCTGTATTGAAAAAAAACAGATACGTATTTTTTTATTATTTTTTTGGAGGCCAAATTTTTGAGTTATGAATTTTCAAAATTTTCGTTTTTTAAATGAAGATATATTTTTAATGTCAGATAACTCAAAAAATATTGCTTCTTTTCATTTTTTGACAAGAGAAAAAAAGTTTTGTTTTTCTCTCTACTTTTGAATAATCATAACAAAAAAAAATTTTTTTCATTTTTTATTAAAAAAATAAAAAAATTTTATAAACAAATTAATTTTTTTTAACTTTGGGTATGATAAATTTTTAATTTTCTTTTTCTAAAACATACCTGGAAATGATAACAAGGTTTTGCAAAAAGTTTCAGAGTGGGCCTGACAAATTTGATGGGTCCAAAAAAATAATTAAGCTCTCTGTGCAGGTCGCACGCACGTGGCACAATGGGACTTTTTTACAATTTATTATTAAAAATTGTTTAGAGCCTAAAAATTCAATAATAATCAAAATCCGATAAAATTTGTAGGCTCTAGACAATTTTTAATAATAAATTGTAAAAAAATCCCATTGTGCCACGTGCGTGCGACCTGCACGGACAGCTTAATTTTTTTTTTGGACCCATCAAACTTGTCAGGCCCACTCTGAAACTTTTTGCAAAACCTTCTTATCATTTCCAGGTATGTTTTAGAAAAAGAAAATTAAAAATTTATCATACCCAAAGTTAAAAAAAATTAATTTGTTTAAAAATTTTTTTTATTTTTTTAATAAAAAATGAAAAAAAAATTTTTTTGTTATGATTATTCAAAAGTAGAAAGAAAAACAAAATTTTTTTTCTCTTGTCAAAAAATGAAAAGAAGCAATATTTTTTGAGTTATCTGACATTAAAAATATAGCTACATTTAAAAAGCGAAAATTTTGAAAATTCATAACTCAAAAATTTGGCCTCCAAAAAAATAATAAAAAAATACGTATCTGTTTTTTTTCAATACAGAATAGAAAAAAAATATTTTTGGCCGATTTTAAGAGGTCGACTGAAATCTCACGTAGAATTGCCCATATATATAAATTATTTTTAATAATTTCTAAAAAATTCTTTGCGAATTTTTAAATCCATTTGCTTACAATTCAATTTTACGAAATTCCGATTATTCGGAAATTTTTTAATTAAATATATATTAGAAAATAAAAACTTCAAATAATTTTTAAAAAATTCAATTGAACTTTTTCAAAAACATTGATTCTAGAGAATTGTTAGTTACAAAAATTATGAAACATTAAAATTTTCAAAGATTTTAATTTGAAACCTTTTTAAAAATTCAATTATTTCTTAAAATTCACGCTATAATACTTTAAATATTCAATTATAATTTAAAATTTTAACTAAAATTCATTTTTAAATTAATTTTTATTATAAAAAATTCTAGCAGAATTCAATTATTTAAAAAGGAAAATAAATAATTGAGGAATTCATAATTTAAAATTGAATTCGCTTAAAGAATTTTGTCAAGAAATTTTTAAAATAATGGAATTCTTTCTATGAATTTTAATAAAATTTTTAGGAATATTTACTTTTTTCGAAGAATTTGATTAAAATTGTATTAAAAATAATTGAATCCCTCTTAAAAAATTTTATTATTTATGACAATAATGGAATTATTGCAAAGAAATTTATAAATAATTTCTAAATAATTGAATTTCTGTGGAAAATTATTTTTAAATAATTAAATTCTAAGGAAAATTTTATTAAAACAGTAAATATTAAAAATAATTGAATTGAAGAAAATTTAAAAAAAAAATTGAAATTTTGCCAAGAATTTTATTAAAATTTTTGAAAATAATTGAATCATTCTGCAATCATTTGTAATATTTAAAATTATTCAAATTTCTACGAAGAAGTTTATTCAAATTTCTTTGCAAATAATTGAATTATTTTTAAATCTTTCATTACAATTTTTGAAAATAAATTAATTCTTTCAAGAAATTTAATTAAAAATGCATTGCAAATGATTATTAAATTCTAATAAACAAAGAATATCAAATTTGTTTAAAATAATGGAATTCTTTGGAAGAATTTTATTAAAATTTTTGAAAATAATTGAATTTTTGCAGTCATTTGTAACTTTTCCAAAATTCAATTTCTTTAGTGTTTTTAACTAAAATTCTTCTATAAACCTATTATTTTTAATAATTATTTAAAAACTTTTAATAAAAATCCCTGATTTTTCCCAGACTTCCCTGACCTGTGGCAACCCTGTTGTAGAAAAGAGAAATACTTACAGGTGGTGGGATTATTGAACCATTTGTAATTGGGTTAAAGGAGCAGACATCAGTTGTGTCATTATCGTCGGAATGTGGAATTGCAGTTTGATTAACCATAGAGACAATTGCAACTGATAAATTAACTCTCATTGCATAAACCAATGCAAAACCTAAAAAACCTAGAAATCCGAGAGTGTATCTTGCTTTAATACACGATCTAACATCTTCAGGAATATCAGCTGGAATCAATCCAGTTTTGTCTCTATAATCCACTAAAAAAGAAAGAAAAAATGTTTTTTCGTTGAGAAAAAATACACAAAAAAACTACACAATTTTCTTCTAAATATTATTATTATTACCAAAAATTAATTATATAAACAAACTTTAGGCATCACTTGACAAAAAAAATTAATCCACAAATATCCAAAATAAAACAAAATTCCTTTTTTTCAAAGAAAGAAAATCAAATTATAAAAAATACAAAACTCGAAATGGTAATGAATCACGTAACAGTGAGACAATCATAAATTAAACATTAAATTTCTCAAAAATGACGCGTTAGTAAATTATTCCTATAAAATATAATAGATTTCTTATATTTATTTCTTAAAATCATTTATACGATTTATACAATTATACAAATAGAGAAAATATAAATGCATTCGCGTATGATTTGTGAAATGATTAAAATTATGAATCATCCAAATATTTTTCTGTTTATATACGGAGAAAAAGAAAAAAGAAAAAACGCACATTGGAACATATGATATTATTGAAGTTGAGGTATGCGAGAAAGTAAACAAACCTTTTTCACGAAGATCATCATTTTGATCCTCTGAAACACTTGCATCGAGAACTTCCATGATGTTTCACGTTCCTGAATATTCCTGGAGCAATAATTTTCGCCACTATTGTTTGTTCGTAATTACGCCTACAAAAGATTTTTTTCTTTCTCTTCCGCTTACTTCCGCTGGTTTGACATTCACTACTGACGACAATCTATACGCATCTACACTCACACAGCCTTCTCATGTTTGTAACACAATTTTCTTTGTGTGCAACTCTCCAATTGTGACAGCTGACATTTTTAGGTTAGGTTCGTTTCTCTTTATTTCTCCGATTTTTTACTTATTTGTACAGGGATTGTTTATAAAAACAAACAAACAAGTGAATAAATAATTATTAAGCATATTAAAATAACAAAAGTAATTGTTAACTACCTTAACTACTTTAATTAATTAATTTAAGTGAAAAAAACGTTAGTTCCGAGTTTGTCCGCAAGATATAGGTAGATGTCGCCCCAAAAAATGACCAATTTTAGTAGTTTTTGTGTTTTCCATGTAATTCGCCTTCGTCTAAACTAGCCCTCTCATTGGCCAGATTCAAATTTGCGCGGGGATTCAGCAGGCCAATGAGAGTAATATAAAGCCTAAAGGCGCGTTTCCACATGGGTCGCTCTCATTGGCTTGTGCTAGTCCCCGCGCAAATTTAAATCTAGCCAATGAGAGTGCTAGTTTCGACAAAGTCGAATTACATTGAAAACTCAAAAACTACCAAAAAACACCATTTTTTGGGGCGACATCTACCTATATCTTGCGGACAAACCCGGAACTAACGTTTTTTCACTTAAATTAATTAATTAAAGCAATTATTAATTACTTTTATTACTGGAATATGATTGTAAATCATTTAGATTAATGTAATTAAGCTATTTATCAAGTAAGCTTATTAATATAATGCAAAATATTGAATAATGCGATAATGCGCAATTTTGTAAACAACATAACCTCTAAAAATGACAGATCACGTGATTGTTTAGAAAACAATGCAAAGTCTTATTTTCGACATTATTTTTCAAGAAAATTATTATTAAAATTTGTAAACAAAAACATCTAGAATGAATAAATTTCTTTTTATAATATATAAAAAGAAATAAAAATGTAAATTCTTCATGATTTATTATTTATTATTATAAGTAATTAGTTAATAAACATAAAATTAAAAATTAATTCATAATTTATTTTATTTGTTATTGTTTTATTACATTTACATTTTTTATTAGAAAACAATAAATTTATATTAAAAAAAAAACGGAAAAGATAACCAATGAGCATGTGATTTATTTAACGCATGCGTAAATTGTAAAAGTACTTGACATGTCAAAAATGTTTTTATTTAATTCTGCACATTCTGCATCAGAAATTATTTCATATTTTATATAATATATAAAGTCATTAAGTTTTTTATTTTCTTTCAAAATAAATAAAAGGGAAACGTAGTGTTTAATAGTTCACTTTATTCATTTTATAAATACTAATTATTCTTTTCATTTATTTCCGCAAATAAAATATCGGTGAGTACTGTGTCATAAAAATGTATAAAATTCATAGTGAAATTTCTTTACGATTAAATAATAACAGAAAAGCGATTATAATGTAAATGGTAATTTTTGTAATTTTATTCATTTCATTCTTGAAATTTTTTGAAAATTTTATTAAATCAAATTTGAGAAGAGTGCGCTGAAAAGTTAATAATAAATATACAAATTTTTTGAGGTTATGTTTGGAATAAAAAAGTATTCTTTTCTTTAAATTAATATTTATACTCTAATGGTTAATTAATAATTATAAACAACATTTGTAGAACAATTTGATTTCACTGGCTATTGTAAATTTATTTATTTAATTTTTCTTTAAATTACAGGACTGAGAAATGGAGGAAATTGTCAAAAATTATGTCTATAATTTTCAATGAATTATTTCTACATTCTTATGAGGTTTACAATTAATTAGATTAATAATTATACCAAAGAATTACAAGACAGGAAAATTAAAAAGGTAAAGTAATTATTATATTTTTTTTTATTGTTGAGATTACTATTTACTGAATTTTTTTTATTTACAGAATATTTTCATTTACCGAATTTTTATTTACTGAATTTTTTGATTTACAGGCCTCGGATATTATGACTTTTTTGATTATTTTCAATTATTGTTCAAAGATTTTACCAAATTTCAATTATTTTTTAAAGATTTTATCAAATTTTAATAATTTAAAAGATTTTACCAAATTTCAATTATTTTCCAAAGATTTTATCATTAATTTTAATTATTTTTTTAAAGATTTTACCAAATTTCAATTTTTTTTTACATTTTTAATTATTTAAAAATATGTTTAAAAAATTAATATTAGGAATTTCTTTATTATTAAAAATATTCTACCTTAATATCTTTAAAAAGAAAAATAGACAGTTTCAATTGTTGTAAAAAATTGAATTTTTGTATTTAAATAAATTGATAAAAATTAATATAGATAATTGATTGAGAGATGAAGTTTAGTTAAAAATTGTAGAAAATAATTGAATTTTGGAAGGGTTATAGTTTTAATTTTTGTGAATTATTAAATTTCAGGAAATTTTCTAAATTTTATTTCCCGTGAAAATAGAAATAAAAAGTATATTTAAATATTTATTTAACAAAATTATTCAAGTTTTAATTAATTGAATTTAGAAATCAGGGAAATAGAAAATAAAATTTTTGGGACAACACTGAATTAAATAAACTTAACGACTTTTTCGACTTTTTTCTATTTTGAATCTTCTAAAGCAATTTTTTTGCTCGTTAAAGTCGATTCGAGGCCTGTATTTAGTTAGAGAAGTTATTTATAAATATAAAACATAAAAAAATGAATAAAAATATTTTTCTATTAATAAAAATGTTAATTCTTTTTTTTTTCTTGCAGAAATTCAATCAAAATGGATTTACAAACAGTTGCGTTCACACCATTTAATGACGATCTATTAAAAACACCGCAAGCATTTGCTCAACAATGTAAAGTTGTTTATAAACGAAATCACATGATTCCATTGAGTTTAAAATACGAGATATTACAACGAATGAAAAATGGAGCAACATTGACAAATCTCGCGAAAGAATATAATATACCAAAATCGACGATTGGACGTATTCGTAAAATGGAGGGTGAATTGGAGAAATTTTGCCTCGAGAAGGAGCACATTAATGGAATGTCAAAAAGAAAACGTCTACAGGGACGTAAAGGTGATATTGGTCTTGACGCATGCATGGAAATTTGGTATCAACAAAATTATTATCTCGGCAATTTAATACCCGGTAAAATGCTACAAGAGAAGGCACTCGAATTTAATGTGAAATTAAACGGTCCAAAGACATTTAAAGCAAGTAATGGTTGGCTACAAAGTTTTAAAACACGTTGCGGTATTAAGAAACAACATCGACAAGATGAGAAACGTTCAATAAATAGTGGTACAGCCTGTGAATTTCAAACAAAATTTTCTCAAGCATTAAAAAATGATAATTATCCCCTGGACAATATTTATAGTTGCGATGAAAATATTCTCTGGTGGAAGACATTTCCAAAAAAAACAGCCTATGAGAAAAATGCACCAAAAGTTACATTAGTCATGAGTGCGAATGCAACCGGAAGTCATAAAATTCCTCTAATGATTATTGGACGTTCGAAAATTCCCTGGAGTTTAAAAACAGCGGATAAATTGTCAATAAAATATAAAGCACAAGAAAGTTCGTGGATTGATACAGGAGTTTTTACCGATTGGTTAAAGACAATTTTCATCCCCTCAGTGAAGAAGCGTCAGCAAAAAGACGGTAAATCAGGTTCTATTGTTTTACTCCTCGATTCAGCCGCCTGTCGTTACGTGTCCGATACAAATTTCACTCTCAGTGGAATTTTAGTAAAATTAGTTCTTCTTCCAATGAATCTAACATCCGACGTTTTACCCTCAAATCAAGGTATCATTGAAAAATTGAAATTAATCTATCGACAAAATTTTCTGAAAGAAATTTTAGAACGTGGCATTAAGGCAGACAGTGAGAGTTTGTGTGAATTTTTAAAACAATGGAATTTAAGGGACACTTGTCATATATTGAAAAGTGCATGGGAAAGTGTTTCGCCTTTAATATTAATACAATCGTGGCGTAAAGTTTGTACAAACGATATGTTCGATGAACAAATGGAAATTGACAGTGAATTAAATGATAAACCGGAATTATTAAATTTATTAAAACGAATTCCAGGCTATGAGGATTGTAATGAGAATGACGCGAACAAATGGTTGGATGACGATTCCAGTGAATATGATGACGAGGAAAAGGAGAGTGATACTAGTGCAATAATAAAGACAAAAAAAAATTCACATTCAACGGAGAAAATTGTTGTTAATAATTCAAAAAATGATAGGAACGAAATTATTTCCTCGACGGACGCTATTTTGAATTTAGAAAATGTTCTCAGGTGGATGAATCATCAGGATGATTTGAAAAAGGACATTTCTTACGTTTCTGAATTGTGCGAAAAAATAAAGAAGAAAATCAAATGAAAGAAAATTATTTTTTTCGATTTCTGTATAAGAATGTAAATAAAAGTTTTTTTTATATAATCGAATTAATGCAATTAAATTTTCTTGAAAATAAAGGAATTTTTTAAAATAATTTTTACTGAAATTTTTGAAAGTAATTGAATTTTATTAAGAATTCAATTATTTTCAATAAATAAATTTAATCGATTTCTTCGAAAATTTCAATTATTCAATTATTTAAAAAAGTTGTAATAAAATTCAATTTAAGAATTGAATTATTTTCATAAATAATCAAATTATCGCTGGAAGTCAATTATTTTAAATACAATTTTAATTTTATTCCAAGGAAAATTATTTAAATAATTAATTAAAACATTTCTTTTAAACAATTTTATTGGAGTTTTTGTAAATAATGACATTATTTAAAAAGAATTTCAATAAATTTCATAAAAATAATGATATTTTTTTAAATAATTATAATTGAAAATTTTGAAAATAATTGAAATTTACAAAGAATTTTATTAAAAACTTTTGAGAATAATTGAATTGTTTAGAAAAATTTTATTACAATTTTTAAAAATAATTGGACCAGTTAGAGAAATTTTAATAAAATTGTATTGAAAATAATTGAATTCTTGCCAAGAATTTTACAATTTATAAAAATAATTGAATTGTTTTGAAGAATTTTATCAGAATTGTTGAAAATAATTGAATTTTTATTAAAACTCCGGAAAATAATTGAATTGAAATAATATTTTTAAAAATAATTTTATTCTTTCGAGAAATTTTATTAAAATTGTATTGAAAATAATTGAATTGCTCTAAAAAATATTATTTAGGAGAATAATAAAATTCCTGCGAAAAAGTTTATTAAAATTTTTGAATTTCAGTAATTTCTATACGATTTCTACATTATCGACAGACAAACGGCTGTCAAAAAAAAAACAAAACATAACCTCAAAAATAGTGAATACACAAAACACAACGTCCTAGGTCGTATATATTTCTTTATTTATTTACAAAAAGCAAAGAAAATATATAAAAATGGGAAAACACGAAGTGGGTACACCGAAATATATTGCAAATAAAATAAAAGCTAAAGGACTGCAAAAATTACGTTGGTATTGTGAAATGTGTCAAAAACAATGTCGCGACGAGAATGGTTTTAAATGTCATACAATGTCTGAATCGCATCATCGACAATTACTTTTGTTTGCCGATAATGCTAATAAATATATTAATCAATTTTCCAAAGATTTTAGTGAAACGTTTCTCGAATTATTGAAACGACAATTTGGCACAAAACGAGTGCCCGCCAATCGTGTCTATCAGGAATACATTGCTGACAGGGGTCATGTTCACATGAATGCAACAATGTGGCTCACGTTGACGGGTTTTGTCAAATGGCTCGGACGTTCTGGAAAATGTGTCGTCGACGAAACAGAAAAAGGTTTATTCTACGTTTTTTTATGAAAAAAAAAAATTATTTCTTTATCAGGGTTGCCACAGGTCAAGGAAGTCAGGGAGAGTAGAATATTAGTCAGGGATTTTTACTAAAAGTACTAGATCAAAAATTTGTCTCGAAATCAGAGAAAAGTCAGGGGATAAAAATTAAACTTTTGTGGCAACTTTGTCTATCATTTGTCTCTAATTTAACTTCTATCCAGATTTCGGATTATTTTCAACTTATTTCATCTACTAATTAAAATATTTTCCCTCCACAGGTTGGTTCATAACGTACGTTGATCGCGATCCAGAGGCAATAGCATCGCAAGAGAAACAGGCGAAAAAAGAGAAAATGGATCGAAATGAAGAGGAACGAATGATGGCATTTATTGAAAAACAAGTCGTAACGGGTCGTCAAAATCTATCCGACGATACAAACGATGAATTAACACCATTAATAAGAACCGAAGACGAGCCTCTTGTATTGAACATGAAATTAAAACCAAAATTATTACCTCCAACATTAATAAAAAATGGAATTCTCGGTAAACGTAAAGAACCAATAGAACTCGAAACAATCACGGAAATTGACAATGAAATGACTTCTTCAAAATTAATAAAAAAAGAACAAACTCCATCAGTGAAAAGTGAAAGCGAACAAGAATCGTCTTCTTCAACATCGACAAATTCAAGAAATGAAAAATTAAAAAAAGGTTGGTTACGCAATGGTTTAGTTGTTAAAATAATGACAAAGAAAGTTGGCGATAAATATTATAAAGCGAAAGGTGTTATTACGGAAATTGTTGATCAGTTATTTTACGTGGGAAAAGTGAAAATTAGTTCACCTGAGAATGTCGAGGGTCATATTTTGAAACTTGATCAGGAACATCTTGAAACAGTGATACCGGCAATTGGACGTGAAGTTATGATGCTTAAGGGTAAAAATATCGGTGAAATAGTTATTGTAAAAAAAGTGAGAATTGAAGACTTTTGTGTTGACGTTGAACTGAAAACGGGCACTATTCTAAAGAGAGTTCCATACGAAGAGATTTGCAAATTTGTCAAAAGTTAAAATTAATTTTCAAATTTTTTCTATCATTAAACGAATGTAAATATAATTATTTAATTTCTATTATTATTATTACTATCAAAGTTTACACTGAATTCATTTTTTTTTTTTTTTTTTTTGAGATGCAAATTACAAAATTTTTTTATTTTTAAATATCAACTTTAATTTTTAAATAATTTTAGATTTCAAATTAAACAAAATCCACCTACCAGGGCTCGAATTAGGTCCGTAAATTTTTTTCAAGTCCGCAAAAGTCCGTTTTTTTTTTAAAAAGAAACGAAAACTCCGTAATTTGTTTGAGAAAAGAACGAAAAGTTCGTAAATTGTATACGATATAATTTGGAGAATTTTAATAAAATTACAAATGATTGCATAAATTCAATAATTTTCAAAAGTACTAAAATTCTTCGCAGAAATTCAATTATGTTCCAAAATTAAAAGAAAATTCTTGTCAAAATTTCAATTATCTTTAGAAAAAATAAAATTCTCCGAAATTCAATTATTTTCGAAAATTTTAATAAAATTCTTGGCAAACATTTTATTATTTTCATAAAATAATAAAAAATTTTACAGGAATTCAATTATTTATAAAAATTTTCTTTAAATTTCTTCGCAATAATTCAATTATTTTCATAAATAAATAAAAATTTTACAGGGACTCAATTATTTTCGTTAATAATAAAATGCTTTTTATAAATTCAATTATTTTCACAAATAATAAAACTTTTCGGATAAATTCAATTATTTTTAATACTATTTGAATCGAATTTATCAAAAAATCTAATTATTCTTAAAATTTTTTATTAAAATTCGTCGAAAGAATTTAATTATTTAAATTTTGTTCATAAAATTATTTATGAGAATTCAATTTTAAGAAACATTCATTTATTCAATAAATTATTTATTTTTACATTACAAATCATTGCAGAAATTTAATTATGTACAAAAATAATAAAATTCTTCTTAGGGATTCAATTATTTTCACAAATAAAAATACTTTTCGCAGAATTTCAATTATTTTAAATACAATTTTAATTAAATTTCTTGAAAAATCTAATTATTCTTAAAAATTCTATTAAAATTCGCCGAAACAATTTAATTATTTAAAAATTTGTTGATAAAATTCTTTATGAGGATTCAATTTTAATGTAAAATTTTAGATAACAATTGAATATAAAGACAATATAGCGTGAATTTTTAGAAATAATTGAATTTTGAAATTAATTTTTTTGAAAAAGTTTAATTGAATTTTTGTAATATTATTTGAAGTTTTTATTTTTATTTTCTAATGTAATATTTAATTGAAGAATTTACGAATAATTGAAATTCATAAAATTGAATATTGTAAACAAATGGATTTGGTTCGAGCCCTGACCCACTAATTAATTATTCTTTATTATTTAAAAAGATTTTAATTAAATATTCGTAGAAATTCAATGGTATGGAATATATATATATAATTTTAATTAAATTTTTCGAATTATAATAAAATTATTCTAAACAATTTATTTTAATATTACAATACATTATTAGAACATTATTACATTACTAGAACATTATCATTACATTATTCATAAATTTGTTTCATAACAAATGCGATTATAAATGTAAATAATATTTATTTATACTTATTATGATTAAAAAACCTGTTTTTAAAAATTTTCTTTTTAATTTTGCCATAACATTTTGACAGTCGAAAATAATTGAACGCAAATTATATACAAGCCAATAAGTTTTGCAAGAATATTTTGCAAATTTCTTTATAAAATTTCAAAAAAGTAACTTATTTATTACTAAATAATTAAATCTAGTACAAAAATTCATAATTGTTTTTTCTTTTAATATTAAAATATTCCTAAGCAATAGCTTAATGAGGAAATTTCAATTATTAGTTTCTTCCTCATAAATCTTTATCAATTAATGTACAATTATTAAGTTTATCAATATAGTCTGGATTTTTTCTTTTAAATTCTTCAAATTTCTCTTGACACTCATCCAATGGCAATACTTGACAAGTGAGAGTTGGTGCAATTACACATTTGCAAATTGCGCAACTGTATGTATTTTGTACTGCATTATATTTGTTTAGTCTCGAAAAAACTCCCATTGTAAGTGGACCAAACGTACATTTTCCTTTAATTAACAAATATCAAAAATTAAAAATGTTTTAATTTGAATAATGTAAATTAAATCTTTTTAAAGAAAGTGAATTCAATTTTTAAGAGAAAATTCGAATTTTCCTTTATTTTTATGAAAATGAAATAAATAAATTATTATTTATTTATTTCATAAAAATAGAGGAAAATTCGAATTAACTTTTTTACTTTGTAAACGTTCCATAAAAAAAAATTTTAATATTGAATACATTTTTTTATATTGAAGAAAGCATTTTATTTACCATAAAAAGTTCATATTTAGTGTCGTAAATTTTCAAACTTACCAAAACTATCAGGCATTTCTAAATTGGATATTACAGTGTCACCCTTTCTATCTATAAAATTCAAAAACAATTGAATCAATTTCAATAACCTAAATATTGAATTAATAACAAAAATATTGGAGCATTATTTTAGAAAAATTGTTTTTTCTTTTTTGCATACTTATTATATTAATTATAATTATTAATTAATTATTATTATTGTTTATATTTTCAAAAATTTTAATATAATTTTTCGGAAGAATTAAATTATTTTTATAAATAATAATAATATCATTCTTTGGAAGAATTCAATTATTTTTATAAATAATAAAATTTTTTGCAAAAAATTAAATTATTATCAATAAAGTTTCACAAAAGAATTTAATATTATTTCTTAATTCGTTATACAATTTTTCAAAGTAATTCAATTATTTTCAAAAAATTTTAATAAAATTCTTCCTAAAAATTAAATTATTTTCAATAGAATAACAATTTAATTCCTCCAAAGAATTTAAATTTTCATCGAAATAATTATATTATTATTTTTCAAAGATTTTTATAAAAATCTTTGCAAGATTTCAATTACTTCCATAAATAATAAAATTCTTTAAAGGATTTTAATTATTTTCAACAATTTTAATAAAACTCTTCTTAAAAATTAAATTATCTTTTATATAAATTGAAATTCTTTGAAAGATTTCAATTATTTTCTTAAATAATAAAATTCTTCGGAGGATTTCAATTATTTTCAAAGATTTTAATAAAATTCTTCGCAATAATTCAATTATCATTATAAAAAAAAGAAATTCTTTGACAGATTTCAATTATTTTCATTAATAATAAAATTCTTCGAAGGATTTCAATTATTTATAAAAATCGTAATTTATAAAATCGTAATAATAATAATAATAATTAATCGATAATTATACGTCATTATTATATATTATCGTAATTATTAATTAATTACGTAAATTTAATTTTTTTTATTTTATTATAAAAGTATTATAAAAAAAAGTATTGTCTATTCTTTGAAAGAATTTAATTATTTTCTATATACTTTAATAAAATTCCTTGAGTGAATTAAATTATTTTACAAAATTAAATTCTGAGAAAAATTCAATTAATTTACAAATTATTTTACAAAATAAAATTCTGAGGAGAATTCAATTATTTTCTAAAAATTTTAATAAAATTCAATAATTTAATGTTTAATTTGAATTATTAAGAAACACGATTATTTTAAAAACTTGAAAGAAATTGTTCATAATAAAATTTAATTACTTTCAAAATTTTCAGTTAAAATTATTAAAGAATTTAATTTTCACAAGAATTCGATTATTTTCATAAATAATAAAATTGTGCGAAGAAAGTTAATATTATTCTAAAATTGTTGTTAAAATTCTTTGCAAGAATTACTTACAAGCTTTTGAAAAGACCGGACAATAAGATTGAGGATGAATATGTGAATCACTGTAATAAAGAGGAGCTCTTTTTTCGGTTAAAATTTTTCTAAACAAAGATTCTCGTCCACAGAAATTTTTCTTATCATAGCAAAAAATCTTTCCGATTTTCATTACTGTAATTAACCAAAAAGAAAAGTATATTATAAAAATTTAATTTAAAAAAAAATGTTTTTTTTAATTATAATTTAATATTCTTATTACCGTCTTCAATCTCCTGCTGACAAAGACAATCTTTATTTGTTTCAGTGCCGGGTAAAGTTATCTTTTGTCCCTCTTTTAGTACATTTCCATTAATTTCACATTCTAATGGATCTTCAGCTATAAAGTGAAAAAAAAATTGTTTATAAATAAATAATAATTACAATAAAAAAATTTTTAATATAATTAATTAAAACTATTTAATATAAAATTACTCACTACAAACTACTTCAGATTCACATGTTGCATTTGTATATTTTATGTAACAATTTTTTTTAGAACGTGGAAGCCTCACTTCAGGACATTTCCAACCATTACAGTTTATATTAGGTCTAAAAGAAAACCACAGAAAATTTAATTCAATTATTTCATCAATAATTTCTTTCCAATAAATTATTGAAAATTAATTGAAAATTAATTATAGGAATTAATTTTTTTTTTAATTGTGAAATGAAAAGTTTGAAATACTTACACATTTAAATTATCTTTAATGCAATAACAATTTTTTTCGTCTTGAACATCATTGTCGTTTACTTTGTCATCAATTCCATAAACGTTACCATTTGCGAAACAATGTTCATTTACATTATATTTATCAACTTCAGAGCAATCATATTTTAGAGGACAACAATCACCTGCCCTAACGTAAAATGGTTTACAATACATATCTTCGTAAAATCTTATTGGTCCCCTTGAACATCTCATAGGATCACACTCTAAAATTTTTAAAGAAAATAATAACTATATTTTTTTTTTTTTAATTTAAAGAATTCACTTATTAAGTACATAATATTAAATATTTTTGTTTATTATTATTCACAAATTTTAATAAAATTTTTCGAAAGAATACAATTATTTTTGAAAATATTAACTGAATTCGATTATTTTCATAAATTTTAATATAAATTCAATTATTTCCTACAATTTTGAATGAAATTCTTTTTAAAAAATCATTTTTTTCAAAATTTTTAAACAAACTTCATAAAATTCAATTATTTTCAAAGATTCAGATAAAATTCTTTGCAACAAATTCAATTATTTTTATGAATTGTAAAATACTCCGCAAGAATTTAATTATTTTCATAAATATGAAAATTCTTCGCAAGAATTAAAATATTTTCATAAATAATAAAATGTTTCGGAGGAATTAAATTATTTTCAATACAATTTTAATAATATTTTATGGAAAGAATACAATTATTTTGAAAAGTATTATTTAAATTCAATTATTACCAAGAGTTCTAATAAAAATTCAATTATTTTCAATACAATTTTAATAACATTTTTAGAAAAAAATTCAATTATATTTGAGACAATTTTAATAAAATTTCTCTAATAGGTTCAATTATTTTTAAAAATTGTAATAAAATTTTTCTAAACAATTCAATTGTTCTCAAAAGATTTTAATAAAATTCTTTGTAAATTTCAATTATTTTCAAAATTTTCAATTAAAATTATTTTCAAAAATTACATTATTTTTAAGAAATTTAAATAAAATTCTTCAAAAATGTAATTTTTTACAAAAACTCTAATGAAAATGTTTAAAAGAATTTAATATTCTATGAATAGTTTTAATATAATTTAATAGGAAAATCGTTAATTACAATCAATAATAAATTATTTTCAAAATTTCCGGTTAAAAGTTATTTTAAAAAAATTTCATTATTTTCAAGAATGTTGAAATAAATTCTGCAAAACAATTCAATTATTTTAAAGAATTTTAATAAAAATCTTGCCAAGAATATTATTTATATAAAGATAATTTAATTTTTTTCGAAGATTTCTATTTTTTATAAATTGACTAAAGAATTTTATTTCAATTATTGAAAATAATTGAATTCTTCATAAAATTTTACAAAAAGTAAAAAATGTAATTCGACATAATAATAAAATTAATTCACACACAAAATAATGAAAAAATTTAATTAAAAAAATTTTTTCTACAAAAAAAATAATTTTTGTCATTAAAAATACTGAAAGTATATTTTTTTATTTACTCACTATCATAATTGAAGGAATTGACATTTTTCAGTATCATAAGCAAACAGATTGCAATAGAAAACAAAAATTCTTCTTTCTTGTACATTTTGAATTCGATTAAAAATTCGAAGACTATAATTAAATTGTAAAAAATGCACTAATTTATAAAACTCTCTCTATATTTATACGAATAAGTGAACAATAAAACAGTGAAATTAAATAAGAATTATAAAAGTACGTGACAAATTTAAAAATAAAAAAGTAAATAACTCAAATGAAATACAAACTTTTTAATTCGAATTCTTAAATATATAAGAAAAAATGAAACTATTTTAAAATCATAAATTTATGATAAGCAATTTCAAATATTTACACGTACACTATTAATAATGAAATTGAAGATAAAATTATCGAAAAATTTTAATTTAAAATATAAATGGAAAATTTCGTGTTCTTTATTCTAAACTATATTATTTATCACGCAATAAATATTTTTCAATTCATCAGAAATCTTTTTTATTGATTTAATTATTTTTCAATAATTTAATTTTTTAATAATTTCAAATCTTAGAACAATTTTAATTTTTTAAAAATTCTCCTTTAATAATTATTAAATTGCCTCAAAAAAATTTTTATTTTCTTAGAACTATTTTCCAAAATTTTGTAAATTCTTCTCAAGAATTTAATTATTTGAATAAATAATAAAAATTATTCGGTGAAATTTAATTATTTTTAATACAATTTGAATTAAATTTCTTGTCAAAATTTAATTATTTTTAACATAATTTTAACTAAATTTCTTTTTGAAGATTAGATAAATTATTTAAGAGAATTTTATAAATTCAAAATTCTTCAGTACAGTATTTAATTATTTCCTTAAATATTTAAATTCTTTGGAGAAATTAAATTATTTTTAATACAATTTTAATTAAATTTATTTTACAAAATTCATTTTTTTAATTTTTTTAAATTTTAATAAAATTCTTCGATAAAATTATTTGAATTATTATAAAATATTATTTTTATTATTATAATGAATAATTTTATTTTATTCAATTATTTTTAATACAAGTTTAATTAAATTTCTTAGTAAAGTAAAAATTTTTTTTTATCTTTTAATAAATTTTTTTTAAGAAAATTATTTGTTTTCAAAAATAGTAAAATTTTTATCGCGAATTTAATTATATTAAAAAATTTCCGTAAATTATTCTTATCAAGAATTCAATTATTTTCAAAAAATTGTAATAATTTTAATAATTCTTCACCGGGATTTAATTATTTGGATAAATAATAATATTGCTTGGAGAAAATTGATTTTTTTAAATACAATTTTAATTAATTTTCTCCGTAGAATTTAATTATTCTAAAAAGTTTTAATAAAGTTTGTTCAAAGTATTCAGTTGTTTTTAATATTTTAATTAAAATTTATTGAAAGAATTTAATTTTTTTTCATAGGTATAAGTAATAATATTTTTAGGAAGAATTTTCAATATTTAAGAAAAAAATTTCAAAAATTTTGATAAAATTCTTGATAAGAACTCTATTATTTTCAATACAATTTTAATTAAATTGATGGAAAGTTTTATTATTATTTTTAAAATTTTAATGAAATTTTTCGAAAAAATCAAAAAATTTTAGTAATATTTTTCTAAACAAATCTACTACGTATTTAAAAAAAAATTTCTGATGAAATTCAAAATTTTTAAATAGAAAAATTATCAATAATATTTGGAAGCAAAAAAACAAGTTATTTTCAACTGTTATCTTACATCAGGAATACATGAATTAATTATTATGCAATTATTGTCATATTATTATTACAATGCTTTATTATTAGAACATTATTACATTTAAAAGTATATTATTACATTATTATTACAACATAATTATTACATTATTCATAAATTTGTATTATAATACACTTGATTCGCGATTATAAATGTAAATAATATTTATTTATACTTATAATTAAAAAAATTGTTTTTAAAACTTATTTCTTCATTTTGTCACAACATTTTAATAGTCGACAATAATTTAACGTAAACTATACAAATTTGGAATAAGCTTTGCAAACAATTTTCAAATTTCTCTATACAATTTCAAAAAAAATATATTTATTACTAAATAGTTAAAGATGGTAAAAAAATAGTTGTTTTTATATTTGATATTAAAATATTCCTTAGCATTAGCTTAATGAGGAAATTTTAATTATTAGTTTCTTCCTCATAAATCTTTATCAATTAATTCACAATTATTAAGTTCATTACTATAATCTGAATTTTTTCTTTTAAATTCTTCAAATTTCTCTTCACACTCTGCTAACGGCGTTACTTGACAAGTGAGAGTTGGTGGAATTACACATTTGCAAATTGCGCAACTATATGTATTTTTTTCTGTATTATATCTGTTTAGTCGTGAAGAAAATGGAATTTGAAGTGGTCCAAACGAACAATTTCCTTTAATTAATAAATATCAAAAATTAATAATGAGAAAATTTTAATAATAAGAAAAAATAAAATTATAAAGAAAGTGAATTCAATTTTTAAGAGAAAAGAAATTATTTATTTTACAAAAATGGAGGAAAAATAGAAATAACTTTTTTTACTTTTTTACTTTAAACATTCATAGAGAAAGAAATTTTAATATTGAATACTTTTTTTATTTTGGATAATGCATTTACTATGAAAAGTTCAAATTTAATGTAGAAAATGTCCAAACTTACCATAATGAGCACTGATTTCTTTTCTTATCGCCTGATCACCTTTTTGGTCTATAAAATTAAAAAATAATTAAATCTCTTTGAAAACCTAGATATTACATTAATAACAAAAATATAAGTGAATTTTTTCACAAAAAATCATTTTCTTCTTCTTCCATTCAATTTATTATTGTTATTATAAAAAACACAAAATTTTTTATTTTCAAATATAAATTTTTGAATAATTTCATAATCAAAATTTAAAAAATTCACTTATTAAGTACATAATTAATTATTATTGTTTATATTTTCAAAAATTTTAATATAATTCTTCGGAAGAATTCAATTATACTTTCATAAATAATTCTTTTAAAGATTTCAATTATTTTCTTAAATAATAAAATTCTTAGGAAAAAATTTCTGGAAAGAATACAATTATTTTGAAAAGTATTATTTAAATTCAATTATTTTCAATAGTTTTAATAAAAATTTTATTATTTTTATAAATTGTAATATTCTTGGCAAGATTACAATTATTTTCATTAATAATAAAATTCTTCGGAGGATTTCAATTATTTTCAAAAATTCGAAACAAATTCTTGTCAAGAATTCAATTTTTTTTCATAAATAATTGAATTAATTAATTAATTATTTTATTATTAAGAAACACGATTATTTTAAAAACTTGAAAGAAATTGTTCATAAAATTACTTTCAATATTTTCAGTTAAAATTATTAAAGAAATTCCATTATTTTAAAAAAAAAATTCAAAGAAATTCTTCAAAAGAGTTTAATTTTCACAAGAATTCGATTATTTTCATAAATAATAAAATTGTGCGAAGAAAGTTAATATTATTCTAAAATTATTATCAAAATTCTTTGCAAGAATTACTTACAAGCTTTTGAAAAGGCCGGACAATAAGTTTGAGGATGAATATGTGAATCACTGTAATAAAGAGGAGCATTGTTTTCAGTAAACATTAGTCTAAAAAGAAATTCACTGTGACAGTAATTTTTCACATCATTGCAAAAAAGCTTTGCGACTTTTCTTCCTGTAATTAAAAAAAAATTTGTATTATAAAAATTTAATTTCAAAACAAAATTATAATTTTAATATTCTTATTACCGTCTTCAATCTCCTCTTGACAAAAGCATTCTTTAAATGGATTACCCTTGAGGAAATCACTTTCGCCCTCTTTTATTTTTTCTCCATTAATTTCACATTCTAATGGATCTTCAGCTATAAAGTGAAAAAAAAAATTGTTTATAAATAAATAATAATTACAATAAAAAAATTTTTAATATAATTAATTAAAACTATTTAATATTAAATTACTCACGACAAACTACTTCATTTTTACACTTTTCATTTGAATATTTTATGTAACAATTTTTTTTAGAACGTGGAAGCCTCACTTCAGGACATTTCCAACCATTACAGTTTATATTAGGTCTAAAAGAAAACCACAGAAAATTTAATTCAATTGTTTCGTCAAAATAATTTTTTAGTGCAACTAATTATTGCAAATTATAATAATTTTTTTTAAATTGTGAAATAAGAACAAATTTATCAAAAAAAAATTTGAAATACTTACATATTTAAACGATTTTTAGTACAATAGCATTCTTTTTTCTCAGGAATATCATTTTCGTCCACTTCTTCATTAATTCTATAAGCCTTACCATTTATGAAACAATAATCATTTACATCATATTTCTTAACTTCAGAGCAATCATATTTTTCAGGACAACAATCACCTTTCTCAAAGTAAATTGGTTTACAATACATATCTTCATAAAATCTTATTGGTCCTCTTGAACATCTCATAGGATCACACTCTAAATTTATAAAGAAAATAATATCTATAAGTTTTTTTTCTTGAATATAATAGAAATAATTTTTTTTAACTTTCGATAATTACAACTTTTATCAATAAAATTATACAAAAAGAAAAAAAATGTAATTCGACATAATACAAAAATTAATTCACAAACAAAATAAAGAAAAAAAAAATGTAGAAAAAAAATTTTGTTCTCGAAAAAGAAAAAATTTCTTTTATTAAAAATACAAATAGTATACTTTTCTATTTACTCACTGTCGTAGTCAAAAGAATGTACATTTTTCATTATTATAAACAAACAGATTGTAATAATAAACAGAAATTCTGCTTTCTTGTACATTTTGAATTCGATTAAAAATTCGAAGATTATAATTAAATTGTCAAGAAAACACTAATTTATACAATTCTCTTTATATTTATACGAATAAGTGAAACAATAAAAAAGTGAAATTAAACAAAAATTTTAAAAGTACGTGACGAATTTAAAAATAAAAAAGTAAATGACTCAAATGAAAATATTAAAATTAAAATTTTCAGAAAAATTTAATCTTATATATTAATAATCGTTGTATTCCGGTAATCTGTTAGCAGTTTGAAGTTAGTTGCTCTTTCATAAAAAAATATATTTAAAATTGTATTGAAAATAATTTAATTCTTGGCAAGATTTTTATTAAAATTCTTTAAAATAATTGAATTCTTTTTAAGAATTTACTTCAATTTATCGTCGATTCATGTAAGAAAAACGTTAAAATTACCTCGATACAGTCACCGATAAATTCTCTTCAAGGATTTTCGTTACAATTGTTTGATGAATATTAATCACACGTTTTCGATACAATGGAATAAATTTCGACACGTATTTTATTCGATATGTCCTTGTTTTTCTATCATCACAATTTGGAAATTCATAGGTGTCTATTAATTCAACACTGTCGATAATTCTTCCCGCAAAATTATAAAGTACTCCAAATAATTGTGAATCGGAAAATCCACTTTTCACAAATATTGTAATATCAAAAGTAAAATTCAATGGATAGAGTGAAATAGGTTCATTATTAATTTGTAAAATTTCACCACGCACAATGTCCTTCCAAATGCCATCGAATTTTTCTAAATTCAATTGTCCCATTATTGTATTTATCGCCGTATTCTCAAAACTATTGGCTTGTTTAAAAAAATGTGTAATCGAGCCCTTTGTATGAAATTCCTTCTCTAAACTCCGATAACCAGTGACTTGGTAATTGATTTCAAAAAATGCCAAATCAAATAATTGAACGTCAATTAGAAGAAAATTACCATGTGCCGACATTTCAACAATTTGCCACGAATCATTCCAATTTCTTTTTGGATTATCAGCTGGTGTACCGCCCTGTCCATTGCACAATGTCACAATCACTTGTCCATTTGATTTCAAAATATTACCAACGGACGTGAAAAATTCCTTCAGTAGTTGACGATTTTTTTCAATACGCATTTTCCCACCGCAATGGGGATAATTGAATATTATTTTATCAAAAAATTTCGTCTCAAATTTGCCAGATTCATTCAATTTCGTCGCGTCAATATTCATTAAAACTTGAACACCTGCGATGAAAAAAAATCATAAAGTAAAAATTAGAAATTAAAAATTACAAATTAAAAATCGAGTATCAATAATTAAAAATTAGAAAATGAAACATTAAAGACGAAAATGAAAATTAGAAATAAAAATATTTTTCATAAATACAAACCGTTTGCTCTCAAAAATTCAACATTGCTTTCGGCTGTTTTTTTCAATTCTGCTTCATAACAAGTGGCAATAATATTGATATTTAAATTCTTCTTAAATAACGCAACGGCAAAGGAAAAATTACCCTCGCCTAAGAGTAAAACTTTATCCTCCTCGTTAAATAACGAAGAATTCATTTTTTAATTTAAATAGGAAACCAATTTTTTCCCCAATATATCTTTAAACAAATATTTATTTTTCGAAAACAATAAATTTAAATTCCATTTTTAAAATAAAACGGAAATGGAAAATTATTTCTTTCGGATAATTTTCTGTTTAATGAAAAGTATGAAAAGGTGGATGTTTAGTGACGTCACATTCGTCATCAGAAAGACGTTGACAAGTTGGAAGTGGAGGAACTTCACATGTGCATTTTACACAAACGGAACTATAATCCGTCGCTTGATTCAATTCATCGCCGATTTTCATGACAATATTTCCAAATATGCAAGTATCTGTTGAAAAAATAATTATTTTTAACAATTTTAATATTAAACATTAAATATAATTATACGTTGTAACAAATTTAAGATTTAAATTATAGACAAAATTCATTTATTAATTAATTTAGTATTATTAATTATTTTTTAACATTTTAATAAAATTCTTCGCAAAAATTCAATTAATTGCAAACTAATTTTAATAAAATTCTTTGCAAAAATTCAATTATGATTTTTATAAATATTAAAATTTTTCGCATTAATTCAATTACATTTTTTCTATATAATAATATTCTTCGCATCAATTCAATTACTTTTTTTTCTATATAATAAAATTCTTGGCAGGAATTAAATTTTTTTTTAGAAATAATAAAATTTTTCGCAGGAATTCAATTATTTTCAACATTATTTTAATAAATTTTTCAAAGGAATTCAATTATTTTCAAAAAATTGAATAAATTTTCTTCTTAGGAATTCATTTATTCTCAACACAATCTCAATAAAATTTTAAGAAAAGATTCAATTATTTTAAAAAAATTTATTTTAATAAATCAACTCAAGAATTAAATAATTAAGTATTTTTATCAATTCAATGTTTATACAATTTTCCCAAAGAATTCAATTATTTTCCAAAAATTGAATAAATTTTCTTTATATTTAGAAATTAATAATATAAATCTACGCAAGAATAAAATTATTTTTATTTGTTCAATTTTAATACAATTTTTAATAATAAGTACTATGGAAGAATTTAATTATATTCAAAAAATTTTAAAAACTTATTAATCAAATTTTTAATTACTTACAATTAGTTATAAACAAACACGATTATTTTAAGAAATTCATCTTAAAAATCAATGATTTTCAAAATTTTCAATTAACATTATTTAAAAAAACATTGTTAATCATTTTAATTTGAAAAAATTCTAATTTTTAAAAAATTCGCCATGTTTAAGTAATTATGAAAATATTGAATTCTTTTATTTTTAAATATCAAGTTCAATTTTTGAATGAATTCAGATTCAAAATTTGAAAACATTCACTTATTAACTAATTAATTTTAATTATAAAAATATTAATAGAATTCTTTGAAACAATTCAATTATTTTCATAAATAATAAAATTCTTAACATGAATTCAAATTTTTTCTATAAATTTACTGCTTCGTAGGTATTTAATTACTTTCAAAACAATCTAAATGAAATTACTTAAAAGAAATTTTTTATTTTCAAAACATTTTTATAAAATTCATCAAAAGAATTCAATTATTTAAAAAATTTTTTTAAGAATTTCTTGAAAGAATTCAGTTATTTAAAAAATGTTTAATAAAAATTCCTTGAATGAATTCAGATATTTTTAAAAATTTTAATAAAGTACTGAGAAAAATTGAATTATTTTCAAAAAATTTTAATGAAATTTACTGTAATCAAATTTTTAATTAAACAAACACGATTATTTTAAAATTAACGTTTTTTATGTGTCAAAAAGAAAAATATTTTAAATTTTGAAAAAGAAAAAATATTTTGGATAAAATGAAAAATAGTTACTCACTGGTTTTGTCACTGTCGGGACCTTTTCGAGTTTCAGGACGTGAAATAAGTGTATCGTTACTGTTTTCTGAAAAAATAAGTTCTCATTATAGCATAGAATAAAATAAATTATATAAGAAATATAAATATAATTTAATTTAGTAAATAGAATTTTCTAAAATTAATTCAAAAATTCCTTTTCTTTTAAATATAATAAAAAATCTCTCTTCTCTAAATAATAAAAAACATCATTTATAATTTATTTAAAGAAAAAATTCATAAGACTATAATTTTAAATAAATTTTAGAAATTTTTATTTGCACTTTGTTGAAGTTATATTTTACTTTTGATTTTTTGATAAAAAAAAAACAAAATTTCCTTCCTTCAAAAAGTTGGAATTTTTTCTTTCTTTTTTACTTTCAAAAATGTGTGCAAATAAATTAATAAATTTTGAAGGTCACATTTCAACTTACGACATCTGGAAAAAACACTGCACGATGTTTGAGGCGATTGTTGATCATAATAAACAGGGACACAATTTTTGTGAATTTCGGAACTGTGTCTGAAATCGGGTCGACAATAACTGTACTTGGGAGTGTAACAAAATGGTTCAATATTTTCTCCTGGAATTTACGAATAAAAACAAATTTGATTATTCAAGTTCTTTATTATTATTATTTATTATAATATCAATTTTTTTCTGTAATTTTTTCAGAGGAGAAAAGAAATAATTACCTTTATAACCAGGTTTACAATAGCAGGTTGTTGTTGGTTTGTCTTTTGGTTGAAAGTATTCACCTGCTTTGTATGATTTCCCATCAACGAGACAAGTTGCTCGATCTTCAGGATTTTCAGCTGTGTGAAAAAAATGTAACTTGTTACGCAATAATTTTTAAAGGAAAATAATATATTAATGTTTCTAAAGAAACATTTAAATAATAATTATTATAATTTTACAGTGATAACAATGTTAAAATGTTAATGTTTTTACTTATAAAACCTTTAAAAATTTAATTATTGTTTAAAATTTCTGCTCTAACGCTACTAATTACTCAATTATTTTACAAAATTTTAACTCAAATTCTTTATTAAATCAATTCTTATTAGAACTCAACGATACTTGAATTATTTAAATAACAAATTTTTGTAAAATTCAATTATTTTCCAAATTTTTAGTTACAAAAAAAATACAATAATAAATTTAAAATAATTTTTAAAGTGTGAAAATAAAATTCTTTTAAATGTAAAATTTATTTGAATGAAATTTCAGAAAATTTCCTATTTTTTCAATTTTTAAAAATTATTTTCGGTAAATATACTTTCAAAAAATTGCAATTTCGATTTTTTAAAAACGCATAATTTTTTCAGAATTTCTAAATAAAATTTTTTAAATTTAATTATTTTTTGTTTAATAAATACTTGAATTAAATAATAATAATTATTAATTTATTATATTATTACTATTATTTTACTTACGACAAATTTCTTCACCAGGACAACAATGACTTGCGGTGTTATCCAGATAACAACCTGGTTTTACTGGTCCATGAAAGCAATCAACAATGGCGCAATTAAATGAAGCTCTATTGCAATAAAAATACATTTTTATTGTTATTTTGTTTGTCGTAATTTAGTAAATTTTCCAATTTTATAAAAATAGTAGCAATAAACAATAAAAAAAAATTGCAACGAAATAATAAACATAAATATTAATAAAAGTTTACTATTATATTTATACCTACTTATTTTTACTATTTAGTCAAAAAATATTGCAGAAATTAAAGAAATATTGCAGAAATTGATATTATTTATTGAATATTGAAAATAAATTAAATAACTCACATTCCATCGTATCCTATAACGCAAGTACAACCAATATCACAAGGTAATGCATCGTTGTCTTTCAATTTTACTCCAATTTCATAAACATTGCCATTAGCATAACATTTTTTCTTTGATCTTTCCTTTAAATGAGAGCAATCATATTTAATAGCGCAACAATCGCCAGGATTTTTATAAATTGGTTTACAATTTAAATCCATGTAATAACCCAATGGTCCGGGGCATTTTGATTTGTCGCATTCTATAAAAAAAAAAACCACATAGTTATTTTTGTTTAAAAAAAATATTTTTTTAAATTAATTTTTCTATAAATATTTATAACTTTTCAAAGGGAAGAAATATTCTTTTTTTAGTAAAAGAAAAAAATACTACGTATAGAAATAATTTTCCATTACAGGACAAAAAATCCAAGAAAAAAAGTTCAAAGTACAAAAAATCCATAATAAAAATGTTCAAAGTTAAAAAATCCAAAATAAATAATGAAACATGTGAAAAAGCCACGTTTTTACTATTTATGCTATAAAATCGGAATTTAAAATGTTAATGTTAAAATAATCAGGATTTTAATTATTTACATAAATAATAAAATTTTTCACAATGATTCAATTATTTTCATAAATAAAAAAATTCTTCACAAAAATTCAATTATTTTCATAAATAAAAAAATTTTTAGAAAAATTTAAATTATTCTATAAAATTTTGAAAACAATTATTCCAAGAAATTTTTTTCATTGGATTTTTAATTTCTTTGAACTTTTTGACCAGAACAAAAAATCCAAAAAATAAGTCCAAAGTGAAACTATTTTTTTCTTTTTTTGATTCCATTTACTTTGGATTTTTTGGTTTAGACTTTTTGTTTTGGACTTCTTGTCCGGATACCATAATTTTCCAATTAAATTATTGCATTTTTCAGATACAATAATTTTTACTCCATGAATTATTATTTATTTATTTTTTTATTTATTCAAAAAGTTGACGGGTAAAACTCTTTCGTACAAAGTACTAAAATAACTAGAGACTGTACTTAAATTAATAACTAAAAGCTAACTGATTATATTTAAAAAATAATTTTCTTTTAAAATTCAATTTAGCAAATTCATAAAGAAAATAGATAAGAATGCATATTATTAGTTGACAAGGAAAAACTATTTTTTTATGAATGTTTTATTTATTATTATTGATGATTAGACATACATATTATTATTTATAATACATAGTTGTATATTTCAATGCAAAATTTGTTTCAAGAAAAAAAAATGAATATTTTATTTATTATTATTGATGATTAGACAATTATTTATTATACAAAGTTGTATTTCTTTAAATTTAAAAAAATTTAATTTTAATTTAAAAATTGCAGATTTAAAAAATTGCGTTCTGTCCTTTTTTTTCTTCCTTGTCAATTTTTTTACAAATTTTATTTTGTTCGCTCTTTAAAAATCAAATGTTTGCTTTTTTATATATGTTAACAATTGGTGTGTAATTATTGATAATTAAAAATTTACAAGTCAGCTCACCCTCATCATCATCATCATCATCATCAGCAGCAGAAAAAGAAGAAAAGTAAACAATAAATATGAAACAGAAGAAATACTTATCTATTTCTTGTTTATTCATAATGAAAAAATTATCACCTATCGGATTGTAGTAAAATGACAAGTGTGCAAAAAGAAAAAGAACCTCTTGTTTGTATAAAGCATTAAACTTGAAAGAAAAGAGGGGAATATAATAATGTAGTATATATGATAGAAGAGATATTCTTGAGTATTAAGAAATTAACAGGATAAATTTACATAAATGAAGAGTCAAATAGAATAAATGATTTTATCTGCGAACGTGAATTTTAAAAGCGTTTTATTTTTTTTCATTATATGTCGATAATTTATATATCAACGATTTTTTTTTTATTTGTTAAATTTATATAATTTTTAAATATTATTATTAGACTGTCTTTTTATATTCTATACGATAAAGTATTTAAAAAATAACAAATTAATAATAAACAAACAGAAAGAAGGGGTTATGTTTATACTTTGGAAAAGTGGAAAAAGTCGATACTTTGTTGATAATTTACATATATATTATATTTTATAAAATAATACTCCTTTAACCAACTTACCTTAATTTAAAACAAAAAATAGAATACAAAATCTGTATTCAAAATACAAAAATCAAATCCATTTTGTATATCTTGGAATATTTTCTCGATTTTCTCCGCAATAATTCTAATATAATAAAATTAAATAAAACGAGAACAACTTTTAAATAATATTCCTTGACACTAAAAGTTTCCTAGTTTTCAATTATATCTTTGATGAATAGCTAATAATTATAATTAAATGTTTAATAATAAAAAAGAAAGAAAACATGTAAACGATGTAAACATTGAAAAAACTCACGTGGACTTTAAAAATCTAATGCGCACGCGTAATAACGGCTTTTTTCATTTGTTGCTAATTTTCCGCGCTTAAATTTAAAATATTTAAAATAATTTTAAAGAAATGAAATCTCAAAAAATAATCATATATGTAATTAAATTACGATATAATGTACGATTTTTATTTAAATAATAAATAATATCATTATAATACTGTAAATGTAAATTAAAAGATTATTTCAACAACGCAATTGAAGAGAAAAATTTACTATAGCTAAAGATTGTTATTAATTAAAGTATTAAAAGTATTATTAATATTATTATTATTAATCTCGATGAAGGAATTAATTTTATAAAGGAATATAAATTTTCTCGGTAGTAAATTCTGACAAAAAAATATTTTTTCCATCTAAAATACACAATTACATAAAAAAAAATTACATAATCAATATTCATTAAAACTTAAACACCTGTGATGAAAAAATCCAAAAGTAAAAATTAGAAATTAAAAATTAGAAATCAATAATTAAAAATTAGAAAAAAAACATTAAAGACGAAAAAGAAAAATATAAATAAAAATATTTTCATAAATACAAACCGTTTGCTCTCAAAAATTCAACATTGCTTTCGGCTGTTTTTTCCAATTCTGCTTCATAACAAGTGGCAATAACATTGATATTTAAATTCTTCTTAAATAAAGCAATGGTAAAGGAAAAATTACCCTCGCCTAAGAGTAAAACTTTATCCTCCTCGTTAAATAACGAAGAATTCATTTTTTAATTTAAATAGGAAATCAATTTTTTCCCCAGTATATCTTTAAACAAATATTTATTTTTCGAAAACAATAAATTTAAATTCCATTTTTAAAATAAAATGGAAAATACGTTTTTTTTTGTGATAATAATTAAAATGGAAAATTATTTCTTTCGGATAATTTTCTGTTTAATCAAAAGTTTAAAAAGGTGGATATTTAGTGACGTCACATTCGTCATCAGAAAGACGTTGACAAGTTGGAAGTGGAGGAACTTCACATGTGCATTTTACACAAACGGAACTATAATCCGTCGCTTGATTCAATTCGTCGCCGATTTTCATGACAATATTTCCAAATGTGCAAGTATCTGTTGAAAAAATATTTTTTTTTTAAATTTTAATATTAAACATTAAATATAATTAAACATTGTAACAAATTTTAGTTTCAAAATATAAAAAAATATATATTTTTACTAATTTAATAGTATTTATTATTTTTAAAAAATTTAATAAAATTCTTCGCGACAATTCAATTATTTTTTAACAATAAAATTCTTTGCAGGAATTCAATTACGATTTTTATAAATATTAAAATTCTTCGCAGGATTTCAATTATTTTAAATAGAATTTTAGTACAATTCTCCGCAAGAGTTCAATTATTTTCAAAATAATTTAAAAAAAATTCTTTGCAAAAATTCAATTACGTTTTTTATAAATATTAAAATTCTTCTCAAGAATCCAATTATTTTTTTCTATATAATAAAATTTTTGTCAGGAATTTAATTCTTTTTATATAAATAAATTAATAAAATTCATCAAAAGAATTTAATTATTTAAAAAATTATAATAGAATTCCTTGAGAGAATTCAGTTATTTATAAAAATTTTAATAAAGTACTTTGAAGAATTTTAATTTTCTGAAAAAATTTTAATAAAATTTACTAATCAAAATTTTTAATTAGAAATATTAAGAAACAAGATTATTTTTAAATTTACGTTTTTTATGTGTCAAAAAGGAAAATATTTTAAATTTTGAAAAAGAAAATCGGTGCATAAATTAGTGAAAAAACTTTTTTGTTCTATAAATTTTGAAAAAAACTATTTTGGATTAAATGAAAAATTACTACTCACTGGTTTTGTCACTGTTGGGACCTTTTCTAGTTTCAGGACGTGAAATAAGTGTATCGTTATTGTTTTCTGAAAAAATATGTTCTCATTGTAGTATAGAATAAAATAAATAATATAAAAATGTAAATAAAATATGATTTGGTAAATAGAATTTAATAAAATTAACTTAAAAAAGTCCTTTTCTCTTAAATATAATTTATTTAAATAAATTTAAAAAATTTTTATTTTCATTTTGTTAAAGTTATATTTTACTTTTGATTTTTTGATAAAAGAAAAATTTCCTTCCTTCAAAAAGTTGGAATTTTTTCTTTCTTTTTTACTTTCAAAAATGTGTGCAAATAAATTAATAAATTTTGAAGGTCACATTTCAACTTACGACATCTGTAAAAAACACTGCAAGATGTTTGAGGCGGTTGTTCATAATAATAAGTAGGGGCACAATTTTCGTGAATTTTGGTACTGTGTCTGAAATCGGGTCGACAAAATCCACCCTTTGGAGTGTAACAAAATGGTTCAATATTTTCTCCTGAAATTTACGAATGAAAAAAAATTTAATTATTCAAGTTCTTTATTATAATTTATTATAATATCAATTTATTTTCTCTAATTTTTGCAGAGGAGAAAAGAAAAATAATTACCTTTATAACCAGGTTTACAATAGCAGGATTTTTTTGGATTGTCTTTTGGTTGGAAGTATGCACCTTCTGTTAATGTTTTCCCATCAACGAGACAAGTGGCTGGATTTGTGGCTGCGTGACAAAAATTTAACTTGTTACGTAAATTTTTTTTAAATTGTCTTAATGTATTTTATATCTTAAACAAATCTTAATAATGTCTTGTTATATAAGAGAAACATTTGTGCAATTTTTAATTAATATAATATTAAAATAGGATCACTCGTAAAAAAAAACAAATACCTAAGGGACAAAAAAAGAATTAAAAATATTTTCAAAGAGAAAATAATAAAACGAAATAATTGAATAAAAATAAAATTAATTGAAAAAAAGAAATTCCAATGAGTTTTTTAATGGAAAATTTATTATTTATTATTTACTATTTAGGATTTTAAATAATTTGATATTTTTTGGATAAAATTTCCTTACTTTTCTGTTCTGTTACTGTTATTGTAAAAATTCTAGGAAAAGTTCACGTGAGGACAGAATTATCTCTATTATCAATAAATAATAATTATTAATTTATTATATTGTTATTATTATTTTACTTACGACAAACTTCTGGACCTGGACAACAATTGCCTGGGGTGTGACCCAAATAACAACCTGGTTTTGGTAGTCTATGAAAGCAATCAACAATGACGCATCTAAATGTAGCTCTATTGCAATAGAAATAAAATTTTATCGTTATTTTGTTTCTCGTAATTTGGCAAATTATCGAAATTTACAAAAATAATGTTAAATATTGAAAATAAATTAAATAACTCACATTCCATTAAATCCTTCAGCGCAAAAACAACCAATATCACAAGGTAATGCATCGCTCTTTTTAAGATTTTCTCCAATTTCATAAACATTGCCATTAACATAACATTTTTTCTTTGATCTTTCCTTTAGATGAGAGCAATCATATTTAATAGCGCAACAATCGCCAGGATTTTTATAAATGGGTCTACAATCTAAATCATTGTAATAAGCCAATGGTCCGGGACACTTTGATTTGTCGCATTCTATAAAAAAAAATCACATATAGTTATTTATGTTTAAGGAAAATATTTTTTACATTTTTTAAATTAATTTTTCTTTTCAAAGAGAAAAAATATTCTTTTTTCAATAAAAGAAAGAAAGTACTACGTATAGAAATAATTTTCCAATTATTGCGTTTTTCAGACAAAAATTTTTTTTTCTTCCTTGTCAATTTTTTTCACAAATTTTATTTGGTTCATTCTTTAAAAATCAAATGTTTGCATTTTGTTATATAAACAATTGGTGTCTAATTATTGATAATTAAAAATTTACAATTCAGCTCACCCTTATCATCATCATCATCATCAGCAGCAACAAAAGAAGAAAAGAAAACAATAAATATGAAACAGAAGAAATATTTATTTATTCCTTGTTTATTCATAATAAAACTTATCAGCGTTTATCGGATTGTAGTAAAATAACAAGTGTGCAAAAAGGAAAAGAACCTCATCTTTATATAAAGCATTAAACTTGAAACGAAAGATGGAGAGATATCCTTGTCTCTTAAGAAATTAACAAGATAAATTTACATAAATGAAGAGTCAAAAGGAACACGGAAAGAAAAAGTCTAAAGAATATTTTAATGTTTGTATTAAAAAGTTGGACAAAAGAGTCACTTTTTAAAAATGTTTCAATACTGTATCTCTAATTAATATTCATAACAATTACAATAAAGTTTAAAGAAAATAAAGACAAATATGAATAAAATTTGGATCAATATGAAATAAATTACAATACTGTTTTAAAATACAAAGCCTTTCTATGAAATATTTAATCCTTACATTCATTGAAAGATTCTTAATATAGTATAGTAAATATGTTGAATCAATATAAAGTAAATTACTATACTGTATATAAATGTAAAACCTGACAATGAAATGTATATAATAACTTATCATACAGAAAATTTATTTCAATCAAATCCATTTTGTGAATCTTGGAATATTTTTCTCGATTTTCTCCGCAATAATTCTAATATAATAAAATGAAATAAAACGAGAACAACTTTTAAATAATATTTCTTGACACTAAAAGTTTCCTAGTTTTCAATTATATCTTTGATGAATAGCTAATAATTATAATTAAATGTTTAATAATAAAAAAGAAAGAAAACATGTAAACGATGTAAACATTGAAAAAACTCACGTGGACTTTAAACATCTAATGCGCACGCGTAATAACGGCTTTTTTCATTTGTTGCTAATTTCCCGCGCTTAAATTTAAAATATTCAAAATAATTTTAAAGAAATGAAATTTCAAAAAATAATCATATATGTAATTAAATTATGATATAATGTACGATTTTTATTTAAATAATAAATAATATCATTATAATACTGTAAATGTAAATTATAGATTATTTAATCAATGCAAGTGAAGAGAAAAATTTTCTATAGCTAAAGATTGTTATTAATTAAAGTATTAAAAGTATTATTAATATTATTATTATTAATCTTGATGAAGGAATTAATTTTATAAAGGAATATAAATTTTTCCAATAGTGAATTCTGACAAAAAAACATTGTTTCCTTCTAAAACACTCAATTACAGAAAAAAAATTACACAATAAAAAACTTACTAAAAGCTGTTAATTAGTCAACCAAATTTGACTAATTAGATAGAAAATTAATGATAAATTATTAATTAATTTATTCATAAATTTTCTAATAATTTTTTATTATTAGACTTAAAATCATTAAAATATTAAAAATTTTCTAACAATTTTTAAATATTAAATTTAAAATCATTAATGATATTATTTTATCAAAAACTTTCGTCTCAAATTTGACAGATTCATTCAATTTCGTCGCGTCAATATTCGTTAAAACTTGAACACCTGCGATGAAAAAATCAAAAGGTAACAATTAGAAATTGAAAATCAAAAAACAATAATTAAAAATTAGAAAAAGAAACATTAAAGACGAAAAATAGAAATAAAAATATTTTCATAAATACAAACCGTTTGCTCTCAAAAATTCAACATTGCTTTCGGCTGTTTTTTTCAATTCTGCTTCATAACAAGTGGCAATAATATTGATATTTAAATTCTTCTTAAATAAAGCAATGGTAAAGGAAAAATTACCCTCGCCTAAGAGTAAAACTTTATCCTCCTCGTTAAATAACGAAGAATTCATTTTTTAATTTAAATAGGAAATCAATTTTTTCCCCAGTATATCTTTAAACAAATATTTATTTTTCGAAAACAATAAATTTAAATTCCATTTTTAAAATAAAATGGAAAATACGTTTTTTTTTTGTGATAATAATTAAAATGGAAAATTATTTCTTTCGGATAATTTTCTGTTTAATCAAAAGTTTGAAAAGGTGGATGTTTAGTGACGTCACATTCGTCATCAGAAAGACGTTGACAAGTTGGAAGTGGAGGAACTTCACATGTGCATTTTACACAAACGGAACTATAATCCGTCGCTTGATTCAATTCGTCGCCGATTTTCATGACAATATTTCCAAATGTGCAAGTATCTGTTGAAAAAATATTTTTTTTTTAAATTTTAATATTAAACATTAAATATAATTTTACATTGTAACCAATTTTAGTTTCAAAATATAAAAAAATATATATTTTTACTAATTTAATAGTATTTATTATTTTTTAAAAATTTAATGAAATTCTTCGCGACAATTCAATTATTTTTTAAGAATAAAATTCTTTACAGGAATTCAATTATGATTTTTATAAATATAATAAATTCTTCGCAGGATTTCAATCATTTTAAATAGAATTTTAGTACAATTCTCCGCAAGAATTCAATTATTTTTTTCTATATAATAAAATTTTTGTCAGGAATTTAATTCTTTTTATATTAATAAATTAATAAAATTCATCAAAAGAATTCAATTATTTAAAAAAATTATAATAGAATTCCTTGAAAGAATTCAGTTATTTATAAAAATTTTAATAAAATACTTTGAAGAATTTTAATTTTTTTAAAAAATTTTAATAAAATTTACTAATCAAAATTTTTAATTAGAATTGTTAAAAAACACGATTGTTTAAAAATTCACGTTTTTCATGTGTCAAAAAGAAAAATATTTCAAATTTTGAAAAAGAAAATTCGTACATAAATTAGTGAAAAAACTTTTTTGTTCTAGGTATTATTTTTGAAAACCAAAACAATTAATTTAGATTAAATGAAAAATAAATACTCACTGGTTTTGTCACTGTCGGGACCTTCTCGAGTTTCAGGACGTGAAATAAGTGTATCGTTATTGTTTTCTGAAAAAATATGTTCTCATTGTAGTATAGAATAAAATAAATAATATAAGAGATATAAATAAAATGTGCTTTGGTAAATAGAATTTCATAAAAATTAGTTTAAAAAATTTCTTTTTTTCTTAAATATAATAAAAAAAATCGCTCTTCTCTAAATTATAAAAAAAATTTATAATTTATTCAAATAAATAATTCACTAGACTATAAATTCAAATAAATGTTACATAATTTTTATTTGCAATTTACTTTTGATTTTCTGATAAAAAAAATTTTCCTTCCTTGAAAAGTTGGAATTTTTTTTTCTTTTTTACTTTCAAAAATGTGTGCAAATACATTAATAAATTTTGAAGGTCACATTTCAACTTACGACATCTGTAAAAAACACTGCAAGATGTTTGAGGCGGTTGTTCATAATAATAAGCAGGGGCACAATTTTCGTGAATTTCGGTACTGTGTCTTAATTCGGGTCGACAAAATCCACCCTTTGGAGTGTAACAAAATGGTTCAATATTTTCTCCTGAAATTTACAAATGAAAAAAAATTTAATTTTTCAAGTTCTTCATTATAATTTATTATAATATCAATTTTTTTTTCTCTAATTTTTGCAGAGGAGAAAAGAAAAATAATTACCTTTATAACCAGGTTTACAATAGCAGGATGTTTTTGGATTGTCTTTTGGTTGGAAGTATGCACCTTCTGTTAATGTTTTCCCATCAACGAGACAAGTGGCTGGATTTGTAGCTGCGTGACAAAAATTTAACTTGTTACGTAATTTTTTTTTAAATTGCCTTAATGTATTTTATATCTTAAACAAATCTTAAAAATGTCTTGTGTTATAAGAGGAAACATTTGTGCAATTTTTAATTAATATAATATTAAAATAGGATCACTCGTAACAAAAAAAAAAAAAAAAAAAAACAAATACCTAAGGGACAAAAAAAGAATTAAAAATATTTTCAAAGAGAAAATAATGAAAAGAAATAATTGAATAAAAATAAAATTAATTGAAAAAAAGAAATTCCAAAGAGTTTTTTAATGGAAAATTTATTATTTACTATTTAGGATTTTAAATAATTTGATATTTTTTGGATAAAATTTCCTTACTTTTCTGTTCTGTTATTGTTATTGTAAAAATTCTAGGAAAAGTTCACGTGAGGACAGAATTATCTCGATTATCAATAAATAATAATTATTATTTTATTATATTGATATTATTATTTTACTTACGACAAATTTCTGGACCTGGACAACAATTGCCTGGGGTGTGACCCCAATAACAACCTGGTTTTGGTGGTCCATGAAAGCAATCAACAACGGCGCATGTAAATGTAGCTCTATTGCAATAGAAATAAAATTTTATTGTTATTTTGTTTCTCGTAATTTAGTAAATTATCGAAATTTATAGAAAATAATGTTAAATATTGAAAATAAATGAAATAACTCACATTCCATTATATCCTTCAGCGCAAAAACAACCAATATCACAAGGTAATGCATCGCTCTCTTTAAGTTTTTCTCCAATTTCATAAACATTGCCATTAATATAACATTTTTTCGTTGATCTTCCGTTTAGATGAGAGCAATCATATTTAATAGCGCAACAATCGCCAGGATTTTTATAAATTGGTTTACATTTTAAATCATTGTAATAAGCCAATGGTCCGGGACACTTTGATTTGTCGCATTCTATAAAAAAAAATCACATATAGTTATTTATGTTTAAGGAAAATATTTTTTACATTTTTTAAATTAATTTTTCTTTTCAAAGAGAAGAAATATTTTTTTTTCAATAAAAGAAAAAAAGTACTACGTATAGAAATAATTTTCCAATTATTGCGTTTTTCAGACAAAAATTTACTTTTACTCCATGAAATATTACATAGTTAAAATATAATTTAAATTTAAAATAAAAATTGCAGATAAAAAAAAATTGCGTTCTGTCTCCTTTTTCTTGCTTGTCAATTTTTTTCACAAATTTTATTTGTTTCGATCTTTAAAAATCAAATGTTTGCCCTTTTTTTTATAACTATAAACAATTGGTGTCTAATTATTGATAATTAAAAATTTACAAGTCAGCTCACCCTTATCATCATCATCATCATCAGCAGCAACAAAAGAAGAAAAGAAAACAATAAATATGAAACAGAAGAAATATTTATTTATTCCTTGTTTATTCATAATAAAACTTATCAGCGTTTATCGGATTGTAGTAAAATAACAAGTGTGCAAAAAGGAAAAGAACCTCATCTTTATATAAAGCATTAAACTTGAAACGAAAGAGGGAGAGATATCCTTGTCTCTTAAGAAATTAACAAGATAAATTTACATAAATGAAGAGTCAAAAGGAATAAGTGATTTTATCGGCGAACGTGAATTTTAAAAAGCGTTGCTAGTTTGTAAATTAATCATGATAACATTGAACTATGACATGTTCCTCTCTATTTGACCTTGTTCAAAAAATATATACGTAAATTTTTATACACGCAAAATTAAAAATTTCTTTTATTTATTTTTCTTCATTATAGGTCAATAATAATTAATGTCAGCAATTTATTTTTATTTGTTGAATTTAGTTAATTTTTAAATATTATTATTAGACAGTCTTTTTTATATTTCATAAGATAAAGTATTTAAAAAATAACAAATTATGTAATAATAAACAAACAGAAAGAAGAGGTTATGTTTATACTTTGGAAAAGTGGAAAAAGTCGATATTTTGTTGATAATTATATATTATATTTTGTAAAATAATACTCCTTTAGCCAACTTACCTTAATTTTAATACAAAAAATAGAATACAAAATCTGTATTCAAAATACAAAAATCAAATCCATTTTGTGAATCTTGGAATATTTCTCTCGATTTTCTCCGCAATAATTCTAATATAATGAAATTAAATAAAACGAGAACAACTTTTAAAGAATATTCCTTGACACTAAAAGTTTCCTTGTTTTTAATTACATCTTTGATGAATAGCTAATAATTATAATTAAATGTTTTAATAATAAAGAAAGAAAACATGTAAACAATGTAAACATTGAAAACACTCACGTGGACTTTAAACATCTAATACGCACGCGTAATAACTGCTTTTTCATTTGTTGTTAATTTCCGCGCTTAAATTTGAATATTTAAAATAATTTTAAATTAAATGAAATCTCAAAAAATAAACATTTACCTATAATTAACTTATGATAATTAACAATTATTAAAAACGATATGATGTACGACTGAAATTTCTACACGTTTAATTGTAGAATATTTATTTTTATTTTCAGTCCGATGATAAAAATTTATCTTTCCTTATAAGTTTATTGATAAGACACGAACAGTTACGATTTTTATTTAAATAATAATTATAATAAACTGAATAAAATTAGCATTAAACAATTGTAAATTTTTATTTTTGTTTATATTTTATTTTTAAATTGCGATATATTAATAACTATAATATTGTAAATAATTAATATTATTATAATACTGTAAATGTAAACAAATGGATTATTTAAACAAAGCAAGTGAAGAGAAAAATTTACAATAGCTAGAAAATGCTATTAATTAAAGTATTAAAAGTATTATTATTAATCTCGATGAACAAATTAATTTTAAAATGGAATATTAATTTTTTTCGGTAGTGAATTCTGCTAAAATACAATTTTTTGCTTGTAAAATACTTAATTACTTAAAAAAAATTAGATGATAAAAAAACTTACTGAAATTAGTTAATTAGTCAACCGAACTTGACTAATTAGATAGAATATTAATAATTAATTATTATAGTTTAATTATTAATTAATTAATAGTTAATAATTCAATAATAATGAATAATTATTGATAATCATAAATTTTCTAATAATTTTTAATTATTAGACTTGAAATCGTTATTAATAATCATAAATTTTCTAATAATTTTTAATTATTAGATTTAAAATCATTAATAATATTCATAAATTTTCTAATAATTTGTAATTATTAGATTTAAAATCATTAATAATAGGTATTCGTAAATTTTCTAATATTTTTTAATTATTAGATTCAAAATTTTGATGAACAGTGACGTTGCATTCGTCATCAGAAAGTCGTTGACAAGTTGGAAGTGGAGGAACTTCACATGTGCATTTTACACAAACGGAACTATAATCCGTCGCTTGATTCAATTCGTCGCCGATTTTCATGACAATATTTCCAAATGTGCAAGTATCTGTTAAATAAACATCATTAAAATTACTAATTATACTAATATTGATAAATATCTATTAATTTATTTATTTATTAGATTTATTTTTTTCTATTTTTCTATTTTTCTATTTTCCTTTAAATAAAAATACCGCTTTAAATATATTTTCATTAAAAATTTTTAAAAAATTACAATAAAAAATAATAATACTTAATACTCACTGGTTTTGTCGCTATCAGGACCATTTCGAGTTTCAGGATGAGAAATAAGCGTATCATTCTTGTTTTCTGAAAAGTAAAATATTTTTTACTATTTTCTGTTAATATTATTATTTTTACTATTTTCTATATATATTATTATTATTATTTTATTACTATTCTATAAATTATACTCTATTTTTTTATTGTCTTGATAAAATTGTTTTTCCATATTTTTTATTTCTTATTCGAAAAATATTGAAGAATTGATTAAATTCTTAGTTTTCAATAAGATAAGAAAAAATTTTCAATAATAAATAATAATAACTAAATAAAAAATTCATTAAATTAATTTAATGCCTATTGATACATTAATTTTAAATAAAAATTCTCTTTCAATATTATTTTTATCCTCCTCTATTTCCATTTTTATGCTTTATTTGCATTTGTTGATAAAAAATTTCTTTCTTTAAAATTCAATAAAATTTCTTTTCTTTTTTTTCTTGAGAAAACAGTAAATAAAAATATTTCAAAATTTTTATATTCTATTTCCTCTTTCTTTTTGCTTTGTTTACATTTGTTGATAAAAAAAATGTCTTTATTTAAAATTCAACAAAATTCCTTTTCTTTTCTTTTTTTTTGAGAAAAAAGGAAATAAAAATATTTTTTTTATTCTATTTAGTATTTTGTGTGCTTTATTTGCATTTGTTTTTGATAAGAAGATTTATTTCCTTAAAATTCAATGTAGAATTTCTTTTTTTTCTTATTAAAAATATTTATTTTAACTTACGACATCTGTAAGAAACACTGCACGATGTTTGAGGCGATTGTTCGTAATAATAAACGGGAGCACATTTTTCATGAATTTCATAACTGTGCCTCATTTCAGTTCCACAAATACTACCCTTGGGAGTGTGACAAAATGGCTCAATATTTTCTCCTAGAATTTTTTTTTTATTAATTCATATATTTAATTAGTTAAATTTATTTAATGATAATATTAATTTATTCATTCGATATGAATATTCGATATTTTCCCCTAGAATTTTGTTTAGCCGTCGAGTGTTTAAATAAAATAAAATATTTAATTAGTTAATTTATTTATTAATAATAATATTAATTATTTAATTTATTTAATAATTTAAATGGACTTACAATTGTAATATTCCCTTTCGAGTTAATAATTAATAAATAAAAAAAAAGAAAAACGGTAAAACTTCGGTTACCTTTACTTAAAATAATTTTCTTTTTTTTGCAGCTTAGAAATTTTTAGTTAATATTCTTCTCATATTAATAAGTTTCTTTGATTTTGATAATTTTTTTAAAAAGGATAAAAAATTAAAAGTAATAATTTTACCCTTGTATCCTGGTTTGCAGTAACATGACGTGTTCGGCTGGTCATCAATTTGGAAATATTCGCCTTCTTTTAAAATTTTTCCGTTAACTAAACACGTTGCTGGCTTAGTAGCTGTGAAAAAGAAAATTCCCCCTCAGAATAAATTTGAAAATCTAATAATTAATTGCCTTTGAATCGTTTGTACAATAAAGATAACAATAATAAAATTTCTTTTGTACTTCTATCTTATACAGTAAAAATAAAAATGTTAAAATATATTTTAAATATTTGTTTTTATTTTTAATATTATATTTTTTATTTTTTACTCTAGTCACATAATACTTACGACAAATGACTTCTGCTGGACAGCACTGATCGGCAGATTGATCTATGTAACATCCATCGTCAATAGGTTCTTCAATGCCACAATCAACTTCTGCACACGAAAATGAAGCTCTATTGAAAAATAATAAATAATAATAATTATTCAATATTTATATTTCCTTTAAAAATGATTTAAGTCGTGAATAATTTTATTCAAAAATTCTAAAAAGATAATATTGACTTTTGAAAAATTGCAGTTGTAATTTTTGCAAATAATTAAATTTCAAAGGTTTTACATTGAAATTATTTGAAATTTCAATTTAAATAAATATCTAAGAATAAGTTTTTAAATATTTGTTTAACAAAAATGATTTAATTTTTGAATAATTTAATGTCAAAATTCTGAAAAAATTTAATTTCTTTTTTTTAAGATAATTGACTTCCCAAAAATAATGTAAAAAATTAAAAATTTTGGCAAATTTCATTGAAATTAATTTTACATTTCAAAGAATTTAATTTCATCACTTTCAAAATCGGTTTAAAAATATAAATCTATTTTTGAAGAATTATATCTAATCTTATATCTAAGAATAAGTTTTTAAATATTTGTTTAACAAAAATTATTAAAATTCTAAATAATTTAATGTTGAAATTCTAAAAAAGTAGATATAATAAATTGTTAGTTACGCTAGTTCTTCATTAAAATTTTGAATCGTTTATCCAATTATTTTAATTGTCTAAAATACTATTTTAATAACTCACACTCCTCCATATCCTTTTTCACAATAGCAGTCAATGTCGCAAACTTGAGAATCCTCTTTTCTCAATTCTTCACCAATTTTATAAACATTTCCATTTGCATAACATTTCGACGTTGATCTTTCCTCGAGATGAGAGCAATCATATTTAATTGCGCAACAATCGCCAGGATTTTTGTAAATTGCCTTACATCTTATGTCCTTATAGAAACTCAATGGACCAGGACATTTTGTCTCGTCACATTCTGACAAAAAAAAAAAAAATATCCCAAAAATTAATTTCAAAGAAGAGAATAAAAAAAAATACTGATAAATAAATAAAATTTAAAACAAAAAATAAAGTAAAAATTTTTATTTTACCTTTTTCAGCAAGTGAATAAATCGCAAAAACGAGGCACAAGAAGACGTGAATCAGAGGCACACTCCGTTTATACATAATGATACTTTAAAATTGCAACTACTTTAATATCAAAGTATCCACATGTATGTGAGAGAATGAAGAAGAAAAAAATTGTTTTATATACACAGAAGAGATAATAAAGAAACTGAAAATGAAAAGGGAATGTATAATTTTTTTCTCACTTTATATCGCAACACGTTTAGAAAATAAATTGAAGATTCAATTCAAGTGCAGGAGTATCTAATAGAATTATTACTATTACACAAAATTAATCATGATAACATTGAACTATGATGACATTATTCTCTCCATTTGACCTTGTTTCTTTGCTAAACGTCAGTAAAACGTTTCTTTTACTCTAAATCACAATTAGTTGAGATTAGAATTAAAAAAACTCTATCATTCATTTCGCTCTTTCTTTAAAATTTACTTTTTTTATTAAACAATTTTAACTTTAATTACAAATTTATAAATAGCAATTACTAATAAAATGTTAGAAAGTTATAATTAACGGAATTTTTTTATTTTAATTTAAGTTTAAATTTATAATACAAAACAAAATTAAACCGAAAGTTATACAAATTTTTTTGCCTTTCTTAATTTTGTTTAAAATTTTATTTTGTACAATAAAAATAAACTATAAAGTTTTAAACTATAATTTAGTTTTGAAACCTCTTCCAGTAAATGAGGATAAAAGAAACCAGAAAAAATGTATGTAATTATTTTCTTAAACTTGTTTTGTTAGTTTTTTAATTGTTATCTTTTGCAAAATCTATTCTGTTCTCACGTTTACTAATCATTCTTAAATTCTGGAAAACCCATTAGAAAAGTATTTTAAGCTGATGACTCAAAACTTCTCGGCGATAAATAAAAAGAATGAAAATTAAACAATTTCATTATAATAATTTTTAAATTATTTTTTAATGATTTCTAATTTTTGTTTTTATTTCCAATTTTCTATTTAATTCAATTTTTGAAATAAAATTCAAATCAAGTTTTATTCTAAAAAATATATTCAAAAGTTTACTATTTTTTTCTTAATTTTCAAATTTTCAGGAGTTTTGCTTTTCATTTTCAGAGATAAATATTTGCAAAGAGTTTTCCTTTTTTTTTATTTTCAGAGATAAATTGATTTTCAAAGAGTTTTCCTTTTTTTATTTTCAGAGATAAATATTTTCAAAGATTTTAATTTCTTTCTATTTTCAGAGAGTTTACTTTCTTCTAATTTTGAAATAAATACTTTCAAAAGTTTAATTTTTTTTTCTAATTTTCAAAGAAATTTGCGAATTAAAAAAGTAAAATATTTAAAAAGAAAATTAATTAATTTACAACTTATCACATTCTTTGTCGGAAATTTGTTGACACGTTGGAGTTGGTGGTACTTCACATTTGCATTTCACGCATTTGTACATATCGTCAGTTTTTGGATTAATTTCGTCTCCAATGTGCATGACAATTTTGCCAAATTTGCATGTATCTAAAAATTGTAAAATCCAAAAATTAATTTTTAAACTATAAATCTCTGTAAAATTAAAATTATCCTACTTTACAAATAATTATAAAACTTTAAAAAATATTAGGTACTTTATAAATTATAGATAATTAGGTGAAAAGTAAATAAATAATAATAAAAGTAAACAAAGAAATGAAAGTAAAAATAAGTAAACATAAGTAAAAATAATAAAAATAAATAAAAGTAAAGAAAAATAAGTTTGAAGAATTTTCTTGTAAAAAATTAATTCATTTTCCTACCAGATTCATCGGTGGAAGTATTCTCAGTTTTCGTTGCAGATGGAATACGTTTATCGTTTTCGTCAGCTGAAAATAAATTTAATTATTTATTTCCAAAAGAAAAAATTTAAATCTATTATAATATTAATTATTAATTTAATCTTTGCAAGAAAAAACTACTCACGACAGCGGAAGAAATGATTGCAAGAAGTTTGCGGAGGTGATTCATGATAAATTGGTGCACACTTATTTTTTAATTCAAAACTACTTCTCAGCTCAAGTCCACATGATTTTTTATTTGGTTCATGGCAGAAGGGTTCAATATTTTCACCTAGATAAAAATTTTAAAAAGTAATTTATAAATTCAAATTTAATATTAATTTTTTTCAATTTTAATATTAATTTTTAATATTTCTTCCTTAATTGTAATTTCAATATTTAATACTTTAATAAAAAAATTAAATGATTTGGTTCCTTCGTCTATAAATTAGATAAATTTAATAAATAAATACGAGTTCTCCAAATTTTAAGCAAAAAAATATTTTGATATTAGTTCAAATTATAATTTAGTAAACAAAAAATTTTTTGTATATTGAAAATAAATTTACCTGTATATCCAGGTTTGCAGTAACATGAGACATTTGGCTTGTCTTTTGGTTTAAAATAATCACCTTCGGTTAATGTTTTTCCATCGACGACACAAGTGGCAGGATTTGAAGCTACAAAAATTAAGTAAAATATTAATTATCAATAATTTAATTTTTAAAGAAAAAGAATTTTTAAAATAAAAAAAATTATATTAAAAAGAAAAACTTACGACAAATTTCTCGACCCGGACAACAGTCTTCTGGTAAATGTTCCCGATAACATCCTTTCTTAGGTGGTGGTGCAAAACAGTCCTCAACGGCACACGTGAATTCAGCTCTAGAAATAAAAACAATTTGTTTCTTAAAATTTTCTTTTTTCTATTTTTTCTAGAGTTAAATCCAACTCTAGAAATAAAAACAATTCGTTTCTTAAAATTTTCTATTTTCTACTTTCTATTTTTAATTTTTAATTTTTAATTTTTAATTATTCCTTCTAAAAAACTATCTTTTTTTCGGAAATTTATTTACTTATAGTAGAAGAAGTAAGAACTTACGAATCAGAAAAATGTTCCATACAAATACATTCACGGTTACAAGGTAATGAATCTTCCTCCTTCAATTTTTCACGAATCTCATAAACATTGTCATGTACATAGCACTTTTTTGACTTGAATCTCTCTTCCATGTGAGAACAATCATATTTCATTGCACAACAATCACCGGGATTTTTATAAATCGGCTTACACTTGATTTCCTCGTAAAACCTCAATGGACCGGGACATTTTGTTTTATCGCATTCATCTGTAACGAAAAAGAAATTATCGAAAATTAAATATTTCCCTTAAGTTCTTCTAGTTATTTATTTGTTAATTTTAATTTTTTTTTTCATTCTTACCTTGAGCAAAAATTGGTGTGACAATAAAAATCAAAAGTAAAGAAATTTCAAGAGTGAAAATTTGCCTCCAGTTGTCCATTTTGATTTTGTTTCAATTCCAATAAATGCTTTCGTCAAAGTATAAAGAAAATGCTTTTAATGAAAATTATAAATGCCTCTTATAAATGAAATATCCAATAAATATACAAAAGGGAAAATAAAAAAATAGGAATGGAATAATTTTGTCGATAACATTATAAACTATTAACGATAAGTTCATGATTCCTTGAATGACGACCTTTCTTTAAAAAGAAATCTAATTAATTATACACATTACATAACAATAAATTATAAATGTTTAATTTTGATCTTTTTTTCAAAATATCCACTAAGAATTTATGAAAAGAAATTTTTTTTTCGATAAAATTTAAGAGGCACTTTAATTAATTTTGTTAGTGAAATTATTGAAAAATACTATTAAAAAATGATAAACGATTTATTTTTAATAAATAATAATTAATTTACTAATTTTATAATAGAACTAAAAAAAATATATAATTTTTTTCAAAGAATCATTTTCCAGAAGCCAAATCCCAATAATGTTCTCCGTAGTTTCCGTTTGCATTTCCCCATAATACCTGTAAAATAAATTAAAATAAAAAAAATTTTCTACTAAAATTTTATCCAAATAATATCAAATTATTTAAAATCTTAAATAGTCTATGAATTTCCAAAATTCAAAAAAAAAATCAATAAGTAGAGTTTACAGTTGCAATATTTGGAAATATTATTTTATTTTTGCATTTAAATAATTCAATTCTCATACAACTTTTTTAATAAAAATTGATTGTAAAAAGAATTTTAGTTCAAATTTTCGAAAATGTTTTAAGAATGGGAAGAATTACAGTTCTAAAAATAATTAAATTTCAAAAGGTTTTACATTGAAAGTATTTTAAAATTTTAATTCCTGACGGACAAATAAATAAGTATTCAAATATTTATTAAACAAACATTCATCAAAATTGAAAAATTTTATAATTAGAAATTCTTAAAAATGGAGATTTCTAAAAAATTAAAACTACAATTTTTTTAATGTAGTTGATTTACCGAAAATAATTTTCAAAAATGGAAAAAATAGTAAATTTTCTCAAATTTCATTAAAATAAATTTTACGTTTCAAAGGAATTTTATTTTGTCACTTTCAAAAATTATTTTTAAATATTATTGTATTTTTTTGAAGAATTGTAACTAAAAATTTGGAAACTAATTAAATTATACAAAATTCTTGTATTTAAAATTTAAATATTCAATTAGCGTTGAGTTCTAATAAGAATTATTAAAAAAATGAATTTCAATTAAAATTTTGAAAAATAATTGAACATTTTGAAGAATTTTAATTCTTGTTATAAAACAAGAATTTTAAGAAATAATTAAATTTTAAAAAGTTTTTGAATTCAAATCTTTATACCATTTTAATCACCGTAAAATTATAATAATATATTTATTTGTTTTATTAAAAAAAAATCTTTAAAATATATTATTTTGCTTTAAAAATTAATAAAGTTACGAATAAATAATTTTATTCAAAAATTTTATTTAGAAATTATAAAAAGAATTGAATTAAAAATGAATTACAGTTAAAATTTTGAAAAATAATAGAATATTAGAAGCGTTATAACATTCAAATTGTAATTTAAATGTTTATTTAAAAAAAAACTTAATAAATTATTTTCCTTAAAAAATTATTAAAATTTTGAATAATTATATTCAAAAATTCTAAAAAATAATTGACTTTTGAAAAATAATAGATAAATTTTCATTAAACTTGATAAATAAATTGAAACATACTTTTCCATGATGGCGATTATTTTCAAAGTCTCTTTGCTCAAATCTTTGCTCATATTCAGTTGGATTTTCACAAGCGTGACCGAATTGGAATAACAATGGTGCTAAATGCTCATAGAAAAGATCCCTAGAATACAAGAAAAATTACGTATGTTATTTTCAAAAAAGTTATATTTTACTTGTTTAAAACTAAAAAAAAAAAAAATTCAACTTATATTTCAATTTAATTAAAAATAACTCACTGGAAAAATTGACTCTTGTGTAAAATTTGTTTTGGAACTTTTGCCTCCAGATTATCTTCATTCGAATCATCTCCAGTCTCCTCGAGAGATTCTGTAAAAGAAAAATTGTGAAATACACTAAAAAAACCTTAAGATAATTCAAATTAATTAAAATAATAAAAATTAAATTACAATTTACTTAATTTATCAAAATGTAAATAATAATTAAATTAACGTACCATTAACGTTACCATTTTCAAAATCGTCATGAACTATAATAGGAGCGCAAATAATACTTGTAACTATATTAACGATAATTATACAAAAAATAAATATCGAAAGCATTGCTCGAAATTGAAATTATTATTTAATTAATCAAATTTCTCTACAATCACTTTTTTTGAGTTTAAATACAATTGCAAAGGAAAATAAAGAAAAATTTTCATTAAATAAAATTTAATATTCCTCTATTTTAAAATTTTTCTCTCTCACAATCATTTATTTCAAAATATTTAATTTTTATATTGTAATTTAGTGACATTTCATATTAATCATAATTTAGTGACACTCTTATATTTCTTATAATCTAGCCACACTTTATATTAATTGTAATTTAGTGACTTTTTTTTAAATTTCAATCATTCGAATATATTTTTTTCTACTAAGTTTAGAAAAATTTGAAATAATCCATCACAGTTGTTTCTTGAACAATCTATAAATTCATACTAAAATTAAAGAGCGGACAGTTGTCTACAATCAAAAGCAAACATTTTTTTTTTCAACAGGATCTACTCTATTAAACACAAAAATTGAGAAAGTGAGTACGTGCAAGTGAATGTATGACAAAAAACTGGCTCTTAAAAAAAAGGGAGAGAAAGAGGAGATCAAACTCTATAGACAAATTTTACCGCTAATTTAATATATATATAATATTTCTTTATAGATTATTGTAAATTGTAAATAGTAAATTGTAAATTTAACTAATAATGGTAACGTATTTTAATTTAATTCAAATATATAAACAAAAATCTATAAATGCACATTTTCTCAAAGAAAAACTGTGATTGAATTGATTTATTAATTACACGCAAAGTTAATAATACGCGAATTAAGTGTGATAAGTGAAGAATATTATCTTTCAAAAGGACTGTAATAGCTATTTTTTGCGCATTTCATCACTGATTGAACTAGTTTTATAAAACCGGTATCTTTTGGTTTTTCCAATCCACGAAGTACTCGATTTTTCATCACAGCCACAAATTCTCGATTGCTCAATTGGCCGTCCACTGAAAATTTGGAAAAATCGTTTAATAATTAATATAATTACATAATAAAATATTTGATATTATTTATTTTTATATTATTTACTTTCTTTTTACTAACAACTTAGGAAATTAAAATTATATTCAAATTTTGTTGCTCTGAGCGTAGAAGGAAATAATAATTCTATTTATAATTATGTATCATATTTTTATAATAATTTCTTATCATTGATACGTACTATTTTCATCGAATATGGTATAAACCACTTGAATGACGTGATCACTCAAATCTACGTGAGCCACAGTTTTTGCGACGTGTTTCAAAGTGGCTAAAAATAAAAATTTCCATTTAATATAAAATAAATTTTGACAGAACATTTCGTACCAATACTAAATACTTAGTAAAGTAATTATTTTAAATAATATTTCAATTGATCTTTAATCTTCTATATTAATAATCGTTTTATTCCTTACTTTTAAATAATTATTCTTTTTTAATGTTTTCAATTTTTTTAATTCATATAATGAAAATCATTGAGTTCTCGAAAGAAGAAAAACAAATTTGAAAATAACTAAATTCTTGCGAAGAATTTTACTATTTGTAAAAATAATTGAATTCTAATTAAATTCTTTTGAAGAATTTCTTTGATTTTTTTTAAATAAAGGAGTTTCTTTAATAATTTTAATTGAAATTTTTTAAATAATTGGAGTTTATGAAGAATGTCAACTTTCAAGTTTTTAAAATAATCGTCTTTCGCAATTATTGAAATAAACATTTAATTATTTAATTTTATTGAAATTTTAAAAAAAATTTTTTAAATTATTAAATTTTTCTAAGAATTTTATTACAGTTTTTCAAAGTAATTGAATTCGGTCAAGAAATTTTATTGAAATATTAAAAATAATTGAATTTGTTCGTAGATAATATTAAAGTCTGTTAATAATGATAATTGAAAATTTGATTATTGAATTTTATTAAAATTGTACTAAAAATAATTGAATTCCTGCAAACAATTTTACTATTTATAAAAATAATTGAATTCTTCCGAAGAATTATAGGTATTTAAATTTCTAATAATAATAATTGAATTATTTCGAGTAATTATGTTAAAATTTTTGAAAATTATACAATTTTATAAAAAATTTTCAAAATAATTGAATTCTTTTTAAAAAAATGCTATTTGAGAAATTTATTTTTTACGAAGAATAATTTTATTAAATATTTTTGAAAAATAATTGAATTCCTGTGAAGAATTTTAGAAAAATTTCTGAAAATAATTAAATTGCATCAAGAAAATTTTGTAAAATTGTATTGAAAATATTTAATTGAATTCTATTTTTAAAAAAAGGAGTTTTATATTTAAAAAGAATTTTTATTTTGTAATTTGCATAATAATAAATTTAACGCCGTGTTTCGCGGTTTTTAATATTAAATTAATATTGTCTAATATTAATATCTAAATACTTAATAAATATTTTATCCTAAAATTTTATTACTTTGATCAATTGAAGCTCCAGCGATGTGATAAAAAGTTAGAGCCGTATCAACGTCGTTAATATTATTCAAAAAATGGAAGAACTTTAAATATTCGTCTTTGTTGACACCTTTGGGACATTCTCTGAAACTTAATATTAAGAAGAAAATTATTTCCAATTTTTTATATTTATTCACTTTAATTTCGAATTCATAATAATTAATAATAATAAAAAAGTGCTATTTTAGTTTCTATATTAAATCTCCATTTTTAAAAATTTTAATTAAAATTAAGAAAATTAAAATAAAAATCAAAGTTAAGAAAATTTAATTTCTTACGCTTTTTTCACTCTTTTCAGCATTTTTGCTTTTTTCTTCTCCGGATAACCAGCGTAGGCCAAAAGCAATTCAGTAAAATCAACTTCAGTTATGTTTCCATTTTCGTCTGGATTTCTTCGTTCAAACTAAAGAAAAAGAAACTTTTCTTTTTTACAATTTCTATATGCAAAATTTATGTCTATTAAATCAATTTTTCATTTTTTTTGAAATCACACCTCAAGATTTAAAATTTCCGTCTGCAATTGTTGTTGAAAATCCAAAAACTTTTCAATCGTTAACTTTTGATTCATTTTCGATCCAAAGAAATAAGTCGTCAATGCCGAATTTACACCCTGAAAAAAAAATGAAATAAATAATGAACATAAAAAAATCCAATTAGCAATTATCACGCTATTTATATTAACTATCGAAAAAATAATTTTCCAATCCATAAAAAATTAATGTTCCATTAATAATTGCGAGCTTGAAGTTATTACTTTAAATGTATTTCCAGTATTGGCGTGATCGCGATGTCGATTTCCAATACTGCTCTGTTGTCTTATTAAAGTCGCAACTTTATTAAATTCATCGCAATCAACGTCACCATCGCCATTGAAATCAAACATTCTAAATGCAATTTCAAAATGTCGTCTCGATGCTGAAATAATTATTTCGAGAAGAAGAAAAAAAATTAATTATATGTTTTGTTGATAATGGATTTTTATATTCTTCTTAGAAAAAATTCTACTTACTTGACAAAACCGTGAGTAAAAAAATGTAATCCGAGAATGTAATCAAACCATAACTTCCTAAACGATAAAAAAAACTATTCTCATCCAATGTCAATCCCAACTGATTCTGAATATTCTGTTGAAAAGGAAAAAAAAATTATTATCATTTCTAAAACAATTTAATCGCAATGCAAAAAATTCTCAAACCAAAGTCTTCATAATTTTACAAATAATAAAAAAGAGAAAAAAAACTTACCCTTGGATCGTATCTCTTATATTGATCCAAACCGAGACCTGCAAAATTAGTCCTTTAATTAATTTATTAATAAATTTAATCAATTAATATTACATTTTTTCGTGTTTTTCCAAATTTTTCTAAATTTCTAAACAAAAAATTAAGTATTCTGTAATAATATTGAAAATATAAATTTATGGATTGAAAAATACAAGAAAATAAGTATAAAATATTAAAAAATCTATTTAAATTGAAAAATAAATAATAATTTAATTTCTATAAAAATAATAAATAAATAATTATTTAAAGTACAAATCCTATAAGAAAGAAAAATTAAAAAATTACTTATAATTTCCCTTCTAAAGAACAATATTGAAAAACTTCACTCTCTATCGCTAATGACACATGCAATGAAGGCGAAGAAGCGGAAAATATTTTAATCCTACATACAATGCAAAGCAAACAACAGAAACAGTCAATGAATTGATAGTTTGACGATTTTGTTTGTTTTATTTAAAAGAAATAAAATTTTTAAAAAAAGAAGAAAAAAAAAGAAAAAATTTTGGAAAAATCGTACCGTCAGGTTGTTTAACACCAGGCGTTAAAGACCGTAAAAAGTCGTCTGGTGTCATAAAAATTTCATGAACATCGTTGTTTGGACTTGTAACTTGAAGTGTTGCAAAGTAACGAAACACTTTGTCCGGCGTTGAATAATGTCTTATTCGATTTTCATATTCGATTATCTGTTTATTAACACAATTTAATTATATATTTAGGTAGCTATATTATTTATTTTTAGTATTGAAATTAGAGAAAATTAATTAAAATAAATAAATAATTAAATTTCAATGAAAAATAAATATATAATTTATCAAAAGAAAAGAAAGTTTCATTAACTGTTGACTCTTCTTTTTAGTCCAAATTTTTAATTCCACTCATGCACAAGTCAATTATTATTATTATCACCACATTCACAACAATTTCTTTTTTTTTTTTTATCAGAGAGTAAAGGACCCCAAAAAGTTATTCTACATTTTGTCCAAAAAAGCAAAGAAAACGAAAAAAATGAGACCAGAAATTTTTTTATCCTTGCAAATTTAGAATTTGAGAATATTTCTTTAAAAACAAAGAAATTCTTTGTTGTTTTTTTTAAATAAAATATTCTTTGTTTTAGAAAATAAAATAAAAATAAAACTTGTTCTTTATTTAGAAAATAAAGTGAAGTAAAAAATAAAGTCTTTCTATTCTTTAGAAAATATAATCAATTTTTCTTTCTTTTCTTTAGAAAATAAAACAAATTTTGTTGTTTTCTTTTTATTTTATATTTTTTTTTATTTGAGTAAAATTATTAAACAAATGTCTAATAATGTAAATTTTTTTATTATTTTTATGAATTGTTTTTTTTATAAAAGAAAATAAAATTTTCTTTATATATTTTCTCTGGAATAAAGTTTATTTTTCTTCTTTAGAACATAAAATTTGCTTTATTTTCTTTCTTTTCTTTGAAAAATGAAATTTTGTCTACGTTTTCTTTTTAAAATAAAGTAAAATAAAATTCTCTTGTTATGTTTTCTTTAGAAAATAAAATAAAATTTTCTCTATTATATTTTCTTCAGAAAAAAAAATGTTTATATTTTCAACAATGAAAATTAAACTTTAGAAAATTCTAATAAAAAGACTATATTCAAAAACAAATGTCTAATAATGTAAATTTTATTCAGTAAATTAAAAAAAAAGTAGAAAATTTATAATTGAAAATATCAAATTGATTTATTTAATAAAAAAAAATTATTTTTCAAAACCCGGGAAAGCGAAAGTTGTGCTAAAAAGTAGAAAATCGTTAGAAGCAGTTTTTTTTGTTGTTGTTGTTAAAAATCCACTGATTACAAAGCGAGAAGTATTCAAATATTACTATATAGGTTTTTTTAATTAAATACTGGATGAGAGGGGAAATTTCAACCATTTCTTTGTTTTTTTGGGAGATGATTCTTTGCAAATTTTACTGGTTATAGGAATTAATAGAAGCAATCGTAGAAATACCATTTCTCTTTTTTTTTACTCTTATTTTTCTCTCTTAATGAAATGTAGGAAAATTTTACCATCTGGCTGCTTCATGCCAGGTGTGATTGCTCTTAAGAAATCATCAGGCGTCATGTAAATTTCAGTGCCTTCCAAGCTAGTTACTCTGACAGTGGCAAAATATCGAAAAATTTTATCTGGGGTCGAATACGCTCTCATCCTATTTTCATACTCAATTATCTGCAAGAATTCTTAAAAATTTCATTTACCTGAACAATTCAAAATAGTTTCTTATTCTGCAAAAAATTGGATTTAAAAACAAATTTTTGAAATACAATTTTTTTAAATTACTTTCTATTTAATATTTTATTATTTTAATTTTTGTTCCGATATTTACATTTATTTCAATATTTAATATTTAATATTTAATTATTTTCATAATTTGAATCGTAATTTACGTGAACGTTAACAAATTTTTATAAATCGTTAAAATTTACTCTTAGTTTCAAAGTTTAAACATATTTTTTTTTTTTATAATCGACTATTATTTCATTTTGAAACGACTATTTTTCTTTTTCTCTATATTTTTTATTTTTCTTTCTACAGTTTTAATATTCCAAGTATTTATTTACTGAAATTGTAAACATTTTGTTCTAATCGTATTATTAGAAAAATGGTAAATAAATATTTTGGTAAAAAATATTTCGAGAATAACAAAAAAAAATTAAAGACGTGAATTAAAAGAATAAAGAAAAATAATAATAACAACAACTAAATCACACCTTTCTGTCTCGAAATCCAACTTTGTGCTTCTTCTTTTTTTTCTTGTGCTCTTCATGTTCAACATGTTCCACGTCAGTGTCATTTTCATGTTCTTCAGTTTCATTTAATAATTCAGCCGCATCGACACGTGGAATTAAATCAAGAATTTTGTTCTTTGCTTTTCTGAATAAATCAATCCTAAAAGAAAATTAAATATTACATCAAAATTGTTCTATTACATTTATTTACAAATTTCTTCAAAAGTAAAATTATTCAAAAACATTAATAATTTCATTTTTGAATAAATATTTAATCATTTTTATTTTTCCGTAGGAATTAGGATTTTCAAAAATTTCAAATTTAAACCTTTTGAAATTCAATAACTTTTAAGAAATATTTTTTTATAAAACATGAAGATATCGAGCACTCCGACTCGAAGTGATCGCTATCTTCATATTTTATAATAATTTAAACTTCCATAAAATTTTTCAAAAAAAATTAAATTATTTACAAAAATTTTAATAAAATCCTTCGTAAGAATTCAATTACATTTCATAAATAACGAAATTCTTCGCTGAAATTCAAATATTTTCAAAATCTACTATTTTAATAATTTAATTCTCAAAAGAATTCAATTATTAAAAAAATTTTAATAAAAATATCAATTATTTTTAATAATTTTTGCAAAAGTGTCTAGAGAATTTTCAAATCCATTTGTTTACAATTTAAATTTACGAAATATTGATTATTCAGAAATTCTTCATTTAAATATTTAGAAAATAAAAACTTGAAATATAATTTTAAAAAAATTCAATTCAATTCAACAAATTTTTAAATAATTAAATTTTTTTGATGAATTTTAATAAAATTTTCAAGAATAATTACACTTTTCCAGGAATTCAGTTAAAATTGTATTAAAAATAATTGAAATTCTGTGATGAGTTTTATAATTCATGAAAATAATTGAATGTTTGCGATAAATTCTATTTAACTTTTTTCTTTTAAAGAATTGAATTATCGTGAAAAATTTTATTATTTGGGAGAATAATTGAATAATTGTGAAGAATTAAAGAAAGAATTCAAGAATTTTATTATTCATGAAAATAATTGAATTCTTGCGAGGAATTTTATTTAATTATTTTTAAATAATTGAATTCTCGTGAAAAAATTTATTATTTGGGAAAATAATTGTGAAAAATTAAAAAAAGAATTCAAGAATTTATCAATTTTTTAAAAAATAATTGAATTAATGAAAAGAATTTTATTATTTATGAAAATAATTGAATTATTGCGAAGAAATTTATAAAAAAATTGATAAATAGTTGAACTCCTGTAAAATTTTTATTATCTATAAAAATAGTTGAATTTTGGAGAAGAATTTTATTATTTTTAAAGATAATTGAAATTAAAATAAATAAATAAATACTTTAAAAGAATTTTTGAACATAATTGAATTTCTGCAAACATTTGTAACTTCTTTAAAATTTAATTTTGTTTAATTTATGTATTTAATTTTAAAAAAAAATTGTTCCTCTCGTTCAGAATAACAAAAATGCAAAAATTTCTACTAATTTATAATAAACCAGACGAACGGATAGAAAATATTTTACCAATAGTATGCTGAAGAAACAAAAAACATTCCTCCTACAAGGAGAGCCAAGTATTGAATTTGTAACTTAGACGGTTGTTTTTGCTTATGACCGAAATTTTTATAGTATCGATACTGAGTTTTATTGATTATAAAATTATTATTTTTCTCATGATTCGAATAAATTCCTATTGTTCTGCATGGTATTGTATTATAATTTTTGAAGCCATTTTTTAAAGCTACCACTATTATTCGCCTTGGAACAATCATTTTGCATTGTGAATCCTGTAATTAAAAAAATTCAAAGTAGAAAATTAAAATCACTTTTACAAGAAGAAATTAACAAAAATTCAAATTAATTCAACATTATTAAATTAATTAATTATTAATTAATAATTATCATATATTGGAAAATATTGAAATTATTGAATTCAAATAAGCTTGAAAATAAGAAACAATTTTAGAAAATTAAACGAAAACTTAAAACAAATATAATACAAATTATAATAAAAATATCAGAAAATAATCTAAAAAATAACTTTAAAATACAGTAAAATTTGTAATACAATAAAAATAAAAAAAAGAAAACAAAAATTACTTAGCAACCTGAACGGAAAAATTACAAGTCCAATTTAAACAATTTAAACTAATTTTTCTAATTTAAAAAATCCATAAATATTAGATAAACATTTGTTATTCTAAACGATTTTGAAAATTACATCAAAAGAGCAATTATATAAAGAATTCTTTGTATATAAATTACAGCAGCTAATTATGCAATTAAATAATAAAATTAGTGAAAAAAAACAAAAGTTAATCAATAAAATGTACTAAAAACGTATCGAAAAACGAATCTTTGTTCTCTATAATTAGAATAATGACCGCAGAATTCCCAATGTAACAAATCAATATTAATTATTAATAAATTATGTAAATGAGTATTAATTAATCAATTAATATACATTGGAAATTGTACAGAAAAATTAAAAAACAAGTACTTTGTTATCGTAATTGAGTAAAGAAAAAATAACCTCTCTTTCGATGTAGAACAATTTTTTAACCGTAAAATTGAAATAGCGCAAATAATATAAATACAAACTTACCTAGTTTCAGGCTAAATAATTATTTTAACCATTCATTATTATTTTCAGTTATCAATAGACAATTTTCCCAGTAAATATATTTTTTAACAATATTTTATTTCACTTTCACTACTTTTACACAGTGACGTGAATATAGCTCTTTTTTGCGGAAATCAAGCAGACGACATCAGTCACGTGACGACAGCAAGTGTAGAGGGAAATTTGAAATTTGCAACTTTCATTATTTATTTTTATTAAAAAATGTTTAGTAAATATTATTTAAACGAAGTTAAACATCTTTTGAAATATGATCAAGAACATTAGGATTAAAACGATTAAAATAATTAGTAAAAAACTGGTATAAATAGTAAAAAAAATGTGTATAGAAAAAAGTATGTGGTGTCACGTGATATAAAGAGCGGGATATTTGAATGACTTCAAAATTCAAAAAAAAATTTCGTGTATTTAAAACTAGTTGTTTACGATTTAAAAATAATCCAGAATAATAATAGATTTACGACTAATAATTTACTATTTTACTATACTTTTCTATATAGAGAAAAATTGCAAAACGTAAATTATTGCGCCAATCGACGCACTTCACTCAGTTCGTTAGAATTCGTGAATGTTCGTCAAGTTTCGGAGGGAAAGGCCGAATAAAAGCCGAAGACAAAAGACATAAGGCATTGTTGCGTCTGCTTCAACAGTGTCATACAGTCTAGTTTTATTTTAATTGTGACGCTAACTTTGCGCGTATCTTCAACATTCATCTCAGCTTTTATCATCATCAATGAATTCAATGCACGTCACGATAAAACATTATGTCACTCTAGGTGAAGTGTTTATTTAGTATCAACTTAAAATCACACGTCCAAGTCGAGTGTCAAAACTTGTCAAGATCAGCTGACTTGCCAAAAAAAAGAAGAAGAATTACCGTCGAGTGTATGAAGAACCATTGAAAATTCCCCCAAGATCAGACAAAATGGAGCAGAAACGCTTGTATAAACTCGTTCTAACAGGAGGTAAGTAACCTAATTAAGTATTCATCATTTTTTCCCACAAATTCGCGAAAATGTCACTATTTAACATAAATATCGTGTGGAATATTCTAAATCATGAAAATATGTCTTTGATTTTTCACTACGTGACTACGTGGTCTTTCCATTACATAGCAGCCGAGTATTTTCAGACCACGTGTTCACGATTAATTTCACGATTATATCATAAATATATAAATAGTGATTTTTTTCGATTTCACGAAGAGAAATTTTATCAAAAAAAAAACGTTTTTTTTTTACCTATTCCATTTGTGTCAAGGGTAAAGTGCCGCCCTTTTTTTATTTACACGCAAAATCGAGTGCACTTTTGTTTTTTGTGTCTAAATCGTGAAAAAGACGATATTAGCTATAAATAAAGAATTGTACCAAATTTCCCAGAGGGTCTTTTTTTGCGAACAGGAAGTTATAACTTTGTATTGATTTCTATTTTTTGTATCATGCAATCAATTTTATTGCTATATAATTAAGGATGTAAATCACAGAGTTAATCCTTGAATTTTTAATCTTATCGATTTGAGAATTGTATGCGCGATAAAATGATTTTCTTCTTTTTCTCATTGAAATTAAATATTTTCGTACGTTTCTTTTCTTTTAGGACCATGTGGAGGAAAAACCACCGGACAAACTCGACTCTGTACCTTCTTCGAAAACATGGGATGGAAGGTGGGCATTTTTTTTCTTAAATTAATTTTTTTCAAAGCAAATAAAAAAAAAAAAGAAATTTTATTTCTTGCGTCAAAAGTCGTTGATTTATCGTTGAATTTTTCCAACAGTTATCTTTAACATTATAATAGAAATAATATTTCTAGAATTTCCCCCACTTTCTTGACGTTTGTCTCCATTGACCATTAAAATATATTTTGACACTCTGTCGGAAATATTGACCAAAAAGATAATTATATAAAAGTTGATAAATTTAATATTAAAAAATCTTTTAATAGAAAAAAAAATCGAAATTGCAGGCTTTGCACTCAACTACTAAAACCTATTAATTGAATTATTTTTAATACAATTTTAATTAATTTCGAAATAATTGAAATGATCTTTTAATTTCTCATAAAATGATTTAAAAAAATTCAATTATTTCCAAAAATTTAAATAAAATCTTTCACAAGAATTCAATTATTTTAACAAAATAATAAAATTTTACACAGGAATTCAATTATTTTAAAAAAAATGTAATAAAATTCCTTGCAAGAATTCAATTTTTTCCATATAAATATGATAGAATTTTCCGAAGGATTCAATCTATTTTTAAATTGATTTTAAATTAATTATTCGAAAAATGCAATTATTTTCAAGTTTTATTAAATTTCTTTAAAAAAAAATGAATTAATTTTGTAAAATTTGATGTTATGGAAAAAATCAGTCTTTTGGAAAATTTTAATTAAAATTTGTTCAATATAGTTAAACTCTCGTATAAAAATTTAAAATATTGATATAAATTTCCAAATAATTGGAAATTTAGTCAAATTTAATTGAAATAAATATTATAATTTTTCAAAAAAATCTAATTTTTAACTTCTAAAAATTATTTTCAAAAAAATAATCGAATTTTTGAAGAATTATAAAGTATGGAAAGTAATTATTGAATTTCATAAAAATTTAGAATTCAATTTTTTGCTACTTTTCTAAAATTAATTATTGAGCATGAAGCCTGAAATTGTCAATTTTTTAAATTCTTTTCTTTGTGACAATATCTATTTTTTTGAATTGAAAATTGAAAAATTAGAAGTAATAATTTGAATATTTCTTTTTGGAAATTTCCATTTTGTTACGCAAGGGAAATTTAAAAGTAAAAACGAATTCTTCATTATTGCACTAGGAAAATGATCTAATGTGCTTTTCCCTCCCCTTTAAATTGAAACTATAAATTCATTAATGACTCATTGAGTTTTCTACATTCTAAAATTTTTTCTCTTGGCAAACGTGAAACGAAACGACGTTGTTTTTTCAAATGAAGGGTACAACAACACATTTGGAAAAAAAAATCGTCATTTAAAAAGGAGTTCGCTTGACAAAAAAGAAAAACTATTAAAATACAATTTTAATTAATTGTATTTTAATTGTTATTTACTTTCTGAATATTTCACTGAATATTCACTTAACTGAAAGAATATTTATACCTTTTAAAAAAAAATTCTTTCCCAATTATAATAATAATAATAATTATTCTCAATTTGATTGACGAACGATAATTATTAACATTTAAAATAGGGAAAGTGAAATTTTTTCCAAGTGTGTTGACAAAAAAAAAATTGAATTTCCTCATGAAAATAATTGCAAAAAATAAAATAAAAAAAAAAGAGAGGAGATTTTTTTTGCAATTATTATCTCTTCGTTGTGGATTCGATAGAGTGGTGGTTGTCTTATTTTTCAGGTATTCCGTGTTCCCGAGACAGCGACCGTGCTGCTCAGGTATGACACTATCACGCTAACAAATTTCTCATTTTATTAGACGACATTTTGCCATTTGCCATAAATGTTGTTCCTTTATTATCGTCAAACAAAAAAAAAAAAAAAAGAATTCTTTTGACCAAAAAAAAAGCAATTAGGCAACTCTCATTTCTCTCGAAAAAACGCAAGTCTTCCCCCCTTTTTGTCGCTTACAAAAGAAAAAAATGTTGCTCCAAAAATTAAAAATAAATTTCTCAAATTAAAATGCTGGGAACTTAAAAAAATAGTTTCAGTCCTAGAGAAAAATATTTAAAGAAATTTATTCAAACAAAATATATTTAAAAAAATTTAAAGAAAAAATATTATTTTCAAAGAAATTTGTTCAAAAAATAAAATTCTATACTTGAAAATTTTTTTTATTATGGATTTAAAAAAAATATGATGAAACAGCTTTTAAAATAAAATGTCCTACTTAACGATTTTTCTATTTAGAAAATGTTTCTATTTTTTTTCTATTTTTTAATCTGTTTAATAATAATAATAATGATACTTTTATTTTCTCTTTGTGGAAATAGAAAAAATCAATTTTGTAAAACGTTTATGTAAATAATTATTATCTATTAAATAATAATAATAGTAAAAAAATAACAATAATAATAATAGTAAAAATAGTAATAATAAAATATTAATAATTATTATTATTATTATCACAAGAATATTAATTATTATAATTAAATTTTTTTTTGCAATTAAATAAATAATTGTAATAATAATAAAAAAAAATAATGAAATAAAACTAAAATAATAGAAAATAATAATTTAAAATCTTGTTATGAAAAAGAAAAAGTACAAAATTTTTCTGTTTTGAAAATACACTCGAAATTAAAATAAATGAGTCCTTTACAAAAATAGCTAAACGAGAATCATATACATATATTTTTCTCTCTCTCTCTCTTCGTAAATACAATTTCTTTTTATGTTCATATAATGAAGAACTCTTGAAAATTGAAGAGAATTTTTGTTACTCTCTCTAAAAAGTGATAGAATCTTTTCTTTTCTTTTTTTTTTTTTTGATTAAATTTATTTTAGAGAAAATTGAAAATTTTTTTTTCTTACATAAAATAAAATAAATTTTTTACTTTTATGAACAAAAAAAAATTAGTTTCCACTTTTTTTTCTTGTTAAAAAATAAAATTAATTTTCCACATTTTTTTCTTGTTAAAAAAATTAATTTTACCCTTTTTCAAATTGTTAAAAAAATTAATTTTCCACTCTTTTTTTCTCTGGTATAAATAAAATAAATTTTACCATTTTTTATTGGTAAAAATAAAGAATTCCCAAATATTGGGAAATATTTTTTCAAGCATTAATCTCATCCCCCCTCTGCTTTTTTTTCAATTTCAGTGGCGGTATCAAATTTTCAGACCTGAACGCTGAAGAGGGTGAGTGTTTAATAAATTTTATTATTATTCTAATCATAATTTACAAAACGCTTTTTTAAAAAAATATACTTTCAAAATAATTATTTAAATAATTTTTATAACATTTTATAATTTTTATAATTTTAATTTCTAATTTTCTAATTTAGGTTTAGAATGATGTTTTTAATTTATAATTTTAATAATTTTTTTTTATTAAATTAAACGAAATAGAAAAGAAATTAAACGAAAAGGAAATGCAAAAGTTAGTAAATTTAATTCAGTAAATAAATTTTCTGTATTATTTTTTTATTTTTATTCTTTTTTATTAGTTTAAAAATGCTTAGATTTCCTATCAGCTTAACAAAATAAATTTTTCTCCTCTTTTCTCAAAATTAATCTCCAAACAGTTTTTTTTTCTTTCTCACGTAATCTTGAAACAAAATTTTTTTCCATGCTTGATTTCCTAATTTTAAAATTCGTCAAGATTTTTTTGATTTGATTTGTTAAAAGAAACAATTGCATAATAATATTTTGATTTTTTTATCAGAACAATATTTTGTCACAGGATAAGAAAAAAAAAATGATAAAATTTTGTATCTATATTAAAAATATTAACTCTTCGTTGATGAAGAAAATTTTTAAATAAAAAATAATAAACATAATTCTAAATAGTAATAAATAATTGAAATAAATTATAGTTCTAAAAAATTAATTATAATAAATTGCTATTGACATAAGCAAATTGTGACAGTAAAAAAAAGTATTTCCGCTTTTGCAAACCTTCATCTCGAGAGTGGAACTCAATTATTTTTATTTGATTTTTTTTTCAAAACTACAATGTCGTATATTTTTTTTCGCATCTATACTTGAAAAGTGAGTTTGAAAAAAAAAATTTTTTTTTTCTTCGTTTTAGAAAATGATTTCTTTTTTTCTATCTTCATTTCTCAATCACCGGAAATAGACTATACACTGGGAAATTATAACGACCTTACTTTTTTTTTCTTTGTATTAAAAACTTTTATACTCCAATAATCAATGATAAATATCTATTCTTAGATTTAAATATTTCTTCTTATTTATAATTTTTCTTCATTTATCAATTAATAATAATTAATTTTGACCGTCGCTCAAGAAATTTTCAAGGCAAAATAACAAAAAAGAAACAAAATGCGCCTGTCACGAAAATGTATTTGAAAATATTATTCAAATACAAAGTTTTCAAGGCAATAAAAAAAAGGAAAATATTTTTGAAAATATTATTCAATACAAAAATTGCTTTCGAAGAATACGTGAAATAATAATCAGTTATTATTATTATTAAATCACTATTATTGATTAACAAATAATAATAAATAAATTTAAATTACCTGCTAAAAAAATTTATTTTAAATCTATTGACAAATTAAAAATTTGCATCAAATTATTTATTCACTCTATTAAATTAATTATTTTTACCAAAACGAAAAAAATTGCTTCGGTGAGTAAATAATTCTTTTTTTTTTATTCAATGAAATTTTTTTTCTATTATATAAAATAATTCATTGTCTAAAAAATATTTTTTGAAACAAATTATTTAATTTTCTATGAAAATAAATTAATTTTCAATTAAAAAATTTTTTTTAAATAAAAAATTAAAGTTTCTATTAAAAAAATTAATTTTCTATCGAAAAAAATGTTTTTCAGTTGAAAATTAAATTTTCTATCAAAGAAAAAATTTTTTTAGTTAAAAATTTAATTTTCTATCGAACAAAAATTTTTTTTAGTTAAAAATTAAATTTTCTACTGGAAAAAAATTTTTCAAATTAAAAATAAAATACGAGAAAAAAATTATTACATTGTTTTTGACCAATTTTCGTCATATAAAAATTTTATACAGTATAATAATTGAAAACATGTGAATCTAATGTTAAACGTGGCCTTGAATACGGAGCACAATGTAGGTTTCCGATATGATGGAATGAACCTCTTTCGGTTGGCTTCTTTATACAAGTTTGTTTAAGTCTTTTGCAAATTATCAATTACGGTCAGTGACTGGTTTTATTATCATCATTTTAAATTTTATTTTATTTTTTTAATACTTTTTATTTCCATCTCTTTGGTTTTAAATTTCACGCAGAGTTGCATATTTCAAATCAGTAAAATCAAAATGATAAACGATTCAATATCATTTTAATTCGAAAGAATCTCCTATTTCAATATTGTTATTACATATCGTTTTTTAATCGGAAAAAAAAGAATTTGAAACTTTTCTCAACTTGGACTCGTTTTATAACAATTTAATAACAATTATATTCTATTGGAAAAATAAAAATTTAATTAAATATTATTTGCTTTTTGATGAAACAGTGTTTTTTACTTTTCTTTTTTTTGTTTATTTAAATAAATTTTTCTGGTATTATTATTATTATTAATAAAATATTCTACAAAATTTATATTATATTCGCACGTGTATATTTTATTTTTTTTTAAATTAAAATTTATATGGAGAATCAAAAAAAAATTATTAAATATCTCATTGCGTGGTTTTGTTTGTAACTATTACGTTGAAAATTACTTGCTCGGATTTGTGCCAAATGTAAATTTGACAAGATACGTCGACCTGGCTTGTCTGGTATACAAGAAAAAAGTATAGTACATACTATGTACATTTGTCAACAAAAAATTTATGAGGAAAATTTATCTTCGATTTTTTTCTTGCAAATCTTTCAGACAAAAAAAAATAATAAGGAAAATTATTCCAAATTTTTTTTCTTCTCTCGTTAAAATTAAGTAAAAAAGAATTCAAAAAAAAAAAAGAAAAAAATTCATTTAATTTAATTTTTAGTAAAATTTAATAATTATTAATTAATTAATTTTATTAAAGAATTAATAATTTATATCAATTAAATAATAATAATAAAAAAAGAACAATTAGGAATGTCGGATTGAGTGTTAATTTTTTTGATTTGCGCCTATAAAGAAAATATTGACGTAAGGAGAGAAAATAAATTATGCAATAAATTTTTTGGACATTCTCCAAAAGTGATCTCCTCGAAAGTTTAAAATATTGGGCACAGCCACCTGCAGTTGACCAATTTTTGAAATAGATTTTTTATTGATGGACAATAAATTGTCCAAGTCGTTTCGCAAGTGACATTTTTTTACACTTTTTTAATTAAAAAAAAGGAGAAAAATATTTGTTTCTAAATAAATTTTGGTGTATAGAAAATTTTCTATACACGATTTTTTTGTAGAAAAAATTTTTTCCATACAGAATTTCTTTTACAGACTTAATATTATTTTTGTAAGATTTTTTTAAAGACGAATTTTTGGATTAGAAGATTTTTTCAAAGGCGTATTTTTTTTGTATAAAAAACTAATTCAAAGACGTATTTTTGGTATACAAAATTTTTTAAAAGGCGTATTTTTTTGTATAAAAAATTAATTTAAAGACGTAAATTTTTGTAGGTAATATTTTTTTGGAAGATCCAAATTTTTGAGGACAAAAATTGAACAAAATTTGTTGACAACATTTTTTTATTTGGAAAAAATAGGCAAAAGAAATTTTTTTGTTTTGCAAAACATTTTGTTTTATTCAGAAAAAAGTCAAGAATTTTTTTTTATTCAGAAAATAAAATATTCAAGGAAATTATTTTTTATTTAGAGAACAAATAAGAAAACCTTTTTCCTATTTAGAAGAAAATAAATTTTTTTTTGGAAAAGATTCGATAGCGAATTTTTTTTTTTTTTTGAGAAAAGGGAAAAATAAAAAATTCTGAAGGGCAAAAAAAAAGGATAAGTAGAATATCCTTGCATGATGGATCGATGCTAAACTTGAATCTACGCAGTATGAAATTTTTAGATGCAACTTGTCAAGTTGATCATTTTATGAAATACCTATTTGAAGTCTGTAGATATTTTTTTTTTATTAATACGATAGTAAAAATCATCTAGACACTCTTTTTACAAAAGACGATTACGTTTCATTTCAACTCAATGTCAATGTCAATGACCATTTTACTTTCAAGTAGTAGAAATTGCGTTACAACTCATCTCACGTTACTAAAAAAAATTTTTATTTATAATACAAAATAAATCCCAAACAAAATAGCAAAACAAAATAATTTTCCATTTTTAATTAATAAAAAAATTTTTTTAAATTTAATAAAAACAATTTTTTCCAGAGATTTTTTAGTAGAAAATACAAATTTTTTTCACTGGATTTGTCAAAAAAAGAATTACGAGTTTTTTGTATATATTTTTTTTTACAAAATAAATTTTTTCTTATTTAAAACAAAACAAATTTTTTCAAAATAAGTAATTTTGTAAAAATTACTCCATGTTGATTATAATTATTACTAATTACAATAGAATCGTATTATAAATAATTATTATAATTAAATTATATTAAAATTAAAACAAAATTTGAAACAAATTTTATTTGTTCAAATAAAAAAAAAATAAATCCTTTCAAAAAAGTAATTTAATTATTATTTATTTATTATATAAATTTAATTATGATTATTACTAATTATAATAGAAACATAATATAAATAATAATAACAATTATTATAATAATCGACGGCGATATAAATAACAAAACAGTAATTTTTTTGGAGTCAAAGAATAAAGTTTTTAGTAATTGAGACAATTTTTTTTCAAAAAATCAAAAAAAGAAAAAAAAAACTCTTGAAGTTTAGATGATTGCAGTGAAAATAGGGAGTATTCTAATAAAGTGGGAAATTTATCATCGAAATGGAAAATCTCAATAGAGGAGGAAGCCAAGTGGTCACAAATTTTCAAAGTTGATTCCAGTGATGGTGAGTCAAAACTTATCCATTGGAAAAGTTCCCGTAAATCGCTAAAAAAAAAATGCTTTTCTCTCTCAATCAGAAACATTCAAGTAATTTTTTTTTTAACAATGAAAAAGAATCTAAATATTTTAATAATTTTTAATCTACATTTTCTGAATACTTTTTAATACTTCAAGAAAAAATTTTTATAACAAATAAAAAAAAGTCAAGAGCAAATCTAATCTGCACTCAAAACTCAGAAGAAAAAAAAATTTTTTTTTCATAAGAAAAAGAAAAACACTTCAAGTAAATGATAATTTATAACACGTTTTCTATTTTTTAATTTTATTCATTTGCAAAATAAAAGAAAAGAAAATTTAAAAATTTAGAATTTTTATAACTGTAAAAAAAATATTTTTCAAATAGAATTTATAATAATAAATACGAAAAGTAAACAATTTATTTTTATTCAGAAAATTGAGAAAATCAGAAAAAAAATTATTATTCAAAGATTAGAATTTTTTTCCGATATTAAAATCAAAGAATAAATCTCATCGGAATTTAATAATTTTAGAAACTTATTTTTTAATTTCAATAAAGAAATTAAATTTATAAAAAATTGTGTTTCAGTTTTTATTTTTGAATGACGATATGAATAATTTGTGATAAGAAAAAAATATTTAAGAAATTAAATAAAAAAAATTTATTTGCAATTTTAAAATAAAATATAAAATTTATGTATTAAATTTGTTTTAGTTTTTATTTTAATGACCATATGAATTTTGCGATAAGAAAAAAATATTATATTTCACTTGAAATGTATCTACATATTTTGCATTTATATAAAATTGACTCTTGCAATTTTTTTTTATTCAAAATTGCTCGGAGTATGAAAAAAAAAGTTTAGACAAAACATTTTTTCTAGTCTTATAATAATAATATAGTTTTGTCGTAATTTTGTTCGCTTTTATCTGCTCGAGACCAATAATTTTTTTCTGTCAATTTTTTTTTTTAGTACTCAGGAAGTAAAAATCTGCAACTTTTGTTCTTTTATTTTCAAATGGTATATTTTTCGTCTTCCTTTTATATAAAAAAATTATAACCTTACGTAAGTTTCCAAGTTGTGTAATTGTTTAGAAATAAAAAAAAATATTTTTAGAATCGCCAGTTATTCACAATATTCACAAAAATGTTGCTACAAAATTTTTCATAACCCGCAGAAGTCATGAAAAAATTTGTTTTTTTTTTATTTTCCAAATTTTTCCAAAAGAATTTCCCTTTGGGAATTAGGATAAATATTATTTTCAGTGTAAAATTTAAATTTGAGAAGATTTCTATTTTTTTACAAGGAGGAAAAATTTTCAGAGTTAAGAAAAGAAAAAAAAAATTTTTTCCTGCTTTTGTTATTTTTCGAATGAAATATTGAAAGTTTTTTCTTTTCTATTTTTCGAATGAAATATTAAAAATTTTTTCCTTTTTTATTTTTCGAATGAAATATTGAAAAGTTTTTCATTTTCTATTTTTTGAATGAAATATTGAAAATTTTATCCTTTTCAAATTTTTCAAATAAATAAAAAATTAAAATCCTTCTCGTGTGTCAATCAAATAAAATAAAAAATTGAAATCTCTATTCTTGTCAATTGAGTGAATTCTAAATCTAGGTGTAAATAAATTTACCTTTGTATTTAAAGCATTGATACAAATTGAAGAATAAACCAAGAACCTTACGTCAATAATATTTCTGATTGAGTACTCTTCGGCACTTTCCACGATTGACAGATCAAAACTCAGGAAAATTTTTAGCTCCACCCTTATATCATGATAATAATAAATTTCTTTGTCACGTCCATTATAATTGTTTCTTAAAAAAAAAAAAATTGAATTACTTCCTCAAATATTCCACCCACGACAATTAAATTATTTACACATTAAGTAAATTAAATTTATTTTTCTATTGAAAGAAATATAATTATTAAAAAAATTTGCTTCAAAAAAAGAAGAAATTGTGTCATGTTTACAAATTTTCCACTCATGACAACGAAATTAATTTATTATTAATTAATATTATTAAATAATAATGATAATAATAAATAATTAACCGAATTTAATCAATTCGTAAAAATTATTAATTAATATTATTAAATAATAAATAATAATACATTTTTTCCATTTTTCTTTAAATATTTTGAAAGAAAAAAAAAATAGTACCTATTTTTACATTTTTATTAAAAATAATTGAGAAAAAAAAGAAATAAATTCCAAAAAAGAAATTCTCTAATCATGAACTTTGATTCCAGTTTTCGTCTGGAATTTGAAATCATCGACGAAGAATGTTATCGTTTGAAAATAAGGAAATCGAACGAATTACGGATATGATATAATATTATCAGAAAGCGAGAAAAAGAAATTTATTTCCAGAAGTGACTGGTTTATTCTCATCTGTCGATTAGCAACGAACATGGAGATTCATATCAGAAAATTTATATCGTCCAACGGAAATCTTATACAAAGATTATTAACCCTTTACCTCATTGCGACATTTATTTCATCAACATTAATGAGAAATTGAGGAGAAAAAAATTTTTCATAATCTCTTAATTAAACGATCGACATGAGTTTTGTTCTATTTTGTTTTCAAAGGAAAATGATTTATTTCCTTTTATTTTTTGTACACTTTATTTATTTTTTATTTTATGTCTTTTGTTTATTTTTTTGTCTATTTTTTGTATTTAATTTTTTCGTCAATTTTTTGTATTTTTATTTTGTTTATTTTTCTGTATTTTATGTTTTGTTTATTTTTTTTTTGTATTTTTTGTCTTTTTTTGTTTTTTATTTCTTTTATTCAAGTTTTGCTCGACTTTTTTTTTGTTATTAATTATTTTCGATAAGACACGAAATACGTGCAATTATGTTTCAATTTACAAAAGAAATCTAATACTAATTATAGCAAAAAAAAAAGAATTTTGTAAAAAATTTATTTAGTCTACTCTTTGCTCTTTATCAATCGTGAAAGATAATTAATTTCACGTTAAAGTGAATAAGGATTCGATTTATAGTTGAGACAAGGAGAGGGGATTAAATTAATACCAGTATTAAACATTGAAATACAATGGTGAAGATTGATTTTGGGAACAATTCCAAAAATAATAAAAGTTTGGCTCATTTCCTAATGGGAAATAATACTCAAATTAAAAACGTGACAATGCAATCATTCGAATTTCTGAGAGAAAGCCAATTCATTAGAAAATAAGAAAAAAATATATATAATTACACGAAAATAATTCGGTAAACAAAATATTAACAATTTATTTTACGACGTTAAATTAAATTAATTTAATTTAATTAATTAAATTAATTTTTTTCAATCGTTTTCTTGTTTTTAATATTACAAAAATTAATTTAATTAATTAAATTAATTTTGTGATATTAAAATCAAGAGAATTTTGTCAACAAAATCTTATATTTGAATAGAAAAATAGTTTTGATTTTAATAATAAATTCAAATAATTTTCCATATTCAAAAAGAATAAATACAATTTTTTTTTTATTTAATTAATAATCTAATTTAATTTTTTAACTGTAGAAAAAAAATTTTTTCAACAAAAATTTATTGTATTTTTTAATAGAAAAATACATTTTTTTCTTTTAAAATAAAAAAAAAAAATTTGTAATTGAAATAAATTCAGTAGTTGCAATAAGTTTGATAATTTTCCTAAATTCAATAATTTAAATAAATTCGTTGAAAAATTGATACTTGAATAAATTATATTAATGCTCAAAATTAGACACGTGTCTATAATGTAAAATTGTTTACAGTAATTGTCCCCTATTAACGATAAAAAAGAGTCAAATAAATTGTCTTCTTAAGTCAAATTTTTCTTGCGTCTAGCGATTAAATAAAATTTCCAATTTCAATCATAATTAATTTCTCGTCCTTGGAATCTCATTTTTTTTTATTTTCCGTCGCACGATTTTTCATAATATACAAGCAGCAAATACAGAAGAGAAAAAAAATTTGTTTTGTACTCCCAGAAGTTTTTTTTTACTGTCGAATAAAAATAATTGAGTTTCAAACGAGAGAAGGAAAACAGAGAGGGAAATCAGTTATAAATTTCACGGCTTTTTTTTAATTCATTAGAAAAAGCAGTAGTGATTATTTCTTCATAGTTTTAGAAAAACTGTTCCTTTTCCTATCTTTGTAAAAAGAAGAGAAAAAAAAACTGTTGCTAGTGAGGAGAAAAAAAATTTATTTTTGTATTTTAGGAAAAATATTTTTACTTTTTTAAATTTGGTATTTTTATTTTCTACTAGAGAAACAAATTCTTTATGATTTATAAATTAATATTTTCGAATTTTCAAATATATTTATTTTAATTTTCTTTTTTCAGCATTCAAATTTCAAGAGAACCTTCTGCGAACGATGATACAAATTGAAAATACATTTTTTCAACTGGGCGAAAGTTGTTCCCGAAATTGCCTTATAATCTGTGATCGTGGCGCAATGGACGCCTCAGCATGTAAGTTACCAATTTTCCTAATTATAATTCAATTAATTCCCTTTACAATTTTTTTCCAGAAGGCATTCTTTTCAAAAGAATAATTTTTTCGAAAGATAATTTTTCCAAAACAAAATCTTTTCCTAGAGACATTTTTTTCAAAAGATGATAAATTTCACAGGAATTCAATTATTTACAAATTTTTTATAAATTTCTTCGCAATAATTCAATTATTTTCATAAATAATAAAATTCTTTTTAGGAATTCAATTATTTTCATAAATAATAAAACTCATTGCAGAATTTAATTATTTTTAATACAAAAAATTTTATAATATTTTTAATACAATTTTAATCGAATTCCTCGGAAAATGCAATTATTTTTTTAATTCTCATCATTTAGAATTATTTTTAAAATTTTGATGAACAAAAAAATTAATTTTTTCAAAATTTAAGATTATTCAAAAAATAGAGAAATTCTATTAAAATTGTATTGAAAAAAATTGAATTCTTGTAAAAATTTCAATTATTTTTATAAATAATAAAAATCTTCTCTAAAATTCAATTATTTTCAAACATTTTTTAAAAATTCCTGCAAATTTAAATTATTTACAAAAATTTTCCTCAATTTAATGATTTTTAATATTTACTATTTTAATAAAGTTTTCCAATTATTTTTATAAATACCTAATAAAACTATTTTCATGAATACATAACTCATTGCAGAATTTCAATTATTTTTAATACAATTAATTTTAATCGAATTCCTCGAAAAATGTAATTAAAATTCGTCAAAAGAATTCAATTATTTAAAAATTCTTTATGAAAATTCAATTTTAAGAAACATCCAATTATTTATTTTTGTATTTAAATAATTGAAGTTTCATAGAATTTTCTAATAAAAATTGATTTTAAAATGAATTTTAGTTAAAATTTTATACAAAGGTTTCAAAGTAAAATCGTTGAAAATATTTTTCATTCTTTTAATTAACAATTCTGAAGAATTAATTTTTTTTGAAAAGTTTAATAGAATTTCTTTAAGATTATTTGAAGTTTTTATTTTCTAATATATATTTAATTGAAGAATTTCCGAATAATCGAATTTTCGTAAAATTGAATTGTAAACAAATGGATTTGAAAATTTTCAAAGAAAACTTTTTAAAAAATTATTAAATTATTAATAATATTATTATTCTAGAAAATAATAATTGAATTGAAATGATGAAAATAATTTTGAAGAAGTTAACAATATTTTTATAATATAAAAAAATAATTTAATACTCGGTCACTTTTAATTATAAAACAGGAAGAAATCGATTTCTTCGTATTTTGTAATAATGTTCGTCTAAGTTATTGTATTTCAAAGGATTTAAAATTTGAAATTTTTGAATATCTGAATTTTTATGGAAAAATAATAATAATTGAAAATTTTGTCTCTAAATCAGGGAAAAGTCAGAGAGTAGAAAATTAAATTTTTTGTGGCAAAACCCTGGTGATAAATTTTCTCGATAAATTAATAAATAATAATACATAATTGTTTTTGAATCTCGACAGTTATTTCAAAAGACAAATGGGAATTGATGATGGCCTCGAATGGATGGAACAATGTGGAGTTACGCGACAATCGTTACAATCAAATAATTCACATGGTCTCAGCGGCGAATGGTGCGGAGGATTTTTATTCAACCGAAGATCATGTCTGTCGTTCGGAAGGCGTTGAACTTGCCCGTGAACTTGACTATAATGCCGCGGCCGCATGGGTTGGTCATCCCTATTTCGATGTTATTGACAATTCACAGGATTTTGAAAGTAAAATATGTCGAATGATTGAATGTGTCTGTCAAAAATTGGGCATCGATACTGGCGATCGTTTACGTGCAAGCAGTCGGAAAGTGAAATTCCTCGTCAAGCCACCATTACGGGCAGACACTGAATTTCCAACATTTCAAGATTTCGATGTTGTACATAATTATTTGCAAGGGAACACACCAAAACTTCAGGCTCGTCTTCGAAAGCGAGGACAAAAAGGTCTTTTATTTTTTTATTTCATCTTTTTTTCCACTGTTTTCAACTTTTATTTGTATTTTTTTTTATTTTCATTTTTTTCTACTTTTTAAAACAATTTTTTATTTTTCGACTGTTTTCTACTTTTTCTATTTTTTAAACCAATTTTTATATTTTGACCATTTTTTACTTTTATTGCAATTTTCTATTTTTCGATTGTTTTTTATTTTATTTCTGTTTTTTATTTTTCGAAAAGATAGAGAAAAAAAAATAGAAGCTGTCGAGAAATAAAAAAATAGAAATTAATGTAGAAAACAGTTAAAAAATAAAAAATAGAAATAATAGTAGAAAATTATCAAATAATTAGTTGGTAATGAAAAAATATTAAATTTTTTCTAAATTCAAACGAAAATAATTAATTTTTCAGGTCACTGGTCCTATATTCACACGATTCGACGGCCAAAAATGTGCGGACAAGTTGTTGAAGTGAAAACACAATTGACACATAGAGACTATTTGAATAATTTGGCTCAAAGGGACGATTCACATTTTACAATATTTAAACGGCGTCGTTGCTTCTTAATCAATAATCAGTATTTCCAATTGGATATTTATAGGGAACCAGGACATCCAAGGTAAACAAAATTTTTGCATTCTTTACCGCGATATTTTGCGATTTTTCCTCAAATTTTTATGGATTTATGCATTGAGCTTCAATGGGAAAATCGCATCGACTTTGACATCCCCTTAATGCCAATTTTTATTTAAATGAATTCGAATTCAAATGAAAGGAAAATTTACCTTCGATGTAATTTTATTTTTTTATCGATCAAAATTACAACAGATTGATTTTGTTTCAATTTTTTTCGATTAAAAAATTCAATGTTTGAAAAAATTGATTTTTTTTAACTAAAAAATTCAAATTATATGATTTTTTTCAAAAAGAATTTAATCAAAAATTTTTTTAAATAATTGAAATTCTGCTAAGAATTTTATTTTTAAAAAATAATTGAATTCTTTTCAAGAAATTTTATAAATTTTTGAAAATAATTAAAATCTTATTAAGAATTTAATTAAAATTTTCGAAAATAATTGGATTTTTTCAAGGAATTTAATTAAAATTGTATATTTAAAACATTCCAATTCTCATAAAGAATTTAATCCAAATTTTTCAAAATAATTGAATTTCTAATTAGAATTTTATCGAATTAAAAAAAAAATAATTGAATTCTTTTGAAAATTTTTATAAATTTTTGAAAATAATTGAAATCTTGATAAGAATTTAATTAAAATTTTCAGAAATAATTGAATTTTCTTTCGATGAATTTAGTTAAAATTGCATTGAAAATATTCCATAATTCTCATAAAGAATTTAATCAAAAATTTTCAAAATAATTGAATTTCTGCTAACAATTTTATCAAATTTAAAAAAAAAAAAATTGAATACTTATGAGAAATTTTATAAATTTTTGAAAATAATTAAAATCTTGCTAAGAATTTAATTAAAATTTTCGAAAATAATTGAATTTTTTTCGAAGAATTTAATGAAAATTGTATTGAAAATATTGCAGTTCTTCTCAATTTTGATCAAAAATTTTAAAAATAATTGAATTTCTGCTAGGAATCTTATGAAATTAAAAAAAAGTAGGTAATTGAATTCTTTTGAGAAATTTTATAAATTTTTTAAAGTAATTGAAATTTTGCTAAGAATTTAATTAAAATTTTCGAAAATAATTGGATTTTTTTAAAGGAATTTAATTGAAATTATATTGAAAATATTCCATAATTCTCATAAAGAATTTAATCAAAATTTTACAAAATAATTGAATTTCCTCTAAGAATTTTATTAAATTTAAAAAAAAAATTGAATTCTTTTGAGAAATTTTATTAAAATTGTATTGAAAATAATTGAATTCCTGCGAAGAATTTTATTAAAGTTTTAAAAAAAAATTTTTTGAAATTTTGAATCTAAAATTATTTCATATAACATTTTCTAGTATAATTTATAAATAAGATATAATAATCATAGTATTTTGAAATCTTAATAGTAAATAAAATAATTTTTCAGATGCAGAGGTTTAATGTTACTTGAAACATACACAGCATTAGTTGGTGACGATTTAAGAAAAATTCTACCTCAATTTTTAACAATTGAGAAGGAAGTCACCGGCAATCCAGATTACAGTATGTTTAATCTTAGTCTTCGGGAAGAGTGGAATGATACGAATAAATATTGCCGTAATTTGCATGGTATGTATATATTTAATCAATACTGGCAGAAATTTTTCACTATTATTTAATTTTTTTCCCTTTAATTTTTAAACTCGTTGTTAAATCAATTTATTTTTTTTGATAAGCAAGAGTTTTCTTTTAATTTTATTCCCCTTTTAATTAACATTTTATTTTAATTTCATTCGCCGTTTGTTATTATTTTAAATTGAGTTTATTCGGCTTTTATTAATATTTTTTTTCGACTTTTATTTTAATTCAGGCTCCTATTAACCGTTTATTAACATTTTATTTCAATTTTCATTAACAGTTTGTCAAGATTTTATTTTAATTCCATTCGTCGAATATTATTTTATTTCATTTTGTTTTAGCCGTTTATTAACGATTATTCCGAACATGAAATCGCGCATCTCGCGTGTTTTCTCGTTTTTTTTCGTTAAATAGATTGCAAAGACAAGTTTTATCAATATTTTTCTCTATTAATTGTACAGAATACGCTCTTCCAGGCACGCCCGAGAAACCTCTAAGCACAACAAAATGTCAAACTGACGATAAGACAGAGTCAAATAATAAGCAGCCAAATGGTATCGAGAAGAAGAAAATCGAAACAGAAACAACAGCATTAAACGGAAATGGTATTGATGCAAAAATTGTACAGAATGGCATTCACGTTATGACGAATGGCGTTGGAAATGGATTAAAACACAATGGACAAGTGAAAAATGCCACAGCCGTCGTGACAAAGTAAAAGAAAAAAAAATGAGAAAAACAACAAGAACAACAACAAAAAGAGAAGTAACACGAAAAAAAGATGAATTCTTTCAATGAATAACAAAATTGAACATGTCTTTTTGGTAGTTGAAAATTGTCATCTCAAGACAATCTATTAGTAAATATTTATCATAAATTTTTCCAATGCAATGTTCGTCCTGGAAATTTTCCAAAAATTTTCCTCCAAAATCTTCAACTTCGCAATTTTTTTTTTTTTTTTTGATGATTTTAATTCTTTCGAGTTTTATTTATTTTTAATTATTTTAAAGAATTTTTTCTAATAATTTGAATTTTTTAAAAGAACTTTTCTGTATTTTCAATTTCATGAAAGAAAAATTCTTTATTTACTTTCAATTTCAGAAACAAAATTATTTCTTGTCAAGTTTTTTTTAAGAATTTTTTACTAGTAATTTGAATTTTTCTCCAGTAATTTCAATTTTTTAAAAGAATTTTTCTCTATTTTCAAATTCTTAAAAGAAAAATTCTTCAGTTATTTTCAGTTTCTAAAAAGAAAATTATTATCTTTTAATTTTTTTGAAGAATTTTTTTTCTAGTAATTTGAATTTTTGAAAGATTTTTTCTCTAATAATTTGAATATTTTAAAAGAATTTTTCTCCATTCTCCCTGAAGGATTAAGATGTTCGATTTAACAGATTTGCTTTAGTTAAAGCATACAGAGAGTACTCCCGCACAGAGCAAGAGCACTCCGAGAGCACTCTAGAGCAGAAAACCGAATTCGCTAATATAGCGAATATAGCGAGGAGCACTCTTTGAGCACTCTAAAAATTATTTACTTTCAAGTTTTTAAAAGAATTTTTTTCTAGTAATTTGAATTTTTTAAAAGTTTTTTGTCTAGTATTTTGAATTTTTCAAAAGAATTTTTTTCTACTACAGAAAATTATTAAAAATAATATTTAAATAATAATATATTTAATAATAATAATATAATAATATAATATATTTTTTAAATAATATTTATTTTTTATGTATTAAAATTTAAAGAATTTCTTAAAAGAATTTTTCTTTACTAATTTCCTATTTCCAAAAAGAAAAATTGTTTACTTATTTTTGAATATTTAAAAATGTTTCTCTATATATAATTAAAAAAAAACTTTCCCAATTTCAATTTCTCGAAAGAAAAATAAAGTAAATAAAATAATTTTTAATACTAAATTTCGAAAATTTCTAGGAAAAAATAATTGTCCATTGGAGAAAAAAATAGAGTAAGAGTTTATTTTCAATTTATCGTGTGTCATTCTTAAAAATAACAAGCTTTCTTGCTATTCAATTTGAAAAAAGAAATGAAAAAAAATGTCCCTTATGAAAAATGATGACTATTGGTCAAAAACAGGTGGTTTTGTTTTTCTCCGACAATTTATTCATTACAAAATAAAAGTAATGAAATAATGAAGATAAATTTTGGGGTTTCAAATTTCATTTTTTATTCTCGAAAAATGAAAAATTCCCCTTTTTGAAAAAAGTACTTAATAATTACATTTATATATACAAAAGAAAACAAAAAAAAATCACGAGACAATTTTGATAATTTGCCATTTAAAATAATTGGATGTTTTGATATATATACACAAATATTAATTTACGAAACAAAAAAGTTTTTCTATACACTATCAAAATAATGTTTTTCAAAGAAAAATTCTTTTTTTTACCTAACACACTCGCCTGTAAAAATGAAAGTCTCGTTTTTCATCTTAAAAAAAAAGAAATTGTAAATTAGAAATTTTTTTTTTTTGTTGCATGTGAAAGGTGGAAAAAATTGCAATTCTAAATGTGAGTCTTTCGTGTAGTTTATATCATCCCAGAGAGAGAAAAAAATTTTAACGTATTGTTCAAATATATAGACACTACCTCAGCGTCTCTGGTGTTAGGTTCTTTTTCTTTCAAAATTTATTCTCACAATCAAACTCCTTGTGCCACTGACAAAAAAAGACTGCATCCAAAGCATCGTAGTGATTTTTATTTATTGGCAATTACTTCTTTGGAGAATGAAACTCTAGTGAATGTGAGACTATTAAATTACAAGAAAGAATTTTAAAGAAAAAAGAGAAGGCGGAGTAGTTCAATAAAAAAAACGAAATTCTGAAGGTTGGAAAAAAAATATTGAAATTGATTTTTGAATTATATTTTTTAATTTTTAATTATTTATTATTGGTACATACTTGAAGTGGATTTTGTTTCACTAGTTTTACATAAGTATTTTTAACCTATTATTAAATTATTATTATTGTAAATTATATTTTTAAAAAATACGTTTTCTCGCTTTTATAGAATTTTATCGAGATTTGGAGCTTTTCGGCTCTAATTTTATTTATACTTCATGTCGATGCAAATTTTCGATATTATTTTTTCAATTTTTTCGTCTTTTAATTGGCAATTAATTGTTGTCTTTTTGCATGTTATTTATAATTTAATTTACCGCTTATAATAAATAAATATTTTCGTCGAAAATGTATACGAACGTTCAGAATTTCAAAATGAGAGTCTAAAATTATATTTTGGAAAACTAGTTAAGTTTTTTGTTTATTAGTTGTTTACTATTTTACAAAGTATTTAAGACTTATTATTCTAGTTTAAGAAAAAGTTAATTTTTTTTTTGTTTTTGACAAAATATGTATTTTATTATATTTAAATTATAAACTTCGATAATTGTACTTATTTTTGAGTAAAGCGTGTCTTCAATTATTGTAAGTAAAGTATTTTTAGTCGTACGAAATACAGTATTTTTCTTTTGTCTTGTTAAATTTCAATATTTCAATAATTTAAATCAACTCCCAAAAAAAGGGGAAAAAAAGGATAATTCCGGTTCATTGAACTACTCCAGAGTAAAAATTTGCAACAACTTTTTTTTACCCCAAAAATGAAAATTCATTGACTTAATGTTCACATACCAAAAATTGTACGTCATTCAATCATTAGTAGAAAAAAATAGATCTTTAAAAAGAAAAGAATTCTTGTAGTAATTTTATAGAAAAAGAAAATCAATAGTTGTCTGTAAATTGGGCGATAATCACGAATGCCCACCTCCCCAAAAAAAATCGAAGTATTGAATAGGTCTGAATCTTTCATAGAATAATATTGTGAGCGAAAATTATAATTGTCAATTTTTTTCCTGACAAACAGAATTATTTTTTGTTATTATAAATAAAAACTGTGATTTTCGACTCATTTTTCGTAATACATAATTTTTTTAATTAACTTGACAAGCGAAAATAATTAATATAAATGCAAAAGAGAAAAAAAAAATTGTAAATGAAATAAAAAGAAAATGAAAAATGAAAAGAAACACATTTTTCATTTGTCGGTAATCGTCGTATATAAAAAAAAATACATATTACAAAACTGTGATGATCACAATTTTTTTGTGAATAACTGCTATAAATTAATTATCACAAATTTTCCTTCCACCAGAGTCAAAGTGCCTGTGACTTTCAGACAAAAAAGAAAATGAAAACAAACAAAAAAAAATGTAAGAATAGAATACACTCAAATCAGATATATTTTAAATGAAATATTGCAATACCAAATTATTGATGTACACTATGCTGTATTCTTAAATGTGTGAATTTAATCTGAATTCAAATTGTAAATATATGATTGTCGAATAAAATATCTGTCTGAAAATATTACTTATATTTCTATTTCGATTTTTATATTATGTTTTATTTTATACAATAAAAATTGGTAGCATTATTTTATTAAAAAACAAAAAAAAAAGAATTTTATTTTATTAAATAGAAAAGAACTGTCAATTTTATTTCATTTAGTAAAAAACTGTCAATTTTATTTTATTTAATAAAAAAATGTCAATTTCAATTACTATCAATTTTGTCTTATTTAATTAAAAAAACTGTCAATTTATTTGATTTAGTAAAAAAAACCTGTAAACTGTATTATTTTATTTAATAAAAAAAAGAATTTTTTAATTGCTGTTGTTTAAATTATCAATTTTATTTTTTTATTTAATTAAAAAAAAACTTTCAATTTATCTAGTAAAAAAACTATCGATTTTATTTTATTTAGTAAAAGAGTCGCTGTAAATTTTATTTTATTTAATAAAAAATGTCAATTTAATTTATTTCATAAAAACTGTTCATTTTGTTAAAATTAATAAAAAAAAATGATAATTCCATTTATTTCATCAAAAAAGAAACTTGTTTTCTTTTATTCAAGAAAAGATTTTTGTCAACCTCTATTATACGTAACAAAATAAATCAAATAAAAAAATAAAAACTGTCAAAAGCCTAAATACACAATTATTAATGAATAAAGTAAACTAAAACTGATTAAAATAAATAGAAATTATTGACATAAATGAAAAACTAATCATTTAAATTAATCATCTATCATTTAAATTAAAAGTCTAAAGAAACTTTCAACATTTACAAAATTTTACACTTCATTATTCAGTTTAAATTTTGATTAACAAAAAAAATTATACGAAAGAATTTTACACATCCTTTATAGTCTTATATGCATTTTATTTTCTTTTAACTATTATCGTAACATGAATAAAAAATAATAAATAGTAAATTGTGACAAAATATTTTCATTTTTTGTTTTCGGAAGAATAAGCATTTTATCTGACAATTGATAAATTTCCAGTTCAAAAAAATATTTACCAAGTCAGCTAAATTATTAATTTCCAATTAAAAAGAAAGAACAATTTTTAGCTATTTCTGTAATAAATATTTTTTTCAGTGGCAGACAAAATTTTCCCACACTATTGTAAAATCATAAATAATTTATCTTTTTACATCTAATATTCTTCGAAGCACAGTATTTTTCAGTAGCATAAAAAAAAATTATTTTCTATTGTAACATAATAAGAAATGGAAGTGTTTTAAAGAAGCGCCTTTTAATATTTTCAAAAATTTGAAAATAAAGTGACTAGTTTATAATTAATTTTCTTATTAAAACACTTAATATTGGAAGAATTCGAAACTTAAATATTGTCAAAAAAAAAATCTTAGCTTAAAAAAAAATTAAATTACATTAAAAATTTTCTACTTTTAACGCAAACTTTAATTCTTTCAAGTGTAAATATCAGAGTATAAATTATGAATATATGATTTTTTTAAATACATATTCTCTCTCTCTCTCTTTCTTTCTATATATATATATATATATAATATATTATTACGTAAAAACTTTCAAGTAAAAGGCTTTTTTAACATTTTTTTAAAAATGTACATCTATGGAAGTTTGCAACGTTACTTTGTACACGAACTGTCATGTTGAAAAAAATTTCCCAAAATTTCTCCTGATGTAATTACAATCATTCTTCGTTTTTTTTAAATATTTGCCTTTACTTCACTAATTCTGATTAAAAAAAAAACGTTAAATAAATTTATATTTATTATCAAAAATCTCTTTAAATATTCATTCATCAATTAGAATTTTAGTAGATTGGAATACTGTAGAATATCTTAAATTGTTACAAATTTTAGTCATTTTAATTTATTTCCGAATTTTTTTTTTTTAAATTTTCTTTTAATTTAAATATTTTCGTATTTAATAATAACAAATTTCAGTTGAACTAAAAGTTTTTATGTTTAATAAATTCTGTTTAATATTAAATTTTCATATTCAATATTTTCAGTAAAATTAATTTTATTAAATTTATATCTTCAAAAGTTTTCTTTTTATTATTAAAGTTTAAACATTTAATATTTTCTGTAATATTAAATTTTTATATTCAACATTTTTTGGAATATTAAATTTTCAAATTTAATATCTTTCCTAATATTAAATTTCCAAATTTAACATTTAATATTAAAATCTCTACGATTAATATTTTATTAAATATTACAAATGCTACGATTAATATTTAATTGAATAAAAAATTTCTACCATGAATATTTTGTTGAATATAGATTTGTTTTTTTTTACAAATATTTCATTTAATATTAAATTCATTTATTAAAAATAAAAAATAAAGAACAATTATAGACTCAGATCTTTTTTTGTAGAACAATTTTCCCTTTGAATTTGAGTCAAAAAATTTTTCTTCAAATAATTAAAAAATATTCCCTTTTTTTACAGAGGGAACTTAATTTAGAATTTAAAAGTTTATGTAATTTCTGAAAATTTAATTCTATGGAAAAAAATTGAATTTGATTTTTAAAATATACAATTTCACTCTTGGTGCAAAAAAATATCTAAACAAAATTATTTTTTTTATTCTAAGTGGGAAAATTTCTATAGTCTAATAATTTTCTTTTCGTAAGAGCGCAAAATTGAAACTATTAATTAATTCTGACATTGACAGTGTGTCCGGTGGAAGCACAGGGCTCTAATTAGGATATTAACAGTAAATTGAGACTACGTTAATGATTGTTCTACTAAAATTTGTTAAACTAGAATCAGCAGGAATGTTAATTAAAAAGAACATTTCGCTAATCTAGATTTGGAAGCTATAAACACGGAGTTCTCTTCTATTGGAGACAATTGATAGATTCCCTTCTAAATAATCTACATAAAAATCAATATAATAAAATTTCATTCTTTCATAATTAGCAAATCGAAATTCAATTCCATTCTCAAATTATAGAGAATATTAGAAAAATTGTCTAATTTAATTAATTATGTGATCAATTGTAATTTGGAATTAATTTGTTTTAACTTTGCTTTTCTTTTCTTTCTTTTTTTTTGAACAAAAGGTTAATTTATCTACCAATTGTCTTTGCCTGTTGTGCTTTATACATTTTAAGAACCTTCTTCCCAGGCACGAGTGTTTGACTCAATCCGGGACGTTTCTTTTTTTTGAATGTTTGCTTATTTTCTTGATCAATTTCATCCTCGTCGATCATGCTAATTTGGCCATTGTACGATGTTTGACAAAGAATTGTCTCTTGCGGTGCACGCATTGCCTCCAATTCAGATGCAGTTCGATGTAAATCGGAATCGTGGGCAAATGTACAATTATGACCGAAACGACAACGACCCTTACGATAATTCCAACATATTTTTCTGCCATTTATCATTTTTGTATCGTCTAATGTTGGTGTCATTTTCACGTGTTTCTCAAGAATTGCACTCTTTGCTTTTTCAGCCTCGACAAATGGATTCGAGAATACGGAAGTCTTCATGGTGGTTGTGCCATTAAAATCAGGTGTCGGTAATGGAAGTTTTTCATTTTGCAATTTATTCTCATAGCCCTCGTCGTCATTATCACTGTCGGAATCCTCTTCCTTTTCCTTCGAACTGAGAGTTAGGCAATATCAGATTACAAAGAACAGTTAACATATTTTATGTCATTTTTAATTCTTTTCCTTTCGCGCTTTTCGCTTATTTACTTTTTACATTATTTACTCTTTACTGCAATTTCAATTAAATAATACAAATAATTACAAAAAGCAGAAATTTTTTTTCTATCCTTTTAAGGTTATGTTAGTCAAAATTTTTAAATATGCAAAATGCAAAAAATTAATGAAATTAATTAAAAATCTCCTTAATTATTAAATTTTATTTTCAAAAAAGAAAAAATCGATAAAAGAGTCAAATTCAGACCCGATCATCGGAAACTGAAAATTATTACGAACACACTTCAATAAACAGCAATTTATTTATATAATATAAAATGACATCAATTATTCGAAATTTTACGTGAGAAAATAGTTGAAAAAAATATTGACATCAAAAGAATTTCTAGGTTAGAATTCAGAATATCGCATACCCAAAAGTTGCTTCGGTTTTTTAATTATAAAAATATCGAGATTTAACTTACATGCTATCACCATTCTCGGAATTAATATCAGATTCATTATCAGAACCAGAAGAGGATCCATAATCTGCTACCAAGGAAGCCATTTCTTTTATTTTAACAAATATAATAATATATATTTATATAATTTAATAATATCTAGTTGAACTAAAATCTAATAATGACTAATAATCACCAACACATATAGAAATATACGTATAAAATCTATGTAATTGTATATACATAAAACATATACGTATTTAAAATTGCGTTGGTGTTAACAATTTTCATATATGTATATATATAAGCATTTTCCAACTTTACTTACACTATCTCATTATTACTTTTAAAGGTCTTTCATGTATACGTAAAAAGCTTGAACCCGGCAACCAACACAACTAAAAGGTGAAAAAGAACTAAAATGGCAACGTCGCAACAATTTAACATATATAACAACACCGGAAGTCCCGCTCATTTTTCTGCCAAAATTTAAATAATAATTATATTTTTATAACTAATTTTCTATAACAATAGTAAAAAAAACTATTTGACCAAAAATTCCTTTTCTTTTTTTGAGAGATATTTTTAGTTTTTTTGACACTTGGATGTGTATTGACATAACCTCAAAATTAGAAAGTGTCGAAAAAAGTGTTAATATTAATATAATAAAATGAATAAAATTAATAATTTATTGGTAATAAATATTATTAGTAAAATATTGTAATGAATAAATTGACAAGCAAAACATGATTTTATTTATTTTAATTTATTTTTTTAACCGCTTTTATATTCTTTTCATTAACAACATTGATTTTTTTTTAATCTTTAATTTTACTTTTTTATTTATTTTGTTTTTTTAGAGTTAAGTTTTGCAATATTTGGATCTGCGCATTGACATAACCTCAAAATTAAATACAAAAATATTAAATACTTTATTCGGTATTATACATAAATTTTATAATAAAATTGACAATTGACGTAATTAACAAATAGAATAAATTGAGAAAAAATCAAATTTTCCTAGAAATTATTACAATATTATAAATAATTAAAAAATTAGAAAAATTAGCAAAAACAAAATTTATACTAAGAAAAACCAGTGGAAGTTATATTTAAATTACAAAAAGTGCCAATTTTGAAATCTACACTTTGCCAAATTGAAATTTCCCTCTCCTCGTCTTTTAAATATTTCAATAAAATTCTTGTATTTGGAACTGTGTACCAAAATTTTCCCAATGTTGGTTTAAAAATCGTGACATTTACACCATTTTTCAATGGATTTTCCTCTGTCCATTGTGTCACTAAATTTGTCGTTATCACAGGAATATTAAATTCATTCGTAATAAATCGAATCATATTTTTTAAATGAATTAAAGAATACATTGTCTCAGTTTTTGCAGTCGACGTAAGACAAAATGTAGACAATGAATCAATTATTAATAATTTTGTTTTAAATTCCTCCTTTGTTATATTTCCCAAATAATTCAAAATAGAAAATATTCCTTTCGAATTCGTGATTTTTGTTACTTTAATATTCATTAAAACACGTACAATATCCTTCAAGAGAAAAAAAAGAGAAATAATAAAAGAAATTGAAAAATAAGAAAAATTTTGACAGACAAAGAATTAATAAATTACCTCATCACTGCAATTTTTTGCATTCAAAATCTGAACGACTCGAGTAACTGAATAATCTCCCTTCGTATCAATATAATGAACAACATAATTTTTTTCCAATGCAATATTTGTTGCAATCGACAAGCACAATTGTGTTTTACCAGCTGAAGAGGCTCCGCAAAATTCGTAAATTTGATTCGAATAAAATCCACCACCCAACAACTTGTCTAAACTTAAATAAAAAAAAAAATTAATATTTTAACTCGACAATTATTTCAAAAAACTCACTTCAATATTCCTGACGTGAAAACTGTTTCATTTTCGTAATAATCGGCTCCTACAATTGTGGTACAACCTCCACGAAACTCGGAGAATTCATTTTTAATTTCAACAATTCTCTAGAAACATTAATTTTTCTCTATTTAATTTATTTATTTATTTTCATAAAAATAAAACTATATAAGTTCGAATTATGGTATTTTTTTGAGGTTATATTTTCAAAATCCGATTTTGAAAACATAACCTCAAAAAGTACCTTAAACGAAAAGCCGGTGATTTTACTCAACAATTTCGTATCCTTATTAATAAAGTCAAAGTCTGTGAAAATTCCTTTACTAAACAAGTTTTTAATAATAGAATCTGTTAGATTTTCGTGAGTAGAACTGTTTAATCGTGACATTTTTATCGGATTTGTTAAAAAACTGTCAAACTCGTTGAATCTTGAATGTCGTCTGCTTCATTTCCGCCATCGTATAAATTTTAAAAAAAGAAAAAAATTTACATCGAAATAAATCAAAAAACTGTCAAATAGTTATTTTTTTAAAAACAAATATAATTTAATGTAAAATATTCTAAATTTAATAAGAGGCTCGTTTAATAAAGCAATTATTGTCACAAACTTTATATGTAAATTTAAATAACGGATATGTAAATTTCTAACTACGTTGATCAACAGTCAACTACATTTATATACAATTTAAAGCTTTTAATTGACTTCATTTACTCCCAAAAAACTACCCAAAAACCTAATATCCGGTTCTCGGAAATTGTTTTATATCGTATATATATTCTTGTATTCCCCTCGATTTTTCTCCACTTTTCTTGCAACGTCAACACGACAAAGTTATCAACTCTCTAATAAAGTTAAAAGCATTTTTAAAATAGTTAATCCACAAAACTTTTTATAGTGAAAAAAATTCGGTGTTTATACAATTATTAAAAAAATAGTCACAAATATTTTTCTCTAGTCATGATTAATAATACAAGAATAATTTCTTTTCTCTTTAAAATATCTTGGAAAAATGCTTTTGATAAATATTTACAAGGTAGAAAACTTCGGGAGATCGTTCGCTAAAAGTTTTCTACACTCGGTCAATGTCCTTTCTCAGTAGATTATTTTAATTCAATGAGTCTCTTGGGAAACGCAGACGTCCTCATCGATATTTATCAACTGGTTTTTTTTTGGAGTAAATAAGGTAAATTTTTTTTGATAATAAAATAATTAATTCGTTGATTTTGAAATAAAAATAATAGTGGAATAATTGGCACGTGGCGTCGCGTCCTCAGCCATTTTTCAAAAATAAACCAAAAAATTGAACTGAATTAACTAATATTGTAAATACAAAAAATTAAATTAAAGTTTACCTTGAATTATCATTTACTTTCTTTTATTTTGTAATTTTTGTAGCAAACAAAATAAATAGTGGTGTTCTAGGCAAGCACGTGTTCGTAATTATCGTCAATGCTTTATTTAGTCTAACGGAAGGTATTTTTAAACCTTTTATTGAAAAAGTAAATAATTTTCAAAAAAATCTAGTCTTTTTATTATTTATTGTAAATTATAATTTTTAAAATTTCTCGTTTTTCGAAATGAAAGTCGAAATCTATTGATTTTTGAGGTTATGTCAATCGTCCAGTCCTAGCGGAACGGAAATGCTTAAAAGGTTTTTTAATTTCGAAAAAAGATTCAATATTCAATATTTACTTGTTGAAAATAAATAATTAGAGAGAGTTCTATTTTTTCGTAAATAGAATTATTTTTATCGAGGTTAGTTTACATCGTTTACATGAATAAAAATTGAAAGTGCATTTGTTTCACTCACGTTACGTAAATGCATTTTTTCAACTAGAAATTATCAGCTTCTTTTCAAGTTAATTTAACTTAAATAAAAAATCACGAAACATTAATTTTTATACTCTTCTTGATTTTCCTATAGTGCAAAGAGAAAAAATTTTTTTTTTCGGACCTTTTAGAGGAAATTGCAAAAAAGAGTTGCTGATTTGACTCCAACCACCGGAAGTCCACCCTTTTTTTTGCCTCTTTAACATTCAACCAATGAGAATCGTTAGAATGCACAATGTTGCCAAATTTCATTGCATTTTCAGCCAATGAAAATCGCTACGTTCGAGATGTGCGCGCTCTGACGGTGGCTTTTGTAAATTGAACGAAAGCGACGTTGTTTCTTTCGGCCTCGCTGAGGAGACGAAATTTGTCGGAAACCGTCGCCATGTTTAGAAGTGTCTCTGCGTCCTTGAGCGAGTCAAGCAAAAATGTTCGGTAAAATATTAGATATATCGAATTCCCAACAAATTACGTGAGGTATCCATTTTTAATTTGTCGCTTATTAATCACGGGTGAAATAGTTATTCCCGTGGATGGGCGACCTAGGAGGCGGAATCTTGTGATTCCGAAATGGTAAGTTGTCTTCGTGTCGGGACAACGCCAATATGGCGGTCGTCAAATTTCCTTTGTATCTAGGCGAGGTTTTTTTTTTAGTTGAAAAATTTTTTAATCAATAATTCGTTATTATCATTCTTAATGTTTCATTTTAAAAATATTTTTAATTAGTGTCAATGATGATTATTCAAAATTTGTGAGTGATTTCCGGTCAGTTTTAATTGGATAACAGGAGGAAAAAAAAAATGGATTTTTCCCCTCCGACCAGACGACAAAACGAGACGCCCCGAGAGTGCTTAGTGATGCAAACGCTATATTCGATTTGTTCCTGTAATTTTAAAAATGACATTGCTTTTTCTTCTAATTACGATAACGCAATTATATTGAGTTGTTGGAAAAAAAAATCATTTCCGCTCGCGAATTATGAGAATTAGTTCCTTCTGGAAGAAAAAAAATCGAAAGTTCACCCATTGCCTCGGATCGTTAGTCGAATTTGAGTTTCGGCGCTTTTTTACGATTGATAGAAAAAATTGTTCTTTTTCAGTTCGAAAAGCGGTTTTTTTCATTTAAATTAATATATTTTTTATTGGCATTTTTTAATAGTGGAATTTTTAAAAAAAAATTAACTTTTAACAGATTTTAAATTTGTTTTACTTCAGTATTTTTTAGATTGTATTTTTCCCCTTTAATTTTGCCCTCAAATTTAGTTTCATAACTTTTTGAAATCATTTTAATTACGAATTCGTTTTAATTATTAAATTAAAAATATTCCGGTGAGAAATTTCACGGTCTTAAAAAAATTGATTTCTTGATTAGTTTATCGTAAATTTTACATCGGAATCGAATATTTGTATTTTACATTCAATTTTACATACAATTCTATAATTTAATGGTATTTACTGAATTTTTTAAACTTTTATCAATTATTTTCTTCTCTCGATTGAAATATGAATTTTTCTATAAACTGTACAGATTGTAAAAGAATAAATTTAATTAAAAAAGCAATTGTGTACTTTATTTTTATTTTCTTTTTTGGTTATTTAAAATTTTTTGATATCGTTTTACCCTTAAAATTCTAAATCTACTTCTTGGAGTAAATTAAATACTTTTTTTTGTTTTAATAAATAATTTTTTTCGTTTCTATACTAAAATTCCGATTACCTCCAAAAATATCGAATTCTAAAAAAGATTTATTAAATTTAATTTAAATATTTAACGAATTTAAATATATATTTAATGAAATTGTAAGTTTGAGGTTTTTTTTAAAATTGATTTTAATTTTGCAGAATCATGTGTAATGAGTGATAAACAACCTGGTACTACTTTGCCACCCCTCAGCGGGGGTGGAACAAATAATGGAGGGAACAATGGAGGATCCCAACAAACAGTTAATATACATCAAGTTCTTACGACTGCTCAAGGCCTTAATGTTCTTACTACAGGTGGAGGACAGCAATTTGTCCTTGCCTCTCAAGTTCCAGGCCTCACACAGGTAATTTTGTTTTTTTTTTTTTACTGTAAAATCTCTATTTTAAAAAATTCAATTCTCGCCATTTAAACTTCTCTTTTTCCAGAATAAAAAATTAATATTTCAAGACTACTAAGAATTTATTTTGCAGAATTTATAAATTGAGATTACACTTTGTTAATGGCCTCGTTAATTTATAATTTTGTACTCAATTGAGTGTTTTATGTCTATCATATTAGTTACCACACTGAGAGTTTAATTTTATTTATTTTAAAAATTAAATAATATAATTAAAAGTTTCAGTATTTGTATTATAAAAAATATTAATTTAAAAAAACAGGATTGCCACTGGTCAGGGAAATGGGGGGAAATACAGGAAATTTAATCTACAGAACTGTAAAGTATCAAGTTAAAAAAAAAAACTACGAAAATTCTTTCTTTTTGTATTCTGTCTGTGAAATACTTAAATCTAAATAGTTGATTTTTTTTCATTTTTAAAACTTGCAAAGAGTGGATTTAAAAAAAAAAATTAATTTTACATTGCTGTGAGTTAATTAATTAAACGAATTTAAGACGTATTTTTATTCGAATTAATTTCTTTTAATAACCGAATTCTAGAAGAATTTTTTTAGAATTATTAAAAATAATTTTATCAGAAAAGAATTTATAAAATTCAAAGAGTGGATTTTTAAAAAACTGAATTTTATATTTTGCCGAAAATAATTCAATTTTAAATGTATTTTTATTTAAATTAACTTTTTTAATAATTGAATTCTTTAAGAATCTTGTCAGAATTATTAAAAATAATTGAATCGGAAAAGAATTTTCTCTAAATTATCAAAAATAATTGAATCAGCAAAGAATTTTCTCTAAAATGATCAAAAATAATTTAATTGACAAAGAATTTTCTCTAATTTATCATAAATAATTGAATCATCAAATAATTGAATCAGCAAAGAATTTTCTCTAATTTATCATAATATAAATAATTGAATTGGCAAATAATTTTGTCTAAAATTATCAAAAATAATTGAATCAGAAAAGAATTTTCTCTAAATTTTAAAAAATAATTGAATCATAAAAAATTTTTCCAAAGTTATAAAAATAATTGAATAAGCCAAGAATTTTCTGAAAATTATTAATATTAGGTACAAATTATTTTGCAAATAATTTTTTTTAAAAATGCAAAAAAAAATTTAATTTTATGAAAGTTAGACTTTATATTTTTATAAACAATATCAATAATTTATTAATTTTGGTCAATAATTTAAATTTTAAAAAAATTCAACTTTATAAAAGTTTTCAAAACAATTCAACAATTTTCAATTGTTTTTAATAAAATCCTATATAAGAATTGAATTATTTTCAATACAATTTTAATTAAATTTTTAGACAAAAATGTGCAATTATTCAATTATTTTCATACATGTAATAAAATTCTTCGCAGGATATCAATTATTTTCAATACATATAATTTTAATAAAATTTATCAAAAGAATTCAATTGTTTTTAAAAATTTTGTATAAGAATTCAATTATTTTCAATACATTGAATTTCTCAAAAGAATTTAATTATTTTCAGAATATTTCCATAAAATATTTCAAAACAATTAAATTATTTTTAAAAATTTTAATGAAATTCTATGTAAATATTAAATTATTTCTAAAATCTGAATTTTATGAAATTGAATTGAAAACAAGTGGATTTTAGAGTTATATTAGATGAACCTTTTTTTCTTTAAAATAAATAATTGGATTTTTTCAAGAACTTTCTCAAAAATTATTATAAATAATTGAATTAAGATCTTGAAAATAATTTTTGATAAGTTACAGTAGCAATCTTTGTAAATTAGTGAATTTCAAGGGATTTGAGTTTTTAAGGGGACACCTAAGTGGAAAAATGACAAAAAAATTGATTTTTTTAAATTTGATTTTCTAAAAGTAGACTCAATTAGGAATAGAACAAGACTTTTTAAAACCTTTTCTGAAGAGTAGAAAAAATCTGATTACATGATTCTGAATACCATGAGTTTTTAGTATTTTTTCTTTTTTCGTGTCTCCTGTCAAAATTGTTTTTTTTCCAATTTTTTAACTTTCGGTACACTTTTCTCCGAATCTACTAAACCAATTTGTAATTTCTTTTTTTTACTTTGTTCAGTAAGGTTCCAAGAATACGAATAAGAAGTTTAACATCATTTTGAGTTGTACAAACGGAGATATGAGTCAATGAATCAGAGAAAATGGGATTTTTATTTTGCTTTGGGTATAAATATTCATAAAAAAGTTTCTATTGAAGATAACGTCGTATTACTTCTTATTCATATACTTGATTATATTTGTAATCGAATAAAAAAAGGGCGAACACAATTGGAATAATAGTTTTCGAGAAAAGTGTACCGAAAGTTGACTCTTTTTGCATTGTTTTTAGGTGACTTAGGTGTCCCCTTAAAAAATTCGAATTTTTTAAATAAAAATGATTCCTGAAGATTATTATTCGAATTTAATTAAATTAAAATTCGAATTTTTTAAATAAAAATAATTATCCTGTAATTCCTGAAGATTATTATTTATTATAAAATATATCACTGGATGTACGAAGTTTTAAATTTAAAATAAATGAGAAATAAGGAAGAAAATGATGATAATTCTACCAATACTGAAGGAAATGAAATCCATTCAATTCTTTCCTGTTAATGCTGTGAAACGAGGCATTTGTCTGATTCTAAACTTTCTCTCTCTGCGTAAAAAATTCGAATAAAGGCAAAAAAAATTGAAAACTTATAATTTTAATTTTCTTCTCCAGGTCTTACCGAGTGGCGCGACAACAACTGCAAATCTGCAACAATTGGGCGTCACGCGAATTGTCAATATCGGCAGTACGTCCCCACGTGTCGTTGGACTCGCGAGTGCGAGCGGCTCGCCTCTATCATCACCCTCCCGTCAAACATCAACAAAAGTTGTATTAACAACATCGCCAAAACTTGTTCGCACATCACATGGCAGTATGTTCGTTGCACCAACAACACAAATGACGGGCCAATCGTCGCCGGCTAGGAAAAAATTGAAATTATCCGATACAACGGAGAAAACGACTGCAATCGATGACACGACAAGTTATCGACGACGTATAATGGAGCACAAAATGAAACGAATGCGTTCAGTGAGGGATAAATATACGGATAATGCAGCTGAATTATTCTTTTTACACGCTGGCGGCAATGTCATGGATTTTCACACATGGAGAAAACGACCGGTTACACCGCAATATTTACATTTTCTTCGACAACATAAATTAGATCCCGATGATGACGATGAGGATCTTACTGTTCCATTGGCGGATGTCTCGCAAACATTAAACGTCACACAGCCAGTGAGTCAGGAAGTTAAGGTACCCGGTATTGGAGTCACTCCCGTTGCTGTTTCAACGACTCTACCGACTGCCGTTGCTCAACTTAGTCAACAAGGTTCGTGTGCCAATGTTGAAAAAAAAATTCTCTCGAAATTTTATGTTTTCTTTTTTTCAAAATTTCGGAAATTCAATTTGGAAATATTTTCTTTTTTTGAAATAGAAAATTTCTAAAATATACAATAAATTGATTTTAGAAATATCTTTTTGTTTTATAAAAGCGTTGACAGAGTTGCCACAGGTCAGGGAAGTCAGGGAAAATAGAATTGATCAGAGAAATCCGGGAAAAGTCAGGGATTTTTATTAAAAGTACTGAAAAAAATTTAATTTCTAGAATTCATAAGAAAATTCTGAATTTTTGTTTCTTTTGTTTGACTCATAAACTATGAAATTACCACGAATTCTAATAAAAAAACCTTCAATTTCATTGAATTTTAAGAGTTGCGTTTACCATTTTCACAAATAGATAAACTTCAAAAGTTTTTAATTTGAAATTTTATATAATTTCAATTTTGAATCACGGAAAAAATCTTGGGTGACGTGCCGTTCCAAGTAGACCGAAAATGTACGAATGCGATACGACTTTAGTTTGGAGGAGCTGCATTTCCAACTTGGGCGTGCTGAACGCCCAAGATGCGGCTATTGCAGTCCCAAGGTTTTGAGTCTCAAATCTTGGGTGTTCAGCGCCACCAACATGGGAACGTAGATTTCCCGAATTGAGAACGTAGCACATCCAAACTATAGTTCCCCCACTTTCCGACGATTGGGATTGCACGTCACCCAAGATTTTTTCCGTGATGAATTTAATTTGAAAATTTAAAGAACTTAGATTTTTGTAAAATTTTAATAATTCAAATTCTTCTGAAATTAGTTAAATTTTTCAATATATATTTAATTAATTATTAAAAATTATGAATTTATATAGAAGAATTTTAGATGAAAACAATAATAAAAAAATTGATTTTTGGAGAAGTTACAAATTATTGCAGAAATACAATTATTTTTAAAAGTAATAAAATTATTCACAAAAATTCAATTATGTTCAAAAATTTTAATAAAATTCTTGGACAAAATCAATTATTTTCAAAAATTTTCCTCAATTCAATGATTTTTAATATTTACTATTTTAATAAAATTTTCCAAAAGAATTCAATTATTTTCAAAACATTTTTATTTATTTATTTCTGTACATTGATATTTTATATTTTAATAAAATTCTACGCAAACGTTTAATTACTTTCGTAAATAATAAAAATTTTCTAGGAATTCAATTATTTTTAAATTTTTTGACAATAACTCAATTATTTTTATAATTAATAACATTTTTTACTGGGATTCAATTATTTTTAAAAAATTTGATATTATTTGTTTATTAGAATGTAATAATTATTTTAAATAACATTTTCTAATTTTTTAATTCAATTTTTTGAAAGAATTAATTTATTTTTAAAAATTGTAATGATAATTTTTACAATAATTCAATTACTTAAAAAAAAAAAAGTTCAATAAAATTCTTCGTAGAAATTTAAATAAGTATGTAATTTCAAAAATTACAAATGATTGCAGAAATTTTTAAAAATGTTCTTAAATTCGATGATTTTTAGTATTTATACTATTTTAATAAAATTTTTCAAAGGATTTCAATTATTTAAAAAAAAATTTAATAAAATTCTACACAAACATTTAATTACATATTTTCATAAATATAATCAGAAATTCAAATATTTTCATAAATAATAAAACTCATTGCAGAATTTTTCAATTATAGATTAGATTAGATTAGATTTAAAATTTGAATTATATTTAATACAATTTTAATCAAATTTCTCGTAAAATATAATTATTCTTAAAAATTTTATTAAAGTTTGTCGAAAGAATTCAATTATTCAATAAATTATTTATTTTTGTATTTAAGTAATTGAATTCTAGTAAAATTTTCTAATAAAAATTGAATTAAAAATTAATTTTTGTGTAAAATTGTAAATAATAATTGAATATTAAAAGCATTATAGTGTGAATTTTTAAAAATAATTGAATTTTGAAAAGATTTCAAATTAAAATCTTTAAAAATTGAAAATTTTTCATATCTTCTTGTTTTATAATAATATTTTTATAAGTTATTGAATTTCAAAAAGGTTTGAATTTGAATTTTTCGCAAAACTTATTTCTTATGGAAAAATAATAATGATTAAATATTTATTCAAAAATGAAGTTATTGATGTTTTTGAATAATTTTACTTTTGAAGAAATTTGTAAATAAATTTAATAGAACATTTTTTTGAGTATCTAATAATTTTTAGAGTGAATCAGAATATTCTTTAGGGTCATGGAAGAAGTCAAAATTTTGTTTGGAAATGAGGGAAAAACAAAATTAAATTTTTGTGGCAACTCTGGTTGAGAATTATAGAAGGAACTTTTTTCTTTTCTTTTTTTTTTAAATTTGTGAAAAATAAATGATTTGCGCACTTAGGACATATACCAGGTAGGCCACAAGGGGGCCGCCATGGCATGGTCTTTGCCATCCGAGCTGCCATTCAGACCTCACCAGTGTCCGTTCACCCTTCACCCACCTCTACTCTAGCACCCGCTCTCATTATAGGTGATTACTGTAGGCCTGTCGCTCAATGTTTAATTCGTTCACTTATATATTTATTTTATTCGTTCATTTAATCAGAGTGGTCGCAATGAGAATTTTATTTGGAAAAAAAATCAAGAGATTATTAGATTCAAATTTAAAAAATAAATCACTTCTTAACCAAAAAAAAAAACAGTAATAATTATTATTACTGATAATTATTTTCGAAAATTTCATTTCCATCCTTCAAAACAATTCAATTGTTTCCAAAAATTTTAATAAACTTGTTATTAGCCAGACTTTAATTATTTTTACACATTAATAAGATTCTTCGACGGAATTTAATTATTTTCAATTCAATTTTAATTAAATTTCTTGGAATAAATTAAATTTTTCAAAATTTCATAAATTATGAAAGTTCCAAATTTAACTAAGAAAAATTTTATTTATAAACAATAGTAGAAATTATGCGACCACTCCCTTTTTTGTAATTTTAATGCAGTTCTTCAGTCTAAAGAACATTTTGAAATTCATTTTAGTTCGACTGATGTGAATAGCACTGCAGACAAATTGCATGATAAAGAATAAGATTCTTACGATTTGATTTATGAATATTTTTAAAAATAAATATTTTCAGAGTGTCTACTAATTAAAGAAAATTCAAATTTAAAATTGAAATTAAGAGGGAAAAAATTGTTTATCATTAGTGTCGTTTAATAACAAATTTTAAAATACCTAATAAAATTCATTATTAAAATAAATTTTATTATTAATCAATAAACAATTCTTAACAATTTATACAAATAAATTTATCCTCAATTTTACTAGTTGAAACATATTTTATAGAAATTTATTATTTTTTATCACTTTGAAATTTTTAATTGTAATTCCATTTTGGGAATTTTTTCAATAAATTATATTTCGTTCATTTGAACGTTTAAAACTTGTGGGTCATTAAGAAAGTAGTTTTATAATTTATAAAAAAATTTTTAATTAAATTATAAAAATTTATTTAAAAAAAAAAAAATAATAATGTTCATATTTTCACTTAATCGGTAGACACTCGAGATCCAAATTTCAAACTTTCTTTATCGTGTAACTGTTTAATGTAGTCGATTGATTCTACAGTGAGAATAATATTTAATGTTGAAAACTTTTGCCATGATTGCAAAATTATTGCACATCTGTGTCGTAAATTATTTAATTTCTCTACAAAAAAAAATTGCTTTTTAACAAGCCTACTGTGATTTTCTAGTGGAGATTTTAGTATTTTCGTTTGGAAAATTAAACAATAAAAAAGAGAATTCAGTGAAGTGATTAAAATCTGAAAATTCTCTTTTTTTTGGTAATTTAGTCTACTCGAATTATTTTTTAATTGTTCTAGTTAAACTTTTGCATGTTGTTTGTTATTTAGGGCTTTATTTCCCATTTCAGTCACAAATCTATTTATTTATCGTGGTGGAAGAATTTACAAAAGATTTGCATGTTTTCTTTCTCTAGTTTCTTCGTAATTTTCCTATTTTTTATATCTTTTTTTTCCAAATTATTTTTAAATTATTTAAATTAAAAAAGAAATAAAAAAATACAAAAGTAATAAAAGTACAAAAATTAGAAAAAGTGATCAAATAAAAAGCAACAAATTTGTGATAAAAGTTAAATTATATTTTCAAATTGAAAGAGAAAAAAAATGAATTAAATATGAAGTGAAATAAAATTCAAGTTCAGTGGAATTACAATTTAATAAATATTTAATTAAACTCACTAGAAAATTAATTTTTTCTAATCCCACAGAGAAAACTCCGCTGTTTCATTATAAATGATGAAAGAGTCTCAAATTTTTGTGGGTAAATAAAAATTTCAAGCAAATGTAAGACTGTATGGCTTTTTATCTATTCAGTCCAAGGGCAGTTTTGATACAAAAATTATATAAACCACTCACTTTTTTCTTTTGCAATACACAAAAAACATGTAGTGCAAGAATTGTGATTCACAGTGTTTCTATGTTTTAAAAATGTTTCAATTTGGTATTTTTTTCAAAAAGAAAAATATTGAAAGCATAATGTAATTTTTCTTATTTTAGGCGGAACTCCCTTAGTTTTAGATCTGCCACAAACAGTAACTACAACAAATTCTCCTAGTCCAGCATCATCGGATAAATCTTCGACGACAAATTCGATGAATCGTTCATCACCTGCCACACTTCCCGGCAATCAACCTGTCGTTAAACTCGTCAAACTTCCCACATCTTCTGTAACAGCCTCATGTGATACCTCAAGTAATCAAGAACAAATTGTGGAAAAAGCCAAACAGGTAATTGTTTATTTATTTCATGTTTTTTCTTTTACTTTAATGAGAAGAAAAGGAAACTTCATTTTGTGAATGACATGAGAATTTTTTTTGGATCTTGCACTCTATTTAAATTGGAAGCAATGCAAATTTAAAGATGGATCGAAACACGGAAAATCGGGGAATTGTCAAAAAATTTTAATGTAACTAAGTGAGAAAAAAATTGCAATTTTCAAAAATAATTGACTTTCAGAGAAATTAATTATTTTTAATAAAATATATCTCGGAAGAATTACATTATTTTTACAAAATTTTAATAAATTTCTTCGATAGATTTGAACTATTTTTAGAAATAATAAAAAATTTCAACAGACATTTTGAAAAAATTTCTGAAAAGAGTATTATTAGTAATTATTTTTGAAAATAATAAAATTATGCAAAGAATTTATTTATTTTTCAAATCTTCGGAAAATTTTAATTACTTCTTGCCAGATTTCAATTATTTAAAAAAATTTAATTAAACTTCTGCGATGGACTACAATTATATTTAAAAAAAGAAATAAAATTCTCCAGAAAAATGAAATTATTTTCATAAATAAATTTTAATAAAACTTGACATTATTTTTAAAAAATTAAATAAAATTCTTCGATGGAATTAAATTGTTTACTTTAAAAATTTTAAATAAAATAATAGCAGAAATTCAATTAATTTCACAAGTTTTTTTAATAAAATTTCTCGAAAATATTCAATTATTTTGAAAAATTTAAGGAACAAGTTAATAATAAGTTATTCGTAATAAAATTTTATGCAAGAATTAAATTATTTTCGATTCAAAATTAGGAAAGTTACGAAAATTATAACTTTACTTTTAACAAAAGTGTTATCATTAAAAAAAAAATTTACTGAATTTAAAATAATCATTAATTTTTTAAAAAAATGAATATCATTACAGATTTTAAAAGAAATAGAATTTTCAAAATCTTTAAATTCAATAATTGATAAATAATTCAATGTTAAAAAATAATTTTCTTATTTAAAAAAAATTCAATTTTTTATCCAAAATTGACCTAATATATTTTAATTCCAAAAAAGTTGCAAATAAAATTATCATTGACTAGTTAATAATAAAAAGATAAAATTATAACTTTATTAAAAAATTAAAGTTTCGAAAAAGTTTAGGATTTAAAATTTTAAAGAATTAGTTTTTTTTTAATATTTGAATTCTATATTATTTTTTTCTCTTAAGATTATTGAACTTTTATGAATAAGTAGTTAAAAATGTTTTAAATAATTGAAATAATTGAAAAGTAAAACCAAGAATTCAATTAAAAATAATTTAATATTTTTATAATTTTACTGAAATTTAAAAAATTTTACTAAAGTGAATATTCAGTTCTTGTATTAAGATTTTTTCTTATGTTTCCCTTTAGAAATTAAATTTCCATTTAAGAACAATATAAAATTTTTATTCAGTCTAAAGAAAAAGAAAAAAATACAAAAAAAGAACAAAATAAGTCAAAGAAATGTCAGGGAATTTTGAAAATCAAAATCTTGCAACCACACTAAATAATAAAATTAAATTTTCCCGACAACCCTGAATAGAAAATAATTAAAAAATAATAATAAAAAACAAAATTTAGATACAGATTGAAGGAAAAATTCAAAAATTCGAATAATTATTTTCCAGGAGGCGTACGTAATGCAGAGGATTGCCGAATTACAAAGGGAGGGCTTGTGGTCCGAGCGGCGATTACCAAAAGTCCAAGAACCCGCGAGATCGAAAGCCCATTGGGATTATTTGTTGGAGGAAATGGTTTGGCTTGCCGCTGATTTTGCCCAAGAACGAAAATGGAAGAAAGCTGCTGCCAAAAAATGCGCGCGAATGATTCAAAAGCATTTCCAAGAGAAGGCAACCCAAGCGCAAAAAGCGGAGAAACTCGAGGAGCTCAGATTGAAGAAAATTGCGAGTTTCGTTGCAAAAGAGATAAAGACTTTCTGGTCAAATGTAGAAAAGGTAATTTTCTTTTTTTGTCTCATTTCAAAAGTTTAAAAATAAATATTTAGAACTTCACCCCACACTTATAAGCCGGCAATTTTGACTTTTTTTCAATGTTTTAATTGTGTGCTCGTTGTGGGAACATTAATATTCTAATTAATAAATTGGATTGAATTGCTTTTATGTTCAGTCACTTTCTTTTTTTAGAAACAATAGAGAATTTAAAAAAAAAGGAGGAAAAGAATAGAAAAAGAAACAAAAGAATAAAAAAACTAAAAAGAATAATAATAAATATTTTTGAATAGAAAAAGAAGTAAAAAAAAAATAGAAAAAGAAACGAAAGGAGTAGAAAAGTTAAATAATGTTGATGTTTATTTTTTCAGTTGGTAGAATATAAGCAACAAACGAGACTGGAAGAGAAGAGGAAAAAAGCTCTGGATCAGCATCTCAATTTTATTGTCGATCAGACTGAAAAATACTCAACTTGGTTGACCGAGGGCCTCAATAAGACCGAAGGGAGTCAAAGTATGCCAGTATCAATAAATAGTTCTCGAATTTCATCGCCTATACCCTCAGGAAAACAACATTCAGATGGTAAATATATTTATATTTACACAACATTTTTTTTTATTTTTTTTTCTTCTATTTTTTCAATTCCTTTTCTTGAAAATTTATTTTTATCAATGATGACGAAATACCATTTCTGAAGGTGCGAGATTCATTCAGCTCAATCCTACTTTCTGCTGCTATCGAGGCATTTGTCTGAGAGTTTTATTCTTTAGTAGGGAACAAAAATTATAAATTTATAATTCACCTATTTTCTAAATGTAATTACAATTTTTTTTTGTTGAAATTTTCTCTTTACAGACGAATTCGAACCAAACCAAAGTTCCGATGACGATGAGGAGACAATAGCAAAAGCGGAGGAGGAAATAAAATCGAATCATAAAGAAGAAGTAGAACTTTTAAAGAAGGAATCAATTATTCCATTGGAAGATTTATTGAAAGAATTGCCACCGAATTATCTCGATGAGAGGGACAGAAGTTTAACGCCTGAATTAAAGGAGAATTTCGAGGAGGAAAATGAAAAGAGCGCTGATGGCGATACTGAATTTACTGTTGCTTCTGATGAATCCACTGATGATGAGGAGGACACAATTATGGAGCAGGAGAAGCTCGAGAAGAATGTCGATCATAAACAGGAACTGGACGATCTTAAGGCTGAAAATGAAATGTCTATTGATGAATTGATGTCAAAATATGGAGCTGGACAAGACATTCCAATGGATGTTGATAAGGTTTCTGATCGAGGTAGTTTTTCTTTCAATTTGCTTTTTCAAGTTTCTTTTGTGTAAATATTTTCAATTCTTTTTGCCTTTATAAAATTTTTTTTAATTTTTCTAAATTTTCTCCTTTGTCTTTCTCTTTTGCTTTTTTTTTTTATCAATGATGACGAACTACCGTTTCTGAAGGTGCGAGATTCATTCAGCTCAATCCTACTTTCTGCTGCTATCGAGGCATTTGTCTGAGAGTTTGTTTTTAGAAAGAAAGAAACGAGTGAAAAATTTGTATTCTTTTGAAAACTATGTTTTTTTTCGCATTTTTTTTGCAGAATCTGAAGCAGGCAGCGAGAAAGAAGATGACGAGGACGAGAAGAGTGATCAATCGGAAAGTGACGAGAGTGACTATGATGATAAAGATCACGATTCTCAAACTCAAAGCGAGGATGAGACGGGAGTTGGTCTTAAATCGCTTCTCGAGGATTTGTCCGGCGAGCAATCACTCAATAATACCGTAAGTTTGCATAATTTTCGCTCATGAAATGGAAAGTTTTTTCATTTCTAGTTTAAAAGAAATGTAATTAAAACAATTTTATACAATAATCGTTTTTCATTAGTTAAAGAAGTTTTAATTTCTTTAACAAATTAATTTTAAGTAGAAAAATTTTAATTAGTTGAACAAATTAATTTTAATTACACGAGTTGGCTAAATTTAATGAAACTAGTTAATTTTCATTAGTTATACAAATTAAATTTAATTTGTTGAACTAATTAATTTTAGTATCTCATTAACAAGTATTTATTCAAATTTTCTTAATATCGATTAATTTAATTTAAAAAAAATGTAATTTTTTCCAGACTCAAGAAGCGGAAAGCAATGAAATGGATGACGTTGCCGCCTTGGCTGAAAGTATACAACCAAAAGGAAATACTTTACAAACGACAAGCGTAAGTTTTCATTTCATTAAAAATTATTGTTCACTGCATCAAATTTTTAAAATAAATTCGTTCAACGTAGAAAAACGGAGTTTAGTCTTAAAATGTGAAATTATTTATTAAAATACATTTAACTAATTTAGTTTTAAATATTTATCAAAAGTAATTTTTTTTTAAATTATTGAAAAATTATGAATTGTCATTGAATTTTTTTTCTCTTTAAAAACTATAAAAAAAAGAGGAATTTAAAAATATATGAAAAACATACAAAAGAAAATTGAATTTTTCTATTGAAATAATTGCATTCTTGAGGAACCTTCTGAAAATCAGCTATTAAAAATAATTTAAAAAATTTTAAGTGTTTTAGTTAAAAATTCTAGAAAATAATTGAAAATTGAAAGAGTTATAATAGAAATTTTTAGAAATAATTAAATTTCAAGTGACTCATTCTAGAAGAATTTTTTTTTTTAATTGAGATATCAAAAAATTTTCTCAAAATTATTACCCATAAATAATTAATAATTGATTAGAGAAGATTTTTAGTTTGGAAATATTTTTAAGAGTAATTTCAATTTTGAAGAAATTAATAATAATAGTGATCAATAAATTTACTGAAAAACTATAAAAAATTATTCAATTTCATAAGCTTTGAAATTAATATTTAAAAATTCCAATGTTAAATAATTTTAGTTAAACATTCTGAAGAGTTTAGTTTCATTAAAAATTGTATTTTAAATTCGTTTAAATATTTGGTTGACTTATTGAATATTAATTTAACTGAAAACATTTCGAATAATCGAAATATCGCAAAAATAAATTGAAATAATTGAATTTTAAATGACATTTTTCTTTTTTGATTAATTTAGCTGTCAAAAAATTGTCTAAATATTATTGAATTCCCAAAAATAATTATTTGAAAAATTTTTAAACAGTTTGTACTTTAGGAAAATTTTTTTGAAATAAATTTTATATTTTAAAGAATTTTTTTTAAGTTTTTTTTTAAAAATAATCGTGTTTTTGTAGAAAAAAAAATGAAATAATCATTTTTTGCGTCTTAAAGACGATCTGAGTCCTGTAATAACAACTTTTATAAAATATTTTTGTATACTTTCTTTTTCTAATTAAAATGTTTATTTTTATAACACATTCTTTTTTAGTAAAGAATTTTCACAATAAATTTCCCTATATATTACAAAAAAAGTTTTATTAAAAAAGTTAAGTTTAAAAACGCCTTCACTATCCAAAGCAACTACGCTTTTCATTTGCTTGTTGTTATTTCAAGGGAGGTAGAATAAATGAGATTGTCTTTTGCATAAAGAATATAAAACATTCTTAATTGCAAAGACATCCCGACAACTTATTTTTTTTTTAAACTTTTAAATTTACTGTTCAAAATTTCAATAAATAAGAGATTGAGAATTATTTAACGAATTTAATTATTTAAATAACAAATTTTAATAAACTCGATTTTTTTTTTCAATTGCAGGTCGTAACAAAAGTTCCATTCCTTCTAAAGCACTCGTTACGAGAATATCAACACATTGGATTAGATTGGCTGGTGACAATGTACGAGAGAAAATTAAATGGAATTCTAGCCGATGAAATGGGTTTGGGAAAAACAATTCAAACAATTGCACTATTGGCGCATCTTGCATGCGAAAAGGGCAATTGGGGCCCGCACTTAATCATTGTTCCTACGTCTGTTATGTTAAATTGGGAAATGGAGTGTAAAAAATGGTGTCCAGGTTTTAAAATATTAACATATTACGGTACGCAAAAGGATCGTAAACAAAAGAGAACTGGTTGGACAAAGCCAAATGCATTTCATATTTGTATCACTTCATACAAACTTGTCATTCAGGATCATCAGAGTTTTCGACGGAAAAAATGGAAGTATTTAATTTTAGACGAGGCGCAAAATATCAAGAATTTCAAATCACAACGATGGCAATTGCTTCTCAATTTTCAAACTCAAAGGTAATTTTTTTTGTAACTATTTGAAAATAATTCTCGCTGCCGACCACAATGCAGTTTTTTCAATTTCTGTTTTTGTGTTTTTTTTTCTTAAACAGCGAGATATTAAATTCTTCATAAAAACTCGTGTGTTCGATTAAGAGGAATTTTTTAGGACACGCGTATCCTGTCTGAAGATACAATTAATAATTTTAAAAATTTATAATTTTATATAGTTATGATTATAATTCATTATAATAATTTTTTTTATTTTATTATCATAATTTAGTAAAAAATTTCGATTGCAGGCGACTGTTGCTAACGGGAACACCACTTCAAAATAATTTAATGGAACTTTGGTCGTTGATGCACTTCCTCATGCCAAATGTTTTTCAGTCACATAGAGAATTTAAGGAATGGTTTAGTAATCCAGTGACGGGAATGATTGAGGGAAATAGTGAATACAACGAGAATATTATCCGACGACTACACAAGGTTTGTACGTACTTGAATTATTGAAAGGAAAGAAAAAACAATTCTCGCCGCCGACACACAGGGCAATTGTAATTTTCATTTTTCTGTGTTTTTTTGATATTCTCAACGGCGAGAGAGGAAAATTTTCCATAAAAACTCGTGTGTCCGATAAGAGGAATTTATAAGTCATGCGTATCCTGTCTGGAAAAACATTTTTTTAATAAAGAAAATCTAAAAGCCCTTGAAATAAATAAATAATTGAAGAAAATAAATAAAATAAATAAATGAAGGAAATAAATAAAACAAATAAATGCAGAAAATATTTTTATGGGGAAATAAAAAATTTCTTTTGTTCTTTCAGGTCCTACGACCCTTTTTACTCAGGAGGTTAAAGACTGAGGTAGAGAAACAACTGCCAAAGAAGTATGAACACGTTGTTATGTGTCGCTTATCGAAAAGACAGAGATATCTTTATGATGATTTCATGTCCCGAGCAAAGTGAGTATTTTTGAATGATTACAGATTTTAAATTTAAAGAATTCACTAATTAAGTACATAATATTAAATATTCTCGTTTATTATTTTATTCAAAAATTTTAATAAAATTTTTCGCAAGAGTTTCATTTTTATTCTTATAAATAATAATATTCTTTAGAGCAATTTCAATTATTTTCACTACAATTTTAATAGAATTTCTCAAAAAAATACAATTATTTTTAAAAATATTCATTAAATTCGATAAACTTCAAGAATTTTAATATAAATTCAATTAATTTCAACAATTTTGATGAAATTCTCTTTAAGAAATCATTATTTTCAAAAATTCAAATAAAATTCTTCGAAACAATTAAATTATTTTTATGAATTGTAAAATCCTACACAAGAATTCAATTATTTTCATAAATAGGAAAATTCTTCGCAAGAATTAAAATATTTTCATAAATAAAAAAATTTAATTATTTTCATAAATAATAAAATGTTTCGGAGGAATTCAATTATTTCCAATTCAATTTTAATAAAATTTCTCGAAAGAATACAATTATTTTTTAAAATATTATTTAAATTCCATTATTTTCAAGAGTTTTAATAAAAATTCAATTATTTTTATAAATTATAAAATTCTTGGCAAAAATTCAATTATTTTTGTAAATAATAAAATTCGTCTGATAAATTCAATTATTTTCAATACAATTTTAATAAAATTTCTATATGAAAAAATTCAATAATATTCAAGATAATTTTAATATAATTTCTCTAACAGGTTCAATTATTTTTAAAAATTGTAATACAAATTTTTCTAAATAATTCAATTTTTCTCAAAAGTTTTTAATAAAATTCTTTGTAAATTTCAATTATTTTCAAAATTTTCAATTAAATTATTTTTCAATTACTTCAAAAAATTACATTATTTTTACAAAATGAATGTAATTTAATGAAATTCTTAAAAAAAAATGTAATTATTTACAAAAACTCTAATAAAATTATTTAAAAGAATTTAATTTTCTATGAATAATTTTAATGTTTCAAATTTTATTTTATAAGTACTTTATAATTTTCGCTGCCGACCACAATGCAGTTTTTTCAATTTCTGTTTTTGTGTTTATTTTGTTAAACAGCGAGATATTAAATTCTTCATAAAAACTCGTGTGTTCGATTAAGAGGAATTTTTTAGGACACGCGTATCCTGTCTGAAGATACAATTAATAATTTTTAAAAAATTTAATTATTTTCAAAATTTTCAGTAAAAATTATTTTAAAAAAAAATCTTTTATTTCCAAGAAAATTGAAATAAATTCTTTAAAACAATTTAATTATTTTAAAGAATTTTAATAAAAATCTTGCCAAGAATGAAATTATTTTCAATACAATTTTAATTACATTTTCTCGAAAAAATTCAATTATTGAAAAAAATGTTGATAAAATTCTTGAAATGAATTGAATTATTTTCAAATTAATTTAAAAATACTTTACAAGAATTTAATGATTTTCAGTACATCGAAAATTTAATTATTTCTGATAATAATTGAATACTTGAATTGGATTCTATTAAAAGTTTTTATAATTGAACTCTTGTGAAAAATTCAATTATTTTTTAAAATAATTGAATTTTTAGGAGAATTTTTACAAGATATTTAAAAATAATTGAAATTTTCGAAGAAATTAATTAAAATTGTATTGAAAATAATTGAAATCCTGATAAGAATTTTATTATTTATACAACGATTGTGAATATATATTATTGCTAGAAATATTTTTTGAATGTTACAATTAAATATGTTCTTTTTTAGAACGAGAGAAACTCTGGCGAGTGGAAATTTGTTGAGTGTCATAAATGTATTGATGCAGTTACGTAAAGTTTGCAATCATCCAAATCTTTTCGAAGTTCGTCCAACAATTTCGCCATTTCAAATGGAGGGTATTGAATTCGTCACCTCTTCACTTATTGCCAATGCACTCGAATACGATCCATTTGAGGTAAACTGAATTATTTTTTTTCATATTAAAAATTTAAAAAGAAAAATCGTTGTATATTCAAAATTAACAAATTTTGAATATAAAACGATTTTTCTTTCAATTGAAACATAATTGTATTTAAGAGTTTTAATTTTAAATTCATTAAAATTTTAAATTATATTCATATTAAAATAATTAAATATATTTTTATTTTATATTAAAAATTCGTTCTATTTAGAAAATAAATTTTCCATTTCCAGCATATCGATTTGTCGTGTGTAAATTTACTTCTGGTGAAGGTGGAAATTATGTTAACGGCATTTGTCGCTCACAGAGCGAGGCGTTTAAAAACACCGCGTAAATTAATTGAAGAAATTGACAGTACACCGGAACCACCGCCTCGTTGTCCATCGGGAAAAATTAAAATCAACGTTCGATTGTCGAATCAAGCAAAAGCTACGAATGTCGTTCAACAGCCAAAGGCCAAAAGTATAACTAGCGCCGTTTTATCGCCAAGAGTCGGAACATCTCCCTTAGTTAAGAGCGCGAGCAATCAAACACCCACTGGACAAGGTAATTCGAATTTATTTAAGTTAAAATTTTTTTTTTAAATCTAACATTTATTTTGAAACTAAAAATTTGTTTAAAATTAACATTTTGTTAAAATTAATATATTTTTTTTAATTGAACATTTATTTTTAAATTAAAAAATTTGTTTACAAAATTAACAATAATTGTTAAAATTAATATATTTTTTTAAATGAAAATTTACTTTCTCTTTTTTTGTTTTTGTCTATAGACTTTTGTCTATAGACAAAAGTGGCAATTTTTTAATTTAACGAAATTTTTTAATTTAAGGCGTGACATTGAGAGTTGCGGGTGGTCAGCAATTGCAAGGTTACTCGGTTCAATTGGTTCCACATCAAGGAAGTGTGAAAGGTAATTTTAATAACAATCATTTATTAAAATAATTATTTTCAATTTTGCTAATAATTAAAATGACAAGCAAATTTAATCCGCGAAACGCAGTATTTACTTTAATATTTGGTATTAATGCAAATTACAAAATTTTTTTATTTTTAAACAACTTAAATTTTTTTTTTTAAACTTCAAATTCAAAATTTAAGAAAATTCATTTATTAACTAATTAATTACTATTTATTATTTTCAATATAATTTTCATAAAATTTCTTAAAGGAATTGAATTATTTTTAAATTTTTTAATGAAATCCTTCGAACGAAATTAAATTATTTTGCGATTTTAATAAATTTTTTCACAGGAATTCAATTATTTTATATAACACTCAATTTTTCTTAAATTCATCAAAAGAATTAAATTATTTTGGAAAATTTTGATAAAATTCGTCAGGAGAATTCAATTATTTACAAAAATTTTAAAACACAATTCTTTGAAAGAATTCAATTATATTTAATTAAATTTTTATTTAAATTTCTCGAAAGTAATTAATTATTTTCAACGCAATTTTAATAAAATTTCTCAAAAGAATTAAATTATTTTTGAAAATTTGATAAAATTCTTCGCAAAAATTCAATTATTTTGAAAATTTTTTTATTACATTCTTTATAAGAATTAAAATTTTTTCAATTCAATTTTAATTAAATTCTTTAAAAGAATTCAATTATTCTTAAAAATTTCAGTAAAATTCGTCGAAAGAATTTAATTATTTTCTATAATTTTGAAAAAATTGTTCGAAAGAATTCAATTATTTTTTGGTAAGAATTCAATAAAACCATGTCTAAAATTTTGACAGAATTCTTCAAAAAAATTCAGTTATATTTGATTAAACTTTAATTTAAATTTCTTGAAAGAAATTAATTATTTTTAACGCAATTTTAATAAAATTGAATTATTTTTGAAATTTTGATATAATTTTTCGCAAAAATTCAATTATTTTAATAAGTTTTGAATAAATTCTTTATGAGAATTAAAATTAAAATATTTTCAATACGATTTTAATTAAATCCCGTGAAAAAATCCAACTATTTTCGAAAATTTTAATACAATTCCCTGAAAGAATTCTATTATATTTAATAAAATTTCTCGAAAAAATTCATTTATTTTCAAAAATGTTAATGATATTCTATACAAGTATTAAATTATTATTTCCAATTAAAAATTACAAAAATTATAAGATTTAAAAAAAAATCATTTAGAATTTAAAGAATTTAAAAAATTATAATCTACAATAATAATCGTGTGTCTGTTTGTAGTTTGAATTTTTTTTTCTTTTTTGCTTCCTAATTTTTTTTTTTAATAATAAAACAACTAAATTCAAACAGCAAACAGACTTACAACAATTATTAATGTAGATTCCTATTTACAATTATATATTTCCAAATTATTAGAATATTAATTCTAATAGTGAGCATCATCGATCAGTGATTGGAACTTAAAGTGTCCAATTGCTTTTGCAATGATGCAAGATCAAAATATTCTTAGGCCAGCTTGTTCACTGATCAATTCCTTTCGTGAGCATTCTAGAACCAGGAAGACAATCCCTATCAGTAGCAATAATAATATTAATTTTAATAATAACATTATAAATAAAATAATGAATTTTTTTCTATCTTTTTCAGCAATTCCACTGCCGCACAATTTGCAAGCGACAACTGCTGGCTCAACGACAACCTCCTCGTCAACACCATCTTCATCAACAATAGCAACTGTTGGAGCGACCTCGCAAAAAATAACAGTGGCAAACACCAACATTCGTGAGGGTTTACAAAGACTGACAACGCAAACGGTAACAGTGAAGCAGGGCGATTCAGTGCAAAGGATAGCGGTGCCATCGGGTTTCGCTCACTTGGTACAAACAGCAACCGGTCGACACATTCTTCTCACGTCAAATCAGCAGAACGCCAACACAGTCGTAACACCGAGCGGACAACGTTTAACAGTACTTTCAAAATCACTCGTCGGTCTCTCAACGACAACGGGCGTCAACAAAGTATTCAGCGGCGTTGTCACGACAACCTCCGGTGGACGGCCAATTGTTCGCGTACCACAATTAAACATGAACACATCGCAGGCCCACATTTCGGGACAAATACGTCCGAGTATCGTCACAAGACCAGTAGTGGCAACAACAGTAGCAGCAGCAGCAGCAGCAGCAGCAACAACAGCTGCTGCGGCAGTTGTCAAAGAAACTAAAGTGACGATAAACAAAGAGGAGCCAAAATCGGAATTCCACATGCCACACGTCGAGGACGAACGACGCCGCAGACGTCAAGGTAAATTGCGTTTACTCGCCGACGTGAATGAGACCCGATGCGCCGCGTGTCCACTCTACGGCGAGGATCTTTTCATGGCACTAAGATTGGGTAAACCGTCCAATACCTGCCAGTGGCACGGCGGTTGGATGCATTGTAAAACGGCGAAGGAAAATCAACCACGCACGCGAAGGCAATTTTTCTCACGAACCGAAGCACTGGCCGAGGCGATAAAATCAACGGAACAAATTGTCGAAGAGCTGAAGGGAATTTTCGAAAGATTCGTCACTTACGTGCCGGCTGTTCAAGCGCCAATGCCACGTTTTCATTGTTCGCATCCACCGCCACATAAATTATGGGCTGAGGAGCGATTGAAATTTGAATTGAAACGTCATTTATCGCCGAAACTCGCGCTACTTCATCCAGTGGCGAGGTCAATGTTGACACAATTCCCAGAGCCACGTCTCATTCAATATGACTGCGGGAAATTGCAATCGCTCGATCAATTGTTGAGGCGATTGAAGTCGGGTGCGCATAGGGTTTTAATATTCACGCAAATGACAAGAATGCTGGATGTTCTCGAGGCTTTTCTCAATTTTCATGGGCATATTTACTTACGATTGGACGGCGCGACGAAAGTTGATCAACGACAAGTGTTGATGGAACGTTTCAATGCTGATAAGAGGATATTTTGTTTTATTCTTTCGACAAGATCGGGAGGTGTTGGTGTCAATTTGACAGGAGCCGATACTGTTATTTTCTATGACAGCGATTGGAATCCGACAATGGACGCTCAAGCTCAGGACAGATGTCATCGAATTGGACAAACTAGAGACGTTCATATTTATAGGTAATTTCTTTTATTTCTTTAATTTCGATCTAAACTAATTCAGGGTTTCCACAAATCAAGGAAGTCAGAAAATTCAGGGATTTTTTTTATTAAAAGTACTGGAAAATTCAATTATTTTCATAACTAATAAAATTTATCGCAGAATTTCTATTATTTTTAGAACGATTTTAATTAATTTCTTTCAAACAATTAATCTATTTTCCAAAATGTTTATGAAATTCTATATAATAACAAACATACAACGATTATTAATGTAGATTACTATTTACAATTATATATTTCCAAATTATTAGAATAATAATTCTAATAATGAGCATCATCGATCAGTGATTGAAACTTAAAGTGTCCAATTGCTTTTGCAATGATGCAAGAACAAAATATTCTTAGGCCAGCTTGTTCACTGATCAATTCCTTTCGTGAGCATTCTAGAACCAGGAAGACAATCCCTATCAGTAGCAATAATAATATTCTAAAAAATTCCACTATTTTAAACAAATTTGATATAATTTGTTTATTAGAATTCAATATTTAATTTCAATACATTTTGAATTAAATTTGTTGAAAGCAATAATTTTTTTTAAAAATTATGAAGAAATTTTTCAAAATAATTGAATTATTTTTAAAAAAAAAATTTGATAAAATTCTATGTAGAAATTCAATTGTTTTCAAAAGTAATAAAATTCTTCGCAAAAAATTCAATTATTTTCAAAAATTTTTTTATTTTTATGAAAATTTATAATATTTTTATAAATAATAAAATTCTTTTCTGAAATTCAATTTATTATTTTCAAGTTTTAATAATTGAAATTTATCAAAAAATTTTTTTAAAGAAATTGAATTTTTAAAAAATTTTATTTCATTTTTTTAAAATAATTGAAATTTAAAAAATTTTAAATTCTTTTCCATTTTCAAAAAATTTAAGAAATATTTTTTTACTTTTTTCGAAACTCAAAGCAAAAAATTAGATTTTTCACATTTAGCGATTTTTGAAATTTTAAAAATAATTTTGAAGATTCTTTGAATGAATTACAGTTGCAATTTTTCGGAAATAATTGAAATTTAGAAGAATTTAAAAAAATGCTTTTTTCTATTCCCACAAAAATAATTCCGCTGTTTCATTATAAATTGTGAAATAGTCTCAATTTTTGTGGGTAAATAAAATTTCAAGCAAATGTAAGGCTGTATGGCTTTTATCTATTCAGTCTAAGGGCAGTTTTGATACAAAAAAAATTTTGTTTTGTTGTTCTTAAAAACTTTACATTTTTTCTGTTTCTCACAATAAAAAGTGAACTTTTTAAGAATATACGATTAATTTTATTAAAAATAATTTAACTCTCGATATTTTAGGGAAAAAATCAGAATTCTCTCTCGAAATAAGAAGAAAACAGAAAACAAATTTTTGTACAAACTTTAAAAAAAATCCACGTGTCGAAGAGAAATTTGCCAATAAAATGTCTATTTAGAGAAGCATTTAAGAAAATAAATAAATTAGTTTACTTAGACCGTCTTCCGTAATAAACAATGAGTTAATATTATTTAAAATGTTATATCATTATGATTACACAACTTTTATATTGCAGAATTTTAAAGATAAATTTAAAAACAAATATTTTTATATCTACTTGGCTCAAATTTGATAAAAAGAAATAAATTAAATCCCTCTTCGACGCGTGATTTTAATTATCAAATTGCAAAATATTTGAGAATACTTTTTTAAAATTTTATTTTATATTCCTTTTTAGTTTTTTTTAAATGTTTTTGTTTTAAATATTGATTTAAAAACTATAAATGAATCAATAAATAAAAAAGGGAATTTCTGTTTTTGTTTTCAGACTAGTTAGTGATAAAACAGTAGAGGAAAATATTCTGAAGAAAGCGAATCAAAAACGATTGCTCGGCGATCTTGCGATTGAGGGTGGAAACTTTACAACTGCGTACTTTAAGAGCGTAAGTATTAATAGCTATTTTTTTATTTTCGGAAAATTTTGTTTCACTTAAACACATTTAATAATTTAATTTAAAAAACAACATATTTTCTATTTCAATTATAACTTAATTTAATTTACTTGAATAATTAAAAAAAAAAAAATTTGTATTTAAGTGATAACTTATTTGAATTTAAATAAACTTTTTTTCCTTTTTTTCGCTCGACAGTCGACAATTCAGGATATTTTCAATGTCGATCAAACGGAGGGCGACGCGTCAACTCGAATGGCCGAAGTTCTTGATCAAACGCGAGAACGCGAGAGAATGCTTCAAAGGGACAGTTCCTCATTGTTGCAAAACTCAGCTGGCGAAGAGAAGGCGGCGATCGGAGCTTTGGAATCTGCTTTGGCCGCCGCCGAGGAAGATCTCGATGTTCAAGCGGCGAAGACGGCGAAGGCCGAGGCAGTTGCCGACTTGGCCGAGTTCGACGAGAATATCCCGCTCGACGAACCCGACAAAGATGAAACGCAAATCAGTAAAGCCGAAATCGAAGTTCAAAACTTAGTTTCACAGGTACTTGTTATTTGTCATCATTTATTTATTTCACTCGTAAAGTGAAAATTTAAAAATCTATTTATCTATTTATCTAAAAATAAATAAATAAGAAAGAAATGAAAATAAAATAAAATTAGAAATGAACTAAATATTTTGTATTGAATTTTTAGTTAACGCCGGTCGAACGATACGCGATGAATTTCATTGAGGAGTCAGAGGGAAGTTTCTCAGCGGCACAATTAGCAGCAGCCGAACGTGAACTTGAGCAGCAGAAAAAAGAATGGGAATTGGATCGACTGCGCGCATTACGTGACGAGGAGGAAAGACAAATGCGATTGGCCGATGACGATGAAGAAAAACCCCTAACATTTGGTCGCGAGGACGCGGAAAATCAGGTTAATAGTAATAATAATTCTAAGAAAAATTATAGTAAGCGTATTCCGCCGGGTAGAAAAAGTTCGCGTAGAAATAATCGTAGAGTTCAAGCCGATAGATCGTCAAGTGAAACAGACACGTCAACCGAAACGGAAACTGAATCACAGAACGAAGACAATGATGAAAATGAAGAAGAAGAACAAGAGGAAGAAGAAGAGGAAGACGAGGAGGAGCTTGTCAATAGTCAAGACGACGAATTCAGTCAAGCGAGTCAAAGTCAAGACGAGGACGAATCAACAAACGACGATAGACCCGAAAATGGAAAGCGAAAATCAATTTCCAACAAATTGTCGCAAAAGAATAAACTCGATTTAAACAGTCCCCGAACAAGATCAAGGGGAAATGTGAAAATAAATCTCTGGACACTGGACGTGAGTCCAATTCTTCCTAGTACTGCGAAAAAACCCCGTGGTTTCTACTCGAGAAAGCGAAACGAAAATTCAAAAACCGACGAGAGTTTAAATTCATCATCACCATTGGCGAATTCAATCGATTCAAATAAGAAATTTCAAGATTCGGATATTCTACTTACTCCAACTTTGAGTCTGGAGAAATTGGAAAATACGAAAATGAATTTTCTCACTAAGGAGAAGAATACTTCGAAAAAATTGAATGGCTGTCTCGATGACAATGAGGAGGATAATAATGTTAATTCTAATTCTAATCTGAATGTTAATTCTAATCTTGATTCCAGTGTTAATGCTAATAATCTTAATGCCGACGTTGATGATGAACGAGTGCAAAATTCCGATGAGAAAGTAAACAAAAATTCAGACGATTCGCCCGCACATGTGACGCGAGCTTCGCATAAATCAAATTTCGCCAAAACAACGAATGACGAGGACACGGAGAATTGTGACGTTAACAATTCCGTTTCATCGCAAAATCGAAAATCTTCTCTATTCCCGAAAAGAGTTCAACGAACGTCGGGTGAAAATTCAAAAGAATTACTCTCCAAAACCCCCGAGAATTTTTCAATAAAAATGAAGCAAAAATTACAGGACGGTTTGAAGAATTCAAATAAAAATCTTGTGCCCCACGTTTTGTTGTCAGCCTGCGCGACTTTGAAATTAAAAGCAAATCTTGCGCCGGACGTTTCGCGTCGTTCCGCGAGTCCAACGGTGAAGCTCGAGAAGAAACTCGACAAGGACTCGAAGCACAATACGAGATCGTCGGCGAAATTGGAGATCGACAGCAGGGAAAGTGAGGCGAGTGAATCCAAGGAAGTGAAGGAAAAAGGGACGAAGGAAAAGGAAACAAAGGACAAGGAGGTGAAGGAAAAAGAAACAAAGGAAAAGGAAGTGAAAGAGACGAAGGAAAAAGAAATAAAGGGCAAAGAAATAAAGGAAAAGGAAGTGAAGGAGACAAAGGAAAAAGAAATAAAGAGCAAAGAAATAAAAGAAAAGGAAGTGAAGGAGACAAAGGAAAAAGAAATAAAGGGCAAAGAAACAAAGGATAAGGAAGCGAAGGAAAAAGAAGTAAAGGGCAAAGAAACAAAGGAAAAGGAAGGAAAGAGCAAAGAAGTAAAAGAAAAAGAAGCAAAGGGCAAAGAAGTAAAGGAAAAAGAAACAAAAAGCAAAGAAGTAAAGGAAAAAGAAGCGAAGAGCAAAGAAGTGAAAGAAAAGGAAACAACCGACAAAGAAATTGAGGATAAAAATAAAAAAACTGACGACGAACACCAAGAAAGAAAAACACCGGAAACTATCGAAAAAGAAACCAAATGTTTAATCACCGAAACAAAAGATTCATCCGAAATTTTCGAAGTTCCAAGAATTTCCACTCGTCGAACAAAATTGAACGCGGAATTATCCGAAAGTCCCCTTGAACCAGAAGAAAAAAACAAATCCTTCGACTCCGAATCAACGAAAAAAATAAAATCACTCGATCAAGATCCTCAATCCTCAAAATCATCATCAAAAACCGGAGAACAAACCCGATTTACTCGTTCCTGTGCCATTCAAATGCCCGCGCCTCCTCCAAAGATTCAAAAAATAATAATAAAACGAAGACCCGACACTCCACTACCAGGACCAATGAAAGTTGGAAGACCAAGAAAAAGGCCGTTAATTGTCGAGAACGTAGAGCCAACAAACGACGTTTTCCAAATACCGAATACAATCCCAAAGAAAGCAAAACTCCCCCCAAAATTTCCCACTCTCCCAATAACAAAAACAGAAAATCTAACCCGACGTCGACCCGATACACCAATGCCCGAGACTTTTAAACTAAAAATCAAAAAATCAAAATGCGAAATTATTTCCTCTCGCTCATTGTCGCCGTCCAATCAGAAACAATTGCGCCGAAAGTCATCGATAAGCGAGAACGAGACGAATGGCAACGCAGAATCGAGCGATGAATCCGATAGACCGCAACGAACGGCAAAAGTTGTTGCAATTTTAACACTCGATTCCCAGGCGAAACCAAATAATCGTTCACCGCAACTTGAAGTAAAACTCAATAAACTTGACGAGGGAAAAAACGGCGATTATTCCGAGGAGAAGAAACAAAATCCAATAATTTCGCTAAATCGTTGTGAATCGACAATTACAACTCGAGCGTCGACAAAATTGGATAAGAAAAAAAATTCCCAGAATATATTGACAGATATAGACAGTGAAGTTGATAGTGAGACAACAACAACACCATCGACCCGAATAATGAAGAAACGAATAAAAAAACTAAAAAATTCCTCCTCGGGATCAAAAGTTATAGACATTCAAACGGTGGATATTGCCGACGATGAAGAGGAAAAAAGTGAAGTCCCACTAAAACGATCTCTTCGTTTTCAAGCTCCTCCTCATGACAAGCTCAACAATTCGGTGTAAAAAAAAATGGGACACTCATCATAGTTTAAATAAAAAAATAGAGAAATGTTTGGAAGCGATAAACAGATGAATTTATTTTCAAGGTGATGACTATTGTTGTAATATTTAATATATTTTTTAATAATGAACGCGTCGGGTGTTCTTTTTCCCTTTTCTCTAAGTTACAGGAAAAAAAATAATACTATTAAAGTTGAGTTTATTGTTTTCTGAATGAATTTAAGTCTGTAAATAATTGCGAAATTTTCGTTTTTGTACTAAGTACAATTTGTAATATTTTTTAGCACTGTATAAAAAAACAAAACCAGAAGCGTGCAATTTTTTAACGCTTTGTAAATGACGGACTAGGTTAAAAAAAACGATTTAAGTTATAAAAATTTAAAGACTCATGACTGCTGTATTATAGAAATCGAAAGAGAGAGAGAAGAGAGAGAATGGAAATTTAAATTCATGTATCACAGTTTTTTTGTTTCTATTTAGAAATATCGATAGTCCAATATATTTGTGGTAGTTTATTTTGCGAGCTCGTGATATATATATATATTTTTTTTATTATAATTTTTTTCTTGAGAGAATTCTTGGGAGAAATGAACAAAAAAAACGTAAAAAAAAAAATTGCCTCGATTTGTGCGCGCCTGTATTTTGTATGATCGAATGAGTCCTTGAAAAGGAAATAAACGAAATATTCCTTGCTATATAAAAAAAAAATTACAAAATGTGTTTACTTATTTCTTGGTACGTTTCCAAGTCAAGTTCAATCAAAGGTTCAGTTCCGTTTTGGTGTCAAAAGTTGCTCGGTGTGCTTGTTTATGGTTGGAAGTTTATCGAAGATGTGCAAATTTTCTTTTTTCTTTTTGCATATCAGTTTGGTGTGGCAAGGCTGTCCATGGCCGCACTTACAATAAATGGTTCATTCATGAATCTTGTATATATTTAATATCAAATTTCAAAAAAATAAAAAACAAAAAAAAAGATTTTAAAAGCATGCGTGAGAACCGATCAATACTCACATAAAAAATGGCACCAAAACACTGCCTTTGCCATTCCAAACTTGGAGACAGCCAAGATATAAGCAGGCACATTAAACGAGCCGCGGAAACCAAAAAGAGAAAAAAAAATTGGTGGGGAGGGAGTAATTTAGTTTTAATACAAAAATGTTTGCAGCTAGAAATGTTCTTGGAACAAGCCTTTGACTGAACGAGGCTTTCGTTGTTTCTTTAAGAGCGTTCCATTTATTGAAACTGAAACATCGAGTCTCGACTTCTTTTTTTAATTAACAAAATAAATTTGTTCGAAAATAATTTCAAGTTAGAAAAATTGTAACTAGAATATATTTTTAAAAAAATTATTTTTCAAGTTAAAAATTAGAAAATTTTTATATTTTTGAAGATGGAATTTAAAAAGTTGAAATTTAGGAAATTGAAATTATTATTCAAGTTAAAAATTAGAAAATTTAAATATTTTTAAAGCTGAAATTTAAAAAAAATGAAATTTAGAGAATTGAAATTATTTCTCAAGTTCAAAATTAAAAAATTTAAATAATTTTAAAGCTGAAATTATTTTCAAAGTTGAATTTTAGAAAATTGGAATTTAAAAAGTTAAAATTTTAAATTGCAAATATTTTTCAAGTTGACATTTAGAAAATGGAAATTATTTTCAAACCTGAAATTTAAAAAGTTGAAATTTATAAAATTAAAAATAATTTTAAAGCTGAAATTTAAAAAGTTGAAATGTGGAAAATTGAAAATATTTTTCAGGTTGAAATTTAAAAAATTGCAGCTATTTTTAAAGTTGTAAATTAAAAAACAAAAATTATTTTTAAAATTAGTAGAAATTATTTACAAATTGCCTAAAAATTTAGTACAATTTAGTTCAAAATTCATCAAATTTAACAAATCTTAACAGATTTTTCCAACTTCAAAAATTAAAAATACAAATTGTAAATGTAAATTTGCTTTGTAGAACAAGAAAATTTTTTTTTCTTTTTTATTTAAAAAAAAACTCGACTCTTTAAATATACAAAAATACTATTGACTCGATTTTCTAATTTTAAAAATGGAACACTCTTTTTCCAAACAAAATCTCAAGTTTCTATCCTCAACGATATCTACCGTAAATTTTCTTTTTGCTTTTTTAAAAACAATTAATTTTCAAATTAATTATCTCTATTATTAATAATAATAATTACTTTTTAAAGTAATTAATATTTTACTTATAAATTTATTAACTTTTAAATATGATCAAGCTTCTAAATTTTTTATTTTTACAATTCTAAATATTAATTTAGAATTAATAAACATTTTTTAATTAAATTTATAATTTTAATTACAATTAAATTCTAGTTAAATTTTAAAATACGTTAAAAATCCGATTTAACAGAAGGAAAAAATTTTAAATATTTCTTTTGACAATAAAATACATAAGATTTGATTTTTATATCTAATAAAGAAATATAAAAATGATTTTTAACAAGAATATCACTTTTTCTCACGGTAAGTCTCAGTTTCAAAGTCTAGCTGCAAATTTTAATTGAATACTAAATGAAAACAGAAATAAATTACAAAAAAAATTCCTGTTTTGTAAAAATGCAAAGTGATAAAATAGAAAAGAAAATTTAAAAAAGTAATTTATAAATTTCAAACTAAATTTTTTAAACAAATTTTGAAATTCTTTTGATTCATTGATTTGATAAATTTAAAAATTGATCATGAACGAAATATTTTCATTTAGAATTCATAGATTTAGATTGAAAATTTTTTTTCTTTTTGTAAATTTGAAATACAAATTTAATATTTTTCGAATATAATTTCGTCACTGATAAAATGAACTGTTTCATTATGTGAAATTTTAATTTTTCAGATTTGGTTATCAGAGAACACAATGGAACAGATGCCGGTTAGTATGAGTAAAAAAAATGAATTCATCAATCAGAATTACGTTAAAAGATTTATGGATTCTTTTCTTTTATATATATGAAGCAAAAAATTTGTATATATATAAATATACTTAAAAATAAATAAATCTTATTAGATGTGGTGTCCACCAACTCCACCAACTTCTAACAATGACGTCTACATTGATTACTCGCTGGGATTTTTGTACGAAAATACGCCAATGTCCGAGGCCCAATTGCCACCTGTATTCGTTAAGAAAGAACCAAAACGAATTCGTGTCGATCCTGTCATAAGCGAGAGAGATGGTGAGAGAATATTTTCCATTTCTTTTTCTTTTTTAATTCTTTTTTCAATACATTTCTTTGTAAATGTTTTACGAGAATAATTTTTTACAAGAGAAATTTTTTACAAAAGGAATTATTAACAAGAGAAATTATTTACAAGAGAAATTCTTAACAAGAGAAATTTATTACTAAAAAATTTTCAAGTGAAATTTAAGTAGTTTTTTGTAAAAGAAATTTTTATGTTCCTAAAAATTTAATCGTTTAAATGAACGAAATTTACTTCCTTCGCAAAGTGAAATTTTATTATTCTGGATTGTCACAAGTCAGGAGAATCAGGAAAAAAATGTTTTAAGTTAATGATTATAATAATTATTTTAGAAAAGATTTTAGTTCAAAATAATTGCAATTTTCAAAAGTAATTGAATTTCAGAAGGTTTTAAACCAAATTTTTGATAATTTCAATTTTTGTGAAGAAATAATTAAATATTTATAAAAAAAAGTATTTAATTTTTAAAATAATCTTAATTTAAAATTCTAAAAAAATTATATTTTTATAAGAATTTCTGCAATAAATGAATTTTAGAAGATTCTAAACAATCTTTTTTTAAATTTCAATTTTTAAAAAGAATTGAATATTCTAGAAATTTTTAATTTAATACTTTGAGAAAAATAGAATTTTTCTGTTTAAAAAACTAAAATTTTGATAAACTTGATACAAAAATTATCTAAACTTTTATTAGGAAAAATTATTGAAAATTTCGACACATCAATTTTTAAAAATATTTTAATTCAAATTTTCTAAAATTCTACAAAAAATAATTGAAGTGTTTTAAAGAATTTTACTAAAATTCTTTTAAAAATAATCGAGAAAAGTTCGCCACGTTAATTTTTAAAAATATTTCACTTGTATTGTTTTATTTGATTTTTATAAACAAGTAATTGAAATTTTTTAAAATAATTTAAATTTCTTAAAAATTCTATTAAAAATTTAAATTTCTTCAAATTTCTATCGAAAAAAATTAAAATTTTTATAGAATTTATTTAAATTCTTAAAAATAATCCAGGAAAATTCGTCACATTATTTTTTTTTGATATTTAAAGACATTTTTTTTTTAAAATTGAATTTTTTAAAAACAGGTTATTAAAATTTTGTTAATTAATTGAAATTTTCTTAAATTCTATGGAAGATAATTGAATTTTCAAAAGAATTTTATTGGAATTCTTGAAAATAATCGAGGGTAGTTCTATACATTATTGTTAAATATATTTCAGTTCTCTTTTTTTAAATGATAATTGAATTTTTATAAACAAGAAATTGCAATTTTTTTAAGTTATTAATATTTCCTAATATTCTGTAGAAAATAATTGAATTTTTCCTTGTAAAAATTATATTTTTTATAACTCTTTTAACTCCCATTGATTTTTTAAGTAATAAGTTAATTAAAATTTTTATTATGATAAAATTATATTTGGAAATCCGAGAAAAACAAAATTAAATTTTTGTGTCAATCCTGATATTATAATATTCGAATAATTAATAAAGTTTCAAAATGTCTAATTAACGTTCTCAAATTTAAAAAATTTAGTTTTTCATAAAAATATTTGCTCTGTTGACAAAATATTTAGTTCATTTGGTTCAAAGGTTGACTAGTTGGAACATAAAAAAAAAAGAAAAAGAATATTTTCTTCTTATGATTATAATTTTTTGTAATTCTTAATTGATTGTAATTTCTCAGGTCGTCGTCCAACGAAAGTGCGTCACAAGGAGGAATCAGTGTTCGCTCCTCGTTCACTGTTCGACAGACCATCGCCAGCATTGGCAAAAATGCGTCGCGACATGAAACTCCACAAACTCCGTGGAATAGTAAGACCAATGTCAAGTGGAATGTCAGGTTTGAAACCGCCTCTCCTAAAATCGCCCAACGAACAGGAAAATATTCTCGAATGGACAATACACGAGGACTGGTCCCTCCTGCAATCAATTCAAGTCTATCAGAGTCTACCACTGAATTTAGTCGTCCTCTCACCCGGACAGACGCCCAATTGGGATTTGGTGGCCGATATTGTAAATAATACCGCGCGAATTTATCGTTCACCAAAGCAATGTCGAAATCGTTACGAGTCCGTCATTGTCCCAAGGGAAGAGGGCAAACTCCTCTACGACACCACTCCCAAGAAGCAGAAGAAGCAGAAGGGCGTCTATAAAATGCCACAAGTTGCCGAGCAACAAAGCAAAACCAACAGACCAATGAGAACGTCCCAATTGTACAACCAGGATAAGAATTATTCCTTTACCTCGATATCGTGCCAGAGGCATGACGCAATAAAAGCCGTGTCGAATAAAAAGGCCCCAACCACAAAGCCACTTTGCATGAATCCTTCGATGAAAAATCCGAAACACGCCGCCGTTCTCGCCGAATGTGGAATTCAGTACGAGGCGCCTTCGTCGCCGATGGAAATCGCGGCAAGAAAGGCGGATCGAATCGCGAAGGAGAAGAAAAATGCGGTGTTAAGCGCGGAGCAACAGCAA